TGGTTCTGCACAGAGGAGAGGCAGACTGTCACTCCCAGAACGGTCTTGCATGAGCGTGCCGCCTCCTCGTCGCCCGCTCGCTCCCTCGACCTCCGCCCATCTCGCTCACTTCGACGGCCTGATCCGCTCAGATGCCCCTCGAGCTCAGCGACCTCCCATCGGAGCTCCTCCCGCTCATCCTCAAACCGCTCCTCGCCCGCCGCGACTTGTACGCCGTTTGCCTCGTCTGCCGAAGTTGGAGGGAGGTGGGGCAGCGACTGCTCTTTGCGCATGTGCGGCTGTTTGGGCGAGACCTGGTGCGTTGTGTGGATCTCTGGCAGGATGCGCAGCCACGTAGCGAGCTTCCAGCCGTTGGAGGACTCTCCTCGGGCCGTCCACCCCATACGTCCCGCCGCTTTACTGACGTCGAAACATGCTCTTCTCGACAGGCCATCGCACCCCTACTTTTCCAGACCCTAGCCGACAACGCGCAACTCGCCCAACTCGTCCGCAAGCTCGAAGTCCGCGTCTACCCGCTCTCGCTCATCCTGAAAGAACGCCTCGAGACGGAATGGCTTGTCATCCGGATGATCCGCAATTGCAAGAACTGCGAGGAGCTTGTGTGGACGCGCAAAGGAGCGTTGACGGACCGGTGGGCCGAGTTGCCTACAGTCGAGGTCAAAGGCGAAGCTGAACTGACAATTCCGCCTCCAGCGTCTTCCAGGCCATCAACTCGCTTCGACGGCTGCGCTCGTTCGAGTGCAACGCGCATACGAACCTCTCGCCCGGCTCATGGGACGCCGACCACTTTCTCCGGCTCCCACCTCTCCGCTCGCTCTCCCTCATCCTGCCCGACCGCAACATCGCCGACATCCTTCCCTCCTTCTTCAAGCGACAGAAGGAGGTTGCTCCTCAAGCTGACTGGGCGGGAACAACGTCGACCGACATCCTCCTGCTCGAGGAGTTTTCGGTCCTCTGCCGCGAGAGTAACGCCATCAACGATACCGTCGTCCGCGCAATCGCGCCTTCGCTCGCCAATAGCCGTCTCACGTCGCTCGCCTTTGCCGGCTGTGCGAAGCTTACTGGCGCTCCACTGCTCGACCTCCTCCCGACTCTCCCGCATCTCCGCCACCTCGCCATCGAAGCCTGCAACCTCCATCCCTCTTTCTTCACTTCCGCAGCACCATCACTCGCGCAGCTGCGCTCGATCAAGCTCACCCACCCCGGTCCTCGCCATCTCACTCTACCCTCCTTCTTCCCAGCGCTCGAGACCCTCCTCCAATCAACCGCGAACCTCACCGCCTTCACGCTCTACTACTCCGGCGCCTCAAGTACCGGCCAGCGAGAATGGCCTGTCCTGCCGCTCGACTTTGTCAAGTCGCTCGCGGCGAGCGTTGGGGCGAAGTTGCGCAAGTTTGAGGTCTCGGGCGTGTTGATCGCCGTCGAGGCTATCGAGGCCTTGGCGCACAGTGCGAAGGAGCTGCGGAATCTAGTTCTGCATCTGGGTGCGGACTTTGACCTGGTGAGGCGGATTGGAGTTGCGCTTTCTCCGCCAGACTGGACTGACCAAACTTGCGCCCTCAGCCTCGCCTCACCGCGTCCTTTGCCCCGCTCTCCTCGCTCCGTACCCTTCATCTTCTCTCTCAGCGGGCAAGCGTGTCAGCCGACGACGTCCTCACTGTCGCCGAACAGTACGCCTCTTCCTCTCCTCCGTCTCGCTCGCAAGCTCACCTCCCTCCCGCTCCACGCAGATGCCACCCAACCCTCCGCCAAATCGGCTACCGCAACCGCGTCTGGATCATCAAGCGGACGTACTATACCACGCCTTACGAGCCGCAACAGCAACGGACAAAGGTCAGTCTCGGCCTTTACGACTTGCCTTGGTGGCCCGAGGCGTTGCTGGTGGTGCGGACGTGAAGTACGAGACTAGCTCGACTCGGTCCGCTGCTGCAGGACGCACGCTGACGCCCGTTGAGAACCAGGTTCGTTTCTATGAGACGGCGGCGGCGTTTGGAGCGTTCAGGAGGAACAGGTATGGAGCGGAAAGCGAGGTTGAGACGGAAGTCGAGTCTGGGTCGGATTTTGAGTCGCCCTCGGAAGGGGAGGAGGAGGAAGAAGTGTAGGACGACGGTGTGTGGAGACGCAGGGCTGTATTGCACGCATAGATTGCATTCGAACGATAAGGATAGCTGCGGAAAAAGGGAGAGGACACGATGGGACGAGGCAATACAGGACGATGGAGAAAACGAGATAAAGATACTTCATATAGAGCTGAATAAAGACGATAGATACGAGCGCGCGTCTCTAGTCCCTCGAACGCCTCTCGACCTCCCTCCAGAACCCGCTCCTGAACCACGCAGAATTAGCCTCCCTCCTCGAACTCCGCTCAATCTCGTCCTCACTGTACTGCACGACCGGAACCCCAAGTTCCGTATAGTAGTGCCGGAAGTGCGTGCGAGCGTACGAGGCGGTCAAAGGCGGGATAGTCATGCTCTCGAGGCCCTTGAAGAGCGGTTCGCGCCGCGAGTTCTGGATGATACAGGCGCAGTCGGAGATGAGCGCCAAGTCGTAGGGAAGCGGGTTGTCGAGGCGGTGGGAGAGCATCGCCGGGTCTGTCCACTCGATGCGGAGGTGCTTGATGGGGAACGGCAGCCGTCCGCCGTTCGGGAGGTATCGCGCGACGGTTTCCGGGTTGATCAAGTCGCCGAGCGTGCGGTGTGAGAGGTTGAGGAGGTTGAGGTTCGGAAGGTCCAGCTGCTGGAGGTGGAGGAGCGGCCAGGCGGAGATGTCGCAACTGAGGGAGGTAATGTTGGGAAAGGTGCGGATCGTGTGCGAGCCCGGCGGGAAGAACGACCAGCCCAGCTCGCAGTCCCAGAGCTCGACTGCCTCGAGGGACGGGAGTGCTTCGGGGTCAAGGACTTGGCTGAAGGTAGGGAGCCAGCGGCCGAATGCAATGGTGGAGAGGGAGAGATGCGTCAGTCGGGGGAGGGAGAACTCGGGTTCTGCGCTGGGCGTCGACACGCTGCGAGGGAGGATGACGACTTTGTGGAGGTGCAAACGGACCAGGCCCGTCAGGCATGAAAGGGAGCCCAGCTCCAGGTGGCGGATGTCGATGAGGGACAGCGAGACGAGGTTATGACAGACCGCGAACAACGGGTAGAGATCTTGTGCCACGATCGAGTTCTCGGGGAAGGACGAGTCTACGACGAGAATGCGGAGAGCAGAGACATCGGGAGGCTTGGGCAGCACGAAACGGAGGAGCGGGTCCGACGTTCTCGAGACGAAGAGCTCCTCGGCTCGAAGTCGGCGAGCGATCTGCGTCCATGTCCGGTGGACGAGTGCGCACATACTGTAGAAGGCCGTGCGCTCGACGTAGACTTCGCGGGCGTCTATGGCGTCCGAGGAGAAGCTCGAGAGGATAAGGGGGAGGAGTTCGAGCGGGAGTGACGGTGTTTGAGGGCTGCTTCGCCGCCGAAAGGGTCAGCTCGAGACAATTGCGTAGTTGAGGTCGTACGCGCCTGCAACAGCTCCTCAGAGTCTGCTCCACGGCCTCGCAGGAGAGGAGCGGGTACTCGAGTCTGACGAGGTGCGATAAGGCCGTGGCAGCGAGTACGAGCAAGCGAGAAGCGCAGTAGCACGCCTGAGCGTGGCACCAGCGTCGCAGCGCGTCCTTCTTCAGCACCGCGTGCATCGTTTCCAGTAGAGCGTGTATGCGCCGGTCGAAGGGGTCTTCCTCGTCAAGAGCGAGGTCGACCAGCGTCCGTATCTCCGTCACTCGCGCTGTGGTTCGTGTCTGCTTGCTGTGCTGTCCTTACTCTGCCTGAACGGCGCGTCACGCACGCCTTGCGAATCCTCACCGCCAACGCGTCGATCTCGCTCCGCCATGCGAACGGCGACGAGTGCCATCCTTGCGGCTCTCGCCGTCGCTTGTCTGCCAGCGCAGGTGCGTCTCGTCCTGAAGCTTCTCTTACAGTGGAGGACTCCCCACCGGGCGCACTGAACGTGTCGGCGGAGCGCTTGTCGAGCTTCCTGGTCGCGCGACGGAGGGTCCACAGAGGATGGGACCAAGGCAGGCTCACCTGAAGGACGCTGTCCTGACACCGTCTTGTGCTTTGCAGGCCGCCAACGAGACCAAGGGAACCAGCGGGTGCGTCTGATCGTTACTCTGTCTCCGACGACCGTCCTTGCTGACATCCCTTGATCCGCTTCACAGGGACACGCTCGTTTCGCCAACTACCCCTCCAATCTCCTTCTTCTGGGCGACCTACGACGACACTGTTAAAGCGATCCCGCAATGCGCCGGCTTCCAAGTCTTCGTCGCGCCGAACAATGGGTCGGCAGTCAAGCCCACCTTCCCACTCTCCTTCACCGCTATGCCCGAGAATTACCCTCCCGTAACAACGACACTACCGGGAGTTGGCATCGGAGATCAGTTTGCCTGGTCGGCGGCGTACCCTCCCGTGCGTCGCGCTTAGTCACTTTCTGCTCGACTTCTTCGCTGACGAACACGAGTCGTAGGGCACGCGAATCGGCTTCGCCATGACTGATGCAGCCAACAACTCGGGAGGCTACGTCGACGGCTGTGAGTTTGACTGCTCCTGCGCCGTCAAGCGAGGAAAGCGTGCTGACCCTTGGCCTGGCAGACACATTCGTCCCCGGCTCCACCAACTGCACGCTGGTCGACCAACCTTCGTCTCTCCCAGTCTCGTTCTCGGAGTCCCCGATGGACCAGCCCTGCGACGAGGTGATTGTCAACATCAAAGGCGGCACCTCGCCATACACCTTGTCCGTCGTCGCTGGGACGAGTGGACTGTACGCGAACGTCACGGGTGTGACGAAGAAGCGGGTCAACCTGCGGAACATTGTGCCTGCGGGACAACAGTTTCACCGTGCGTCCCCGCCGCTCCGTTTTCCGCTGGAAATCTGCCTGAACTCGCCTCGAGCTTTCCAGTCTTCGTCACGGACTCGAACGGCCAGTCATCCATCGTCGAGCAAGCCATGATGTCGCAGCTCAACCGGGTCGACAGATGTTTCCCGGCGACTGCCACGAGCGGCGACTCGTCAACACCGGTCGGCGCAATCGTCGGCGGCGTGATCGGCGCGGTTGTCCTCGCAGTCCTCATCGCTCTTGTCGCCTGGTTCCTCGTTCGACGACGGCGACGACAGCGAGCGGAACAGTACCGGCTGCAGGAGCAGCAGACGAGCGAGTTCCGCACGGCAGACGGCAGCGCACCGCTCGTCGAGCCGTTCCGATTGCCACTCGACTCTGTCGTCGGTGCGCTGCACGGCACTTCGCCTGACACCGCAACGTATGCGGGCTCGAGTCCCGGCGGCGACTCGTGCGACAAAACGCTCGAGACTGCGCAGGCGCACGAAGCCCAGTACCTCGCTGCATCGCCCATCGCGCCTCATCCGCACCAGCAGCCACCACAACACCCCTACGACCCGTACGCCAACCCGTACGAGCAGCCTTACGAAACAGATCCGCGAAGATACGCCTACGAGCCGACCTCGCCTGCGTCGTACGAGCCCGTCTCGGCTGGATCGACTTATGTCCCGCATCCTTCGTCTCTGCACCAGAGCCAGCCGTCTCAGCGAGGCGCGACGGACGACCTCGCGAACCCGGAAGAGTTCGACTACCGCCTCCCAATGGACGGCTCGTCTCCCTGGGCTGGCGCTCTCCCGCCTGGCGCGCGGCCATACCACTGAGTTGTACTCTCTCCTTTCACCTCTTCTGCGGTCTGTACTTAGTCGGCTGGAACCGTCTATAGTTCGTCTCCCGTCCCTTCCTTCATCTCGATAGAACCTCGTGTTGCATTCCTTCTTCCCTCTCTCCGCATGTCGCCTATTCACGCGCACCCATGTCTTCCTCCATACCCGAAGCCTCTGGACGTACCCCGAGACGACCCTGTCCTCTTTCTCCTCCTGCATCCTCCTTCTTTCGTCTCCAGCTTGTAACGGTTGGATGTTCCGCAGCGATGGACGCTGCTCGTTGCTTGCTTGCTGCTGTTCGACAAAACGCCCTTGCAAAGCTTTATCGCGCTCGCAGTCGTCTGGGATGGGTCCGCTGCGAAGGTCTCCTTCGTTCACCAACCTCGCGCTCCTCCTTTGCTCCCGCTGAGCTCGACGAGTGTTCGCTGCGACGATGCCAGCCTACACGCCGCTCCCAACGAGCGCGACAGACCCGCCGCCGCGCCGCTCCTCACCGTCATCCTCCAACGTCCTCACGAACCTCCTTGACCGCCTCCCCGCCCCAGTCCAGCAGTTCCTCGAATCGCGCCCGCTCAAGACTCGACCAGTCCGACTTGGCGTCGCCGTCCTAGCTGGTTTCTTGGTGCTTTCGCTGCTCGGGACTGCGCTGCATTCACGCAGCAGCGGAGGGTCGGTTCGAGGGTATCCTCTGGCAGGGACCGAAGGACGGGGCAAATGGGGCACGTATGCGTCGTGGCTACCAGGCTTTGGCGGCTCAAGCTCGACAGCGGACGGGGGCGGATCATGGGAAGGCTACACAGGAAGTGGGGCGGGTTGGAGGGAGTTGCCTGAGAACGAGGGATTGCGGGAACCGATGCTCGTCAAGGACGAGAAGACGGGAAAGATGATGCCGCCCGAGGTGTACCCAGCGGCGCTGAATCCGTGCGTCTCGCTTCCTCGGACGGTTCTCGCGCTCGCAAAGCTGGGATCTGCCAGCTGTGTTGGCTCGTTGTGGCACCCAAGAGACGATGCTGACCATGTTCACTGCAGGTTCAAGCGAGCGAATGCCGCCTTCGTCGCCCTCGTCCGGAATGGTGAGCGGGAAGCGATGCGAGACTCGATGCGCTCTGTCGAGTCCCGCTTCAACCGACGATTCGGCTACCCTGTCAGTTCGCTTCGTTCCAGTCGCTCACAGGCATGTGCTGACCAAGGCTGGCGTGCGCAGTGGGTCTTTCTGAACGACGAGCCATTCGACGAGGATTTCAAGGTAGGCGTGATGAAGATGACCCGCAGCGAGGTGTTCTTTGGTGCGTCAAACTCATCTCGCATTCGTTGTTGTTTGCGGAGACTGCCGTGACTGACTGCCCTCCGATCTTGACCACAGCCCAAATACCCAAGGAGCACTGGAGCTATCCCGAGTGGATCAACCAGACGTACGCTGCCGACGAGCGGCAGAAGATGGTCAACGAGAACGTCATCGTGCGTTAAGTTCTCGGTTGCCTTCACCCAGCCGCGATCGCTGACCTTACCCGACTCTCTGCCTCGCCTGCTTCTCTTTCCCTTTCTCCACACTTACCCGCCTATCTGCTCCTCTCCCTCTTGACGCTATCAGTACGGCGGCTCTGAATCGTACCGGCATATGTGCCGTTTCAACTCGGGCTTCTTCTTCAAGCAAAAGATCCTCGAGTCGTTCGACTGGTACTGGCGAGTCGAGCCGGGCGTCGAGCTCTTCTGCGACATCGACTACGACGTCTTCCACTTCGTGAGCTCCTCCTGACGCATCGCAAGCCCCGCTCAAAGCTGACAGCGGTCTCTTGCAGATGGAGGCGAACAACAAGGTCTACGGCTTCACGATCGTCCTGGTGCGCTCTCTCCGATCTCTCGTTGGCGGCGGACGCACTGACAGTTTCGACGAACAGTACGAATACCTGCGAACCGTTGAGACGCTCTGGGACGCAACGCGCGAGTTTGCCCGCCTGCATCCTGACTACATTCACCCAGAGAACACGATTCGATTCCTCGTCGATGACGAGAAGAAGGGCTTGCAGGACGGAGACTGGAATCTTTGGTGCGTTTGCGAGTCCGTATCGTCGGGGAACGACAGGGCTGACGAAATGCGCCAACTCCAGCCATTTCTGGTCGAATTTTGAGATCGGCTCGCTCAAGTTCTGGCGCTCTCAGCCGTACGAGGACGTACGTGGCCTTATCTCCCTCGGTTTGCACGCGAAAGGGACTCTCGTTGACACTCCTCTCGCTTTCACCGCTCCAGTACTTCAAATTCCTCGACGGGAAAGGCGGCTTCTTCTATGAGCGATGGGGAGACGGTTTGTCGTTCTTCACCCACGCCCATCACGACCTGCGCTTAAGTCTCTCTCCCCGCAGCGCCCGTCCACTCCTTCGCCGCCGCGCTCTTCTTGCCTCAAAGCGCGATCCACAACTTCTACGATATGTGAGCGATCTTCGTCGCGGCGTGGCTCGCCATCAACATTCAAGCTGACCTTTCGTGAGCCGTGCCGCGCAGATCCTACCGACACAACCCGTACCAGACTTGCCCTCGTCAGTTGCTCTCCCTCCTCCTTAAGGCAGTTCTTGCTGACCAGTACACACTCGCAGAGAACCGCAAGCTCTTCCACGACAACGGCAAGTGCGAGTGCTACCCCGAAAACTCGTTCGACACGGACGGGTCCGTCTCGCTTTTCGCTTCCCTCTCTCTGTGCGAAGCTGATCCGCGATCTCGCATGCTCTACAGCTACTCCTGCATGCCGTGCGTCGCATTCCTCGCGCCGCGTTCCTCCGCAACATGCTCACCTTCACTCCCACCTGCAGACGATGGTGGAAGGTCGACGGCAACCCACACGAGCTCTGAACCTATCTTCACGACCCCTTCGCATCATAGAACGAGATACAGACACTCTCCCTCGCAATCCCAAAACCGCAGTTCAGCGCTTCACACGAGAGCTTCGAGTCGAGAGAACGCCTCGATTGCTGGAAGGAAGAGAGGATGAGGGGTAACGAGAGGGCGAGGACTACTGCAAGAGATGGTCGCGGAAATGCTTCTGGTTGTTGCCCCGGATGCCGCGCACGAACGCTTGGTCCTGGTGCGCGCGGATCTCGTGGAACTCCCTCGTCGCCTTGCCCGCCTGCTTTGCCTCACCCTTATTCCGCGCCTTGATGACCTCGCCGTTCGCGCCCCTGCCAGCACCCTTGGCGGGCACGAGCGCAGCCGAGTGAAGAGGCGGAGCGTGGGTGCGGTCGCGCTTCATGGCCGGGACGAGCGAGAGGAGCGCCTGCGAGTGCTGCGAAGGCTTCTTCTCCTCCTGCGATGCGTGTGCGGGTGCCTTGAAGGGCGTGCCGTCGAGGTAGGGGAGGATGTTCTGCTTGTAGGCACGGCGGTGCGCGCGGTGACCGATGCGAGCGCCAGACGGCAGGACGAGCTCGTACTCCGTGTCACCGTACGTGACTGACGTTCCGCCGGGCACTCCCTCGTCCTCGTCGTCGCTGTCCGATTCGGACGAGTCATCGTCCGATCCCTCCTGGTAGACGACCTCGACATCCTCGCCCTCCTGCCCATCAGCCATCTCCTCATCTTCGACATCCTCCCATCCTTCCGCAGCGCCAGACGCAGCAGCCTTCGCCGCAGCCTTGGCAGCGCGCCTCGCGGCCTTGCGCTTCTGCCGCTCCTCGTAGTCGGGGTACGAGGGACGGAAGTCGTAGAAATCGGCAATGTTGAGTTGCGCCGCTTCCGTGTCATACTTGATGCGGCAGTGGGACTGCGTAGCGAGAACGATAGAGCGGATCAGCACTGCAGGCGGAGAGGCGAGAGGGAGACGAAGGAACGCACCTTCGACTGCATGTGCGCCCGAACAGCCTCGATGCCCTTGGTCGCCCTCTTCTTCTGCACATCCTGCGACAACTCCTGCTCCTGGTTGAGATCGATGTTCCCGCCGTAGCCCTTCCCGCAGTACACGCAGACATTCCATGTCCCAACCTCCTCACCGAGACGCCGCAGCAGTCCTTCGAGATCGACGAGGTACTCCTCTTCAGGGATGACGAAGGAGTGCGCAGCGCGCATGTGCTCGACGTTCGCTTGCGTCGTCGACGAGGTGTGCGTGCAGAAGAGGCAGGAGGTGACGGGGATGGGCGGAGCGTACTGGAGACGCTTGGCGACGAGGCGGTCGAGGTCGGCGTCGCCGGACGACTCGAAGCGGACGTCGGCGTCGGTAGCAGTCGGAACCTGAGCGGGAGGAGGAGAGGTCGAGGTGGATGGGACGGGAGAGGCCATCGACTCGTCTTCCTCGGCGGGCTTGGCGGCAAGGTCCGATACCTTGACCTTGGCAGCCGCCTTCAACACAGCGTCGCGGTGCTTCTTGGTCTTCTGGTGAGCATCGAGAGTCGCGGCGGAAGCGAAGGTTTTGCTGTGAAGAGCGGGAGCGTCAACGAGAAGTGCTCGCTGCTTATCAAGCACAGGGCGACACCAAGTCGCGGCGCCTGGGACACGTGCGACTGGCGCCACCGGGACCGAGCGAAGCAAGCGACTCACTTGCACGCCTTGCACGCCAGCTTCTTCGGCTGTTCCTCCTGCTCGTTCACCGCACCGAGCTGCGTCGTCCTCTCCTTGACCTTGTCATCGAACAGCTCCTGCGAGACGGGTGCAAGACCAGCCACGCGACGCCTGCTGTTGTAGCGATGGAGCTCCTGCTGGTAGTGCGAGCGCTGCGAGTGGGCGTCGGGGAAGGCGAGCTGGCATGAGAGGCAGGTGTATGGGTGCGTCGAAGACTGGTCGATAGCGACAGGCTGGTCCATGTTGGCGTCGACGAGGGGAAACGAAGGCAGTGAAGATGGGTGTGGAGAGGAAGGTGTGGCTGGATCGCAAGCGAGTCCTGCGAGTCGGCGCCTGTGAGGGTGAAATCAAAACACCTTGTCAGCACTGCTGGTCGATCGACAAGCCCGCAAGACCTCCTGCAACTCGTGCACGCCTCCCACAGCCACTGCTCGGCGGCGACGGCGCGAGAGAGGGTGGGAGGATCGCAGGACTCGGCAGAGAGCGATAACTCACGTATACGAGCTCTAGCGACGGTAGGAAAGCCTCAGACCAGCACCAGCGGGATGAGGGAGACAGAGAGCGTGAGGCAACGAAGCGAGCTCGACTCGATGAGGCCAAGTCTGAATAAGCGACGCTCGCCACGCGTCGTATGGGCCGAGGTATAACGGCAAGTAACCATTGAGTAGCTGACACGATTTACTAGCTAAGTCTTGTAGCTCGAGTGGACGATGCGAAGGTCTCGCTGAGGAAAATCCCGTCAACAACGGAGGTAGTATAACAAGGGTAGACAACAAGTCTCAGGGTCGCAGCGTGGTGTACAGTCTACATGGGGAGGTGCTTGGCCTCCTGGAGCGTCCAATCTGCGAGAGAAGCAGGGTTAGCATGTGAGCGGAGGACCCGAAAAGCAAAGAGGGACCCACACCGCCGCAGGATGTCAGGCTTCAGGCTCGCGACTTCAGCGTCGAGGTGGTAGAAAAGGAGAGGACCCCAAGAGACGAGGTTTTGTCGGAACTCGTCGGGGGAATAGGCAGTTGGGTCCAGCTTGAACCGCTTCGCAAGCCACCTCAGCTCGTGCATCCCCTTGTGAATAGTGTCGTGCTCTTCTTGATGATCCACGCGGAACTGTGGCATGCGCTTCGCGAGAATGGGGAAGATGTGTCTGCGTGAAAAGGAGGGATTAGCGTCATTGACACAAAGTAGGCAGGAAACGGCAACGCACTGCTCCTCAATGCTGTGATGGAACTCGAGATGCATCAGGAAGTCTTCTGCGAGGCGCATAAAATCCCGCACGGTCATGCCGCGCTCGTTGAAGCTGCCGTCTGACAACTCGAACAGTTGCCGAAACGAATGGCGGACTGCAGTACGATCGTCAGCGATGCGAGTGGTGAGGCAGCCCTAAGCAAAGCTCACAGTACGCGTGGAAGCCTGCAGGGAGCGACAGCGAGGTCAGTTTCGGGAGGAAGGGAGGGGAGAGAGGGAAAGCGAGGCGCACCTTCCATTCGCGAGCTCATCCGCTCCCAGTCCCGTCTCTCTGCCGCATTCTTCGGTTCAGGCGAGATGTAGTCAGGCAACTCGTCGTCCTCCTCCCGCGCCTTGCCGCCACTCAGCGTCGACACAATCGAAGCGCGCGAAGGCTTGATAGCCTGTTCGAGTGTGTAGGTAGACATTGCGCGTCTACCCAGGAGCCGTAAGCCGTTCAGAAAAGCCAGGATGAGCCAGTAGAAGTGGACCGTGCGGTGTCAACGAGCGAGAGCGAGGTGTTCCGAGGGTTGGTCATCGCCTGAACGCCGCGCACCGCGCCGCGGGCTCGCCGGGGCGCTCGAATTGCTTGCAGACCGCCGAGGATTGTTGCCGAACCCATCCGCACGCTTCCCCCAGCCTCAGCTTCTCTGCCTACCTTCATCAGCGAACCGAGATTCGCGAGGGTGTCCAGTCCGACGCGGCGCAGGGGACGGGCTGAGGTGGCTCGTGAGTGGTATTCAAGGGCTGTGTGAGCGGTATCATGCGCGCGAACCGCCGCAGTACGGGCCGACGCTGCTGTGGGCACGCTCGCTTGCGTTCTCCCTCTTCGAGCAGTCGCAGACGCCCTCTGACAGCGTCGCTGGCACCGTCAGCCTGCTAGGAGACGTCTACTCGTTGTTCGCTGTCCACCGGGCGCTTTCCGTCACTGTACCCGCTCGCTCACCTACGTCGGGACGATGTCGCTTGATTCTTACCGTCTCACCTCACCTGCTCGCACGCTCACGCATGCATCCGCTCAGCAATGGTGGAACAACCAGACGGGGTATACTTCACTGTACATCACCAACCTACGTTTGTTTCGAGTCGTGATAAGGAGACCGGGGGGAGATCGAGCGCGATCCTTGGCAGGATCGTGCGGATGAAGGGGTATCGACCATGTTTGATGAGAGAGGGGAAGGAGGGCGCTTTGTGCGCTGTATGTGAGCCGAGATTAAGGAGAAATAAAGGGGCGAGGAAGAAGAGAGAAAGTCGTAGTGAAGAAAGGGTATATCGAGGCGAAGTCGTCGCCGGTCGTCGTCCATCCGTCCACTCAACAGAACCCGCCGAGCCCGAGCAACAGCTCTGCACACTCGCGCTGCTCATCCTCGGGCGCCTTGTCCTCCGTGGCCGACGCGCTCGAGACCGGCAACGCAAAGTAGCCCATGACGCCGGACGTCGACTCGGCGTCATCCGAGATGGTCGCGAGCGAGTCGACCGTCGAGGTAGTCGAAGTGGACGAGAAGCTCAGTTCGGCGAGGTCGTCCTCTCCGATCGTCGTAGCCGTCGAGACCGACTCGCTCGAGACGCGGCGCTTCTTCCGCTGCGGTGCGCGGGTAGGCGCGGACGACGCGGTGACCGCGCCGGAGAGGTCGAGCGACAATCCCGCGGCGCCCTTCCGTCCGCCAGACAACAACCTCAACGACTTGGCCTGCGAGACAAAGACGTTGTTCTTGGCGCTCTTGCGCTGTCCGAGGACGGCCGAGTGACGCACGGGCGCTGCGGTAGTCGGTGGAGGGACGAGAGCGGGAGGAGGGAGCGAGGCTTGGGTCTCGAGGATTCGGGCGCGTTTGCGGCCGAGAGCTTCGATGGCGCATGCGAGACCGGCGCCGACGCGGGACGAGGCGGACGGCGTGTCGTTCGAGCCTGAAGAGGCGAGCGCATCGAGCGTCGTCGAGGTGGAAGAGACGGCGCCGAAAGTCGCGGTCGAGGAGGACCCGAGCGAGACGGTCCGGCCGAGCGACTGGGCGCGCTGGAACGGCGGGACCGAGTTGCCCTTCGAGGCGGAGAACGCAAAGGACGCCGACATGGACCTAGCAAGCGCCGGCTTCCGCGCCGCCTGCATCCGCACCTCCTCTTCCCCATCACTCGCCAACTGATCCACCTCCTCGTCCTCCGCGTCCTGCTTGTCCCGCGCCTCGAGCGCACGCCTCGTCAAGCCAGACGCAGGCGGTCCAGCAGGCGAACTAGCCGTAGGCGGATCGCTCTCCATGTGCCTCAACAACTCGTCCTTTGCGCGAGCCTTCGAGACGGGCGTCATGATCGGCTTCGAGGCGGCTGTCTCGAGCGTCGTCGTCGTGGTTGGGACCGAGAGGGAGGACGAGGTCGGCGTCGTAGAACGTTTGCGCTGTGCGTTGGCGCGGAGAGCGACCGTCTCGCCCTTCGCATGCGCAAACAACCCCCTCACCGCCTCATCCTCCTGGTCGTTCCCACCCTTCCTCCCACTCCGCTCCGCAACCTCGCCCAAGCTCGCCCTTGCACCAAGCGCCTTAGGCGGACTAGGCGGCCACTCGAACGTATTCTTGAGGCTCGGCGTGCGCGCGAGCGGAGCGTGCGATCCTAGCGGTCGGCGCCTGACGTGCTTCTTTGCTGCGATGATGGAGGCGTTGTGAGGGCGGTGAAGGTAGACGGAGGGGACGTTGTAGGGGTCTGAGGAGGCGGTTGAGGAGGATGTTTGGGCAGAGGAGGGGTGCGAAGAGCCGAGAGAGGGACCGGATGGGTAGGAGTACTGGTAGGTTGGCATGGGCGCGGGCGCGGAAGCGGGAGAAGGAGCGGCGGGCTTCGAGTTGGCAGCGAGGAAGGCGGCGGCTGAGAGACGTCCCGACGACGACTGCGCCGCAGCGCTCCAGCCCGACGGTGTGTACACGCCAGCATTTTCCTTGTTGGCGGCGGCCGTCAGTGACGCAGACGCGGGTGCCGACGAGTACAGCTCGCGACTCGGTGCGAGGGCTTTGAGCGCGTGAGGAACGGCGACGGGCGCGGTTGTCGGGTAGAGTGGGAGGGCTGGGCTACCCATGGGCGACGAGGAGAACGAGAGCGCGACGCCGTCGAGGTCTTTCGGGTCGGATCCGGACGAGGCGATCGACGACGCGGAAGAGAAGGTCGACGACGGCGTCGAGTCCTTCTTCTCCTTTTGCCTGCGCGCGACGGGTCGTAGCATCGTCAGTACTCGTGCGTGAACATTGTCGAGGTCCTTCTCGAGTTGAGCGAGAGAGACGCGCGGGTCGCGACGCCCGTGACCCCGCGTTTGTTCCCGTGTTCACTGAAGCGCGAGGAGGAGAAGGGAGGGCAAACACGCACCTGCGGTTCTGGTACCAGACTTGCACGGCGCGCGCCGTCATTCCCAGCCTCTCGGCAATCTTTGCGCGCTCGATCGGGTCCGGGCGCGGGTTGAGCGCGAACGAGTGCTCGAGTTGGGCGAGTTCGGCGGGCGTCGTCCGCCGGCGTCGTTTCGGGATGAGGGGGTTGTCGCGCGTCCCTGGCGGTGCAGGAGACGACGAGAGAGGGAGGGCGAGCGGGTCTGCTGCACGGACGAAGGGCGGCGAGGGCGACTGGAGCGAGTCGAGTGGGCGAGCCGAGGCGTACGAGGGGAACTGGGCGTGCGGGTGCGCTCCTCGTGCCTGCGAGTAGGTGTACTGATACGAGTGCGTCGCGTGTTGCATGCTGGCGACGTACTGAGGCTGGCGAAGGTGTGTGGGCGGGTTGACGGGGTGGTGTTTGGTTGCGAGTCGAGGAGGGAGCGAGGAGGTGCGCGGGTTGGACTGCCGTGTGGGCGACTGTGGGTGAGTCGACTGAGCGTGGCTGTAAGTGCACTGCGTCCCTCGAGCGTGAGAAAGAGCGAGTGAGAGCGCGAGAGAGAAGGCAGACAGTCGCGGGCGAAGTGTTGTGCGAGGCGACGAGGGCGACGCGACGGTCAACCATCCCTCAACTTGCTCAGTCGCACGCTGTAACGCTCAGGATGGCACAGAGACAGCTCTACGGAGGCGCAATCACCACCACCATCCCACCCACCTTCGTCGACGCGAGGTGAGCCCGTCCTCGCTCGCCGCCTCGTCATCGACACCGCCTTGCTCACCCTCGACGCACGCACAGCGACCTGCGACAGGTGCCAGACACACAGGAAGTCTTCCTCGCACCCGACTCGGACCTCAGCTTAATCACAGAGGTGCTCGAACTCGTCAAGGACGACGGCGCAGGAGACGACCTCGAGCGGGCTGTCCGGTGCGTTCGCGCTCTCCGTGGGGCGACGATGGAGGTATAAGAAGCTGTGCAGAGCTACTCGAGGCTGGGAACGACCCTCGCCGCTGATACCGCCCACTGTTGCCGTCCGCAGCTTCCACTTCTCCTCCCTCGCACACGACAACTCGGCCCTCTCCTCCTCCGTCACCTCCGTCTCGCTCCCCTCCTCGCCGTCCGCTCCCAATCCCCAAGGTCCCGGTCTGCCAACCATCCTCGGTCCCGCCGTCCTCTCGGGCCTGCAAACAATCTCGAAATTCAACCGCCCAGCCTCAGAAGCCGACACCGTCTTGATCCTCCTCGCTCTGTGGCGTATCCCACAACGAGATGCGGATGTCACGTTGTGTGTCAACTGGCCGGTTAAGTATGGAGAGACGGGAGAGGAGAGGAGCGAGGAGGAGGCGAGGAGGGTGTTTGAGGAGGCGATCAGGGCGTTCGAGATCAAGGACTTTGGGCTGTTTGCGGGTGGGGAGGCAGCTGGAGGGGCGTAGGGCACCGGTGCATGCGCAGGAATCGACGCTTCACATCAGCCAACATCAGCAGTCGGTTAAACGGGACTTTGACGTCGTCCTCGAGTTCCTGCTCGGCTTGCTCCCGAGTCTGCTCCGCCCTCATTGCTACGTTCGAGGCTCTTTATCTCGCTTCTGTGCGCACTCGCTTGTTGAATCCGAAAGAACGACGGCAAGGGATCGCTGTGCCCCCTATCTCGCTGTCCGCCGGCTTCATCGCAGAGAAGATCGAGGCTTCGCTTTCCCAGGCTCCCTGCTCAGCCTGACTTCGACTACTGCTTCCGACCGTCCCTAGCTCGACAGCGCGCTCGCAGGCGCGTCAGCCGGAGCCGGCCATGCCTCCACCGCCTCCCTCGTCCTCCTCGTCGACAGACAATAAGCGACGGCGCCTCTCGACGCAGCTCTCGCCAACCGGCTTGCGTGGGCCTTCTCCGCGCCCTCACAGCCCCCTGAGCGCTTCGTACGGATCGAACGGACGAGGTATGGGGGAGGACGGGGCGGATGGACTTGGAGCAGCGGAAGGCGGGACACTCGGGTTGGGCATCGACAGTCGACTACCTGCGCCTTCTACCTCTTCTACGACTCGCCGGGCTTCTCTGAGTGTCGCGAACCCGTTTGTCGCGCCCGCCGCCGAGCCGACCTCGTCCCTCCTCCTTCCTCCGCCTTCACCCACCTCGGCGCTGCATCCGCCTCATTCGCACTCGCATCACCACCATCCGCACCACCACCACCCTCATCCTCACGGTACGACTCGAACAGCCGGAGGAGCGGGAGCGGGAGACGCACCTCGTCCTTCGAAGCGGCCGCGCTTGGCGAGCCAAACCTCGAACGAGACGACTAGCAGCGGGACGGGCGCGGCGTCCGTCAATTGGACGGTTACTCCGCCCGTCGGAAGCGGGTCGAGGGCGAGCGGATCGAGCGCAGGTAGCGAGCGAGTCGACTCGGGTTCCGTCTCGCCCGGCGACGAGATCCGGCTCGAGGGATACCGAGACGTACAGGTCCTCTCGACGCATTACGACGATGTCGTCGCGTGTCGGGCGATCAGTACCGCGCGGGGAGACCAGCGCGTCGCGCTCAAGTTCAGTCTCTCGGGTCGACCCAGCGTCGCGGCGCAGTTCAAGGCCGAAGCGGCGTTGTTGGGAAAGCTGCGCGCAGCGGGGATTTCGAACATCACGAAGGTGTTGGCGAGGGAGAACGGGCGGTACGGCTCGATGCTGGTCGTTGCGAACGACGAATTCCGCATGTGGAGCGAGACGTACCACCTCCGCAACCGCCCTCCCGCGCCTTACTGGACCGACCCGACCGCCCTCGTCCGCGCAATCGATAACGCAATCCAACTTGTCCGCCTCATGGCCTCCATCCACAAAGTCGGCATCGTGCACGCCTCGATCCGACCCACGACCGTCTCCAACTCGAACTTTGGCCAGGTCTACCTGCACGACTTTTCGTGCTCGTTCGCGTCAACTTTGTCGGCTTCGGCGTCGGAGATCGAGACGACGCCGATTCGGGAGCGCGGGATGAAGGAGGAGAGTCTGCCTTACCTCGCGCCTGAATGCTCGGGGCGGGTTGGCAAGACGGCGGGGTACCAGAGCGACTACTACTCGGTCGGCGCAACCCTCTACGAAGTCTTCACCGGCCAAGTTCCCTTCGTCGACGCGACCGACCCGCTCGAGATCGTCCATGCGCACATCGCCCGCCGTCCGCCTCTCATGACCGCCGTCGACTCGTCCGTCCCGCACGCCCTCTCGCTCATCGTCGCCAAACTGCTCGAGAAGAGTCCCGATGCGCGGTACCAGACCAGTCAGGGATTGATCGTCGACCTCGAGCGCGTCAAGGAGCTCGTTGTTGCCTACAGCAGCCCAGATCCAACGCACGCAAACTTGTCCTCTGCGACTGGATCGAGCGAGAACGGGCGATCTGGGTCGGGCAGTGGAGCGGGAGGCCGTGAAGCCTCGCCCGTGAGCGCCTCGACGACCGACTTGGGCCACCTCGGCGCCGACTTTGTCCCCGGCTCGCTCGACGAGGCCGCCTATTTCCGCCTCCCGCCCGCATCGATGCTCTTCGGTCGAGACGAGAGCATCCGAGCGTTGCGGGACGCGTTTGAGCGCGTCAAGACTAGCACCCAGCCGGCTGTTGTCGTCGTCAAGGGCAACTCGGGCATTGGCAAGACGAGCTTGATCGAGACGCTACGAGCGCCGGCGGCGGAGACGCGAGGGCACTTTACGAGCGTCAAGTTCGGTGCGTCGACTGGCCCTTTGCACAAGCCTTTTGGCGTCTCGCTGACTTTCGTGACATTCCGCCTGCAGATCAGATCAAGTCGCCCGTCCCCTTTTTCGCCATCACCCAGTCCCTCTCCGGCCTCTTCCGCCAGCTTCTCTCCGAACCCGAAGCCCAACTCGCCGTGTGGCGCCGCCGCCTCACCCGCGCTCTCGGCAAAGAAGCCCGCGTCATTGCCGACGTCCTTCCAACGCTCGAGCAGCTGTTCGAGCCGGGATGGCTCGAAAAACAGCCGCAGGTTCCGGTGCTCAATCCGCAGGAGAGCGAGGAGCGGTTCAGGGGCGTCGTGCAGAAGGTGCTGAGGGCGTTTGCGAGGGCGGGGAAGCCGCTCGTCGTTGTCTTCGGTGTGCTCTTCTTCTTCCTTCCTCTCTCTGCAGCCTTGCTGACACCTTTCGGTTGCAGACGACCTGCAGTGGTCGACCCTATCCGACCTCGTCTTCATCCGCTCACTCGCCATGCTAGGCACTGACGAAGGCGAAGACCCGCTCTCGTCCAAGACGGCGTGTCTCATGCTCCTTCTCTGCGTCTTCCGCGACAATGAAGTCGGCCCCGATCACATCGTCGAGACCGATTTGCTCGCGAAACTCCCTTCTCCTCCCCTCACCGTCTCGCTTGAACCGCTCAATGTCGCCAACATCTCCTCCTTCATCTCGCAAGCTCTGCGGAACCCCTCCGAGTCCAGCGGCTCGGCGCATTCACCATCACGTACCGACCGTGTCGACGCGAGCATCCAGCGGCTTAGCGAGCTCATCCTGGAGCGGACAAACGGCTCGCCTCTCTTCGTCGCGCAACTCCTCAAAGCGTTCAACGCCGAGGGCTTGTTCTCGTTCAACTTCTCGCGAGGGGTGTGGGAGTACGACCTCGATTTGATCGCGTCCAAGTCCGTGTCGACGAACGTCGTCGAGCTACTCCAGGCGCAGATGGGCAAGTACCCGGCGCAGACGCAGGCGGCGTTGAAGGTCGCAGCCTGCCTCGGCAACGAGGACCTCAACGCCGTCACGCTCGCCAAGGCCGCCGGTCGGACGCTCGAAGAGATCTCGCGCGACCTGCAGGACGCGGTCCAGGAGGGCTTGATGGTGCCGTTCGGCGAGGTACCCGTTGACCCGGAACAAGTTGCGACGCTCGAGGCGCAGGGTATCGTGCCCGGCTCGCCGAACTTGCGGCGACGACAGTCGGTCACCGAGGGAGGGACGGGCATCAACATGGCTGTCGAGCTCCTCCGACCCAAGTTGCAGCGGCGGAAGCAGTCGGTGTTGCAGAAACCGCCCGTCCCGGAGACGTACCGCTTCTTTCACGACCGATGCCAGCAGGCCGCTTACGCCCTCATCCCCAAGACGGCCCGAAGCGGGTTGCACTATACCATCGGCCAACGCCTCGTCGCCGCGTTCACCGAAGAGGAAATCAACGACAGCGTCTTCGACCTCGTGCAGCAGCTCGACTACGGCATGGACATCCTCGCGACAACCGAAGAACGCGACAAGCTCGCCTTTTACAACTACCTCGCTGGCCGCAAGGCCAACTCGTCTACTGCTTTCGAGGCGGCGCGCAACTACCTCCAGATCGCGTGGGACCTGCTCGGCGTGGGAGGCTGGGTCGGCCAGTACGACTTGATGTCGAAGGTCGTCGAACTGCTCGTCAACGTCGAATACTCCTTGACGTGCGCAAGGTCCAGCATCTTTCCCCTGTGCGATCCGCTGATGCTCTTCCATCTGCAGCGACTACGGCGCAGCGCAGGAGTACGTTCGCGTCTTCCTGCAGCACTCGCGAGACACCGTCGCCAAGCTGCGAGTCTACGCCGTCGCAATTCGCTGCGCATCTGCGACTGGTGATTCGGCCAAGGCCATCGACGTCGGTCGCGAGGGACTGGCTATGGCGGGGCATGTCTTCCCAGAGACGGCGGAGGCAGCCGAAGCCTTGATTGTGGAGGTTCGCGAGAAGCTGGCGCTGGACGTCGAGACGGTCAAGGTGCGCAGAGCTGCACTCATGTCAGCTGGAATGCATGCTGACCGTCAAGCACTCAAACAGGAGCAGCGTTTCACGGAGGTCCCGCTTCTTGTCGACCCTATCGCTGCCGGCTGCCAAGCGATCCTGGCCGCCCTCGTCCCGCCCGTCTACTTCGTGCGGATCGACCTGCTCGGCGCCCTCTCCTCCTTGTCTCTTCGCATCGCCGTGGAGAACGGTTACAACGACGCTGGCGCCTTCTGTCTCACGCTTCACGCCATCCTCGTCCGGTCCAAGTTCGGACAAGAGCGCGAAAGTCTCGCATACGGCAAGGCGGCCATCTCCTTCTTCGAGAAGCATGGCGGCTCGCCTCTCGCCTGTCCGACGTACAAGGTCTTCTCGAGCCACGTCGCCGTCTGGTCGACGCCCTTCGAAGACGTCTTTGCCACCTTCCGTCAAGCGGTCTCGTACGGCATCGAGTACCGGGACGCCGAGTACCTGGGCTTCGGTTGCGGAGAGCTCTGCTCGTACAGCTTGCTGGCAGGCGTTTCGCTTTCCGAGATCGGCAGCAACATCGAGCGCTACGCTGTCCTCGTCCGCAAGTTCCGCCACGAGTTGAGCACGACCTGTGAGTACAGCGCGCTCATTGACGTTCGGCGATCCAACTGACGGTACGCCTTGCTCGGACAGACATCGGTGTCGTCCAGCAGGCTGTCCTCTGCCTCCTCGGCCGTGCCGCCGACCCGCTTGAGCTCGACGGGGAAGCGTTCAGCCTTGACGACTATCATGTCTGCCAAGAGCGACGCTGTACGAGCCTAACTGCTTCGCCGCTACCAGGACGACTCGCTGACTGTACGCTTCCGCAGATTCGCTCACCATCCTGCTCTTCCACATGCTCCGACTCATGATTGCCATCTTCTTCGGCGACTCGACTCGTGCGAACGAATCCATCGCGATCGGTCGCAACCACCTGTCCGGCGGTCAAGGCCTCATCTACCCAGCCTTCTTCCAGCTCTTCGAGGCTGTCGCGCTCTACGAGCAATACGACGCCCTTTCGTCGGAACAGCGCGACCACGTCCGCGAAGCGCACGTCCTTCTGGATGACCTCGCGAAAGGCCAGCCCGACAACTTCCTGCCGCTCAAGCTCATGCTCGACGCCGAGCAGAAGCGCGTGAGCGGACCGGCAGTCGAGGCGCTCCAGCTCTATGACGAAGCAATCGCGGCCGCGACGGCGCAGCGGATGGTCCACCTCGCAGCCTGCATGAACGAGCGTGCAGCATCTTACCTGGGCAACGTGAAGCTGAGAGCCGGGTGCGCAAATCTCGTTCCGCTTCGAAGCTCAGGAACTGACAGTCTTTCTTCCCAGCTACCTCATCGAAGCCCACGCGCTTTGGGCCGCCTGGGGCTGCGCGCCGAAGGTTTCGAAAATGGAGGCCGACTATCCGCTCGTCTTCCCGGCCAGACCGGTCCTGCCGTCTGCGCACCAGCCTATACCGGCGAACACGCCTCCGCTCAGCACCGACCTGGCGCAGGCGGGAGAGCTCGGCGACGCGAGTACCAAGGGTTCCTCCTCGACAGATTCGACCGAGCAGGCTATCGGTTCAGCCTCGTCGAGGGCTGCGGAGGAGATTCACTCGCTGCACAGCTGGATGAACGAGGCCAAGGTCCAGCGCCGCCCTTCGACCGGCTCGCACGATTCGCATTCGCATTCGCATTCTGAGCACCACGACGCCGACATGGTTAGCCACTCGAGAAGTATCGATCACTCCGACATTTACGCCCGCTCGCAACTCGCGACCGAACTCGATTTGCGGACGATCGTCACGGCCTCCAGCGTCATCTCGGGCGAACTGTCGGTCGACGGCGTCGTGTCCAAGCTCCTGAACCTCACATTGCGAACCGCCGGCGCCGAGATGTGCCTCCTGGTGCTTGACAAGAACGGAACGCTGTGTGCCGAGGCGATCGCGAGGTCCGAGTCGAGCGAAGTCCAGCACTTGCGCCGTACCGACGCGATCGACTCGCAGCCTGAACGCTGTAAGCGCGCCGTACTCCTCCTAAAACAGCTCAACTGATAAACCATCCGCAGACCCCTGCGCTGTGCTGAACTATGTCGCGCGCTCCAAGGAAATGGTGGTCAACACGCTTGACGCGTTGGGAGAGTCGGTTCAAGACCCTTACCTCCAGGCGCGCAAGCCGAAGTCGATCTTGTGTCTCGCCCTCGCGTCCCAGCAGCGCATCATCGGCGTCCTCTACCTCGAGAACTCGCAGACAACGACCGCCTTTACGCCTGACCGGCTCGAGATCCTTTCGCTCATATCCGGCCAAGCCGCGTCCACGATCGAGAAGGCTCGACTCGTGCAAGACCTCAAGAAGACGAACCAGGACCTCCAGCGATCGCAGGCGGCGCTCGAGGCGTCAAACCGCAACCTCGAGACCAAGATCGCCGACCGTACGCTCGAGCTGCGGCATAACAACGCGCTCTTGCAGGCCGAGGTTGCGGAGAAGGAGCGAGCGCAGGCTGAGATGCGGCATGCGAAGGAGATCGCGGAGAGCGCGACGGCGATGAAGTCGCAGTTCCTCGCCAACATGAGCCACGAGATTCGGACGCCGTTCAACGCCGTCGTCGCCCTTTCGAGTCTGCTGCTCGAGACGCAACTCACGCCGGTTCAGACCGACTACGTCGAGACGATCAAGAACAGCTCGCAGGAGCTCCTAGTCGTCATCAACGACATTCTCGACTACAGCAAGATTGAGCTCGACCACCTCGAGCTGACGTACGAGCCGGTCCATCTTCGCGCAGTCATCGAGTCGTCGATGGACATGGTCGCCGAACGGGCAGCGACGAAATCGGTCGAGCTTGCTCTGCTCATCGAAGAAGGCGACATCTACATCATGGGCGACCTCGCTCGCCTTCGACAAATCATCGTCAACCTCCTCTCGAACGCCGTCAAGTTCTGCTCGGACGGCGAGATTACCGTCACAGCATCCTCGCGCCCAGCCGACCCCGACGAGAAAGGGCAGCAGCGCCGATTGTGCAGCATCAGCGTCAAGGACACAGGCATCGGCATCGCCAAGGAAAACTTTGGCCGGCTCTTCCGCGTCTTCTCGCAGGCGGAGGGCGCCGAGACGTCTCGCAACTTCGGCGGTACCGGACTCGGGCTCGCCATCAGTCGCAAGCTGGCTCGCCTGATGGACGGCGACCTGACTGTCGAATCAGAGCTCGGCGTCGGGTCGACCTTCACGGTGGTGTGGCTTGCGCCTGCATCGTCCGCCCCCGAAAAGGACCCCTACGCCCGCAACGCCAACCGCGACCTCATCGGCAAGCGCGCTCTCATCGTCGACGCCAACGCGACGAGCCGCATGGTCCTCTCGCAGCTCCTCACCTCCTTCGGGCTCCTTCCAGAAGCCCCTGCCGAGCACAACAACGCCTTCTCCATGGCGAACGATGCCGCTCAGAAGAAGCGACCGTACGACCTCGTCATTGTCGACGCTTTTCTCCCTTCCTTCGCCGCGCAGACCCTACTCCGCCGCCTGCGCCAGAAGGGCCTCGACTCGCCCGCCATCGCCCTTACTCGCATGGGCTCTCCTATCTACGAAGAGATGCGCCAGCTCGACTGCAAGTTCCTCATCAAGCCCATTAAGCGGAACCGTCTCCATCACACCCTTCGCCTCGTCTTTCCCGCCGGCGAATCGTCTCGCGTATCGTCACCTGCGCCGGGCAGTCCCGCCTTCCCGACCAACCTTGCGACGAGGAATCCACTCGCAATTCTCGTTGCCGAGGACAACCCGATCAAGTGCGTCCGCTTTCGCAGACTGGCTAAACTCGCGCTGACGAAACGTTCTCTCACAGCGTCAAGGTCATCAGCCACCTGCTCAAGCGGATGGGCTATTCGTGCGATGTCGCCGAAGATGTGCGTTCACGCGCACGGTGTCGTCAACCTGCCCTTGATCTGACATTCTCGCCATTGTAGGGTCTCGCCGCTGTCGAGAAGGCGCAGCGCAAGCGCTACGACCTGATCCTGTGCGACCTTTCACTCGCAGGGAATGCTTCGCCAAGCTGACATTGGGATGGCTTGCAGGATGGACCTCAACATGCCTCGCATGGATGGGCTGACGGCGACGAGGAGGATCATCGAGCTCATGCCGGATCCAGTGCAACGGTGCGTTGCTTGCTGTTGTGCTCCAGCTCGCTGGCTGACCTTTTCGGTCCATCAGACCCTCCATTGTCTGCTTGACCGCCAATGCGATGGCGGAAGATCGTCAGAAATGCCTCGACGCCGGCGCCGAGTATGTCCCGCTTCCCTCCCTCGCTCCAGGTTCAATGCTCACGCTTCCCACCTCGCAGCGGTTACGTCTCGAAACCCATCCTCGTCCCCGAGCTCGTCTCGGCGCTCAACAGCTCCAGTGCGAAACGAGCCGCCTCGTACGGTCCCTCGCCCGTCCCTCCCCCTCCTTCCTCCGGCTCCGGCCTCCCCTTCGAGCTCGAACTCCCAACCTCTCGACTCGGTCGCGGCAGTCGAAAGAACTCGTCTGGCTCGAATCGGAGCACAAGCTCGAAAGGGACTCGCAGCGGGCCGCCGAGTCCGAGTCCTGAGCCTGCGAGCAACCACGGAAACGGGGTACCCAAGGTTTCGAGTCCGGGAGGGACGGTCTCGCATGCATCGGCGGCCGTGATGGCGCCTTCGGGGTTGCACAAAATCGCCAAGGAGCTCGAGGCGGAGAGGGCAAGGTCGTCGCCTGCTTCGAGCGACCCGAAGTCGCCTGAGCCAGGTTCGGCGAGTGCAGCGCAGGCGAGTCCGCCACCGCGCGACTCAATGGATCAGTCGGAGGCGTGAGGAGGAAGGCTATCTGTCCAGTCTGTGCCGCATCTAGAGTCTCGCATCTGTCTCTGTACTGTCGCATCTATCGCATCTTTTCCTTGTCGTCTTTGCACTGCACGTCTGTCTCTCCCAAACTCTCACGGCCCAGCGAGAGATCGGTACAGACACGAGTTGACAGCCTACGACAATCTACAATCACTCGGCGGTCATGCGAACCCTGCAGGAGGAGGTGGCGGCGGATGTTGACCGTAACCTGCAGGCGCGCCAAATCCAGGCGGCGGAGGGGGCATACCGTACGCGTTCGCGCCGGTGAGGTACCCAGGCGGCGGCGGCGGAGGAGGAATCCCACCTGTCATGCCGGGGAGGGGAGGGGCGTAAGGTGCTTGAGATGCTGCGAAGCCGGGAGGAGGAGGAGGAGGGGGGATGCCGCCGAACGCGCCGTATGCGCCTGGAGGAGGGGGAGGGGGAGGCATGCCTGCGAGAGGAGCGGCCGGGGTGATAGGCTGTGGCATGTATCCTGCAGGAGGGGGAAGCGGAGCGGCAGGAAGGGCGTTGTTCTTCCTCGCTTGGGCGGCGAGCAGTCGTTCGGCGGGAGTTCCGTGTCGCTCGCCCTTTCCGTCCTTCTTGAACGCGTACGAGACGGTCACGGGCTTGTTCATCAGGAATTGGCCGTTCATCGACTCGATCGCTGCGTCGGCCGCCTCGAACGAGTCGTACGAGACGAATCCGAAGCCCTTTGATGCGCCTGTTCCGACGTCGCGCGAGATCTGCGAGCACGAGGTGTGTCAGCGCGGATATGACACGTGTGTGAAGTGAAGGCACGCACCTTTGCAGGCTGGACGAGCGTGCCAAACGCCGAGAAGGTGTCGTAGAGCATGCGCTCGTCGATATTCGGGTCGAGGTTGCCGATGAAGAGGTTGGCGCCGATATCGAGCTGCTTCCTGTCGCTCGAGGCCTGTCGCATGCACACCCATCAGCTCTGCGCAACGAGAGCAAAAGGACTAGGGAACACGCACCTTGTTGACCCTGATCGGCTTTCCAAACAACTTGATCTGGTTCATGATCTTGCACGCATACTCTGCGTCTTCCTCGGTCAAGAACTCGCAGAACCCGTACCCTTGGTGGGTCATCGAGATGCGGTCTTTGGGCAGGTGGACGTTGGCTGTACCCGAAGGGTCAGCGAGTGGGAGAGGGAGAGAGGGAAGGGGAGGGGACGAACCGACTGGACCGGCTTGAAGCATCAGTTCCCATACCAACGCGTCGGTCACCCGCTCGTCCAAGTTGCCCTGCGCGCAAAGCGTACCGAGAGATGTCAGTCCGCGCGACTTGCTCGACACGACCCAACCGCTTGAAGCGGCAGGTGACGAACGAGAGATATGCGGACTCACGAGGTAGCACGTCGCATCCTGATTTCGCTGGTCCTGCGGGTTCGTGGCCATCGCGCTGGCGGCGAAGGAGAGTCGGAGGAGGGGGACGAGAAGAGGACGGGAGAAGGGCGGACAAGCTCGGGCGGTTTACGTGAGAGTGATAGAGGCTAGCTAGGGTGTAGCTGGGCGGCCAAGCGGTGTATCAGCTGAGTGAGCGTGCGGTGTTGGTGAGAGGTTCGCGGTCGAGGAGATGAAGCGGGTTGGCACCGTCCACACCGCTCGACAGCTCCCGTTGACTCGCTAGAATTACCGCTAGACTGCCCTAGAGCTTCTAGGAACCCGCCTGAACGGTCCAACCAAACTCCCACCTCTGCCCATCTCCTCCTCGACTTTCCCTCTCCCTCCCTCTCGACTCCTCCTCCGTCGCAGACTAGCCCAGCAAGATGCCACGCGACCCCGACCCCTCCCTCAACGAATCCTCCTTCGTCCAAACCTGCCTGCGCAAAGGCCTGCGTCTCGATGGACGAGGGATGTACGAGATGCGTTCTGTGGACGTACGGTTTGGTGAAGAGTTTGGGTGGGTCGAGTGCCGATTGGGAGGGACTAGGTGCGCTTCCTTCCTTACTCCCTCCCTCACCGCTGACGAGGATCGGGAGGATAGGGTCGTCGCGCAGGTTTCGGCGGAAATCGTCAAGCCCCTCCCGGACAGACCTTACGAGGGGTTCGTGAGTCTCGTGACGGAGATTAGTCCGATGGCTAGTGCGGCGTATGAGGCGGGTCGGTGAGTACGAGCTCTCGCGGGCCTCTCTCTCCTCGAGGCTGGGACGGCTCGTGCGGGTTCAGCCTTTGAGGCGGAGCCTGCGCGTGCGGGCGAATTAGCAAGAGGAGTGGACTGACGGGTTCGTTGCGCGCAGGGCGAGTGAAGACGAAGTCCTGATGACGCGGCTACTGGAAAAAGCCCTGCGGCGGAGCAACGCCGTCGACCGTGAAGCGCTCTGTATCGTCGCCGGCCAAAAGGTTCGTCCCCCTCCTCCTCTCCCCTCTCTCCTTTCGAGGCTGACGAGTCGGGCGCACAGGTCTGGTCCATACGAGTCGACGTCCATTTCCTCGACGACGAGGGAAACATGCTTGATTGCGTGTCGATAGCGGCCATGACTGCTCTGCGGCATTTCAGGAGACCGGATGTGACGGTCGTTGGGGAGGAAGTTACGGTGGTGCGTCCCGCTCTCTCTCCCTTCCTTCCGAAAGACGAGGCTGATGGTAGGGTGAGGAACAGCACTCGATGACGGAACGCGTGCCCGTGCCCCTGGCGATCCATCATTCGCCGATGTGCTTGACGTTTGCGTTCTTTGGCGACGAGTGCGTGCACGAGGCTGCACTTTCGTTCTCTCTCAGATACTGACCAGGTTCTCCTTTCTCTCCCTTCTCCTCGCTCTCTCCGCCACGCGCATCTCTATTCTACCCATTTCAATCAACGTCGACTCGATGATACCACCCCGGATCCCTGCCCTCGCGCGCCCTTGTATCATCCTCGCTCTCACCCGTAACCCCTCCCTTCGCAGCTCGCTCGCCGTGCTCGACCCGACGCACCTCGAATCTCAGCTGTGCACGGGCACGCTGACGCTCGCTTTGAACTCTCAATCCGAGATCTGCGTCCTGTCGAAGCAAGGGGGTGCGCCGCTCGGTGCGGACGAGGTGATGCGTGCTGTGAGTCTCGGGGTTGAGCGTGTGAGGGAGGTCGAGGGGAGGGTTGTGAGTGCGTTGGGGGAGGAGAAGAGGAGGAGGGTGGTCGAGGTGAGGTAGCGAGTCGAGTGCGATCGTGGTCTGGACCCGCATCAGCTGAGGGCGACGACGAGAGTGGGCGTGGGCGACACTCTGCTTTGTACTCGTGCTCTTGCTCGTACAGTAGTGAGCTGCTTGCACGCTCAGTACACGCCGAGCCCGCCTCGTGGTCACCGCCGTCGCATCTTCGCCTGGTCCTTGGCACTCGCTCGCTCGTCGACTCGCACGCTCAACCTCGCTCACTCGCACTCGCACACTCGCTTGTTGCAGGGGCACTCGACTACTCGCACCAGACTCGCATACACTCCGCCCCGTCGCAAGCCAAAGCCAAGCAGCCAGACGCGGGCCCCCGCCATCGTCCCTCTTCACGCCGCATCCCGACACGACTCACAGCGGCGGCTCTTCTCTGCGGGCTACTCGTGGCTTAGGGAGAACTACAGTAGCAGAGTCACACCGTACCAGCGCCAACTCGCAGCGACGACCGAGGCGGGACCGACACTCCTCATCGCTCCTCATCGCACCCGGCCTCGCTGCCTGACTGGACCCGCACTTGACCTCGCCAGGTGCGCAACACTGCGAGTCTGCCGATCCAGGTTACCGCACTGACTCGCTCGAGGAGCCGCACCAGCAGCAGCAGCAGCGCGTGCACCGCCCCTCGACGTCGGACCCCTTCCATCTCGCCAAGTTCGCCGGCCTCACTCGCTCAGACCTTGGCACTCAACTCTCTCACTCTCCGTCACACACTCGCACGGGATGGCATCGACTCTCGTGCGCGCAATGACCTTTGGCGCAGCATCGGGCGCGTCCTCGTCCTCCTCGCGCGACAGGTCCCAGACTCGCGACCCGTCCTCATCGCAGGACCGCTCTTCTCGCACCGGCAACGGCAGCAGGTCGAGGAGTAGTTCTCGCACGGGGTTTGCGGCAAAGACGCTCGGGGCGATGGAGATCGGAGGCGGGTCGGGGTCGAGCAGGAAGGACGACGACGTACCCGGCCTGTCGAGGAGCAACTCGCGCCTCTTGAGCACGAGCGGCTCTCCTCCTCCCGCTGGGATTCTCCTAAAGTGCGTTCTGACGTCTTCTTGCGTGCCACGCGGTCAAGGACGGATCTGACGCCGGACTTTCCGCCTGCGCAGTCCCGTCTCGCCCACTCTAAACGGCATGCTCGCCCCTTCTCCCTCCTTCTCCCCAGTCTACAACCACTCGACCCCTCTCTCAGCCTCGACTTCGAATCTCGACCTCTCCTCCTCGACATCCACAACTCCCGGCGCTCGACCAACCCTCACACGCACGTTCTCCGACGCCTCTTCCTCGGGCGTCTCGTCGCACATAGGTCCGACAACACCTTCCTCCGCACACTTCCCTGGCCCCTCTTCTTCAGCCACCCCAACCGGCGCAACCAGTCCGCCACCCATCTCGTCTCGTCCAAGCAAGATCCGGTTCGCTCCGCTGCCGGAAATCAGGCCTCGGCGGTACTCGACGGGTCGGAACGTGTGGATTGTAGATGAGGAGGGGGACGACGAAGACGGCCAACCGAGGCGGACGCGGCTCGTTCGAGTCGGGTCCGACCTCGAGGATGGAGGGGACGAGTTTGCGCTGGACGATGAGGACGACGAGGAGGAGGATGTGGGAGGGGGAAGAGGCGGGTTGATGGGTGGCAAGTTTGGGAGTTGGAGCGAGACGTTCGGCGGAGGGATGTGGGGTCTCTCGCCTTCTACCACGCGGAAAAGTCAGGACGAGGACGCGAGGTCCGTCACGAGCAGCTTGGGCGGCGGCGGGGAGTCTGTCAGTGTCGGGAGCGTCGGGTCTGGCGGTTCGGGCGGAGGAGGGTCGTCGTCGAAGAAGCTTCTCAAAGCTTTCGGCCTCAAACCCAAGAGCAAGTCCAAGCACGCCGGGACGGGAGGGGACGACGACTCCCTTACGCGCGTCTCGTCCGTCGATTCACAAGCTTCCCGACGACTCTCCACTTCCACCGCTGAGGCGCCGAAACCGCGCGGCTCGACGGGGATCCCGATGCGCAAGTATGCGTCGTGGGAGGTCGGTGAGGCGGCGCAGAACGGTCATGCTTCTGCTTCGTCTGCGGGTGGTGGGAACGGTGCAGGTCAGGCGGTCGGATCGGGCGGAGGACCGGTTTATTACGCCTCGCCTGCGCGCTCGGCGAGGAGGAGGGCGAATTACCCGCCTGTCGCGCAGCGTTCTCGTCGGCCCGCTGCGTCCTCCCACGGCTCGCGCGGTACGAAAGTTGAAGAACCGGCGTTCGAGGAGTGGGGCGTTGGAGGGGTTGGGTCGAGGAGTAAGAGGACTAGTTTTTCGGGCAAGGAGGTGGAGGAGGAGGATGATGGGAGTGGGATGGCGTGGTTGAGGAAGAGGAGGTTGCAGCGGGAGAGGGAGGAGAGGGAGAGGAGGGAGAGGGAGGAGGCGGGACTCGAGGCTGCGGATGAGGGTGTCAAGGTTGAGGAGGATCCGTCGGCGCAGAAGGACGAGGAGGACCCGCCCACGCTCGAATCGGTACCCGCCTACCTCGACGGTGTTCGTCGTCGGACTGCACCGGGACAGATGCCCTCCCGCTCGGCGACAATCGAGTCGACCACCTCGTCCGCCTCGACCATCCGCCCTTCGACGCCCGTACAGCACGCCAGTCCGTCCCTCAACAACAAACCCAGCGGACTGTCTGCCACCCGCCCGGTCCTCAGTGTCGACGTTGCAGACCGCCGCGAAGGCTCCTCCTCCACCGACAGTCCGAGCGGAAGCGGGAGCGACGAGACGCCTATCACGTCGCCAATCTCCAACGAGAACGAGGCAGAGGAGAGTGAAGAGGAGGGTGAAAGGGAGGAAGAGGAGGAGGACGACGATGACCTTGATGCGGAGGAGTTGGCGCGCGAGGAGGCGCTTGCCGAGGCGGCGAAACGGTCGGCTAAGTCCATGGGTGCGCGGCGGTCCTTCCCCGCTGTTCTCGACAGTGACTGATACTCTCACTCGTTGCGCAGGCGCCGAACGCTATCACTCGGCCGGACACCAAGACGAGCTGCGCGTCCTCGAGGACCGCGCTTGATCCGACCAACCCGAACTCCCGCTCCCGCCCAGCGCGACATCTTTCTCCTTCCTCCACTGCCAGACTATCGCCTTGTTGACGTTCAAAACCACTCATACCCGTCTATGACTTGTATCCCTTTCCTGCCGTGCTTTCCCTGTACGACTCTCGCATTTTCTCTCGCGTCCTCGTTCTGATCATCGACTGTAGATTTGCGATTCCATCCAAGCTATTCATTGCGTGTACACGACAGTTCCCAAGCGAGACGAGTAAGCGCGGAGAAGAAGATTGCGAAGGTCAAGCGAGTTGCGCTGCGTCGCGCGCGACGGCTTTCTTGAGAGCCTTGACGAAGCGCTCGACGAGCGGAGAGTGGTCGACACCGTTGATCTTGTGCTCGCTGAGCTTGAAGCCTGCGACAAAGTCTCCGAGCGAGCCGCCGTCGAAAGCGGCGAGGCGAGCGAGATGCGAAACGGAGGTGATGCCGCCCTTCTCGATGAGGAGCCTTTGACGAGGAGGACGAGCTGGGGCTTGCTCAAGTCAGGGAGGAGGTCGGCTGCGACGCCGAGCAGCAAGTCCTTGAAGGGGAGGGTGCCGAGTTCCGAGTCGAGGTGGTCGAAGGAAAGGAAGTCGCTGCGAGGGGTCGGCGGCTGGTGCTTGGGGGCTTCGTACTGGGTGTCGATGGTGAGGCGGGGTTTCTTGAGTTGAGATGGAGCGTCGGCGAAGGCGGTCTGGTGTGGGAAAGAAGGGGAGGGCGAAGAGTGGCGGCGTCTGATCGGGCGACACGAAGGCGTCGGTGAAAGACGTGGAGTCTGCTCGTGCGCAGGTCCATCATCCTTCGGGGCTGGCCCGGCGTTGCACTCGAGGTCGAAGGGAAGAGGGGAGCATGGAGCGGGCGTCTTTCGGTGGCGAGGAGTCGGGGGGAGGGCAGAATGCGGCGATGACTGTGATGCTTGCTGCTCCTCTTCAGTCTCGAAGAGGGGAGCGCCTGGCGTCGGCGAGGCTGTGGCGGTGGTAGCGGCCGTCTTCGATCCAAGTCGTCCAATCTCCTTGTCGGCGTCGCCCCGCACATCCATCGCATCCGCGCCACCGTCGCTGCCGGAAATGATATGCGAATGGTCGAGATTCTGCTCCGTAAGCCTCCATACCTCCCTGTCAGCGTCCCAACGACCAGCAAGTCGGACGGGACATTGGGACTTGGCACAGCGGTAGGAGCCGACCTTGACTGCGCGAATGACGAAGCCCTGTGTCTGTGCGAAGGTGTGCAGACGGGCGGCGAGGCGATAGCCCTCAGCGAAGTCTTCGTCCGGCGACGGAAGCGAAGTTTCGCCAGCCTGGGGCATGCACGAGGCGAGGCGTCAGCAAGTTGTTCTATATGCGCCGATAGAAGCAGCGCACCTCGATGCATTCCTGGATGTCGTCGCGAAGCTCGGCTGCTGTGGGAAACTCCAGCTCAGGCGGCAACTTCACAGTCTTCTTCCCGTCCTTGCTCTGCTTGTCCTTTAGACGCTGAGAAGAGCGGTGCTGGGTCTTCCCGCCGCTGCGCGCGTTCCTCCCGTCATCCACCGGGCGGTCCAACTCAGAGGTTGTCCCGTCATCCTGTTCTTCGACGTGCCCACCGCTGGTCTCCCTCTTCGTCTCCTCCGATGACTCGCTCAGCGCCTGGACTTTCTTTCGAGCACGCCGCCTGCTGTCGTCCATCCTGCGAAGTCGGATGACGGGATCGCACGAGTGCTCGAGGTCGCAAGTCGAGACGGTCCAGTCGAGTTCGCCGGACTTGCAGGTGGCGGTGAGAAGGAAGGCGCAAGTAACGCGAGTGTCGCGGACGTACTTCGGGACATGCTTCTCGGCGCAGGTGAATGCGTCGCGGGTGGGATTGGCGACCTCATGGTGCAAGGCGTAGCCTTCTTGCGCTGTTGCAGAGCTGTCAGCTCACCTCGTAAGCAGGACAGCTGTGCGTGCGCACCTGCCCAGTTCCACACGGCGAGCGCGAAGTCGCGGCGGGTGGAGAACGAGTCCCCGGAATTGAACGCTGGCGACATCCCTGCGTTCGGCGAGCTAGCGGGAAGCAGTGAGCGAGAGCAGCAGTCCAAGCAAGCGAGCGCCGAGATCACAGCCAGCGAGTTGACAGCGAGTGAAGCGTGAAGACCAGAGGAAGGACGTCCAGGCAGACCGCGGACCTCGACCTGAGCGGCGCCCGGCGCACTCCCCATTCTGGTCAAAGGGAGTTCTCGCAGACTCATCGGCGCCTGCCAAGCAAGTACTCACAGCACGCGAAGCAAGGCCGCGAGACTTTCGAAAAGAGAACAGGTCAATCGGGTAACAATGACAGCCAACGTCCCCCCGACCGTGGAATGCCTGAAGCTCGTTACTAGCGTCAGATACAAGCGGTCCGTCCCGCCTCGCAAGCCTAACGACGCCCTCCTCGCCGTCTTGAGAAGGTCAGCCGAACCCCTCGCTCCTGCCCATCTCCCTCCAGCTAAGCACAAAGTCACTCATCCTCTTCCTCGTATCCTCGCCGTACTCTACCTTGACCTGAGCGAGGAAGTCGTTGAGCGTCCCGGGAGACAGGTAGAGAAGGGAGGCGACGAGGGAAGGGTCGCCGAATCCGACGTCGCTGAGGACGAGGCTGAAGGGAGTGGCGGCGTCGACGAGGGGAGCAGTTGACGGCGGTGGTTGAGGCGCGAGCGGAGGCGGCGAAGGCGTACGGAGGTCAAGGATCGGAAGTTGCGGTGAGGAGGAGGAGGTCGCGGTAGAGATCGGCGCTGGCGGCTTCTGCGCGCTCTTCCTTGCAGCACTCGCGGCAACGGAGCGACGGCGCTTCTTCGCGGGCGGAGGAGGCGCGTCGGGCGCGCGAAGGGAGATTGGCGAAGGAGGAGCGGCATCGAGCGGGCCTTGCGAGCCTTGCGCATCGTCGGCAGGTGGGTTGGACAGGAAGACGAGCTTGAAGGGAGTCGAGGGACGTAGTGTCGGCTTTTGTTCGATCTCAGCGAGAGCGGGCGAGGTGTTCACGACTTTGGCGGTTGAGGCGGGCGGAGCTCGTTTCTTCGGGTCGACGACAGGCTTGGCCACCGGAGTAGGCGGGACAGTGCAAGAATGCCTGTTGTTGACCTCCGTCACTGCCCACGGCGCCTTCGTCTCGGCACGGCGGGCTGTGAGATGCGCGGTGCAAGCGTCCCTGTCTCCACGCCGGCGCGACGAGCAGCGGAAGGTGACGATGCGGTCGGTCGAGGCGGTGACGGAGAACGTGTGACTGGAGTTGTCTGCGAGGCAAAACGAGTCAGCCGAAGCGTGAGGGACGGGCGAGGGAGAGGACGCACCGCAAGCCTCTTTCACCGTCTTCAAGAGAGCCTGCTTGTCGGCGAAGGTCTGTGCGAGGCGTGGGAAAGTAGCGCGAGTAGCCATGAGTCGAGCGAAGCAAGAAAGCGACGAGTGAGACGAGCGAGTGGAGTGTCGAGGAGGAAAAGGGAAGTAGAAGCGGGCGACGTTTCGACACGCTAGGCTCGATGCTTCGTCGTGGCGCAGGCACACTAAGCCGAGTGTAGAGATACGCAAGCAGAGCGCAATGAGGGACGGACACCGTGCGCCGACTTGCGAAGGTCGCCTCTCGCCGTCGCAGAATGCTATCGTTACAACACGCGCAGAACCACACCCCAGCGACGCAAATCCACTCATGCCCTCCGCCTCTTGCTGCTGCCCTCGCCTTCCTCGTCCGCCGCGTCGTCGCCGCCCTCCTCCGCATCGTCGGTCTCGCCTGGCTTGCGCTTGAGACCCTTGAACTTGCGGGATTGCAGCTTGGAGAGGTCCTGCGAAGTGAGGAGGTTCGTTAGCGTCGAACGAGAGTCCCAGGGCCGGGAAGAGCTGAAGAGACGACGAGCGGGAACGCACCTGCGGGTTGAGGTAGACGCGTCCAACCTTGTCGCCCATCTCGTCGATGTCGACATTCTTGTTCTTCTTGTTCGACGCCGCACTCTTCTTCTCCTGCTTCTTCATAGCCTCCTTCCAGACCTCCGCCGCCGGCGCCTGCGACCTCCGCATCGAGAACGTAAAGTGCGGACCGTGGGGTGCGAGTTCGACGCGCGGTTGGCGCAGGCCAGAACGCATGAAGTGGACGGTGTAGGTGCGGAAGTGGACAACCGGGAGCGACTTGTCTTCGTCCCATGCCTGGTTCGCGTCCGCTGGTCGGATCGCGCCAATGACAGATTCGACGGCCGCCTTGCCCTTTCCGACGACGGCACTCGCGACACCCTCCTTTGACGCCTGGTCGTCGAGCGAGCTTGACCCGCCAATCGTGACCGAAACAACCCGCTCAAGACCCTTGAGCGCGACGCCGTCGAGCTCGTGTCCGCGGAAGAAGTCGAGGAGGAGGCTCTTGAACTGGGTAAAGGTCGGGTGGGTGTCCCAGAGGTTGGAATGGGGTTCGACGGCGCTAAAGTGGAAGAGCGGGACGGAGCCGGTGTTGGACTTGATGCCCTTGAAGCTCGACATGGCCATGACCTCCTCGATCCCGACTTCGAGCAACTCCATCACTTCTCCCGCAAAACACCGCGCCCAGATTAGCCCGTGCGGACGCTTCTTGGTGTGCGTGCCGATGAGGAACAGGCTGGCATCGTTCTTGGACGCCCAGAAGTTGAGCGACGCAGTGTCTTCGAATGGGCGGACCTCGTTCGCCTTGGAGAAGGTGATCGAGTGGGGCTTCTTGAGCTGGTTCTGCAGGTGAGTATAGTCGAGACGTGCAAGGAGAGGGAGGGCGCCACCAAGGAAAGGGGATGTCAGCCTCGCCTCGCGGCTCGCCCGGGTCCGCAAGTGGGTGGAGTGGACGCACGAGTTCGCTGAGAGCGACCTTGACCTTTTCCGAGATGCCGTTTGTCCTGACGACGAGGGCCGTCTTTGCGTTCTTCTCGACGAGCTGAGGCTCCCTGGCGTCGAGCGCGCGCTTCGAGCGGGCGTTCCTGGGTTTGGCGGGTGCGATGAGCGGTGTAGCCATGGCAGTGAGCGTGTCCAACAGCAGCAGCGAGCGAGTTGTCACGGCGAGCGAGCGTTGGCTGATGAGGACGAGCTCGAGGGTGTCCAAGGCGGTGCACCAAGGTGGGGAACACCGCGACGACAACGCGCAACTCGCTCAGGCTGCTCTTGCTGGCGCTCACCGTACTCGCCTGACTCGTGCGAGTCTGCCAGTCCAACTCGCACACCGCCGCGTGCACTCGTTCACCCGCTCCACCTCGACATCTCGCTCGCCAGACGCAACTCGACTCGCTCAGGACGTGTACACTGGGAGGAGGCGTGACGAGGATGCTGGCACGACGATTGGAAGGGCTGGGATGGCGGACTGCCCCTCTACGAGCGACACGACCCGTTCTCCTCCCCCTCCTCCGCACCTTCGCATCCTCGCCAGCGGTACTTGGCCAGAGATCCCGACCGAGCAAGGACCCGCTCGACTCGTTCTACTCCGACTCGTTGTATCTGCCAAAGACGGCGTTCCCGCTCAGGGCAGAGGCGAGCAAGAGGGAGAAGCTCTTCTGGAAGCGCACGACGGACGAGTTGTACGAGTGGCAGGTGCGTCGCCGCTCTCGCTTGTTCGCGAGGATGCCTTCTGCAGAGTTGGGCATTCTGCTGATGGAAGTGAGTGCCAATGCACAGGCGAAGCAAAAGGACCGACCGCTCTTCGTCCTGCACGACGGTCCTCCCTACGCCAATGGACATCTGCATTGCGGTGCGTCCCTCCTCCTTTCGTTGCGGGCAAGCGGGCCGAATGCTGACGTCGACACGGTTCTTGCAGGCCATGCGCTCAACAAGATCACGAAAGACTTGATCAACCGTTCGAAGCTGATCCAAGGTTACCGCGTCCAGTCCGTTCAACTTTCACGCTGCGTGCTAGTCCGCACCCTCTTATGCTCACGTCGTGCAGCTACACGCCCGGCTTCGACACCCACGGCCTCCCCCTCGAACTCAAAGCCCTCGCGACCCTCTCAACGCCTCACTCCTCTCTCACCCCCTCGCAAATCCGTTCCGCCGCTCGAGCAGAAGCCGAAAAAGGCATCGAGATCCAGAAAGAAGAGTTTCGGAGTTTTGCGGTCATGGGAGATTGGGAGAGGCCGTATCGGACGATGGATTGGGAGTTTGAGAGGAGGCAGTTGAGGGTTGTGAGGGATATGGTTGGACGAGGTGCGTTGGACGATCGCTCTCTGTTCGACGATCCGGACGAAGGAATGCTTGTTGACGGACGTTGTCCCGGGCAGGCCTCATCGTCACACACCATCGCCCGACGCTCTACTCCCCCTCCTCTCGCACCGCACTCGCCGAAGCCGAACTCGAATACCGAGAAGACCACACCTCGCGATCCGTATACGTCTCGTTCCCGGTCAAGGACGTGGGTGACAAGCTTGAGCGGGAGTTGGAGCGGGCGGGCGTGAGCTTGAGTGAGGAGGAGAAGAAGGGGTTGGGGCTCGCGGTGTGGACGACGACGGCTTGGACTGTGCCGAGTAACGTCGTGAGTGCGCCACCGACGAGCTTACCGAACGAAGCTTGAGCAACTTGCTTTCGCAGGCCATCGCCGTCTCGCCGACTCTCGACTACTCGCTCGTCCGCAACCCCTCCTCGCCATCCTCGCTCTTCATCGTCGCCACCGAACGCCTCGACGCCCTCGCCGAGCTGATCGGCTCCTCTGAACCGCTTCAAACCCTTGCCACCTTTCCCGGCTCGTCCCTCCTCTCGACGACATACACCGACCCACTCTCCTCCCGTTCGCACGCTCCTTCACCCCGCCCAATTATCCCAGCCGACTACGTCACCTCAACAACCGGTACCGGTCTCGTGCACACCGCGCCGGCGCACGGCATCGAAGATTGGGAAGCCTGGCGCGCCTATCACGTTTCTGCGAACCCTTCTTCTCCCGCGCCTGATACGCTCTGCGCTGTCGATGCCGACGGACGGCTAGACCGTACGCTCGAGGACATGGGCGTCGAGACGGACGTGGTGGAGAGATTGGTCGGGAAGGATGTGTTGAAGGACGGGACGGAGGAGGTAATTCGGTTGTTGGAGGAAAGGGGAAGGTTGATCAAGGAGGTGGAGGTGCAGCATAAGTTCCCGTACGACTGGCGGACGAAGAAGCCTGTAATCTTCCGGTGCGTCTAGCCTCCTTTCCCCCCTCTTGCCAGTCTAGCGCTGACGGACTGAGACGATGACAGCGCCTCCTCGCAATGGTTCGCCAACCTCGACCCGATCAAACAAAGCGCCATCTCCGCCCTCTCACACGTCAACTTCTTCCCCTCCCGCGGCTCCCGCACGCTCGAGATGTACGTCTCGGGCCGATCCGAGTGGTGCATTTCGCGTCAACGAGCGTGGGGCGTGCCGATTCCTGTCGTGTACTCGCGGGCGAAGGACGGGCCAGGGAAGGAACACCCGCTGCTCACGCCGTCAAACGTCGACCACATCGTTGAGGTGCTGGAGCGGAATGGCGGGACGGATTACTGGTGGAGCGGTCAGGCGGAGGAGTTTGTTGAGCCTGGGGTGCTCGAGCAGAGTCGGCGGGCAGGACGGGTCTGGCGGAAGGGGACAGACACGATGGACGTCTGGTTCGATTCGGGGTGCTCGTGGACCCTTTTGCGGGAAGAAGGCGTCGCACCTGCGAGCGCGAAGGGCAAGGAGCACGCGCACGTTGCGGACGTCTACTTCGAAGGTTCCGACCAGCACCGCGGGTGGTTCCAGTCGTCGCTCTTGACGAAGGTTGCGAGTACGCCGGACGGGGTTGAGCCGAGCGCGCCGTACAAGGATCTCGTCACGCACGGAATGGTTCTCGACGAGCATGGTAGGAAGATGAGCAAGAGTTTGGGGAACGTGATGAGCCCGAAGGTGGTCATTGAGGGCGGAGAGGTGTGTGGTCGCGATTTTCTTTCAGTCGGTCACGTTGAACGTGATGGCTGACTAGAGCTTGACTTCAATCGCGCACAGGCTGCCGACCTTGACCCAGCTTACGGCACCGATTTGCTCCGCGTCTGGGTCGCCTCGGTCGACTCGTCCCGCGACGTCCTGATCGGTCGCAACATCCTCGCTCAGACTTTCGACGGCTTCCGCAAAATCCGCAATACGGCGCGGTTCTTGCTTGGGAATCTGGCGGACCAGCCTCGGGAGGACTTCGCTCTGGAACAGCTCAGTCTGGTGCGTCGGGTGTTTCCCCTTACATGCGCGAGGCTGACGATAAATTCGTGCAGTTTGAGCGATACATACTCCACGAGCTTTACCAGCTCGACAAGACCGCTCGCGCGGCCTTCTCCGCTTACGAGTTCAACAGAGGCGAGTTTGCCTTCTTTCGTCTGGTCCGCCATTGCATCTGACCAAGATCTCGTCTCCACAGCCTACCAAGCCCTCTCCGCCTTTTCCAACACCACTCTCTCATCCTTCTACTTCGAGATCACGAAAGACACCCTCTACGCCGACTCGTCGTCCACTCTCTTCCGCCGCAAAACCCTTTTCGTCCTCCAGAAGGTCTTCGACACCTATCTCTCGGTCCTGGCGCCCATTGCGCCGTTGTTGGCGGAGGAGATCCACCACTTCGCGCGAAGGGCGGTTGAGGACCCGAAGGTGGAGGAGACGGGCGCTGGATCGGTGTTCGAGAAGGGTTGGCCTGAGGCTGTGAGTGCAGTTCGTGATCTCGCTTGACATCTCACTCTCCATGAGGGCTTTCGCAGGACGCTCGATGGAACGACCCGACCGTCAAACACGAGATGGAGCAGCTTCTCACCCTGCGAGACGGCGTCAACGCCTTGCTTGAGACTGCACGCAACGACAAGTAGGCTCACTATCGCGTCTCTTGCGCCGGATTGTGCTGACCCTTTCGTCGCGCAGCCGCAAACTCCGAATCGCGAGCGAGGCAGCTCTCGTCCTCTCGCGGCCAACTCGCGTCGTTCAGCAGCACCGTGAGTCGACCTGTCCATAAACGTACGCCTTATGCTGATGCTGACCCTGACACGTGCAGAGGACCTCCTCAAGACACTGCTGCTCGTCTCGGACGTCTCTTTCGACTCGGCCGTTGACGCTGCAACGCTGCCGTGGTCCTACAGCGCCGATCTCGGGCGTGCGTCACTTCTCGACATATCATGCTCTGCGCTCCCGCTAACGCCCACGTCCGCAGAGATGAAAGCGACCATCGTCCCTTGTGCGAACCTCAAATGTCCTCGCTGCCGACTCCACAACGTCCCGCCGCCCTCCGCGCCCGCAGCACCTCCCGCGAAACCAGCGAAGAACACGACGCTGTGCGACCGCTGTGTCGACGTCTTGGCGGAGAAAGAGCTGGTTGCGCCGGGACAAGAGGGGATGGCGCCTGGAGCGGTTGGCGAGGGAGGGTTCAGTCCGGTGTCTGCATGAGGTCGCGTGGAGTGATGTAGACCTAGTGTTGTATCCATTGCAAGCTAGAAGCAGTCCGCAACTCTTGCAGGCTTTGCGGATGAGGAGCAGTTCCAGCGTTCCCGCTCTTCCCTCGTCTCTGGTCTCTCGCTTGCACGAAGCGACTCTCGCTCTCGTTCCTGAAATCCTCAAGCGGCGAAGTTGCGTTTTCGTTTGCGAGTACAGTCCTGCGAGTCCTACACAACAAGCGATTCCTCCGTCCTTCACGCCGAAGCGTTTGCTCCACCCTCAAGACCGCTCAAGCGAAGATGGGAAGCGACGAGATGGCCTTGTACGACGAGAAGAGGAAGAGGGGGATCAAGCCGAGGTACTGGAACGACCCACGCATCCTCGCCTTCGGGTCGCCCGACGCGTAACCCTGGACGTACGCGAACCTGCCGAGGATCCAGACCAATCCGCCGATAGCCGCCGCACGAGGGTGGTAGAGACCGGTATGAAAGAGCGAGAGGAGGAAGACGGGGAGGTTCTCGAGGGTGTTGGCGTGAGCGCGTTGAGTGCAATTGAAGACCTTGGCTCGGACGTCGCGCTCGGCAACGGAGTTCTCGGCGTACGGGGCGGGGTAGGCGACTTGGGCGGCCTTGCGGGCATTGGAGACCTCTGTAGGGAATCGTCAGCGAGCGTTTTCGAAAAGGCGAGGTGGAAAGACGCACTGATGGTCGCGAACTGGAGAAGACCTGCGGGCAGACTAGTCAGCATACTGGAGTCATCCACGCGAGTCCTCCCGGACGCACCGTAGACACCGACAGTACCGACAGCGGTCACGTAGGCGAAGTCGGCAGGGAGGGTCGAGGTGAGGAGCTGCATTCTGCGGGCGAGCGAGGACAGCGGGTCAGCCACAGGCCAATGCCGTGTCATGCAGCTCTGTGCGACCGTCCGCAAGTCTCCCTCTCGCTTCGACCGGCGTCCGAGGTCGACCACGAGGCGGAGGCGGGGAGGGCGTACGGGGACGACGCAGAAGCGAGCAGGGCGCCGCCTGGCTCAATGTAGGTGTTTGAATGAGGCTCACCTTGCGTCTGAGCTGGTCGGTGCTTGCTACGAGTGAGGAGAAGGAGGGGGAGCGTCGTCGACGAAGTTCCGCTGCGGGTTTGCCGACGCGTGTTCGTCGGCTTCTTCTCGACGGCCTCCGGATGGCTTGCGTGGACATGCACGCCGACGAGTGATACTGCTACAGCTTGACTCTACTCCCCGATTCGCAGCAGCTGGTCTGGCCGCGATCCCTTCGATGCTTGACGTTCACTTCGCCGAACAGAGATGAGGGTCTACCTGCTACAGCTCACGGGCGGGCTTGCGTGGCGTGCAGCTAGTCATCTTGCTACTGGGTGGTCCACTTCTGCGTCTGCCGAGCATCCTGACTGACAAGGTGCGTCTCCCTCTCCTCCTCCCGTCGTCCTGGCCTCCCAAGCCGATCGAGCTGACCCCCCACTTCGCAGGCTTCAAGGCGCCCGCACGAATGGACTGGGACGGCCCACGCACCCGCCCATCCTTCTGGACGCCCTCGATCCCCCCTCTCGAGCGTCACCTCCCGCTCTCCGGCCCGTCCATCACGCTCTACCGCGCCCTCCGCATCGCATGGGTCCTCTCCCTCCTCCCTCTCCACCTCTTCCTCGTACTCCTCTCGCTCCTTCCCCTCTTCTACCGGGCCCTCCCACCTTACCTCGTTCCCGGCAAACGCCAACGCTGGAACCCTCAACAACGACTGATCTACCCCCTCCTGCGCCGGGTGATCTGGTCCGTCTGCGACGTCGGTCAACCTGGGTCCCTCACGCCTAGCGGACCGAGGACTGTTCCGTTTTGGGCGTGGGCGTTGGAGGAATTCACGGTGCGTATTGGGGGAGGAGCGCGAGTTGAGTTGGATGTGCGAGATGTGGAGATGCCACGACGAGCGAGGGAAGAGGGGTGGGTCAAGGGAGAGGTGGTGGATCCGAGAGGGAGAGTCGAGTTTGGCACGGTGCCGTGTTTCTGGTTCGAGCGAGGCGGGGAGGGCGAGGGAGCGGGAAAAGGGCGAGGAAGGTGCAAGGCGAGGAGCGAGAAGGAGAGGGTGATCTTGTACTTTGTCGGCGGTGTGTACGCGTGAGTTGCGAGGTCTTCCTTCTGCCAGCCTATCGGACCTGCTCGACAGGTTGTGCCGTCGAGGAGTCCCTGCAGCTCACCCTAGCACTCTCTCGCAGCACCGGCTCACCCGTCGAAGGCAGCCGATGCTTCAAACTCGCTCGCGAGACCGGCTTGCGAGTCGTCGGTGCGTGTCTCTCGATCCTCGCTACGCTCAAATCGCTGACCTCGCCGCGTTGCACAGGCGCCAACTTCCGCAAGTCCACGTCGCCTCAAAGCGCCTTCCCCGCAGCGCTGCAAGACGCCCTCACGGCCTACGCCCACCTCGTGCTTGACCTCAGCTACCGCGACATCGTCCTCGCCGGTGACTCGGCAGGCGGGAACCTCTCGCTCATGCTGCTGCAATACCTCACTACGACTCTCTCGCCTTCGACAATCCCCTCGCTCGTCCTCCCGACGGGATTGTTGCTCCTCTCGCCTTGGTGCGACCTCACGGCAAGAACGTTCGGCAAGTCCCGCGACCGCGAGATGGAGAACGACATCATCACTTCGTCGATGGCGACGAACTCGCTACGCTTGTTCATGTACAACGTGCATGCGCCGTTGCCGAAGGACGTGCGAGTCGACCCTGACGGCGTGTACGGGAGGAAGGCTAGGCATGCGTGGTTTTCGCCGTCGCTGGCGAGTTCGCTTCCCGCTCTCGAAGCAGTCGCGCGCGCATACGCCCCGCCACGAACGGACGTTGCGATTCCCTCGACACGCTGGAGCGGGTTCGCCGACTCTCGCCGCTCGTCTACACCTCAACGCCCCTTGCGATTCTTGATCACAACCGGCACAGCCGAGCTCTTCTCGCCCGAGATCCTCTCCCTCATTGCCAACCTCCGTCTCGCCTCGCGCGACTCCTCGGCCTTTGAAGTGCAGACGATGGTTGAGGAGGGAGAAGTGCATGCGTTCCCGCTTGTTCCGGAGTGGGTTAGTCCGGCGGCGGAGAGGGCGGTGGAGAGGATCAGGGAGTGGGTGTTGGAGGGACTGGGGAGGGATGCGAGGGAGGAGGCGAGCAAGGCGGGGAGGGGAGGGAGGGTGGTTGGGACCCAAGGTGGCGCGAGTCTGCGGGTCTGGTGAGAGTGTAATGGAGTGTGTATTGAGCTTGATAGTAAGGGCGTGGCAGTGTGAGCGAGAGAAGGGGAGTTGGCTGGGTCGACAGGGGTTGGCCTTGGCTCGCCTCGATCGACCGCGGGACCCTTCGTCGTCGTCCGCTTCTTTCCCTTCGCCCTCGCTCGACTCGACGCTCAGAGACTCGCCGCAATGCGTAAGCTCACTCACACACTCAGCCACAGCCGCACGCAGACCGTCGCGCACACGCTGACCTTCCCACTTGGTGACGCTTCCGTCGACACAGCCGCAGCGCACTCCGCGACAGTCCGGCACCCTGGCAGCGACGAGAGCACACCGCTCATCGGGAGGCACACGGGGAACGGAGAAGAGCGGGACCATACCTACCATGTGAGCCCAGTCGTCGCTTCTCCTCCTCCCCGAAGCTTGTCCGTTATGGGGACACCTTGCTCCCTGCGTCAACAGAAACAGCGTGGACAAACACCGTCTAGGCTTCATCGAGCTAAATCTTCGGATCGCTGACCTGCGCTTAGATACCCAACTCGCACCCTCGCCTTCCCTCGCCCCTCTCTTCGCCGTCTCGCTCTACGTCCCGCCCCTCCCCCGTTGGTCCTTCCTCGCCCGATCCTCGTCGACCCGTCTTCCTCGGCCACCAGGACGACATCCAGCACTCGGCGCCCAATACCCCCCAGTCGATCAAGAACTTCCTCCTCTCGGGCTGGATCAACCTCCTCCTTGTTGCCGTCCCGCTCTCGTTCGCTTCACACTTTGCGGGGTGGGGCAGCACCGCAGATTTCATCATCTCGTTCATCGCCATCGTCCCGCTCGCTTCGTTGCTGGGCGACGCGACGGAACAGTGCTCCATCAAGGTCGGTCAAACTGTCGGAGGACTGCTCAACGCGACGTTCGGCAATGCCGTCGAGCTCATCGTCGGTGCGCCGAGAATCCCGCTATCTTACCAGCTCGGCCGGACTGATCCTCGTTGAGGGACAGGCATTCTCGCCCTGGTCCGCGGCGAGCTCCGCATCGTGCAAACCTCCCTCCTCGGCTCGATCCTCTCCAACCTCCTCCTCGTCCTCGGCTGCTCCTTCCTCGCCGGCGGCCTCAAGTTCAAAGAACAAACCTTCCAAATGACCGCCGCGCAGGCCTCCTCGTCCCTGATGGTCCTCGGGTGCTCGACGCTGGTTATTCCGGCGGCGTATAGGGCGAGTCAGTTGGACGGAAGTCTGGATAGGGAGAGGGACGGCGCGCTCAACTTGTTGCAGGATTTGGGCAAGAAGGGAGACATTTCCGGGTTGCTCAAACTTTCGCGCGGGACGGCCATCGTGCGTGCTGCCCCTTCTCCTCCTCAAACGTTCGAGCCGTCACTGATTTGGCTTGTGCATGACGCGCAGATCCTCCTCGTTTGCTACGCCTGCTGTACGCCAACCGTTCCATCCTCCCGCCTACACCCCTAACAAACCCCTCCTCTCGCAGACCTCCTCTTCCAGCTCCGCACGCACCACTACCTCTTCGAAGACCCCTCGGAGCACGAAGAAGAAGAAGCCAAGATGAACATCTACACCGCCGTCGGAGCGCTTGTCGTCGTCACGGTGTTGACGTCTTTCTGCGCTGATTATCGTGCGTCTCGCCGGCTATCCTAAACTTGAAAAGAGACTGACGAGGGTGCGCGCGCAGTTGTCGGCGCGATTGATGAGTTTGCGCAGGATTACAAGATCCCCAAGGCCTTCATTGGATTGATTTTGCTGCCCATCGTCGGTAACGCTGCAGGTGCGTCAGCGAGACCCAAGTATAGGTACCTGCGCTCGTCGACGAGCTGGGGCTGACCTTCATCTTCGGGCCTGCCGCATAGAGCACGTCACCAGGTTCTTTCTCCTCCTCCTTTCCGCCGTCAAGACGCGTCGCTGACTCGTTCTCGCATACAGCGTCTGGATGGCTGCCAAGGGCAAGATGGAGCTCACTATCGGCGTCGCTATCGGCTCGTCTATCCAGGTTCGCTACCTCAACCGCTCCTCGCGCCGCAAGCTAAGCGCTGACCTCGTCGCTGTCTCGCAGATCGCCGTTGGCGTCATCCCTGCGCTCGTCATCGTCGGCTGGATCATTAACCAAAACCTGACGCTCTTCTTCGAGTGCGCTCTCATCCCTCCTCTCTTTTTCCCAACCCTGACTGACGCCGTCCCGCGACAGGAACTTCGAGACGATCGTGCTGTTCATCTCGGTCATCCTCGTCGATATTCTCGTTTCGGACGGCAAGTCGCACTGGCTCGAGGGCGCGCAATTGAGTGAGTTGCGGACTTTCTCGGTTTTCGAGGAGGCGAGGGCTGTCTTCGCCTTCACGATGTATGTCGGTTTGAGTCGCATGCTGACGATACCCACGATGCAGTCGCGCTGTACCTCGTCATCGCCCTCGCCTTCTGGTTCACGGGCTAGCTCCCCTCTCCATTCTCTCTATCCTCCCACTTCGCACCGCCGCTCCGCTCCTCGAGACACGCCACCCTTCCCTCAGCAGCAAACCCACACATGCTCTTATTCCTCTCTATCGCTTCAAACCACGGGCCAATACCCGTTGTAGCCGACTAAGATATCGTTCTCCCGTTTTGCGAGTAGTACTGCCGCTGGCTTTGACATCGACTAAGCAATGCGGTTCCTCGCGGTGCGCGAGAGAGATGAGGTGTGTTGATCTCTGTAAAGGACAGCAGGTGAGGCTCGATGGCGCTCGCAAGGACCGGGAGACAGCAAGCTCGACCGCCTCTCGAACACATGGGTGAGGCGGAGGATCCATTGCGCGCCACAGCAGCCCCGTGTAAGTAGAGAGTAAGAACAAAAGAGTCGAAAGGACCGAAGGGGAGGAATGAGGGGGTTCATGCAGGATGCGATATGGGTGCGGGTTTGAGATGCGGACGAGGCGAGAGGGGCGGAAAGGGTGGATAGGGTTACCGCATGCCGTTGCCGTACTTCTTTTGGTAGTCCTTCTCGCGTCGGAAGAGGAGCTGCGGGATTCGGAGGGTCAGCGCGCGGCAAGAGGAGGAGAGCGAGGAGGGAAGGAAGGAAGACGAACGATGTGCGGTTCGGGCGCGTGTGTCTCGTAGTGTTCCCAACCCAGTGACTGAGTCTGTGTATCGCCGGAAATACCAATCAGTGCTGCGCTACGCGAACTCGCTGCGCGGACTGAACGAGGACTTCAAGGACGCACAATGCCGATTCCTCGCCACTCGTCCTCCGTCAACAACCGCAGGACGTTGCTGTCGGGCTCGAAATACTGGCGGAGAATGGAAGAAGCGTCAGCAGGCGAGTTGAGAGGATGGCTGTAGCTCATTAAAGCCGTTGGAGTGAGGGAGCTGGAAGGGTGGCAGAGCGTGAGATGTCAACGTACATCCTTTGGGACTGCACATGCGAGAGAGCCGAGGCAACAGGTCAGCTGCCGACTCGACCAGCAGAACCCTGAGATATCGTGACCCGAGGACGAGAGAGAACTCGGTGGACGCACTGAGCTTCAGCAATTGCCGCGGCAGCTGTACATGTCTGTGCGAAGTGAACGTTAGGTCAGCGACAGTCGACCGCGCACTCCTCGTATACGCAGGACTGGAGAAGGGTCGAAGAGACGAGTACGCACCGATACTCGTACTCGTCGTCCGAGTAGCGGTCCGAGTACGAGATCCGGTCCACAAGGTCCTGGTCTGCGTGCACAACAGGCCGGCCAGAGGGATGCAGCGGCAGGAGAACGCGGAGGAAACATCGGGTTGCGGAGGGAGGCGAACATGGTCAGCGGCGCCGTTGCCCGCTCGCCTGCGCCTAAGAAAGGTTCTGTACGCACATGTGACGTCGTCTGAAGGCATCGTAGCTGGTCCAGGCGTGCGAGGCGAGTGGTGCAGGAGCACAACCGACTTCGCGACTGAGACGCGACTGGCTGACCCTCCTCTGCACACTTCGCACGCTCCTTGGCTGGTGCACTGTGTTGTTGCTGCCGTCTTTCGCTCGTACTGAACGCGTCAGATACCGCACCATCGTTCGGCGGAAGTGAAGCGTCTCCTCGTCTCCTCATCGTCTTCGACACCGACATCCGACCGAGCAACCTCGCGTCGAACGCGGTGGCCCGTCGTCTAACGCCTTGTCGAGACACGTTCCTCACTGCGCGCGCCCGAGTCGAAACCGAGCCCTTGCGACCGCGCCTTGCCGTCAACCTCGTTTCATCTCGTTTCGCGATCTCAGCGTCTCTGGCAGCTTGATACGACGTCGCTGAAAGTGCGTGAAGCGTTTGGATGTCTTGGCATACGATGGCGAGCTCACCCATTTCTCTCAACGCAGGAATGAGCGAACACAGGCCGTCTGGCGGGGAAGAGGGGTTGGATCTCGCTAAGGGGACAGACGTCCTTGCGGCGCGAGCGGAGGGCGTTACTGCAGTGGGAGATGTCGAGGCGGACGTACGCGAGGGTACCGACACCGCCATGGCGGACGGGCCGGATGTTGCTCCCTATCCTGCGTTCACTTCGCACCGAGGCGACATCGACGCTGCAGCCTCTTCGTCGGTTGCGCCAACCGCGTCAGGCTCAAGTACCGAGTCAGATGCTGCACCAGCGGCAGCCCAGCCGCGCCGACCCGTCACTCCGCCGCCCAAATCCAGGACCCAGCCATCTTCGTCCGGATCCTCGTCCGACACGATCATTGTCGCGACGCAGAATGCCACTCTCTCGCCGCCAAAGTCAACTTTCAATCTCACGCAAACCGAGGTCGCCGAAGACTCCCCCGACCCGCTGCGTATCATTGCCGTCCCTTCCGCGTCTTCCGCCGCAAGGTCTACCACGTCTCGCGCACGCAGCGTATCGGTTGACCCCGTCACCGACCGCCTTCAAAGCTCGCCGACGGCCAACTACAAACGCCAACGCTCGAAGACGCCCATCACCGTCGACCGAACTGGCGAGAACCTCGACCCGCGCACCGCCAGTCGCGCCTCGTCCGTCTCGCTCAGCGGCGCTGGCAAGCAGCGCGCTATGAGCTTCCTGGCCGAAGACGACGAGTCGGAGGATGAGCTCGCGCTTGTCCCCGTCGCATCAGCCATGCGTCGGAAAGGCTCGACGTCGAACTCGGTCTTTGTCGGCGTAGAGATCCCGGTCGGACGTACGTCTGCATCGATGTCCCGAACTGCGAGCGCGTCGTCGACGTCCCGCGTAGGGACGACTGCGTCGCCTGCACCTGGTCCCGCGCTTGGCGTTGCGTCCGGGTCGAAGAATGCGGACAGTCGGAAGAAGGGCAAGGGCCGAGTCGAGCATTCGTTCGAGCTCGTCATAGAGCAGCCCGTGCGTCACACGTGCTTGAAGCAGACGAACGTTACTGACGACCCTTCTTTGCTAGGTTCGCAAGTCTCGCCCAAGTATCGACTCCTCCGCTACTTCCTCCGCTACTTCTCGCCCGTCTTCGCCCAAACCCTCTCCTCTCGACAACGCACCCGAACCCACCGCTTCGACGAGCAGCGCAGCACCGCCGACCCACCCTCTCTCGCAAAGTCTTGATGCCGGCCATCCCGTCCCGCCTTCTTCGCCTCTCTCGTCTCTTCCGCCTTCGCAGCTCGACCGCACCTCTCCGCCTCTCCCTTCCGGTGTCTCAACGCGTCCAAAGAGAGCGCGGCGGTCTCTTGTTCCAGCGCAGGACGAAGCCGCACTGGACGAAGCCCTCGCTTCGGAGGAGGATGAAACGGCCAGCTCAAGCACTGTCTCGAATCCTTCGCCCAAGAAGAAGCCGAAGCGGCTTGCGCCGACCGTCAAGAAGGCGCGAGGCCGACCGTCGCAAGGGCAGGACGTCGAACCGGAGCCGAACTCGGAGCGGCCTGCTTCGCGGGCGAGGGGAAAGGGGAAGAAGGCGGCGTATGCTCACGTCGACTCGGATGACGAGGACATTGCCGAGCCGCCTAAGCCAACGTCGCAGGCCAAAGGTCGCAGGAAGAGCGAGCTGCTGACGCCAGTCAGGGAGGCTGCTGCTGCGACGAATCGCAACCCTCGGCGTCGTCAAAGCACGCGGACGAACTTGAAGGAGGCGTCGTCGTCGTCGTCTTCGGAGAGTGAGGTGTTCGTCGGACCTTCGAGCGCTGCCGACAAGCCTGCTCCGCCGACTCCGAAGAAGCGTGGTCGTCCGCCGAAGCAAGACGCGGAGGCTTCGCCGACAAAGAAGAGCAAGGGCAAGCAACCGGCCGAGGCTGAGCCTGGTGCGCCACTCTCCCTCTCTCGAGTGGAACTTGTGCTAATGCCTTCTCGGCTCCGCCCGTAGAACCGATGTCTTCGCCTTCGAAGAGCCTCCTACCGCCTCCCTCGTCTTTCGCCAGTCAACTTCTCGGTCACGAGCGCGCACTCGTTGAGTCGTCTGCGGACCGAGCGAAAGGATGGAGCCTTAACGCACTGCCGCGCGGAAAGCCCATCTGGGTTCACATCCGCAAAGACGGCGCGGAGAACGGTTTCTGGTGGCCTGGCGAGGTGAGTTTGAGCTTCGGGTGTGGAAAGATCTCGCTGATGAGTCTGGAAAAACAGGTTGATGGCAGTCTCTGGCGCAAACCTCTGCATGTCAAGCTCTACCTCGACCCAACCTCCTCCATCCTCAGCTTCTCGTGCGTGCCTGCTTTCTCTAGCGGCTGCGCCAGGAGAGTGCTGATTGACTGAGTCGCAGTCCGGAAGTCGTCACGTTCGACAACCCGACTCACGAAGACGTCGCTACTTTCCGCAATCCATCTCGCCTCCGCTTCGACACTGCGTCCTTTCGCGACTCAACCGACGCGACGGACGGCACGCCTTGCGACGAAGTCTTCAACGGCATCCTCGAGTACGCGATCCAACGAGACTCGCAGTTCGACTTCGAAGACGACGATGAAGACGAGGAGGACTTGTTGCCGCCGTCAAGTCTCGGGAGGAACAGCTCGGCAGCGGCTGGACCGTCGAGCCAGAGGAACGGGAAGGCTAAGTCGGCGAAGAGAAGGGGCCGGAAGAGCGCGGCGAATGCATCTTCGTCAAGCGATGCGGGATTGGACCCGCCGGCTGGCATTCAGGAGTCGTCAGAGGAGGAAGATTTCATGCTCGAAGGCGGCGAAGACGACGGGTGCGCATGCCTGCACGGATGCTCTCCTGGCTCTCGCTGACGAATCGCTACCGACAGCTTCGACTTCCCGCAATACTGCCTAGCCAAGGCTCAGCGCGTGTGGTGGCCGGCTCGCTGCACTGGCTACACGCCTCCCTCGCCGTCCAAGTCTGGCAAGGCGAAGGGCAAGTTCACGATCGAGTGGACGGACGGCAAGTCGACGAAGATTGCGCGTTCGAGCCTGTTGCTGCCGAGGGAGCCGAAGTTCTTCACCGTCCCCGTACGCTCTTGGTGAATCTCGTCGCTCTTAGCTCTCGCTGACCCGGCCACCTGCATCCTCAGCTCGGCGACACGGAACTCAAGCTGAACGCCAAGTACATCAAAAACCTGCGCCGCTTCGTCGCCGAGGACATGCTGCCCGTCTACGAACGCATCATCAACGAGCAGCACCCCTTTGCGCAAGCCTTCAACGACGACTTCTTCGCCGGCGGCCAGCGACGCGAACGGCTTGCCAAGAAGTCCGTCTTCGGCGAGCTCAACGAAGACCTCCTCGACGACATGCGCGACGCGATCTCGAGGTGGGCGACGGGTGCTGGCGGAGCAGAGCGCCCGAAGGGATCGGCTCGCTACGAAGCGTTGACCGACTCGGAGCGCGCGCGATACCGCGCTGACGTTCTCCTCCCGATCGCCATCATTGAGAACTACGTCGACGACGACAACCTTGTCGACGAGGCTGTGAAGGAGCTGAAGAAGGAGGGTATCGCGGCCCCAGGCGAGGAGGCGGCGAAGTCGCGGGCGTGCGAGATCGCGCAGAAGCACCTCGACAGCCGCTCCGTCACGTACACAGGTGCGTCTTCCTCACTCTCTTCATGGCGACTCGAGGCTGACTCTCTGGTGGGCACCGCAGTCATGACCATCCGGCAGAGCAAGACGAGGAGATGAGAAGGGAGGCTTTGCTCGCGAGTTGGAAGGGCGGAGACGCTTGTTTATCTCTTGGCAATGCGTAGCCCGTCATTGCAGCGCGTGTACAGCCCTTCTCGTACTTGAAACGAGAGAAGTCAACGAAAGTCACTTGTGCGGACGCGTTCGTGCGCGAACCTCGCGAAGTCCCCTTGACCCCGCCCTCTCGCCTCTCTCGCTCCCTAGGACTCCTGCTGCTTGCTCAGCCGTGCTCAGAGACACCTGAACATCATGTCTTTCGACTTGTGCGCTCCCACGCTCGCTGCTTGCTCGCACGATCCGCGTCTCCTCCTCCTCATCGTGACCTCACCATCTCTTTCCTCGTTGCAGCGAGGGATTCCGCCATCAGCAAGTCCTCAACAACGCAGGTGCGCCAACCTTGCTTACACACCACCCAGCGCGACGCAGCACTGACTGACGCCCACCCCAGAGGCCCTCGAGGAAACGAACATCGGTGCAGACCTCAAGCATGTCCACGCACACGTTCAGGCCAACAAGCCAGCATCCGGACCGGCGAGCGGCAGGAAGAAGTCGAGCGCAGGGACGAAGAGGAAGTCGGCGACGGAGGATGTGGGAACTGCCCGCGAGACGAGGAGTTCGAGGAGGAACGCACCGAGGGCTGCGCGGGTCGAGTTGACGGAGGCACAGAGGGAACAGATGGCGAAGGTGCGTCTGCGCTGCTTTCACCGTAACAGATCCAGCAAAATTGACGAGGATTGTGGTCTGCAGGAGCAAGCTGAAAAAGATGCTGCCGAGGCGGAGCAGCTTCGCATTCTCAAGCACAGCGACCGCAACGTCGAGGCGAGCGAAGGAGGCGTCAAGATGGCCCTCGACACGGACTCGCTTCTCGCCGAGTTCAAGAATCTCGCATCTTACTCGGGCGGAACCGGCGGCGACGATGGCTCAGGCTTCGGCGGAAACGGCAGTTGGGCTGTCGGACAGCGACCGGTCATCGAGACGGAAAAGTTGCGGAAGGAGATGGACCCCCTTGAACTGCGAGCGTGCGGCGTTTCCTCCACTATCCGCCTCCTGTCGTGCTGACGCTCTCTTCCTCACGACAGGATCGTCAAGATCATCCCTGAGCGTATCTACTCAATGGTCGTCCACCCCGACACGCAACGCGACCTCGTGCGTCCATTCAAAACCCGCTTCCTCACTGCTCGCGACTGACTGCTCACCTGCGTTACTGCGCAGATCTTCGCCGGCGACAAAGTCGGAAACGTCGCTCTCTGGGATTGCACTGACGCCGGCAAGCTCGTCGGGTCGGTGCAGTCCTCGTCGGTGCGGGACGGGGCCGCAGGAATCGTTGGCGCCGACGGCGAGGACGAGTGGGAGGATGAGGGCGAGGAGGAGCGAGTGTGGGGCAAGTGGTGGCATTGGAACGCGCATACGGGCAGGAACAGCATCTCGTGGCTCAAGTTCCGCCCGAACCAGCCTTCCTCGGTGCGTAGCGGTTTCTCCCAGCTTCAGGATCGAAGCTGACGGTCACGCTTCTCTCGGCAGATCTACCATTCTTCCTACGACCGCACGCTCCGCGTCACGCACTTCGAGACGGGCATGTCGGAAGAGGTGATTGACGGCGACCGCTGGTCGGACGAGGCGCTTCTTCATTCCTTCGACTTTGACCCGACGGGCAACGAGCTGTGGGGTGCGTTGAACTGTCACTTTTCGGCTCTCTTGAAGTGACTCACGTCCTTCGCAGTGTCGGACAACAATGGCGGGTTGATCTGGCGCGACTTGCGGCAACCGAAGGAGTCGGCGAAGCGTTGGGACATCGACCGGTACAAGGGTTCGCCCACTTTTGTCTCTCCTGCACAAGCTTGCGCTGACGACGCGCTCCGCAGTCGGGTGCATCAGTATCAACCAGGCCAACCCGAACCTCGCCGCGACAGCTCACGTCAAGCGCAACATGTGGTGCGCGCGCTCAATCGTTGTTGCTTCCGCTCAATCTTGCGCTAAGTCTTTGTCATCTGCAGCTTGTGGGACCTCTCGACCCTTCGCGGCCTTCCGGAAACAGCGGAACCGACGGAAGTGCAGGAGAAAGCGCGCATCCTCGCCTTCGAGCACGAGTACGCCTGCTCGTCCGCCTATTTCGACCCGACCGGCACGCGGCTTGCGACCACGAGCTACGACGACTCGATCCGAGGTGCGTTCCACAGTTTCCGCTCGCGATGAACGAGCTGACGACTGTCCTTGCGTAGTCTGGAACGTCGAGCCGAGCAAGCCGCGAGCCATCACGCGCAAGAAGTTTGAGCCTCTCCACCGCATCGCGCACAACTGCCAAGGTGCGTCCCGACCTTTTGCTGTTCTGGCTGCTGGACTTTACTGACTCGCACTTTCACCCTCAGTCGGACGCTATGTCACCGTCCTCCGCGCGCACTGGTCAACCGTCCCCTCCCTCCCGCCTCACCTCCACGTCGGCAACATGCAGCGCACCATCGACCTGATCTCGCCCGACGGCGTGACCGTGAAGATGTTCCACAACCTCGACGCGATCACCGCCGTTCCTGCCGTCACCGCTGCGCACCCGACTGTCGCGGGCAAGTATTACGGTGGCGCAGCGAGTGGGAAGGTTAGCTTCTGGTCGGATCCGCTGGAGGAGGACTTCGAGTGAGCGAAGCGTGACGAGGAGGGCGACATGCAGGGGCGTGGACGATGTCGGTCGGTAGCTTGGCTTTCGTAACGTAGCAACGATTCTTCACTTCTCGGGCTATCTCGCAAGACCGCCTGGAGGTTATTGGAACTGCTTTGTCGGGATCTACAACGTTAGAGACTCGAAGCTGAAGGTGAAGGTGGACGAGGGCACGGCGACATCGAGGGGTCCCTTGATCGAATTGGACCTGGTCCCGCAGTGCTCCTACCGCCTTTAAGCGTACTCCTGGTCCTTCACGGGGACGTCCTTGCCAGTCAACTTCTTGAAGCCGCTGCGAATGCCGTCCGAGATCTTCTCGACCGTGGCAGGCTTCTGTGAGTGGCCGCTCTTGCCGAGGAGAGTGTTGACGCCCTTGTCGAGGCTGCAAGCGGAAGAGCAAGATTCGCAGGAGTCGAGGAGGGTTGCGGAGAAAGACGAATCGTCAGCCCATGCTGCTTCGTCCAGCCGTTGAGCCGTTCAGTGATGCTGCCACGCCGTGCAATCCCACCCAGCTGCTCTTTCTCCTCTGAGTGCGTCCTTCCCCTCCTCCCCATCCGTCGGACCCTGCACCGCCTCATCGCACTCTCCTCACCGCAGAGCTCGAATCCGACAACGCAGAACAAGAGAGAGACTCACGCATCTCCTCCCTGACCAGCGGCAGGCTGTCCAGCGGGAGCGCCGGCGGGGGGAGCGGTGTTGGCGGGTTGCTGGATTCGCATGACGAGGTGAGGCGGGAGGAAGCGATCGAGTGAGAGAGGGTCAGCAACGACGGAGTGAGAGGAGCTCGAGACGACACACCATGTTGGTAGAGTGTTCGTGAGCGAGTTTGGTGTGAGGGAACGAGGGAAGAGCGAGAGCGGCGAAGTTGGAACAGTCGATCCGCTGACGAGGGGGAAGGGCTCCACTTCCTTGCGGCATACAAGGGTTGAGCGAGCGCTACTGTCGTGACATGCGTCCATCGTTTCACAGCGGCGGAAGTTTGCGGGAATCGAATCGTCGGAGGACGCGAAATTGCGAAGGTCGAGTAGAATCGAGGGCGAGCACAGGCGCGAGAACGCTCGCTGGTTCGCTCGAAGCGAAGCAGTCGCATCGAAAGGTCATTGACAGCTAGACGAAGGATACAGGAGGCGGAGGGGAGAGGTGGGAGAAGAAAGTGAACCTGCTGGGAAGCCCAGAGTCAGCGGGGGACGACGAGCAGAGTGAGCAAACGCACCAATAGCTGTCCCGCTACATCGACATGACCGACCGCTCAAACTCTGCCGCCCTGAGCAGCTCCGCCGCCCTAGACCAGTCGGCGGGAGTGCCGGACGCCTCGAGCTGTCGTCCGAGATCCTCGACAAAGCGCAGCGTACGCTTGACGTCCTCCCGAACCTCGCGGGCGAGTGGCGAGTCGGGCATTTCGTCGGCTGGCGGGGTCAACGGGTCCGACCAACCGAAAGATGGCATGTGCTCGTCGCACGACAGGCAGATCGGCAGATTGTTGTGTTCTGCAGAGTAGGCGGCGACGAATGCGCGGTCCGTCGCGGTCCAGGTATCAGCGTTGAGGTGGAGGTGGAAGTTGAATTCGCGCGGCGCGCGTTTTGCGGTCTTGCGAAAGCGGTCGACCATTTCTAGGGTGCCGGTATGTTCCTCCTCAAGCCCGTCGACGCATTCAAGGCACTCGTACGTCAAGTCACGCAGCTTCGGAGCGCGTTCTGGGCTGATTGACTCGAGTATCGGCCAGCTGCTGACCCACGAGCCGGCGAGTTTGAGGTGCGTCAACGCCGCAAAGCAGTCGTCGCCGAGCGAAGGGCCTTCGTTCTCGTCCACGTCATGAATCGCGTCGATCGTCAGTTCTTCAAGGGACTTGCTGAACAGCGCGGCGAATCCGACTGCAGTGGCGGACACCTCGCCCGTGTACGAGAATCGACGAAGTTGCGGGAAAAGCGCGTGTTGGTGCGTGTCGAGGATGGCGAGCTGGAAGCTGAATTGTCCGCGCTCTGTACTTGTCGAGGATTTGCACGCAAGGTGTAGATCGTGGAGATGGGGAACATCGACCAGCATCCCGCTGAGCCTAGGCTGCAGGCCGTCTGAGACGCACGTCGTGATATGGAGCGTCGTGAGATGAGTAGTGTGTGGCATCATGCGCCAGAAGTCGGCTGGGCGGACGTGCACGAGTCGGAGCGTTTTTATTTGCCGGAGCAGGGCGGCCACGGGAAGGGCGGCATAATCATTCAACTGGCCGACCAGAATGGACGACGGGTCGAAGTCTCCGTAAGGGTCGATGGAGGCGGTATACCAAGCTCCGTCGATGGCCAAGTCGGTGATGTTCGACAGGTTGAGGCTGGGCAGAAGGGCGGTGATGACAGGGTAGTTCTGGCAGGTGTCGAGGCGCAACGTGCTGAAGTGCTGGCTTTGGCGAGGCCCGACAAAATGCGAGAAGACTGAGGACTCCATCTTTGACGCGGAGAGGGTCTGTGCAGGACAGCAATCAGCAAGGCGTCGCCGGATGATACAGCGGATCGAGCAGCGCACCCTGAAGCGGAACGGCGCGGCGATGGCTGACCACGTCTTCGACATGCCGAACAGCACGCCGACCGTGCTCGGGTGATCGCGCATCGTCTTCTGGCGTACGGACTTGTACTGGGGCCAACTCAGGTCGAACTCGCTGAGGCATTCGATCCACCTCCGCATCCGCTCATCCTGCTCGTGACAAAACTCAACGATGCGGGTCTTGACCTCGGTCGGCAGGGCGTCGATCGTCACGCGCGGCGTGCGGTGGGCGGGAGTCGTTGACGGGTCGAGCATGGCCGGCGATGAGGAGGTGAGGGGCGGACGAGAAGACAGCTGGGGGAAGTGTGGGGGCGGTTCCTGCGTGGAGCGATCTGTGTTATAAACGCTGCGCTCGTCTCACAGTCCCGCGAAGCAGTGAGACGCACAGGAAAGGCGCGATTGTCCTCGAGGAGCGAGACGCGACGAGGCGGCGAGTGGGGCGAGGGAGCGCGGTTGCGCTGTAGATAAGCGTGTCCCAGGTGTTGTAGGGCGCAAAGAGGCAGTACGGAGTGCTAGCAGCGGATGCAGAAGGGTTGGACAAAGGACAAAAGTCGGTCCGTGAACACCGCGCGGGGTGAAGATGCACACAATTCGCTAAGCTGCTTTCCTGAGGCGACGAGAGGGACAAGAGGGCAAAGAGACACGCAGGTATGAGCTTTCGAATGGCCCAGTGGGACGATATTGAGGAACGCTCTCGTCTCTCGCTCGCTCGCCGTTCGCCTCGAATGCATCGTCTGAGTGGACGAGCGGCTAGAAAAGCGTCGACAAGGACGCAGCTGCGCGGTCGTCCCGCCATTCGATGACTCGGAGAAGAGAAGAGCGGGAGGAAGAACCGTTTTGTGCATTGCGGCGGAAGAGTGGGAGGGTCGAGCGAAGTCGGGCGAGGTATGTGAGCGTAATTGGTAGGACAGGGAAAGTCAAGCGACAGAACGCAGCGGCAGGGGAGGACGAGGGAAAGGACGTGCGTCGCAGCTTCGGATGTCGAGGTGAAGTCCCCGCCTGCGATGCATACGATGTCAGCGGCGACGCAAGGGCCCGTCTTGCTCGAAACGCACCAGTAGCTAGTCTAGAGAGCCATGATTGCCCTGTCAAGCTCCGCACTGTTGAGAAGTTCCGACAACCTCGCCCAGTCTTCAACGTTGCCCGACCTTTCCGCCTGATCCCTCGACTCCGCCAGGTATTGCAGCGTCCGCTCAACATCTCGGCGAAGTTGCTGTGCCATGAAGGAGTCGGGCGGCTCATCGCAGGCGTGCTCGCCCAAATCGCCGCGCCAACCGAACGACGGTTCGTCGTCGCGAGAAAGACCGTCGTCGCAGGAAAGACAGACCGCGAGTCCGCTTGACTTGGAGTACTCGGCGAAGGACTGGTGATCTTCCGCGAGCCAAACATCGTAGGCGAGATGGATGTGGAAGGTGAAGGCGGCAGTTGAGAGGGAGAGGTCGTTGCGGACTGGTCGATGCTCGAGAGTAAGGTCGAATAGCCCTTGATGCCGCAATTCCGCTCCGACTCCTCGTAGAGAATCGTTTGCAGTTGTGGAGCATGCCTCGGTCGAAGTGAATCGAGGATGGGACCGCTGCTGGCGTCGCTTCCTTGGAGCGCGAGTTTTGTCAGGCGCGGGAAGCATTCGTTGACGAGTTCGGGGCCAATGTCGGCATGTTCGAATACTCGCGCATGGATAGTCAAGTGCTGAAGCGAGTTGCCGAAGTACTCGGCGAAGGCAAGGAACGAGCCGCTGATGCCGCCTTCGTACGAGAGGCTGCATAGCGCAGGCCACTTGTCGCGGATGTCCTGCCGCGTAGCGAGTACTGGCGTGAAATCAAATCCGTACTCTGTGATGCTGAAGATGTCGAGCTCTTCGAGGTGTGGACAGGCAGCAAGAACGCGGGAAAGGGCCGTGCGGGACCAGACGGACGACGCGTCGAGTGTTAGGCTCAGCCTTCGCAGGGAAGGTGTCTGCTCGACGAGCTCCTCGACATGAATGCCGTCGACAACGGAAAGGCGTAGAAATTCGGCCTTGCCGATGAGCTTGCCGGGGACCGCGCGAGAGAAAGGCTTGATAGTGTAAGATGGGTTGACGAGGTTCTTGAACCAGGCGCCATCGACCCTGACCTCCTTCAGGTTGTGCAGAGCGAGGTTGGCGAGCAGAACTGCCTCGGACTGCTCATTCGGCGTCGTTTCGAGAGCGAGGGTCGTGAAATGTTGGCTTCGCAGCGGTCCGACGACGTACTGGAAGACTGGGTCGTTCATCCGTAGTGTCGAGAGGTTCTGTCGACAGTGGTTTAGTCTCGGAACGTTCTGAGCTGCGCAACGACGCACCTTAAACCGAAAAGGCGCGGCAATTTGCGACCATTCCTTCGACAGGCAGAACAGCCGGCCAACCGAGCGTTGGTGCCGGTCTGCAGTCTCGGGCAGCGCATGCTCGAGGCGTCTCCGCAGCTCGATAGGCCCGGCCCTCTGGAGGAGGGTCAGACGCGTGAGCCACTTCGTCGCTCGCTCGTCCTGCTCGTCGCAGTATTCGGCGATGCGGGTCTTGACTTCGGTCGGCAAGTCGTTGATCGTCGTACGAGGCAGCTTTGACGAGTCGTTCGGTGCGGATGGTGAAGTCATCGTGAGGAAGGGAGGGGGGAGAAGTTGGCGAAGGGGTCGACGGACGTTAGGCAGAGACGGCGCAGTCGTGTGGTTTGTCTGCGAGACAAGCCATGTCAGTCTGTAGCCCATCCTGGCGAAGGAGAGTCCCTGAACGCACCACGAGCAGGACAAGATCAGGCGCGACGAGCTGGAGACGCGGCAAAGACGTGGTTCCGCGAGTCGAACGGACGAAGCGAGCGGAAGCTTCGTCAGAGCAGCACAAGCTAGTCCCTCAGCCTCACAGCTGGTGCGGGCGAGTAAGGCAAGGATCAATCAGCGGACGGCGAATCGCTTCAACCTCGACATCTCGCTACAACACAGTGAGCGGGCTGGTCGAGCTCGCTTTGGACTAGAGTCAAGCTAACCGAGTCCATTGCAGCCATGAGCGCCGCCGCCCGACGAATCACCAAGGAGTACGCAGAGTTGCAGGCGGACTTCCCGCCGCACGTCCAGGCTGCGCCAGACGAGAACAACCTGCTGCACTGGGTGCGCTTCCAGTCGTACTTGCGGGCCCGCGAACGAGCGAGAGCTGACCCGACCCTCCTTCCCCTCCTCCCGACCCGAACCCGCTCGCACAGACCGGCACAATCACTGGCCCGCCCGACTCGGCCTACAAGGGTGCGTGTGTGCTCTGGAGGAAGCGAGGGTTGCGCTGACCGCTCCTGCGCAGGCGGCAAGTTCAACATTGACATCACCTTTCCGACCGAATACCCCTTCAAGTACGTACAGCCGCTGTCGCTCCATCTACCGCTGCTTTACTGATGCCGTTCGCGCAGGTCTCCCACCGTGCGCCCCTTGCAGTCACGGGCCGGGTCGAAGGATGGCTACTGACAGATTGGCTTCCTCACACGACTCGCAGGTCAAGTTTGTGCGTCCCCCTTCGCACTCTTCCGCTGCCAGATGGTCCGCTAACTTCATGAGATCCCCCAGACGACTCGCATCTACCACCCGAACGTGACGGACGACGGCGCAATCTGCATTGGCTTGCTCAAGGTGCGTCCGCTTGTTCCTTCGCTCGCCTGCGGTTCAAGCTGACGGATGATCGTGCAGTCCGAGGCGTGGAAGCCGTCGACTAAAATTGAGCAGAGTGCGTCCCTTCGTTTTCCAGGGCCGGCATGTTGGCTGACTTGCCATGCCTCGTTGTCCCAGTCCTTCGCGCACTTGTCCAGTTGCTGCAGGAGCCGAACCGTGCGTCCCTTTCTCTCCACTTCTCAACCCGAGACAAGTGCTCAACGAGCTCGTCCCGCGTAGCCGACGACGCTCTGGTTGCCTCCATCGCCGAGGTGTACAACCAGGATCGCCCGACGTTCAACAAGAACGTAAGTCGCGCCCCCTCCTCCACCTCCCTTCTACCTCATGACTGACCTGCTCCCACGACGTCTCGCAGGCGCAAGAATGGGTCAAGAAGGTGAGCCCGGTCGCGCCGACTTCGCTCGACCAGAAACTGACATCGTCTCCATACAGTACGCTTCGTAAAGCGCCGCTTCCGCGATCACCTCGACTCCTCTGTAGCTAGCCTTTCCACGCCAACTCGCTTGAACCCCATCGCATGCCGCTTCCTGAAGACAATTCCAGACACTCGTCCTTCTGTCCAACTTCCCGATTGCTGCGAGTCATACAAGCTTGATAGCACTGAGAGAAAGTCTACAACAAGACACGACGGTAGTACGCTCCCAACGTCGCGAGCGCAATGTTGACGATACCGAGCCTGTGCGCGAGACCTCGTCAGCTCTCGATCACGCGGAAGAAAGCAGGAGGCGCACCTCGCGTCCTTGTTAAACCCAGCCAGCATGATCAAACACCATACGATGCCGACGAAGCGGTCGAGGACGAGTCCGATAGTCTGCTTGATACGCCAGGACGAGTCGATGCTGTAGGGGGAGCGGTAGGGCAGGCGACGAGTAGCGGACGAGGAGGGAATCGAGACGAGCGCCGCGACCTGGGCAGAGCGGATTCAGCCCGCGAACTCGAGGGAAGAGGTGCGGGGGGACGAGACGCACTGGCTTGTGGTCGCTCCGGGTAAAATCCATCACCGACTTGTAGCTCAACACCTCTGCCTCGTCCTCCGCCGCCGACGCATACAAAACCCTGTCGCACCACCCAGGCACGCGCTTCTTGAAGTTCTTGTACTCGTCGCGCGTGCCAGGTTTGAACTTGTACGTCGGGGGAAAGGTGATGTCGCCTTCTCGGAGGTGGTGGAGCGAGCGGTTTGCGGCGCGCTCTTGGCGCAGTTGGTCGTAGGCGAGGAGAGAGGCGTAGGTTGATGGGTCTGAGGGGGTGAGCGAGTTGATGCCGTGCTTGAGAAGGTGGAGAGGGAGCTTTTTCGGCGTCGTGAGCGAGATGCGGTAGTTGAGGTCCTGCGCAGGAGGGAGAGGTGAGCGATGCGTTCCCGGCAATGCCAGAAGGGAAGGACGTACGCCAAAGAAGAAGACATGGCCGGTATCGAACATCTGCTTCTGGCCCTCGTTGCCCTCGAAAACCAGCCGCTCGACGATCGCCCTCCAGTCCCTCGCCCTCTCCTTATTCTTGTTCTGATGCGCCGCCAGATGCGCCGTCACAAACGTCCAACTACTCGTCTCGCCGCCGTCCTTCTCATCCAGGACGACCCTAATCCCAACCGCTCCCTTGTTGCCCATCACCCCAAACACTCCACATCCAACAGTCGCGACCTGCACGTCCCTCACTCGCGCAGCGACAGACGCCTCGCGCGCATACAAGAGCAGAGCGATCCCGCCGATTGCGCGACGAGCGACGAGGCTGTATCGCTCGCCGTCTGGGGACGAGCGCTTCTTTCGCCCCGAGGAAAACTGAGAGTAGCGCTCCTCGATCGCGAAACGCAGCTCGTCGTCGTGCAAGTCGAGGGCGGTCTTGGTGAAGCCGGCGAGGGCGAGGTGCTGTTTTGCGACGATCAACCACTCGTGAGCGGTGCTGAGGCCGTCGCAGAACCAAGAGAGCAATTACGCACAAGCGGGATCATCTCCTGGAATCCCACCGCAACGAAATCAGGCGCCTCGTCTCCTCCATCCTCGAGCGTCGGTGCCAGCCAAGCGCTGAGGTCGTCCGATGGCTCGCCGCTCGCGAGCGAGTGCGTGCGACCCTTTGCGAGTTTGCCGTTGTAGGTCGCGCACTGGATCCGGTAGCGTGACATCTCTGGAGCGCTGGACGAGGAGCGAGGGAGGTCGCCGCCCCACTTGGCCTCGCCGTCGTCGAAAGGGGGACATCGACGAACGAGTTACGACAAGAGCTTTGGTTTGTGGAATAGGAGAGGGCGCTACGACATGAAGAGAGAGATCAAGGGTTCACAACAGTTCCAACGAGAGAATAAGCGACGGCGAGGAGAGGCGATAGTTGGGCGATAGAGACATGGGTTTGTTCGCTCGAGGCGGGTCGTAAGTCGAGGTATGGTATGCGATCGTGTTCGTTTGGATGGCGTAGTGCGGTCGTCGGCGGGCTCAGCGGAAGGCGAACTCGGCGACGCCGCCTTGGTGCGAAGGGACATAGCGGAGCGAGAGTTCCTGATACGGGCTCGCGCTGTGGTGGAAGTAGAACTGTGGCGCACAACTCGTTAGCCTCATCTCTCAAGCGACAAAGAAGGGTCACACTCACGCCCGAGATGGTCGCCTCAGTCCAGCTCCTCATCCCTCTATCATCCACCCCGTCCTCCTCCTCCGCCTCCCTCGCGCTCTTCCTCCTCGCGACCTCAGGCCGACCCCTCGTCTTCTCCTTAGCCTTGGCAAGCACACTCGCGACGTCCGAACTGATGCGGCGCATCGCACCGGGCGGACGAGTTGGCATGGGAGGAGAGGTAGGAGCGGGCCACTCGGAGGAGTGGCCTGCTTCGATCGACTGGAGGATGGGAGGGAGGGAGGAAGAGCCGGCTTCGGTTAGGTAGGTCAGGGCGGACGAGTCGAGTTCGGCTTTGGGCGTGGGAAGGTCCGGGGGAGGAGGGGCGGAGGGACGGATGAGGTGTTCGGGAGGAGTTTGCGGCGATGCGGACGATGCGGACGAGATGGACGACGAGAAGGACGAGGCGGAGGGAGGCATCGGAGAGAGCGGAGGCGAGGCAAGGGAGCCGGGCGAGCCACGAAGTGCGGCGGCGTACGAGATCGAGCCGCTGCTCGTACGGCGCGGCGGGAGCGGACGAGGGGCGGTCGGCTCCTCAGCCGTCGTAGGAAGCTCGACGGTACGACGCGGTGGAGACGGGAGGTTGACGATGGGCTGAGGAGGAGATGCGGGAGAAGGGCGGGCGATAGAGGGCCGAGTCTGGGTGAGGAGGCTGGGGCTGGGTTCGGGGCGAGAGAACGACGAGTTGCGACGGCGGAAGGCGGGAACGTTGCGAGCGGCAGGGGAGATGCCGCGGTGAGGAGAGATGGACGGGTCAGTCGGCGGGAAAGGTTCGCAGTCGAGGCCTGCGGGAAGCGTCGTGAGCTCCACTTCGTCTTCTAAGGCTAATACTGACCCACAGCAATAGTAGAAACCCGCGTACGACGCGCCGTGAATCGCCTCGACCCGCTCGCCGACGACAAACTGTTCCTTGAGCCGGAGGAACTTGAACGGCTTGTTGTTAGCCTGGCGCAAGTTGAGGTTGGGCTTGACGAGCTGGTGTTCGAGGCGGTTGCGGGTGAAGGCAGGGAACCGTCGCCAGTGCTTCAGGTCGTCGATCTCGGTCGCGCCATACTTTGCCGTCAAGAACCCGGGACCTCCGACTTCGCCTACGATGTCGCCCCTGCGCGCGTGCGGCGGTCAGCGTCGTCACTGTGTCACTGAGGAGACGTGGGGACGCACTCGAAGAACGTGACGAGGCTCTCGAGTTCGGCGGTGAGGTTCTTGATCTCGAGTGTGCCGGTGACGGTCCCACTCTGGACGTCGACCGTGTCAAACTTGACGGTGACCTCGTACGAGTTCCTCCCGCTGCGCTGTACGCCGACCCATGTCGAGCCCGGGTGGAGCGGTCCTCTGCCCTTGAGCGGCTGGGTCGGCGCGAAGGCTTCGTGCGAGAGGAGCGGGTCGACCCAGGATACGTCGGGCATGGGGTCCTGCTTCGCTCGAGAGTGTCGTTTGAGTGAATCTGAGCGTGGGAATGGAGCTGCTCGAGTGTGTTGCGGTGCGATCACGGCGACTCTCGACGACACTGACGTTTGGGAAGGCCGAAACAAGTGTTGCGAGGCAGGGTGGCGCGGGACTCGTGTGGACTGGGAGCAGACTCAGTGCACGAGCAGCAGCAGACTGGCAGGGACAGCAGCAGGCATGGTAGCGGTGCGGGAGGAGTCAAGAGCGAGCGGCGGGGAACGATACGAGGTGGGGGGTTGCGATAGGGGGACAACCAGCTCGCGTGACCCTCGCCACGAGAAAGGATAACGTCGAGTGCACGCCCTGCGACGCCTACAGCTCGTCGACCCACTCGTACACCCGCTCGACACCGTCACGCCCCGTCTTGACACTCGCCGTCGCCCACTGGATCTCGACGCCGACCGCCTGCTCGAGCTTGTCCCAGTCCGCCTGGCCCTCGAACGCGAACGCGTCGGCTTCGGGGAGAGCGAGGATCTCTGACTCGTCCGAGGGGAGGCCCGAAGACGATTCGGGGAGCGCACCGCCGACGGGCGACGAGGACGACGAGGAGATGCCCAGCGCGGACAAGAGCGACGCCACGAGTCCCTTGGACGACGACGAACCTGCAGGGATCGCATCGAGTCCTTCGAGCTTGGCGCCCGCACTCAGAGGCGCAGAGCTGCCCGAGGAGGTACCGCCTCCGCCCGAAGCTGCGAGTCGTCGCCGCTCGAGCTCGCGCAGCAGGGACTGCTTGGCGCGGTCGATCGAGAGGGACGGCGACTTGGTCTTTGCTGCGGGAGATGAGGCGGTCGAGCCGCCGGCCGAGGAGGACGAGGAGAGGTCGGACTTGGTGAGCAGGATGAGGAGGGGAGGAAGCGGGCGTGATCGGCGGCTCGAGACGAGGGCGAGGAGCGAGAGGACGACATGGAAGTGCCTGCAGTTCGAGAGATTCCGTCAGCTGCCGTTTTACCTTTTTCTGCCCGCGAACGAAGCCAACCGTCCAAACGAAACAAGAAGCGAACACTCACTCTCCCGCATCCCGCACATTCTTGCCCGTCAAACCCGTCACGCCATCAATCGTAAAGACGAGCCCGTCTGCTGCAGGGAGGTACTGCGCGAGCGAGCGGGTGCGGAGGCGAGGGTGGCCTGGGAGGTCGACGATGTGCAGAGGGGTCGAGAGGGCGATGGCGGCGGGCTGTACGACGTCGCATCGCCGAAATCAGCAATGTTCCTGATACGGACAGACAGCTGAACAGGAGTAACGGGACGCACCTCCTCAACCTCCTCCTTCTCGCCCTTCTCGACGACCGCGTCCTCCCCAAAGCCCCACTTGGCCTTGACGACCGCCTCGTTCTCCCTCATCGACGTATGAGTCTGTTGTGCACTGCCATACACGAGCTGTGTCCCCCAAGACCGCGAGCAATCGCCTCATCAGCCCAACCCAATCTCGCTCGAGACGTGAGGGCAAGGGTGCGCACCCGGCTGAACAACGCCGTCTTCCCACTCGCCAAAGGCCCCACAAGCACAACCGTCTTCGCGCCCTTCTTCTTCGCGCGCACAGCAACGGGGGACTCGAGTCTCCGTCGCGGGGAGAGGAAGGCGATGAGGAGGAAGACGAGGAGGATCGAGAGGGAGAGGAAGATGCGTAGCGGTGTGAGAGTGGTGTTTGGGATCAGAGAAGCCACTTCGGGCTCGAGCTTCGGGTCTGCCATGGTGCGCGAGGTGAGCGGTCGAGGAAAGAGGGTTGTCGGAGGGGGCGAGGCGGCTGTCAACCTCGCTCAGAGAGGCTGATTGCGTGCGGACGAGCTGCCGTACAGCTTCAGGACGTGCTTGCTCGAAAGGAAGAAGAAGCAGAAACGAAACAATGGAAGGGGAGCAAAGGAAAGTCGCCCACTCGGTTCCACCCCGGCTGAAGCAGAAGGTCCACCGCCTTGCAGTGCTGTAGGGATGTGTAGAAGGGTACAATGCAGCGAGTATCAACACAAGCACAAGCGCCGAGTCGCACCGTCCGACTCGAGGCGCACAAGGCGGACGAAAGAGGTGGACGACCCTTCCCGTCTTCGAGAGGACCGCACTCCCCACACTCCGTCCAGCCAACGTCCACCAGACACTCCACCGACACCGTGCCGCGCACTCATGCGTCCGCGGCCGCCGACTTCCGTCGCTCCTTCTCCGCCTTCTTGGCCTTCTTCCTCGCCGCGCGCTCCTCCTCCGTCTCGCCCTCCCTCTCGCGCTTCTTCTCCTTCTTCTCCTTCTTCTCCTTCTTGCTCGGCGAAGCAGCAACGTCCTCAACCGCCTTCTCCTCGGTACTGCCGGCAGGGTCGGGCACCGCCTCTGGTCGGACCGCTTCGGACTCTTTGGGTGCGGCGGCGGCGGGCGTGGGCTGCGTGGGGATCTGCTGTGCGGGGAGACCCTCACCTTGGACAGAGTAGTCGACGTAGGTCGTCTTCCACTCGGAGGGGGTCTGGTCGTTTGTTCGGCCGTGCTTGTCGAGCTTGCCGTCCTTGACCTGCGAGCAGAGCGAAGGGCGTGTCAGAGTCATGCTCGAGAACCGGCAGCGCCCCAGGAGGCGCAGGCAGGAGGCGAGCCGCGAAAGTCTGGACGCACCATCTTCTTCTTGTTCTGCGCGGTCGGGCCCAATCCCCACTTGCGCGGGTAGGTGTCGCGCTGCATGCATTGAAGACCTCGTCAGCGTTCATCCACGAACGCTCAAAGAGAAAGCGAAGCGCGACTCACGTCCATGATGCACCGCTTGACCTTGGCAACAACGCCGTGGTCGCAAGTCGAGAGCTCGACGGTGGTCATCTGCGCGATACCGATCGCGATAGCCTCTCCCTTGGTCGTCATGAGGACGACCTCCTCGTTCAACTCGATGTCGGCCTCTGCGCGCAGTCCGCCATCAGCACGCGAGGACGGACAGAGGACAGAGGGGAACGCACCGTAGCGCAGGAGACCGGGGATCATGAGCTTGGCACCGTAGCAGATGGCGTTGACGGCCGAGTCCTTGACGACGATGCGTTTGTAGCCGGTGAGGAGGGATTCGAGGGGGCGGATGACGCGGCGGAGGTACGACTCTGCGAGCGACTCGAGGTCAGTACTGGGATATGTTCTGCGGAAAGATCGATATACGGGTCCGCGCATCGCACGCCCACACCCGACCACGCAGACTTCGAAGACTCACCATCGCGGGTGTTGTCGTAGAGCCACTGCGCGTCGAGCACGTCGTGCATCGTGACGATGTCGTCCGCCTCGCTCATCGCACCAGACCTGACACGCCTCAGCTCCTGCATGTGTCCACCGACTCCCAACAGCAATCCAAGGTGCACGCAAAGCGTCCGGATGTACGTTCCTGCCTCGCACGAGACCCAGAAGACGGCGAGGTGGCGGTCGTTGTCGAACTCGATGAGCTTGCAGTCGTAGATTGTGCGGATGCGCAGCTGGCGCTTGACGGCCGAGATGAGGGGAGGGCGTTGGAAGAGCGCGCCGGTGAGGGTCTCGATCGCGCGTGCGAGCTGCTTCTCCGACTGAAGGCCGCCGTGGAGGCGGAGCACGCAGACGTACTCCTTACCTGCAAAGCGCAAGCCGAGTAAGCAATCGAAGCGAGAATGTAACAGGTACGGCCGCGGACGCACCGGCACCCTGCTGGCTCTTAACGAGCCTCGTCGCGCGGTCAATGCAGACCGTCAAGCATCCCGTAACCTTCGGGTCGAGCGTTCCCGAGTGACCCGTCTTCTCGCAGCGGAGGATGCGGCGGATCCAAGCGACAACCTCGTGCGAGGAGGGGTTCGACGGCTTGTCGAGGTTGATGACACCGAGCTTGATGTAGCTCTTCAAGTCGCGCTTGAGAGGGGAGGAACCGGCAGGAATGGGGGTGAAGTGGGCGCCTGGAGGAGAGGATACAGGTAAGCTCGAGTGACGAGGAGGCGGAAGATCATCACGGCCGGCGGGCGCGACTCACTGCGAACGAGAAGCTTGTCGTAGTTCTTGAGGAGCAAGGGCCAGTCCTTGGTGTTCAAGGTGGGCGTCGCCGACTCGGGCTTGATGGCGAAGCTGGGAGGAGACGATGCAGCGTCAGCACTCGCTCGGCCGGGTTGGCTGAAGTCCCAGTATATCAGAATACGCTGTACTCACTCTCCGTCAGTCTGTGCAACCGACATTGTGGTTGTAGTGAAGCGAGGGAGGGGCTGCGTGCGAGGAGACTCTTCCCGCTCGTGTAGAAGCGGGTTTGGGGCGGGGGGAAGGGGGTAGGGGGGTCTGTAGGCTCTGCTGGAGTGCTAGAGCCGGTTGTCTGTGTGCCTCGAGCCCTGTCAAGCGAGAATCAAGCCCAGCTGGTCGTCGTCGAGGCGAGACGAGCTCGAGTGCTGGCTTGCTCCCCGCCCTCGACCCGTTGCTCGCTCCGCCCGCCCCGTAGTACCTCTTCGTACCACCCAACTAGCAGGTGAGCACTCGCACGCCCGCCCTGTCCAACTCGCAGCCCGCCGCGTGCTGTCGTCGCCGCGTGCATGCCTCGCAAACTCGTCGCTGACCTCTCACCTCCCTGGGAACAGCAATGGCCCCCTCGGTTGTCGGTGTCAGTACACAGTCGCTTTGCTGAATGGTCCGGGTCAACACGCCACAACGGCAGACCCGCGCGGACGCCGTGTGAGCGGGCGTGTGAGCAGGGACTCCTCCGTCGCTTGCTCGCTCGCACGGTTGAAGCGTTGGGCGAGGCAGTGGTCGTGCAGGGATCCTCTGGTTGTGTGTGCTCGCGTGCGCACAGCCAGAGATCCCGCCCGGACGTCTCAGTAGGCGCTTCCCCTCTACCCCGTATGCTGACCCTCTCGCTCCCGCTTCTCCCTCCTCGACCCGCGCGAACTGGTCTCTCTTTCGTTCGTGCGCGACGACGAAACGCAGCTCAAGAAGAAGGGCGTCGCCAAGACCCAGCCCCACAAGTTCTACATCGACTACTCGGGCCCCGCCAACGACAAGATCGTGCGTCTCGTCCCGCTCCCTGCGCTTCTGTTTCCGAGCACGCTGGCTGACAAATGTCGAATCTACACAGTTCGACGCTGCCGCGTTCGAGAAGTACCTCGTTGAGCACATCAAGGTCGAGGGCAAGACTGGCCAGCTCGGCGAGAACGTCAAGCTCCAGCGTGAGGGTGCGTCGCCTTCTTCCTCTTGCCTGCTCTGCGTCTCAGCGAGTTGACGGTGGGAATGGATGCGCAGGCTCGGGCAAGCTCTCCGTCACCTCGTCCATCCCCTTCTCGAAGCGCTACCTCAAGGTGCGTCTCAGGCTTGTGGCTGTTCAGCTCCTCTCCGTGCATCGCGCTGATCCCATTCACCGTCCATGACGTGCAGTACTTGACCAAGCGCTTCCTCAAGGGTGAGTTCGCGCGCTGTGCTTGCGGTTCGGACGTCTCGCTGACATGCGTTCGTCCGCAGCCAACCTCATGCGCGAGTGGCTCCGCGTCGTCTCGACCGGCAAGGACACCTACACCCTCAAGTTCGTGCGTCAACCTCTCGCTCCTTCTCCCCTCCGTCCTTCCACTCATACCTTTTCCCGCAGTACAACCTCTCGTTCGACAAGGCCGGCGAGGAGGAGGCTTAAATGCGCTCTTCTGACCTTGTGCGGAACGGAAAGTAGAAAATGCGCGTCGAGGAGGGGCGTGAGTGGGCTTGCAATGCCTAGAATGGGCCTGGCTTTGCCTGGCTCGCGTTTGAGACGCCTTCAGCGACGGCTTTCTGACTCGAGAGTGAGAGCTGCTCCGCTCTCAATGCTTGTTCGCGCTCACTCACCAGCGCCTGATCGAACGTCGCGGGTACAAGGCGTTTTTGCGGGAGATGCGTGCGGTGGTGCTACAAGTCTAGCAGGGGATATGACACATAAAGGCGAGCGCTGGGGGAGTCTACAAACTCTAGCGAGTCTACAGCTTGGCGGGGAAGAGATCGGAGTACTGCGCAGCGCAAGGAGGTCAGCTGGAGTCGAGGAGGAAGGGAAGAGGCGAACGCACCTCGGCGACAGGATGCGCATGCGGCGCCCGCTCCTGCTGCTGCCTCCACTGCTCCCTATCCTCAATGACCTGGTACCCCTCGAGAGCCCTCGGCTTCCCAAGCTTCTCAATCTCCTCGACAACCTTCTTGACATCCTCGTCTCCCCTCCCCTGCGCACGGAGGAATTGCTCCGCAAACGCCTTGGCCTGCTCCACCGTCGGCCTGGACGTCGCGAGCTGTCCCAGTTGCTCCGCGTCGACCTGGACCTGCATCTCCGCCAGCACGGGGCCAAGCGACGCGCATTGTTCGACCGTGAGGCGCTGCGAGTCGAGGTGGACTGAGAGACGGCGGATGCGACGTTCGGGAGTGTCGAAGAAGTAGGTGCGGAAGAAGGACGTGATGTCGGATTTCGAGAGTTGCTTGACGAGTTCGGCGTCGCGGAAGCGCTGCTCAAAGTCGTACCAGCCGGCGTGAATGTTGATCCACATCGCGCTGGACCTGTGCGATCAATCAAGAAGCTGGTATTAGCCGGAGGCTCCTCGAAAACGACGATGTGACGGGCAGCGAAGCTCGCCGACGCACTCTTGCCAAAGGTTCTTAAAGTCTTCGAGCTTGCGGCTGATGACGGTCGCCTTGTACTTCTCGAATTCCTCGTCGCTCATCTCGTCGAGCTTGGTCTTGTACTCGTCCCAGAAGGCGTCGATGCGGGATTCGACGAACGCAGAGTCGCGCTCCGACTGGACGATGACCCGCAGGCCCATATAGGCGATTGACTTGCGTGCGCCGGAGGAGACCTACCGTTGCAATTCAGCGTCAGCGTCTCCCGAGACGGGCCTCGAGCGGAAAGAGCAAAAGCAACGCACGATGTAACCGAGCTGCTGCTTGGCTCGCAAGTCATCGAACAACGGCTCGCTGACCATCGTGCCGAACAAGCTGAGCTTGGCGCGCAAGACGTCGTCGTAGATGTCGCCCACGTAGGTGAACTGCTCGACGGCCGAGTTGGCGTTCGCGGGGTTGTCGACCGGGCGGCGGGCAAGCCATTTCCCTGCGACCGCGAGGAGCGTCAGCAGCCAAGCCTTCAGGGAAAGGTTCACAGGCGACGCACCCTCGGGAATGATCAGCGCCTGCCTGCTCTTGAGTTCCTCCACCGTCAGCGCCTCAGGCTTGAACGTCTCCTCGACCGTCTTGGCGAGCGCGAGCGCCTCGTCGCGGAGTACGTTGCCGTGGATGAGCGACTCGATGTGCATGCGGGAGAAGAGGGCGGCGATATGAGATTGGAGATTGGCGGGGGTGATTTCTGCGGGCGGAGGCAAAGTCAGCTTCGACTGAACGGCTGGAAAAAGTGACAGAACGCACGGTCGAGCGCCTTGAGCTTCTCGTCGACGGTGTACGAGACGGCCTGCGTCAGGTGCGCCGCGTCGAATCCAACGTGCTGGTACGGCTGCTCGAGGCGGAAGTTCTGGTACATCCGCCGGATCTGCGCGCAGCGACTTGTCAGCGCACCTCTTAACGACGAGTGAGGGACGCCTAGCGTACCATATCGACAACAATCGCAAACCTCTTCTCATCAACCGTGTACTCTTTCATCCGCTTGACGATCACCTCAATCAGTAACGGCAACTTATCGTTGTACCCATCCGCACTCAGGAGGATCCCATCCGCCTGCTGATCAAAGTTGTAGCTCAAACCGGCGAGTTCGGCGTCGTAGGCGTATTCCTGGAGCGAGTCGCGGACGAGTTCGGTGAAGAGGCGGGTTTGGACGGCGGTTAGGGCTGACGAGTCGATGAGCGGGCTGTGCGGGGAGAGCTTCCGTCAGCTTTCTTTAATTGCGAGGCGGGAGAGAGCGAGGCACGCACGATCGGAAGAGGAAGAAGACGCCGGCACGAGGGATCCACCACCGGTCGTCCTTCTTGTGCCACACTCGCGAGACGGGCGTGTTGCGCAAGTTGAGCGGTCGTCGAGCCGGCTGTGCAAGACTTCCGTCAGTCAGGTCGGAGAGGCGGGAAGCTGACGCGCAACGCACCTCGGGGGCCTCGACCTTGTTCTTGATCTCAAGGTTCTGCGGGACAAGCGCGTTCGGTTCGGGCAGAGCAAGTTCGGGGAACTCGTCCGCGCTCTTGCCAGACTGCGACACTCGCCAGTCAGTATCGCTCAAGCAATGTGGCAAGGTAAGAACTCGCAACGCACATTGAGGATCTTGTCCGACATCCGCTCGACGGTGTACTCGGTCCCGTACCACTCCTCCCTCAACTCGTACTTCCTCCCCTCGATTTCCTCCTGAGCCGACACGAAAATCCTACACTTGTCCGGCGTCATGAGTCCCAAAAACTCCTCCACCTTGGCGGGATACCACTCGGTACAGATCCACGGTGCGGAGAGGACTTTGTCCCTCGGGTAGGGCTTGGAGAGGATCATTGCGAGGCGGGAGGCGGTTGACGAGGGTGGGGATTTCTCTTTGAAGCGGAAGGCGAGTTGGGAGAGTTGGGCGACTTCGAGGAAGGCCCATTCTGCGGGGGGCGTGGAGCGCAGGAGAGAGATGTAGGCAAAGATCGAGGCGGCGACGTCTTCGTAGTGTTCTGTCGGTGCGAGATCCGGTCAGCTGCGCGTGGAAAGCGGGGAGGAGAGCGCAACGCACCGAGACCCTCCTTGGTCAAATCGACGCTAACCTTGAAGAACTCGAACCCAGCCGCTCCATTGCCCGCACCTGCGCTCATCCCATTCGCCCACCCCCTCTTCTTCAACAGACTCAACACGCTTCCCTTTCCCTCATGTCCAATCAAGTGACTTAAGAACGAGCCCGGCTTGGACGCGTACAACTCGGACTCATCGGGGAAGGGAAAAGTGAGTTCGAGGAAGCGAGTGTCGCGGATGGATTTGATGAAGAGCGTGCGGCCGACTTCGGAGGAAGTCAAGGGCGAACCGGGAAATTCGGGGGGCGTGATGTGGCGGTTTGGGACGGAGGCGAACTGAGAGACGACGAGCTTGACGGTCTCGTCGAGCGTGTCTGCGCGGCGAAACAGGTCAGTCGAAAGGTGAGGAAGGGGAAAGAGCAGCGAACGCACCCTTGCTGACGACGGCGAGCTTGCACGTGTTGGCCGAGTAATGCTTCTCGCACCAGTCGATCAAGCGCTGCCTGACATCGACGCCCTTGGCCCTCGGCTCATCCCACAACGTCTCGCGATTTCCCGTGCCGAACCTCCAAAACGCATGACTCCTCGAACTCGTACTCTTGTCGAGTTGATAGAACCGCCACATGTCGTTCTGCAAGTTCTTCGAGTTCTCCGAGTGGACGGCGTTGGCTTCGCGTTCGGTGCAGGAGGGGTCGAACAAGGGCGAGATGAAGAATTGAGCGAAGCGGTCGAGGGCGGGAGCGAGGTGTTGAGGCGCGACGTCGAAGTAGTAGTTGGTTTGGTCCATCCCCGTGAAGGCGTTCGACGAGCCGGAATGTTGCGTCAGGAACTCGGTGTAGTCGTTCTCAGCCGGGTACTGCGAGCGCGCACGATTCCACCGTCAGTATCTGGCTCTTCCTCGAGTCCCGAGAGCTCTTCGCAACGCACCTTCTCCGTGCCCATAAACATCAAGTGCTCGCAGAAATGCGCGAGACCAGGCAAGTCTTCGGGGTCGCTCAAGTGGCCGACCTTGACGTCCATTGCGGCGGCGGCCTTGTCGGTCTTGGGGTCCGAGACGACTAGCGCCTCGAGGCCGTTCTCGAGCATGATCAGCCTGTGCGCAGCAGGAAGCCTCGAAGGTCAGCTCGTTCTGCCCGTTGACATTGTCCAGGTCGAGCGAGCGAAAAGGGATCCCCGGGCACGCACCTGTACACGCGGTCGTCGTTCTGGCTCTTCTCGATGTCCTTCCTGTACACCGCATACGCCGGCAGCCCGTCCCTTGCCTGCACGATGTCCCAGTCCTGCTTGTCGAGGTGGTCGATGGCTGACCCAGGCTTTGTGACGAACGCATACGGGGCGAGTGGCTTGTAGGTGGGGTCAGTGATGGTCATGATGTTGTGAGTCGAGTGTGCGAGTCCCCTCGAGCGAGTGTGAGGGTGAGCGGGTTGGAGGCTGTGTCGGGGAGAGAGAGCGGGCGGTGGTCGAGCGAGGAGGGCGAGGAATCGCGTGCGAGTGGGCGAGTGTGCCACGGTGAGAGAGAGTGCCCGCTTCAAGCCCAGGCGGAGCATCCAGAGTCTTAGCGAGAGGAGAACAAAGGCTACCCAGCCAACAAAGGGACAGCTCCATCCCGACTAAGTCCACAAGGTCAACCTCGAATATCGCTCTGGGTAGTGTCGGAATAGCACTGGCTGGCGTATCATAGCGTAGTAGGAATTGTTCAGTACAATACACGGCACCGGCGAGGACTGTGACACGCCACTCGACCGCCGTCCTCCTCATCAAGCAAGCACATCTTCACCCAGTCCAACACACGCTAGCCTACCAACGTGGACTCTTCACACACACCAGCCTCACTCAGCTCGCTCCCACCCGAGCTCACGCTCCACATCCTCGCCCTCGCCGTCGCAACTGACCCATCCCCGCACACCTTCCTCGCCCGCTTCTCACGCCTCGACAAGCACTCGAACGCACTCGCGAGGCCCTTACTCTATGCTCAGCCATGCTTGACTAGCCTGCGTGCGCTCGACTGCTTCGTCAGGGCCATCGAGGGAGATGCGGAGATCAGGTGGACGGTCAGGCGGGTGAGGGTCGAGGGAAGGGTGTTCGCGTCAAAGGGCTACGGGCAGAGGGTGTCGCGGGTCTTGAAGGGCGTCGAGGCGCTCGAGCGGCTTGAACTCGTCGGAGTCGACGATTTGCGTCCGAAGCACTTGGTCGGGCAAGGCGGTGCGTCCCTTTCCCTCGAGTCCGAACTGCTCTCCCGTCGACTGACAAGGTATTGGAACAGCCCTGACGCACCTGACGCTGCTCAACTCGTCCTTCCGGCCCAACTCGCTCCCCTCCCCGCCCTCCCTCGCCCCCTTCCTGTCCTCCCTGACACACCTAACCCTCGCAAATCTCGGTCTGCCCCCTCCCTCAACCCACCTAGCCGAAATGCTCGTCCTCTGCGCTCCAACGCTGCACCACCTCGCGCTCTCGAGTTTGCGGGACGTCGATGCGCACGAGTTTCGGCGCGCGTTGAGGGTGTTGGTCATGCAGGCGCCGAGACTGCATACCTTGATGCTCGGTTTCTTGACGGACGAACAGATCTCTGCGCTCTGCCAGCCACTCGACGACCCCTCTTCCAGTCTGCCAATGCCTCCCTCCAGTCCCAATCTCTCCGGCTCCTCCTCCCCAGCACACTCGAAGGCAGCCCTCTCCCTTCTCCCCTCTCTCACCTCTCTAACATTCACTCTCCCCCTCCCCACTCTTCCCATCCTGCTTGCCCTCCCTCCCTCCCTGAAACGCCTCACAATCCGCCCTCCATACGCCCGCTCGTCCGGGCCCGGAAACGTCTTCGGTACCTCTCGCCACGAAGGACTGGCGCTCCTGCGCCGCCCAGCAAGTTCAGGACACGACACCTCCTGCGCCCCGACACCTCTCGATCCATCCCCAACGCCCTCTACCAACCTCCGCAGACCAAGCATCTCCCTCACCCTCCTCGAAGAAGAAGAGTCGATCCTCGTCGCGCTTGAGGAGATGCTTGCTACGCCTGGGGTGGCGGAGGGGTTGGAGAGTGTTAGGTGGGAATGTAGGGCGCTCAGGAGTGCGGAGGATAGGGTGGGGGAGGCGTTGGAGAGGAGGAGAGAACGAGGGTGGTGTAGCGAGACGAGTGGGAGTGTATGAGGTTGCACGGACTGGCATCGCGCAGCAGAGAGGAACGAAGAGGGGACAGCTTCGCTCGCGCCTACGACGCTTTAGGGGCGGGAAAGGTGGGATGGAACGAACGAGTGTAAGCAATGCAACAGCGATAAATCGAGCACTTCTAGATTCTAGAAACGATAAAGCCATAGCCAATGACGGCAAATAACGAGTGAAATGTCTGTTCCGTCTCCCTCCATCCGCACCAGGCGGGCTCCCTCCTCCTGCGTCTAAAGCCCTGATGTCTACTCGTACATCCCGTAAAGAGACATCGTCGCGCTCCGATACGCCGCATCGACGTTCTTCCCCGCCCGCATCGCATCGAGCGATTCGAACTCTCCTCCTCCTCCGTGGTGCGCGACGAGCGGGTCGACGATCTCTACCTCGTTGCCCCTCGAGCGGGGAAAGGCGAAGGAAGTCTTGTTCGCTGTTGGAGAAGTCGAAGGCGAGGGCGCAGCGTCGAGGAAAGAGGTAGGCGAGTCGGACCCTCCATTGTGCGCTGGAGCAGGTGAGAAAGTGAACGATGGCGTTTGGGGCGTAGCGAACGACGAATTGGAGCCGATGGAGGAGCTCAAGTCGGGCGTGCGTTCGCCGCTCGAGAGCGGCGAATACGAGAGCGAAGAGGGAGGGATCTCGAGCGCGTCGAGGACGTCGCGTTCTGCGGCGCTGAGGGTGAGAGGGTTGCGCGCCGACTCGGGCGAGCCGAGAGGTGTTGTCGACTGCTTTTGACCCTTGCCGAGTGATGCGTTGCGAGCGAGGCGGATGGGCGTGGGTGCGGAGGGACGCGTCGACATCTTGCGCTGCAGGCCGTTCGCTGCAGGTGCACCTCCACCGAACACGTCCTCTCCCGCATCGAGCGCGCGTTCCTCTCTCGGCGTGCCCAGCGGCGACGCCCCCAACGGGGTCCTCGCCGCGCCCTTCGCCGGACTCCCACTCGCCAACGACGAGCTAGACAACTCGCCCACCTCTCCGGCCGCCGAATAAATCGAGTGCTCGTACCGGCTCGTCTCACCGTACGGACTGTGCGCGCCAGACTGGTTCAGCCCTCCGCTCGCTGTGAGAGGGGAGAGCGAGTCCTTCGAGTCGGATTCGGGGACCGTGCCGAGCGGGCGGCGGGTGAAGCTGAGACCGGTTGGCGGAGCGGTCGACTGATTGGCGTAAGGGCCGAGCGAGCTGGCGTCTGAGTGTCGCACGCCTCCCGCGTGCGCGGCCATGGTCGAATAGTCGCTCGCCTCACTCGCCCGAACGCGCGCCTCGCGAGGCGGGACAGGCGGAAGGCGGTCAAAGAGCTCCTCGAGCTCGCGCAGGGGCTTCGAGTCGACGCGAGTAGAGTAGCGGTTCGGATTCGAGAGTGGAGGAGAGGAGCGAGGGACGGCGGCGGCCGGAGGGGCGGAAGGGGAGGGGGCCGCGTTGGCGGCGGTCGTCTGCGTGCGCTTCCGCGAGGATGAGCGGCGGGGAAGCTGGGCGGAGGTGGTGGGCTTGGGTGGACCGTCGATGTCGACTTGGTCTGCAAGAGTCTCGCAATCAGCTCTTGCTCCGTCTATCCCGGTCGGAAGCGACTCACCCCACTCCTCAGCTCCCTCTCCGCCGTACACCTCCGTCAACCCGACAATCGTGTCTTTCTTGCTCCTCTGCCTCTCGCCTCCTTGCGGACTCTCATCCCGTCCAACCTGACCCGTCATGACCTCCAAAAACCGCTTCTCAACCTCCTGATCGCGCTGGATCTCCTGCGTGTCCCGCGCACCGCCTTGGACTTCAGGTCGACGCGAGATGGCGTAGGGCGAAGAGGGCGCGGAGGGAACTTCGGACGGGCGAGGAGGGCGGAAGTAGGCGGCCGTGATAGGCTGTGGGCCGACTGCGACGCCGTTAAAAGAGAGGTGCTGCGGCGGAGAAGTGGATGGTTGTTGGCGAGGGGTGGATGGGGCAGGGGGCATGGGAGGCGGGGATGGGAAGTTCTGAGCGAGCGAAGGTGGCGAGGTCGTCAAGGGTCGCGCTTGGCCCGAGAAGCTGATAACGTCGTTGACGCTTTGCGCGTTGGAGCCGGACCGCTGGCGACCGATGGGAGGTGGAGGAGCGAAAGGCGAAGCGGAAGAGGCGAGCGAGTCGTGCGTCGCACTGCGGGCAACGCCGTTGTCGTGCCTAACCGGCCCCTGTGACGATGCAAAGAGTTCTGCGCGCGCCGACTCGTTGTCGCGCGGCGAGAAGACGGGCAGAGCGTGATGTGACGAGGGAAGGTGACCGTAAGGCGCGGGCTTCCCGTCGTCTGTCGCCAGGCTTCCAAACGACTGCTGCGCCCAGGGCTTCTCCGACGCGTAGGGACCGCCGCCGAACGAGTCGGTGCTCGCCCATGCGGAAGCGCCGTTCGCGCCCGGGTTGTCGACCATGGCGATGTTGTTTCCTCCGCTGCCGCCGCCCCTGTCGCCGAGGTTGGTCCAGCCCAGGTCATCCTTCTTCGCCTTCTTCCGCTTCCAGCAGCAGACGCCCAAGACTGCGAGAAGGATCACGCCGAGAGCTGCTCCGCCCGCGATGATCCCGTATATCGCTGTCTGCGACAGGCCCGTCGACGAAGACGAAGACGCCGATCCTGCCGCAACTCCGCCCGATGAATGTGCGGCCGCCGAGTACCCAGCTGTCTGCTGAGTCGCGAAAGAGACAGAGTAGGATTCGAGCGGGACGGTGTTTAGGTTTTTCGTGCGTGTGGGAGGGGCATTGCCGACAGATTTGGTCGCAGTACCGCTCGCGGCGATGCCAGGTCTGCGAGTAGCGTGCACGGTGTCAGCCGGTCCGACACCGAGGGACGGGAAGGAACAGGAGCTCCAGACGCACTGGAAGGATGTCGCCGCCGCGGCCGCAACTTGTACGGGGGCAGTGGTCGCAGTCGACGCTGTGGCGGCAGCTGTTATGTCGCGCGAGTCAGCAGTCTGCATCTGGCGAGCGAGAAGACGGGAGCACGCACCTCGCACGGTCGCGGTATGTGACAGCGCTGCTGTGTCGCTGGCTGTCGTTGCAGCCGCGCGCGCCCGCCTATGCAGGGCCATCCTGTTTGTGTCCATCCCTGTCGAGCCGTCCAGCCCTGCGAAGCCGGTGTCGCCGTGCATCGAAGTCGCGCGGGGTGGGGAACAGACACAACGGCCTGAACGCGTTCCGGGAGCGTCGAAGTGTCGTGCAAAGGAGTGTGGGAGACTCAGTGGCCGTGAGAGAGTCTGCAGGAGACTAGAAACGCGTCCAAGCAGGCAGAACGAGCGAGTGTTAGCAAAGCGGGCAGACTGATCAAGTCGAAGGGAAGAACGAGGACGGTGCGGCATCAACGTCTCGCTGCTCCCGCGCCAGACGGGTCGTGTACGTGTCTACGGGATGGCAGAGGATCAGGCGAGTACCGCTGTCAAGGTGCGCTGCGTTCTCGCTACGTTCTCGCCGTCCACCGCCTCCTCGAGGAGATGAAGCGCTCACGGCTCTATACACCCGCAGAGCACGCCGCTGGTCTGTGCTGGGTGAGTACTCGGCTGTAAAGTGTGGGTCACTGCTGCGCTGACCCAGTTTGTCGCTCTCCCGCAGCCACACCCGCCCCATCCCCTCGATCCACTTCTCTCCGCTCCTCCCGTCCACATCGAGGGACCCGAATTACCTGCTAATCTCGGCGTGCAAGGACGGCAAGCCTCAGCTGCGAGACTGGTGCGTTCGAAGGATCCCATGTACGCCCTCAATGTCCTCCCGACTGACTCGTCAATCCGCTTGCACAGGGTGGGAGACTGGCAGGGGACGTTCACAGGCGACAAGGGACACAAGGGAGCGGTGTGGAGTGCGCGGCTGAGTAGGGATGGAGCTCTGGCTGCGACTGCGAGCGCAGACTTCACGGCGTGCGTCCCGTTCTTCCGTTTCTTCAGGCTCTGTTATGCTGACATCCCGATTCCTCGGCTTACAGGAAGGTCTGGGATACGCACACAGGAGCCTGCCTCGTCACCCTCCCTCACTCGCACATCGTCCGCACCGCCGACCTCTCCAGCGACTCGCTCTCGCTCGCTTCTCCTCCCTCACCCAATCCCGATGCACCCTCTCCCCTGCCCTCTACACTGCGCGTCCTGACAGGCGGCCATGAGAAGCGGTTACGGCTGTGGGACCTGTCACGAGCGCCACGCGACGGCAGCGAAGTCAGCGCGACCGACGGTGTGGACGAGTTCAAGCGGGATGGTGGAGCAACTGCGCATGATGGGACGATCAAGAAGACGTTGTGGGATGAGGAGCGGCAAGGGTGCATCAGTATGGGCGAGGACAGGGTCATTCGGTGCGTCGCACTCGTCTTCTCTGCGCAAGCTTTTGCTGAATCGTGTTGTGGCAGATGGTGGGACTTGCGAACACTGCAGCAGACGCACGAAGTGTCGTTCCAGAACCAGCCCATCACGAGCATGGAGAAGTCGCAAGACGGCGAGCTCCTCTCCATCACGACCGGCAAAGACGTCGTTTTCCTCTCGCTCGACTCGTCAGTCCTGGTCCGCTTCTTCATCGCGACTCCTGTTGACCCACTCTACACAGCCGCCTCCCGTACCTCTCGCACACCCTACCCTACGCCCCCTCCTCCGCCTCTCTGCATCCCATCACCCGCTCAACCTTCGTCACCGGCTCAACCGCCGACGAGTGGGTTCGCGTACACGACGCCGAGTCGGGTCGCGAGCTCGAAGTTGGGAAGGGACACCATGGACCCGTGCATTGTGTGGCATACTCGCCGGACGGCGAATTGTATGCGAGTGGCAGCGAAGATGGTGCGTCTTTTCTCGCTTCTCTTTCACTTGGCGAAAATGCTGACGATCTGTGCGATGGCAGGCACCATTCGCTTGTGGCAGACCTCGCCGAAGACGTACGGCTTGTGGCAGTACAACGAGGAGCCTGGCGTCGCCGCATGAGTTTCTGCTTGTTCCCTCGTTCCTTCCGTTCCTTCGCACTCGCATCTGCATTAAATTCGTTCCAGCGTCCTTGCCAACGCTCCAGAGAGACTCTGCATGTGAGGACGCCTCTCTGCTTCTCCCCGCCTCGCCTCGACTTGGTCTTCCTCCTCGTCCACTTCGCTCGCTCCTCATGACCGCCACCTTCCCCTCCTCACCCGAGCCCAGCGACCCTCCTCTCCCTCCCTACCGCCTTTCAGCGCTCCTCCAAGCCCACACCTCCGATGTTCGCTACCTCTCCGTCGCCCCACTTGCCTCGTCTCCCCAGCTCTTCAGCGCATCGCGGGACGGGTCGGCTCGGTCCTGGGTTCAGAAGGAAGGAGTAGAATGGATGCAGGACAAGGAATGGAAGCAGGGACACGAGGGGTTCGCCAATGCGCTTTGCTGGATTCCGCCGGTCGAGGAGGAAGAGGATAAGGCTGGTACGTCTTGCGGGCTCCTTCGACTTCGCGAGAAGAAGCTGACAGCTCTCTGATGCAGGATACCTCGCCACATCCGGTTCCGACGCCCTAATCCAGCTCTACTCCCTCTCCTCCCCCTCGTCCGCACCCGTTCAAACCCTCCTCGGACACGCACACAATGTCTGTGCCCTGCATGCGTCGAAGGACGGGACGAAGATGGTTAGTGCGAGTTGGGATGGGACTGCGAGGGTCTGGGAGAGACGGAGAGAAGAGGAGGCGAGGGAGGAGGGCGAGGAGGGAGAGTGGACATGCGAGAGGGTGCTGGCAGATCATGGAGCGGCGGTTTGGGATGTGCTGATGCTCGAAGAAGGTGGCGGTGGCGATTCTGTGCTGACGGGTGAGTCGGGAAAACCTCGTCTATGAATCGCTTCGAGCTCACACTCCCACTCGACAGCCTGCGCCGACTCTCGCATCCGGCTATTCGACGGAGACAAGCTGCGCCATCTCTTTAAGGGCCACGAAGGACCCGTTCGGAGCCTATGTGTCTTGCTGCCAGAAGAAGCGGACTCGACCCTCTTCGCATCGGGCTCGAACGACGGGTGCGTGTTTAGCATCCTCCTGCTTCTTCTTCACCTCACTGACTATTGTTATCTTGGCAGCACCATCCGCCTGTGGGACTGGCGTACCGGCACAGCCCTCTCTATCCTCGGCCAGCAAGGCTCATTCGTCTACTCTCTCGCGCCGATCCCTTCGCGCGCAGGCGGCGGACTCGCAAGTTCCGGCGAAGACGGGATAATCAAGATTTGGAACGAAGAGGGGAGGGAGGAACAACAGGTTTTGGTGCCGGCTTTGTCGGGTGCGTCACCCTCTCGCCCTCCGCCTTCTCTCGCACTTGCTGAAAGTACAGGAGACAGTCTGGACGCTCGCGACACTACCTAATGGAGACCTCGCTTGCGGGTGCTCGGATCACATGATCTGGATCTTTACGCGGGATGAGCAGCGGTTGGCGGATGAGGGAACGGTGCGGATCTACGAGGAGCGGCTGGAGTCGAGGAGGTGCGTTCAGCTTGCGAGGCCCGCGAGATGTCGCTGACGAGCTTGCGTGCAGAGCGTCGAAGGCGCCCGCAACGCCCAAGCCTCGAGTCGAAGGACCCGCGGCGCTGGACCAGCCAGGCAAGGCGGAAGGCGAGGTCAAGCTCGTCCAGGCTGACGACGAGCAAGTCAAGGCGTATCAGGTGCGCGACACTCTCGCCTTGGGACGCTATTCGCTGACTTGACGAACCTCGCTCGGAACAGTGGGACGGCACGACTTGGGTCGAGCTGGGCGAAGTCGTCGACCCTTCTTCTGCTGCGTCTGATGCGACCGCCGCACCCTCACAACCTCGCGAGAAGATGCTGCACGAGGGCGTCGAGTACGACTACGTCTTCCACATCGACGTCAAGGACGACGAGCCGCCCATCCCGCTCCCGTTCAACCTCGAGGGTGCGCTCGAGTCTTCTGCTGTCACTTGCCATACATTCGACGACGAGCTACTCACTGCCGCGCTGTTCCTCGCAGATGACCCGCATGCCACCGCGTCGGCCTTTGTCGAGGCGCACTGGCTTCCGTCGAGCTACGTCGAGCGGATTGTCGAGTTTGTGCGCGCCTCGACGTTGGCGTAGGAGGACAGGAGAAGGGCGCCGCGTCGATCTGCGCTGCGGAACGAAGTTAAGCTTTCGGCGGAAGCTCGCTTCGTTGACCTTCTCGACTTGGCGAAATCGCGCTTCTTCGCTCGCCTGCCTTCGTTCTCTCGCTCTCTCTCTCTCGTTCTGTTCACTCGTTAGCACCCACACTCGCCACATTGCACACACCCGCACCCATGTTCACCGCCTACGCCGCACCCCGCCACGCCTGTCCCGACTCGCCCACTTCGTCTCGCTCGTCCGAGGACCGCTTCGACTTCCACTTTGGCAGCCCCAGCTCATCCAACACCTCGCTCGACGATTTTGACACACACTACGACGACGAATGGTGCCACTTGCGACGCCAGCAGGACACCCTCGTCCACCGCTTGCTCGAGAGGGAGAAGCAGCACGGCAACGAGATCGAGGCGTGGAACGTCAGGTGCCAGACGCTCGAGAGGGAGGTCAAGAGGTTGGCGGCGTTGGTTCTGGGCGTCGAGCGGGAACGCGACGAGGCGAGGGCGCAGCTTGCTCGTTCAGCCGCACAAGGTCCTCTCGCTCCTGCTCCCGCTCGTCCCCTTCAGGTGCGCGCGATCCCTCAGCTGGACAACTGTACGGATATGGTACGTCTGGCTGACGGTACCAGAACGCCACACAGCCCTCTGCCAAGCCCATCCCGGTCATCGACGAGTCGAAACCCATGTCACGCCAGAACCCTCCGCCCTGCAACAGCTTCTACCTCCTCGGCCACTGCAACGTCCCGCGCTGTCGCTACGAGCACCGCTACGAGCTGAATGCGGAGCAGATCGAGGAGATGAGGCGGGGCGCAAAGGTGCGTTCGCGAGCATCCTCTTCCGTTCGCCACGTAGCTGATGATCCTCGCGCTCCGCAGCACCACATCTGCAACGCCATCAAGAACGGTCTCGCGTGTCCTGAAGGCGAAGCGTGCATTTTCGGCCATGCCTGTCCGAAGGGACCCGCTTGCTCGCGCGAACGATGCGCCTTCAACGACGAGGTGCGCACGCTCTCCCTTCTCCTGCTGCTCTCATCGTTGAACTGACGCAAAGTGCGCGCGCAGCAACACCGCGTCCTCCCTCTCCCGCGCCCCCCTCTGCGTCGCCGCTAGTCCTGCTTTTTCGCCGCCGCTCGCTGTACCACCCATAATATCATTCCCTCGCAACTGTTGTCGTTCGTCGTCGCATACACCCTCTCACGTTCTAGTTCAGTAGCATAACTCCACTCGCGCTCACTCGCAACGCAGCCCTCTCTCGCACTCCTCCTCCCGGTCGCGAACGATCCTCGATAAAGTCCCTTCCAGCGAGTCTACCTCGCGTTTGTCTACTGCTTAACTCGACTATCGACGCTCCCCGGGCGTGAAGCAAGCTCGTCCAGGATGCGCTGGTGGTCGCGTCCGCGTCCGCCGGCTTGCGAGAGCATGAAAGCGATGTCGAGGCTTTGTTCGAAGTTAAGGCGGGCTGCGCGAGCGAGCACGAGTCAGCACGCTCCAGTGTGAGGGGGAGGGAGAGAGGAAAAAGGGGATGCACGATCGCAGTAACTCTCGAACCTCAGACCCAACTGCTCCTCCTCCAACCTCATACTTCCCCCCAAACACTCCGTCACACTCAACCCGTCCTCGGTAATATCCCCCGTCAACTCGAGATGCACGCCTCCCAGCCTCGAGCCGAGCTCAGAGTGGATCCGGAGAGAGGCAGAGATCTCGTAGACTATGTCGTGCATGTGACGAGTCTTGACGCCCGGATAGGCGGAGGAGGTCTTGGTGTTGCCGTGCATCGGGTCCGAGGCAAAGATGACTGCGCGAGAGAGAGGTTGTGAGCAGGAAAGGGGACGCAAAGAGGGAGAGAGCGAAAACTTGCCCTTGTGGCCGGACTGCTGGACAGCCTTGATGTGCGCGGGGAGCTTCTTGTCGATCTGCAAGATGGCGGAGGTTCGTCAGTAAGCGAAGGACACACGAGACGAACGAAGCGACAACTCACCAAATCCGCTCCGTAGCGACTGATCAAGGTGACCTTTCCCGGCTCCTTCTTCGGATCCACGATCCCCAACAATCTCACCAGCTCATCCGGCTCCATCGACGGTCCAACCTTGATGCCCACCGGATTCCGCAATCCGCGGAAGAACTCGACATGCGCGCCGTCGAGCGCGCGCGTGCGGTCGCCGATCCAGACCGTGTGCGCAGAGGTGCAGTAGTAGCCTTTCTCGCCCGGTTCGGAGGCGGCGAAGGAGGGGACGGGGAGCAGGCGGGTCAGGGCGGATTCGTATTCGAGCATGAGGGCCTGATTATCGAGAGAATCAGCGAGGTCGGAGGAAGGAGGGAGAGGGCAGCCGCACTTCGTGGCTCATGAAAATGTCTGCGCTCTCGAGAGCTCCAGCCGCACCGCCCGTCCCGCGGTCAACACCGATAACGCTCATGAACTCGAGTGCGTCGCTCAAGCTCTTCACGATGTCCTCGTAGCTCTTGAGCAGTTCAGGCGAGCGCACGTGCGCGAGAGGGAGCGACCACGGGACGGTGTGGTTGCCGCCGGTCGGGAGGGAGGCGAAGCCGGACGCGAGGAGGGAGCGGACGTGGTTGACGGTTGCGGCGGAGTGGAAGTAGGCGGAAAGGAGGCGTTCGGGGTCGGGAAGGCGGTCGTCCACGTCGATGCCGTTGACGTTGTGGCCGCTAAGAAAGTAAAGCAAGGGTCAGCAAAGGGAAGCGGCAGAAAAGGGCAGCCTGAACGGACCGGAAGGACGGAATCTCCTTGCCGTCGACGACCTCTGTCTGCTTCGACCTGGGCTTCGCGTACTGGCCTCCCATGCGAGCAATGCGGACGACGGGCATCTTCATTCCCCCTAGACCGAACGAGCATGAGTCAAGCGAAGCGAAGGGAGGAAACCCGACGCACAAATCAAGATCAAGCTCATCGAGAGCAGCAGGGACAGCCTGTGCTCGATCTTCTCGCTTGTGCAGTAGTCGAAGAGCTCTGCGGAGAGAGATCAGGTCAGCCTCCTCACCTCTCGAGACCGCACGTCCTCCTCGACGACGGCGAACGCACCTGCACAGTCTCCTCCCTGCAGCAAGAAGGCCTTGCCGTTTGCCACATTCGCCAAGCTGAGCTTCAGTCGTTCGATCTGTGCAAGCAGAGGCGTGCTAGAGTCGATACTTGTCGAGTACCATCCACCGACTGATGAGGACAAGGGGAACGCACCTCTGTCGCCGACACGATGGGAGGGAGTGTCTCGAGCTTGTAGACGACATCTTCGAGTCCCTGCTTCTTCTTGTACAGGACGGGGTCGGGCGCAGGGTGTGTGCTCGACGAGGACGACGGGTCCGGGTACGCAACAGGCTGTCCGACGGGCTTGGAGCGCCACGACTGGGGCGACCACGGTGTTTGCGGAGCAGTGGGGGCAGGAGAAGCCATCAGAGCGGCGTTGCTGAGCTGAGCAGAGCAGGCAGACGGCGAACAGGAAGAAAGTAAGACGGCGCAGGAAAAAGCGAAGGGAGCAAGGCAAGCCGTCGCCAACAAGACCGACTTCGCAGAGAGAAGTGAGTGTTGCAGACAGTCTACGCCGTCTAGTCGAGCCCAATCGCCGCGCGGACATCCTCCATCGTCCGCGCCGCCGTCGCCCGCGCCTTGTCCGCCCCCTCGCGCTCCTTCTCCCTCAGAAACGCCTCCTCCGTCCTGATCCTCGCAAACTCCTCCCTGAACCCGCGCAGCCCCTCACTCACACACTCCCCTAAGTCTGCCTTCATCTCCATGATCCCCCGCTGGCCCGTGTACCGCTTCGCAATCTCCTCGACGGGCTCGCCCGAGTACCCCTCGTAGATCTGGAGGAGCGTCGCGATTCCTGGCCGGTTCTCCGGGTCCCACGTCACGCCCTGGATCGAGTCGGTCACGGCAGTCTTGATCTTCGAGTGGATCGTCTCGGGAGAGTCGGTGAGGTAGATCTTCGAGGCTTCGGACGGTGCAGACTTGGACATCTTCTGCAGCGGGTTCCGCAGAGACTGGATGCGAGGGTGCGTGGCTAGAGCGAACGAGTCAATGTGATCGTCTGAAGCGATGAAGCGAGAGAGGCGCACTGAGCATGACCTCGGGCATCCGGAACGGTCCCTTGCCCTTCCCCTTGCCGTCTCTTCGTCGACCCGGGTAGGCACGGTTGAACACCTGCGCGATGTCGCGACACAGCTCAAGGTGCTGAGACTGGTCGTGTCCGACGGGAACGTGCGTGGTCCTGCGGGGGGAGAACAAATTAGCGAACCTCGAAGGAGGGCGAAAGAGACGGAAGGCATACCTGTAGAGCAGGATGTCGGCGGCTTGTAGGACTGGGTACGCGAGCAAACCGAGTTGGAGCATCGAGTCGTCGATCTCGTCTTCCGACTTTGCGTTGCGCAGCGTAACGAGTTTCGACTGTAGACGACTGATCAGCCTTCGTCTGCCGAGGAATATGGAACGCGCGGGCTCACCTTCCAGGTCGTCATCCGCATCAGTCGGTTCACAGGCGTAACCGTGTTGAGGTACCACGCCAACTCGCCGTGTTCGAGCACCTGGTCCTGGTGAAAGACCGCCGCTCCCGCCTTTGGATCCGTAAGACCGAGGGCGAGCAAGACAGCAAACATGTCTCGTCGTTCTTGTCGTAGCCGGATGGGGTCCTGCGCCGGATGTCAACGAGGTGAGCCGCTGTCGAGCGGAAGAAGGAGAGATTTGAGACGCACCTGCGGGACCGTCAGGGCGTGCATGCCCACGACCGAAAAGTACAGCTCATCACGCGACTTCTCAGGCTGCGCTGCGACCTCCCTGACCAGCCTCTGCCACTGCGCGAGGGCCCCGAGGTGGTTCCCGATCTGCGAACAGGCTGTGTGAGCTCCCGCCAATTCGTTGACGGTTCGAAGGGACGCACGTGTGGGACGCCCGTGGGCTGGATACCCGAGAAGACGACTCGCTTCTTGCGAGCTGGTTGGGCGGAAGTAGGTTCGCTCGTGGAAGTAGCAGGAGGAGGGGGAGGAGCAGGGGGCGTGGGAGCGGTCGAGTAGCTTCGTGGCGCGCCAGACTGGCTCAAGAAAGCTCGCAGCGCTCTTCGCTGAGCCGCTCCAGCCATCCCAGCCATGTTGAGCGAGGTCGAGGAAGCCAACTTCATCGGGAACAACTTTGGGATGTCCACGTCTCCCTCGACTCGCTCGTGGCTGACTGCTGAAGTGCGTGTCGGCTTGCTATGGCGTTCTGGAAGCCTGGCACGGTCGCGCCCGGCTCGTCCATCGACCGCGACACCGTCAACCAGGAGTCGGCAGGCGGGGGAGCACCGGCTGTCACAGGCAGGATAGAGCGGATTGCAGTGTCTGAGCGACGCGGACGGCTGCCGATAGCCAAGCAGCGTGCGTACCAGCGGTCACCCGTTCGAGCGATCCAAGTTGACCGGTTCTTGCGACGACAGGCGACGCCCTTCTCTACCTCCTTGAACGGCACCCGGTCGTAGTTCTGCAGTCACCGACCGGTACAGGCAAGAGTACGCAACTGCCGCAATTCCTGCTTGAAGCGGGTTGGGCGAAGGACGGGAAATGCATTGCCGTGACGCAGCCAAGACGGTTCGTTTGCTCGCCTTTGGCCACTATCGACGAGCAAGTGCTCACGATCCTTCTTCTCCTTACAGAGTGGCGGCTATCTCGGTGGCGCAGCGAGTAGCGGAGGAAGTGGGCTGCATCCTGGGCGAAGAGGTTTGTTCTTCCGTTTCCTCCACTTTCTCCCTTAACGCTAACGCTTTGTTTGCTGACAGGTGGGCTACAGCGTCCGCTTTGAGGCCCTCTGCACGCCAGAGACGAAGGTGCTGTACTTGACGGACGGCATGCTATTCCGCGAGATTTTGCTTGACCCTTTGCTGTCCCGGTACGTCCTAGTCTGTTCCGATGTTCCGTCTCCCGGGCGCTGACTGTTATCTCCTGCAGATACTCGGTCGTCATGGTCGACGAGGCGCACGAGCGGAGCAGCTATACGGACCTCTTGCTGGGCGTGCTGAAGAAGTGAGGCGGATGCCGACTTGCTCAATCCTGCCAGAATCGTGGCAGTGCAAGCTACGTAGCGGAGACGTCTTCACTGACTAAGTCGTCTTCCAGAATCCGCCGCGTCCGCCCCGAGCTTCGCATCGTCATTTCGTCCGCTACCATCGAGGCGCAAGAATTCGTCGACTTCTTCAACCGCACGACGCCCTCTTCTTCTCATCCCAACTCTGGCCTCAAACCCGGCGAGGACGTTCACGCACCTCCACCTGCGAAGAAGTCTCGATGGGACAAGAAAGAGAAGGAGGAGCCGAAGCTGGATGAGGCGGTTATGGTTCGGCTGGAGGGCAAGGCGTTCCCGGTCGAGATCGCCTACTTGGAGGAGCCGACGAGCGACATTGTGATGAAGGTCGTCGAGACGGTCTTTGACATCCACCTCAAGGTGCGTCCGTTCCTCCCCTTGCTCTCTCGGGCGTGCTGACCGCCGTTCCTTCCGCAGCACCCGGTTGGCGACATCCTCGTCTTCCTGACTGGTCGAGACGAGATCGACCGGTGTCTCCAGCAGATTGCGGACTACCAGCACCGGTGAGTCGGGCTTCAGGTCTTTCCGCGACGACCCGCTTATTCCTTCGCCGCAGACTACCGCAAGGCGCTCCACTCATCAAAGCGTTCCCTCTTCACTCCGGCCTTTCGACAGAGAGCCAGATCGCCGTATTCGAACCGCCTTCGCCTCGAACCCGGAAAGTCATCGTGAGCACGAACATCGCCGAGGCTTCGGTCACCATCGATGGTATCAAATTCGTCGTGGACTCGGGACTCGTCAAGGTGCGCTCAGTGCACCCCTACACCCCGATGTCAGGCGCTGACACCCTTCACAGCTACGATCGTTCGACCCGGTGACCGGCATGGACGCGCTCGTCACGACTCCCTGCTCCCTCGCCTCCCTCGCTCAACGAGCAGGCCGCGCAGGGCGCACGTCGCCCGGCAAATGCTTTCGCCTCTTCCCCGCCACGGCACTCAAGGCCCTCCTTCCGACGACCCCGCCCGAGATCACTCGATCCGACATCTCGCTCCTCGTCCTGCAGCTCAAGTCGCTCGGCATCCAGAATATTCTCCGCTTCGACTGGATGACGAGCCCGAGCAGCACGATGCTCGAGCGCGCGCTGGAGTTCTTGTATTGCCTCGGCGCGCTCGACGAGGAGGGCAAATTAACGCGGCCGCTTGGAGTGCGGATGGCGGAGCTACCGATTGATCCGATGATGTCGAAGATTGTGTGTTGCAGTGTCTAGCGGCCACGTGAGCCCGGCTGACTGTTCGCGCACACAGCTGCTCGACTCGCATAGCTTCGGCTGCTCCGACGAGATCTTGACAGTCGCGGCGATGACTTCGGTCCAGGCAAGTGACATCACTCTACTACGCGCTACTTCGTGACTGACTCGTCGTCCCTTGCAGAACGTGTTCATCCTCGACGACGGCGACTCGATTCGAGGCGAGCTGGAGCGGCGCAAGTTCACCGTCGAGGAAGGCGATCACCTGACGGCGCTCAACGCTTACAACGCATTCATCAAGCGTGAGTAGCGTGACATCTGCCCTCAACAGCCGGACTGACGATACAACTTGCTGTAGACGGTCGGAAGTCGTCCAAATGGTGCCACAACGTGAGTCCTTGCCGCGAAGTCGTTTCCCACTTGACCTGGGCTCACGTTTTCTCCATCGCAGCACCGCCTCAACTTCAAGGCCCTCTCGCGCGCCCTCTCCATCCGGACGCAACTCAGCAAATACCTCAAGCGCTTCGACATCCCGATCATCTCCTGCGGATCCGATCATGCCAAGATCCGACGATGCCTGACGAGCGGCTACTTCCGGAACGCTGCGGTCGCTCAGCCAGACGGGACGTACAAGTCTGTGCGGGAAGGAGCAGTGAGTCTCGCCTCCGTGCTCGGCCTGTCTGCCCCCGCTGACCCAGTCTCGTCAGCTCCTCCATGTCCACCCCTCCTCCGTCTACTTTACGCGCACTCCGCCGTCGTCGTTCGTGATCTTCCACGAGGTCATCGAGACGACGAAGCGGTTCATGCGCGAGGTGACGGCCATCGAGCAAGACTGGCTCGTCGAGCTCGCCGGTCACTACTACCAGTTCAGAGAGACCAAGCGGTAGATTCTGTTGTTGCCATACTAGCCATCATCAACGCGACAAGGTCCCGGTCTTCCTCTTCCTCCCCCTTCGCTCCTCGCTCCTCGCTCCGATGGCTCTCCCTTCAACCGCTCCGGCGACGTCCAGCATGGCCTCAGCGCCCGTCGACTCTGCCGCTGTGCTGCCGCGACCACGAGACTCAGCCCCACCTCCTCGTCCCGACCTCGTCGACTCGCTCATTGCTCTCGAGGCAGGGCTTGATGGGGCAGATGCTAGGACTGTTGTCGCACTGGACGCGCTCATCGACATTGCTCGTCTGCGGTCCGCCTGTCTGGATAAGGTGGAGGCCATTCGGGTCGAGCGGCAACGATTGATGTCGGAGGAGATCCTGGGTCCGCTGTCCTCTTTCGAGCATGACGAAGCTACCTACGCTGATGCACATCTCGAGACGCAGCCCACCAGCGCTCGCGCGTACTCTTGGGGCAGGCCAGGCACGAGATGGCCTTGCAGGAGATGTGGACGGCGGAGATTCGGGAGGTCTACGCCCGCGCAGCGTTCGAGAATGTCGACCTGTCAATGGCAGTCGAGGAGAAGGCTTCGGGCACTGGGGAAGAGTTGGCCGGCGCGGAGGAAGTCTCGCGGGAGGAAATGCTGAATCGCCAGGTCCGTCTGCTGAACCCTTGCCTGCCTGCCAGACTGACGACGACCCCTGCAGCTATTCTACCTCACACACTCGATGCAGAAGAGTGAGCGCCGCCTGCAGTCGCTGCTCGACACCCTGCGCTCCTTGCCGAATCTCAGCTCGACCCAAACCGCTCACCGCCAACTCCATGACATCGCAATTCTCTGGACGAACCAGCTCGTCGCACTGTCTTTCAAGCGGCAGCAGATGACGCAGGATTTGGAGAACGTGCGACGGACGCGGGCGGCGATGGAGGACAAGCGCGATCTGATCATTCTCGACCTCGTACTCGACTGGAACGCCATGCGATCATTCGGAAGGGCATGAGACTCTCACTGGGCAATGTATAAAATGCCGTCGTCGCCGGCGTCGCCATCGGACGCGACTTCGAGGCGTGTCGAAACGCCTCCTGTCGTCTTTCGCTCGATCGAGCGACGTGCCGGCTCTTCCCTCCGAACATCTCGCCTCGCGTGGTCCGTCGACCACACGCATGCTGTCCTACCTGTGGTCGTTCCTGTCGGGTCCCACGTCGCCTGCCACGCCTGAACAGGCGCCTCACCTCAGCGAGCAGCAGGTGCGCTCAGGCTTCTGCTCCTCGTCCCCCACATCCCGCTAACTGATTCGCCTGTTCAGCTACACGCTCTCCACGTCGAATGGACTCGCATGCAAGAGCGCAACAGGGCAGACGCGGACGCGTTGCTGGGCAAGCTGGTCGAGGAGAACAACCGCCTCGTCGAGACGCTGGACGGCGTGCAGCGCGAGCTGAAGGACGTCAAGGCGGGCAGGAAGGCAGACGAAGAAGCTCTGAAGGCGGCGCAGAAGGAATTGGCGAAGCTGGGCGGCGGGAAGGTGCGTACTTGAGAGAGGGACACCGCGTGCACGGGAGCTGACCCATCTTCGCACAGAATGGTATACTATCCTCTAAGGAAGAAGACGAGCCGTACTTATTCGCCGCTGTACAGGTCTCGCGGTAGCCATCCTCGACCTTGAAGCAGATTGGGTCCGTCTGGTCGTGGTATGTCACAAGCGACGTCTGCTGATGCTCCCTCCGCCTGACAGTTCGCGCCTTCTATCCTCAACTCTAGTCAACCTGGTCGAGCAGTCGTCGAAGGCTTAATCGGCAAGCTACGCGAGACTCTGCTTCTTCTGCCGTTGGAGGAGCAGCGGAAGGACTGGCAGCTACTCGTCTTCGTCTTCTGGTGCGCTCACACTGCTCCTTCGTACTTAGGAGTCTCTCTGACTCGGTGCCGCAGGTCCCGCAATGCGGATTTTGTCCGCACTCTGCTGGCGAACCGGACCTTCGCCTCGTCCAAGGATTTCGACCGCTTTGTCGGTCTTTCCCTGTCCTTCCCCACGCTTCACCTCATTGACGTTCTCCCTTCCAGCTTCACAGCTTGGACAGCGTTCGCCCTCTTTGCAACGTCGTTATCAACGACCTGCCGAAAGACCAGCTGCGCCAACGCCAGCGAGGTGCGCTCAAAGCTCCTTGCTCGCTCGAACAGCCCCGCTGATCTCGCTCTCCTAGCTTTCGCGACAGCTTTTGCGCGTGATGCGTCTTGCCGCCGCCTGCTGCTCGGCCGCTGGGCGTTCACCGACCTTGCGTTGGCCGAAGAGGTCGCTTTCACCGCCGCAGCCGCTCGACCAGCGTATCCCGGAAAAATTATGTTCGCCGAGCCCTTCGTCGGCTCTTGCGTGCCGCCGCAAATCCACCGACTGGAGCCGAAAATCCTGCGGATCTCGAACCTCCTGCGGCGCTATCCGCTCGAGACTCGGTCCGAGAAGCGGCCTCTGCTCCAGCTCGACTACACTCGGGTACGTCTCTTCGACACTTCGAATGAAACGAATACGCTGATTGAGTCGCACCGCTGCAGCCCCTTTCCCAGCAACGCCCGCCGCTCTGCCTCGACCAGTACCTGTCGCCGAATCGCTGTCCCGATGAGCGATGCGCCTTCTCGCACGACTACGAGATCCCGAGGGAGGTGGTCGACGCGCTGCGCTACGAAGTGTCGCGCACGCCTTGCCCGCTTCGCACGGGCGGCTTCGCCTGCGACGGCAGAGCCTGCCACTTTGCGCACCCGCCTCCGACTCGAGCAGCACCTGCACATGACGACCCGCTCTCTCAGGCGCCTCATACGACACCACTCTACCGGCAGCCCGTGCAGGCGCACTCCGCCGCTGGTCAGCCGGAACCGACGCCAGCCCATCTCGTTGCGGTAGCGGCGTCGGCTCCCTCTTCCACACGCTCCGCCCTCATCAAGCTCCTCTCTTCTCCGCAAAAGCCCCCTGCCGCATCGCCTACGCATGCTGCCTCGCCAACGCGCCACGAGATTGCGCCAAACTCGCCATTCGCCCACCCGCTCTCTCTCGTAGATAACGCATCGAATGCGCCCGACTTCGACGCCGTCAAGCTCACGGATGCGGAGCTTGAGTCGATGCTGGCGAAGGCGAAGCTGGAGGAGGCGGAGTATGCGAAGGATTTGCAGGAGGATCCATTTTGGGAAGGCCGCGCGGGAGAAGGAGGGCAAGGAGCGAGATTGGCTTGATTGGGCGGCGCTGGAGCGGTGTAGTACTCACCGAAGCATTCTAGACGGGCATGCATGCACGAGACTGTGTGGCGGGTCGAGGAGGAAGCACCGTCTCCTTCGTACGGTCTCGTTTGTCGTTGCACGAATTCCTGCTTCTGCGCTGACGCAGGCCGTTGTCGTTCGTCCGCTCTCTACGCATCCTCTTTTCGCCTTCGCTCCGCGGGGTCGAGCGGATCAGTGAGCTCCTCTCTTCGCCTCGTTCTCCTCACTTCGCCACGGCAAGTCGCTCTGCTTGACCGGACTCGACGCTTGCGTGCTGCGATGGCTACTGAAGGGTCCGACTCTGTGCTCGGCGCGGTCGAGGAGGACGTTGCGCGCGAGGTCGAGCAGGTACGCGCCTCCTCTCCTCCCTCCTCGGAAGTTGCGGACGACGCTGACGGCCGTTTACGATAACGTGCAGTGGCGCGAGTGAGTGTGGTACAGCTACCGATGGCGCGAGAGTCGCTCACCTCACCCCCGACAGGCTCCTCACGTCTCAGGACGAGTTCGTCGCCAACCTCCTCGCGAACAAGCTCGCCCTGCAGAACCGCCTCGAAGAAGTGCGCAAAGAGCGCAAAGACCTCGAGGCGTCCACCGTAACGCAGCAGGAAGACCGGGAGGAAGTCGCGAGGCTCGCCAGGCTCCGTGAACTCGAGGACGAGGTCGAAAAGTATCGCAACGTGAGTCGTCCGCATCCTCTCAGCTTCGAGTGGCATACTCACCTTCTATTGAACCTCGCAGGAGTACCAAGACCTCAACAAGGCGATCGACGAGGACCAGTCGAGGCTTGCGTTCCTCGAGAGTCAGAGGAAGGAGGCTGCCGAGAGGAGGGAAGAGGCGAAGCGCGAGTCGAAGCCTGGGCGCAAGACGGTCAGGAGGGTCGGTCCGCCCGTCACGCTCGTCCTGATCAACGGGTGCGTCGACTTAATCACCTTCCGACCGACGTTGCTTGACGTTGGCGCACTCTCACGCAGGTCCGTCGCTCCTTTCGCCGACAAGCTGATCCAGGCTGGCAAAGATGGCGGAAAGAAGGCGTCCGAAATGCTTCGGTGCGTTCGACGAGCCTGCCTGCGAGCATGAGTTCCGCTGACCTCCCTCCTGCACAGCAACGAGGTCCAGCTCGACCGCGGCACGGCGGTGGAGAGCGAGAGCGAGGTCATGGTCTGGGTCTGGTACAACCGCCAGGACCTCGTCGCGAGGCTTCAAGCGGACAGGGTCATCACGTACGTCCGCTTTCCTGCGCCCTTTTCTGAGCCAGCTCGCTCACCTCCTTCGTTTGACAGCGTCCCGTCGACCTGGCACAACTTCTCGCAAGGTTTCGCCCGCATCGTCGGCAACATGCTCGTCGACGTCGGTGAGTCCGCTCGACCAGCTCCCAAGGCGAAGCACAGCTCACCTGCTCCTCGCAGACCGCAACTCGGTCGCCGAACACATGACGGCGGTCCTGACCAAATTCGGCTTCATGGGCAACGTCGAGAAGATCTACGTCGCGGGCGTCCACCCGGGCATGACCATTCTCCCCCTCGTCCCGCAAGACGAGGAGGGTTCGCCGGAGGAGCTCGACAAGGCGTTCGAGGAGGTCGTCTTGCCGAAGCTCGTCCTGTACGTTTTGGGCTCCTTCTCGTTGCCTGCTCGCGCCCTGACCAGCGCCCCCTCGCCAGCATCGACCACCGCCCGAACGAGGAGAAGGAAGACCTCGGCGGTCCGACCGTCACCTTTGCCGGCCTCTTCGACAGCTCGAGCAGCCGCCCGATCGTCCCGCCGCTTCAGACCGGTGCAGCTCAGCCGTACGACTACCCGGCCGCTGCTTCAGTTGCATCCGCTCCCGCAGCTTCGCCTCGTTGTGCGTATGTCGTCCGCATCGCAGCTTCGAGCGTGTATCTCGCTGACAAGCCGTCCCTTTCACCAGCCCAAGTTCGGCGGGCTCGTCTGACTGGCAAGAAGTCAAGAGCGGCAAGAGGACTGCGGGTGTGAAGCTGAGAATCGATCCGAACAAGGGCATGCTCCACCAGGGTGCGCGGTTCCTCGTACTCTTTGTCAGCACGTCTGTCTGACCTGGATACGCTCGCAGACCCGCCGATGTGAGCACGTCGCCGACAGCTCCAGCTTCCCCGCTTATCCTCCCCGACCCAGCTGCTTCTTCCATTACTCGACCAAAAACGGCTGCACTCGTCGCGCCTGCACTCACGGCCACAGCTGCGAGTCACAGTCCTCGTGCCTCCTACAGCCCTTCGCTGACTTCCGGCTCGCCCGCAGACGAGATGACGGCAGGTCAGCTCCGGCGGTTCCGCGAAGACGTTGCTCGCTACCCTTGCGCCGTACGTTCACCGCCTGATCTTGCTTCATGCGTTCCCACTGACACACGCTTCAACAGGACCTCCGCAAGACGGGTCGCTGCAAGTGGGAGCAGACGGAAAAGGAGCCGTCAGTTATCGCCCACTTGCGGAGCATCGTATCGTGCGAGACTGACGTCGTCTTCGCTTTGCAGGTGCATGTTCTCCCAGTGCGTACGACCGTGTTCCTCCACAGCGGCGCTGACTCCCTGGCTCGCGACCAGCGATCCCTCGTCATGGCGCAAGTGGTGAGCTCGCCTTCTCGCACGACCCTCCTTCTCCTGCGCTTGTTGTACCGCACAATCTTCCTCCGGTTCGAGTTGCGCTTCGAGCTTGACCGTGTACCTGCAAGAATGCTCTTTCGCCAGACATCGTTGTGGAGTTCAGGATTAGGAAGGTCGAAGAGACTTTGCTTCTCTCGCTTCGAGTGCTGGCAACCCCGAGAGCCGCTTGACAAGTCGAACGGAGACATGCATTACGAAGCGGGATGACAACAACAAGCGAAGCGCGAAGAGAACCCAAAAGAAGCTGACTTTTCTACGACTTCACAGCATCGCGACGAGCCGTTTCGCTGAACAGGCGGCTCAGACGGTTGAACTCGGCAATGTGTGCGAAGAAGGTCTGCAAAGAGGCAAGAGTCAGCAGCTGAGGAACGCGGGCAGCCGCAAGATGTAGGACGTACAAGGTACCAATCCTTCGACCGACCAGCCTGCGCCGCCAAGAACACCTCAAAGCGCTGCTGCAAGACCGGGTCGTCCTTGAAGACCGTGCGCATCCGCTCGTCTTGCAGCGCAGCCTCTGCGTCTTGCTGCGGGACGAACCCGAACTTGACCTTCGTCCGGATGTGTCTGTCGAAGGGCTTGCCATGTCTGCCGAGGGGAGCCTCGTCGAGCGGCGCCCACATCTGAGAGATGGCTTCGAGGTCGGGCGGCGGGAGACCGAGGTACCGTAAGGCATCGAGGTCTTCTGGTTTCGAGGAAGGTCGCGCGACATCGCGCACTCGGTCCTTAGAGGCGACGGCTGCACTAGTCTGCGGTGGAGACGGCGGTGGCTGGCTAGGCGATGCGGGCGGTTGGGCATACGAAGAAGGCGGATGGAGGGGCGAGGCCGAGTGGCGAGCGGGCGAGCGCGAGGAACGAGCTGCTCGAGAGAAGTCGATCAGCTAAAGCAGCGTCAAGACCCTTCGAGGGGACTTACCTGCTCCGAGCTGGTCGTCCTTTCCCGCAGGCTGGCCGGCGGACGAGGTGTATGCCCAGTTGACCGTGATCGCCTGTCCTTTGAAGAGGGTACCGTCGACCCGGTCTAGGGCTCGCAAGGCGTCGCTGTGCCGGTCCATCTCGACGAGCGCCTTACGATCATCCTCGGCGAAAGACTTGGTTTCGAGATAGAGCCTGCGGATGCTCCCGCGACCGATCTTGGCCTCGATGAAGTCGCGCAGGTCCTGTTGTTGCGAGTATGGCGCGATGCCGTAGATGATGAGGTCTCGGTAGTCGGGCGTAGGCGCATTAGTCTGGTTGCGGGTCGGCCCCATGTAGCGGAATCGAGGCGCGGAATAACGACCTTCGAACGGCTGCGTCTCGCCGTTCTTGGGGCGGAAGAAGCCGACTCTGGGACGCTGCCCGCTGAACGTCCGCGCGCCAATCTCTGCGATCGCGTCTTCTGCGGCCCGGATGCTGCTGAAGGCGACGAACGCGAATCGGTATGACTGCTTGATGACGTGATGAACGAAGATGTCCTCTGGCGCTAGCGTCGCACGCGCCAGCACCTCGTACAAGTCTCGCTCTGCCACTGAGCGCGGAAGATTGGAGACGTGGAGCCAGACGAGGGCGTCGGAAGGTTCACGGGCTCGGCGCAACTGCGTGGACGGCGAAGCTTGGCGAGGCGAGCTGAAATGGGGAGAAGGCGAGCGTTCGCGGCGAGTTGGCAGCGGTGAAGTCCTGCGACGAGGGGAGAGTGACCTGCGGCGGGGCGAGAGTGACCTGCGGCGGCCTCGCTCTTCCGTCGGCACCGCTTTTGCAGACGGCGAAGGAAGGGCTTCAGCCCCAACCCTGCGGTTCTGGAGGAAGACGCCGTTCAGCCTCCGTAGGATGAGGCGGAGTTCGTGGTCGTCGCGGAGCTCGACGACGGCATCTATCGCATCCGGCTGACGGCTTGTCCTAAAGTGCGCCTCCGGGTAGCGCTTTGTCTCGATCCACACGAGTTTGCGGACTTCGTCGATCGGAACATCCTTGGGAAGACCGGTGAAGAGGACTCGCGGTCGCGAAGAGCCAGATGAGGCCTGACACGAGGCGCGGGGCGGCGAAGGCGCATGTCTCGACGCATCTGCCGACGGTTGAGCGCCTTGTCGTGAACTCGGCGAGTCATGAGAAGGCACGAGTAGAGCGGCTGGAGGGGTGGGAGCGGGAGGAGACGAGCCTTGGCGCGGCGAAGGTGGTGCCGGCGAAGTGGTCGTCCTCCGGACAAGGTTCTGGGCCTCGTGTATCTGATTTGAGGACGCATCTGGCATTGCGATGGTTGGCGAAGCGGGTTCTTCCTTCGCCTGCTGTTGGGGAAGCGGTGTCGAAGTGCCTGCCTCCGCGTCCGTGGTCGGTTGCTCCGCCTCGACAATTGCGCCTGGCTGTCCATCGACTCCCAAGCCCTTCTCCTCGATCCAAGCGTCGACTTGCTCGAGCGTCCAGACCCGGACGAGCTGGAAAGCGTCGACCGCCTGCTCGCGTCCGCCCAGCTCCCATTCTCGAACGACGCAGGCGTAGGGTGATTCATAGGCATCGAGAGAGATGGGGGGGACGGCGCCACAGTGAAGCAGGCTTTGTATAGCGAGGGAGCGAATGTCGGGATGAGAGGTGGGGAAGGAGAGGGCGGTCTCGAGGGGTGTACGGCCGTTGGAGGACGCTGCGCGCGTGCACGAGCGTTTCGTCAACTTCCTCGACCAGTAACAGTTGCTGCCTGGCATTCCTGGCCCCTGCCATCGAAGGTCTCGACCCGACTCCTTCAAACTGATGAAGACCAGAAAGTCGCCGTACACGCCTCCAAGCACGATGCAAGCCCGAAGAAAGAGCGCACCGTGACCGTTCACTTCTGCAGGCTCGGCGTACTGAAGGACGAGGACGAGAGCGAGGAGGTCGTTGGCTTCGACCGCCTCGACCAGGGCGTCCGTCCTCCCCTGGGCGCTCAGACTCGTAGGGTCGGGCAGGGCGCCGCCTGTGAGGTCCATCTCGGCCAAAGCGAGCGTGCGCAGGCAAGCAGTTAAGCCAGAGCTAACTTGAGTGAAGCGGACCAAGACAAAGGGTAATTTCGCGAGACTCCTATCCACAAGCTTGCTTGGCTTGCCAGGGAGTCCAGTCAAAACGCTCGTCGACAAAAAGCACATGCTGAAGCGATTATGCGATTGCGAAGAAGAAGATCTGCGTTCGCGTAGTTGCGAAGTATTGCGATGCGATCGTGCGAACGGACGGCCATTCCTCCTCAGTTGGCGAGCGCGTCCCCGTTTCCCGCCGAGAGCTGCGTGCCATGGCCGTCCATCGTGGCTGCCGAGCCTGCCGGAGAGGGGGTGCAGACGGCCGAGACGAACAAGTCCGTCGTTCGGTTGAACTCGACGAGCTGAGTAAGAAAGGCCTGCGCGACGCAGCCTTGTCAGTGGAGGCTTCGAGAAGCGCAAGAGATGGGGGGCGCACCATGTACCAGTCCTTGTCCATCCCGGCTTGCGAGCGAAGGAAGGATTCGTATCGACGCTGCATGTGCTGGTCGTTTGGAAAGGCTGGCGAGGTTCTGTTCGCCTCGAGGGCGGTGACTGCATCGTCTTTGGTCGCAAAGCCGAAGGTTGCGCTGAGTTTGACGGAGCCGTCGGCAGACGCTGAGGCTGGGCCGTCGAAAGACGTCCATATGCGCTGGACTGCTTCGACTTCCTCGCTCGGCACCTCCAATGACGAGAGACGAGAGAAACTCTCTGAGAGACTTGAGTAGCTCAGTTGACTGTGTGTGGCGGCATGAGATGAGACGCTGTCGACACTGGTGCCGTTGCGAGGCGAAGCCGTCGGCGCAGTGGCTCGCAAGTCGGCGTGTTGACCCAGGGACATCTGCTTTCGCAGATCGCCCTTGACGTGCACATCCTGACGCCAATCAGTGGAAGCTTCGGCGCGCGGTACTTGAGTCGCAAGAGCCTTTCCTCTCGCCTTCGCATTCAACGATCGGTGACGAGAAGGCGGGGCGAGTGTAGGCGGACCGTCGTCCTCCATACGACGCCGCTTGTTCGGAGAATCTGTTGGAGCAGTCGTCAGTCTTCGTTGCGGGTTGCACATCCGGCGGACTTTAGGAAAGCTGGGCAAGTCGACGCACCAGCTTTTGACAGACGCGCCTGTCGCGTTTCGTAGTTCCTGCGGATGTCCATTGCGGAGTCTCGAACGCCGGAAAGCTCCTGCCAGCCGACGCGGACGGCCGCGCCGTTGAGGATCTTCCCGTCGAGGTCGAGGATGGCTTTTCGGCATGCCTGCTCTTCGTGACAGTCGATGAAAGCGAGGACATTGCTGCCCGCCTGACGAACGAGGATGCTGGAGATGACCTCGATCGGGATGCTGTGCTGTGCAAAGCGCGCGATATCTTGCTGGGTCGTCCCTTGCGCGAGGTGGAGAAGGAAGAGTCCGATTCGGCGAAGATGGCTTGGCCGTTCCGCCTGCCGCACTGCATCGACATAGCGCCTGAGCGGATGCCATTCGCTAAGTCGAGGCTGCTTTGAGCCCGTTTCTCGGTCCGTGAAAGGCTTCGCCAGCAGCGGAACGCCGTGAGTCCGAAAGTCGTGCAGAAGCGACACCGCACTGTCTGCTTCTTGGGAGGTGGGAAAGGCAACGTAGGCGAAACGGCGATCCTTGCGAGGCGACTGTGACAGGAAGACGTCCGCAACTCGGATGCCGTACTCCTCAAGTTTCTCGAAAATGAACCGCTCGGAGATTGACAGAGGGATGTTGCCGATGAAGCTCCAGTAAGCCGGCATCGCATCAGTCAGAGCGAGGTCGTCAGGCTGAGGCGAATGAGGGCGGGAAGATCGGCGGCGCGAGTCTTGCTCATGTGAGTGATGGGAGCGTTCGTAGTCTGCGGCCCGGCGAGGAGATCGGCTCCTGCTCCGGCCACCTCGGATAGCATCATGGCTGGGAGACCTTGGACGCTTGGGAGGAGCAGGTGCTGACGTAGAGGGTATTGGCGGGGTTTCGACAGGGTCCATGTGCCCTCCGGTGTCGTCTGGAAGCAAGTCATGCTGTCCAATGTACGTTTCAGCGCCTTCGAGGTCCATAGCGAGCAGGGAGGCGGCTTCGTGAGCTGAAGAAGCGGAGGTTCAATCCAAGATCTCTTCGAAGACGCTCAACGGCAAGCCAGCTCACCTGCTTCCTCGCGGCCGTTCCTCCACCCTTGCAGAATCACGATGAATCCGGGAAGGGTCTGCCTCGGCGGATCATGCAGGACACGGTCGAAGCTGTTCGTCGAAGCAGGAGACACTCGACGATGAGGCGGCGGCAGGCGGCGTGGCGAGTCGGCCGGCTGATGGCGGCTTCGAGAGGAGTTTCTCTCGCGGACCTCGCTGTTGACGGACAGGCAGAGCGTGCATGTCAGCGCACGCCGTTAGCTCGAAGCAGCCCAGCGAGAATGCGTGAAAGCCCAAATAGCCGAGGAAGCCCTGGACTCACAGACGCCGTCAATTTCATCGCCCTTGACGCAGTACAGAACCAGCAGAACGCCCAGGAGGTCGTCAAGGGAGATCAGGCGAACGAGTTCGTCCGTCCGCTCCTCAGTCGACATCGCCGCCGGATCCGCAAGCACTTCGACGTCGGCCATTCTGTGCGCAGAGCTTCGGAGCGCGCGAAGCAGCCCTGCTGTGCTTGTAGCGAGAGTCGAGCGAGGTCGAGGAGGCCAACCTGCGAGCGATGATGAAGTTGGACTCTCCGTCTCGCTCGCCAGCTTCCTTGGGCCCAGAGATGCCCGCGACGCCGTTGCAGCTACGCTCTCGAGGCTCCCAGACAGGACTGAACACGCCGCAGCGAGCGGACAGCCCGTTCCGCCCGAGTATCGCAACGGAGTCCAGGAGGGCACTAGGGCTGGCGAGAGACCCGGGCACGCCTGTTGGACGTCTGCTGGCATCGGAAGGAGTAGCAGTGAGGAGTCCACGGCGGGTCAGGCAGCGGTCGTGGCAGGAAAGGTCCGTCTTGTTCAACGACTCCCTCCCGAGGTGCTTTCGCAGGCTGACCAGCTCTTCTTGGCGAGTGCGTAGGGCACGAGACTGGCCTTCGAATGCTCTGCTGTCGCTCGAGACGTCCGTCCAGCTCCTCTCGTTCGACGCCGCCGGCTACCCTCTCGGAATCGCCCTCAACGTCCTCCATTTCCTTGTCCGCCTGCCCGGGTTCTACTCCGCCCTTCCATCCTTCTCTTCCATCTTCCGCTCATCAGCATCCACAGCAAGTCGATACGCCCGCCGAGTGGACTTCGACCTCGCAGATGCCGACGCGCGGCTCGAAGCGCTTCAGCGGCAGACACGGTCTGGGCAAGCGGGAGGCTGGAGCTGGTGGGCGTGGTGGTTGAGCGTCGGGTTTATCCTGCTAAGCGTCGGCAATGCGGTGTATCTGGCGAGTCGGCGGCGGAAGTACCAGATGGTGTTGCGGAAGGTGCGTTCGATCGTCAAGCGCCGTTTCCGAGTCGCTTACTGACTCCCAGTCACGCAGGACCCGATTGCCTCGCCTAACGCTCGATCGGCTCAGCTCGACTTCTCGCCGACGAAGCGACGACGCAGCCTGGCCGAGTCAGTCAAGCAGTCGGTCAAGGACTTCGTCTGGAAGAGCCAGCCTGAAGAGGCGCAGGTCTATCCGGTGCAGGAGCTCGACGTCTGGACGCCGGAACGCGTCAAGTGGTCCCTGCGCATCTTTACGTGCGTAGCTCGGTGCTCGCTTACTTCTAGCTGGCTCGCTGACCCGTTGCGCCAACTTCAGCGTCTATTCGCCACCTATCGCCCTGATGTACCACTTCCTCTCACCCTCCAACTTCCTCTCCTTCCTCCTCTGCGGCACGCTCTTCACCCTCCAAACCTTCCTCCTCGTTCACCTCTACTCGACCCTGATCACCGACCGCGCTGCACTACAAGCCGAGGTCATGCACGAGTACAACGCCAAATTCGTCAACCCACGTGTGTTTGTCGCCAAGCGCGACGCGTGCGTCTCGACGAGCCAGGCGGAGATGGTGCGGCCGGAGGACTGGCTCGCGGCGGGTCCATCGTCGTCGAGGCGACGAGTCACGGTCCACGAGACGGAGAGCGGTGACGAGGTGATCAGAGCGGGCAGCGGGCGCAAGGTCAGGCGGAGGCAGAGCGAGATGCCGTCGAGGTCGTCGTCGTTGCAGCTGCAGGAGGACGAAGAAGCGGTCGACTCGCCCGCTCCGTCGCGGCGTCGTGCCAGGGCGTCGATGCTTGCGTAGTACACTGCATCGGAGTGCAGTTCGCCTCTCTCCGTCTTGATAAATCGCAAAGTCAAAACAACTTCGCCGCGTCGCGTCTCGTTCGAGGTTGTCGTCCTTCATCTCGCCTTGCTCTCGCTGGACTGCTCGTTCTGCCGCTCGTGACTATGTCTGACGACCCAGCTACCACCTTGTGCGCTTCGGCGGGTCCCGCGCTCGCTCCGTCGCTCTCGCTCACCTCCTCGTCGTCCCCACAGCTTTCCCGACGCCGACGAGATCCCCTCGCTGTACGACGTGCTGGGCGTCTCTGCTGAAGCGACAGACGACGAGATCAAGAAGGCCTACCGCCGCCTGTCCCTTCTGAATCACCCCGACAAGGTCGCAGCGACCGCCTCTTCTCCCGAAGACCTCGCCGCCGCAACCCTCAAGTTTCAGCAGATTGGCTTCGCGTATACGGTGCTCAAGGATGCTGCGCGGAGGGAGAAGTATGACATGACGGGCAGCACGATGGAGAGGAGGGCCGAGGGCGCAAAGACGGAGGCGGAATGGAGGGACTACTTCAGGGAGTTGTGGACGGGCGAAGTGAGCGCGCAGACGATGAACGACTTTGCGAAGAAGTACCAGGGTGCGTACGGGCTCTATTCGAGACAAACGGTGCGCTGACTTCGCATGGCTCACGCAGGATCTGACGAAGAACGTCGCGACATCCTCGAAGCCTACAAGAATTCGTCCGGCGACATCGAGTCCATCCTCAATTCGGTCATGTGCGCGACAATCGACGACGAAGACCGCTTCGTCAAGCTCATTGACGACGCTATCGCCGCGAAGGAGGTCAAGGCGACACCTGCGTGGAAGAAGTCGTCCAAGGATACGCAGGGCAAGGAGAAGCGGAAAAAGAAGGCTGACAAGGAGGCAAAAGAGGCAGAGGAGCTTGCAAAGGAGCTCGGCGTCCACGACAAGCTGTACGGGAACGGCTCGTCTTCGTCGAAGGGATGGAAGGGCAAGGGCAAGGGCAAGAAGGCGGACGCCGAGGACGACGAGGCTTCTCTGCGCGCGCTCATCCAGGGCAACCAAGCGAAGCGCATGAACTCGCTCATCGACTCGCTCGAGGCCAAGTACGCCGCAGCAGAGGCGAAGAAGGGGAAGAAGCGCTCGTCGACTGGCGGCGAGGACGCCGCGAAGGGCGGAAAGAAGGCGAAGAAGGAGGCTGAGCCGACCGAAGAGGAGTTTGCCGCGATCCAGGCGAAGATGGACGCTCGTCGGAGCAGGAAGTAGTTGAGCATCTCCTCTCTCTCCCTCGCCCCTCTTGTTGTACTTCTCTCCCGCTTCTTCGCTCACTAGCCTGTTCGTTGTATCGTTGATGGCATCATCTCACAATTCGGGAGTGAGGAAAGCGAGTATGCATTGCTGTGAGGAAACGAAAAGTTCTGATACTGCGGACTCTTCAACGCTTCGACAGCCGTCTAGAGCATCGAGCCGAGCCTGTTGCAGCGCAAGGACGGAAGAGATCCAGATCAGTCAGGCTGTTCGACGCGGAAGCAGGTGCGCACCTCGGCGCTTTCTGCGTCCTCCACAAGTCTACTTCTTCCCACCGGGACCGCTCGGACCGTAGTAGAAAGCGACGCCCATCGCCGCAATCAAGCCGAACGACACGGCGAACGAGCCGACATTGGCGAGCGTCCACCGGTTCACGCGAGCGGTTTGTGGTCGTCTTCGCTGGGCCCGAGCGGTCGAGGAGGTCGCGGAAGAAGAGGATGCGGTGGAGGAGGAGGTAGAGAAGGAAAGCAAGCCTAACCCGATGGATTGCAAGCCGCGGATGTAGAACGCATGGAGCTGTAAGAGGATTCGGGGTCAGTCAGGAGTTTTGAAGGGATCGCGTGGGCGCAGAACGGCTCACGTTCGACTCGGTCTCGTCCTCCTTGCCGATCGGGCAGCCTCGCAGGACGAGAGTCAAGGTCGTGCTCGAGCTGCCCTGGTCGAGCAACGTCTCGAGCTGACCAAAGTGTCCCTCAGGCCAGGTCGGTGCTCGCCAAGTCGAGACAAATGACTTGGGCCGGTCGACCTTCTCGACCTTCCCGACCACGTTGCCGCCGAAGAGGCTGACCTCGGCGCCGACCTCCGGCGCCATCTGAGCCGGGTTACGCGACCAGGCGGGAATCTTTTGAGGGTTGGTGAGGAAGTCGAAGAGGGTCTCGGCGTCGCACTGGAACTCGCCCGACACGCGGACAGTCGACGTGTTGAGGGAAAGACCCTTAGCGGTAGGAGTTTTGGCCGTGGAAGAGGCGGAGGAGACGGAGGGAGCGGAAGGAGGGGCGGGAGTAGACGAAGTTGCCGGGGTCGAGGCGCCTGAGCCGGAAGGGGAAGCGTTGGCGTCGTCGAGGAGGTCCTTGCCGTGGGTGGCAATCATGTCCTTCGGGAACTGCTGGAAGAGTGGTCGAAGCTTGTTGGCAAGCGCCTTTCGTGCCGTCTGGAGGAAAGCGTCGGCCTCCGATCCAGAGCCCGACGAGAGTGACGCCTCGAAGCGGTCTGCGGATAGTACGTCAGCTCACAAGTCTTGTCGACGAATGAAGTGAAACTTACACTCGTCCTCCTCCATGTCATGCGCAACCTCGGGCGCAACGAGAGTACCCTCGACGTCCTCACCGTCCTTCGTCGTCGCCTTCCACTTCATCGTGATCCGCTGGTCGTAGACGGTGATCTGTGGGAAGGCTGTAGGTTAGCGAAGCCCCTCCAGCGGAGAATGGAATAGGACGTACCAGCTTGCTCTTCCGCATGCCGAGTTCACAGTCTCCCTCAACATCCTGAACCTCCGTGATGGACACGCCGTTCGCCTCAATACCCGTCAGCTTCTCTGCGAACCACTCCTTGGCCCAGGGCTGTCGTTTCGGCGAAGGTGAAGGTCAGCGGGGAAGTCGCCCGGACGAACGGCTCGAAGCGGAAGCGTACCTCACAGCCCTTCGTCCTCCAATCTGTAGATTAGATCGAGCACAACGCAAAGCAGATCAGCAAGCGGGTTGCGACGAGGGGGAGTCGAGCCGGAAACTGATGGAATCGACGGTCGCCGTCAGGCGAGGGGAGGGCGGGAGGACTCACGCCAGTTCTTCAGGCCAGGCGGTAGTGCTGCCATAGTGTCTGCGGGCGAATCTAGCGCTTCAAACGGGATGAGCGAGCGAGAGGACGGAGGGAAAGCGGTGACGGAGTCGCGGAACTTGGTCGCAAGAACGGCGACGACGACTTTCACGCTCGCGAACAAGCGACTCGTCGTATGACTCCACGCAGGTTGATTACAGCCGAAGAGCGGGAAAAGGAGCGAGAGATTGGGTCAAGTGAGAAGAAATGCGAAAAATGAGGAGTGTCTATAGGTACGTGGGCGTGCGAGGCGGAGCCAAGAGTACACGAGGGCGTCAAAGGAAAGGAAGCACGTGCGCGGCGCGTAACTGAGGAGAGGTCGGTTGTCCGACGGCGAGGAGGGCGGAAGGAGGAGGAGACTCGAGGCGAACGCCCGTATGCTAACGAAGTAATGGGAGAGAGGCGGCAGGTGATCCGGAATAAGTCGACTAGTGATACACGCAGGGGGCGCAGATTGTGGGAGGCGAAGGTATGGTTGTGCGGGCAGGTCAGAAGGCGCCAGGACCGGTTGGCGGCTGACCCGGGTAGTAAGGCTGCTGGAGCATCGGCTGCTGCTGTTGCTGCTGAGGCATGGCGTACTGTGGCGGGACTTGAGGCACGGGAGGAGGCGCGCCAGGCTGACCACCTCGAGGCGGCCCAACGGGTGCGCCATTCTGGCCAGGTCCTCCTCCGCGATTCCAGAACCGACGTCCACCCGCCTGCTGACGCGGCGACTTGTTGACGTCGCCACCTTGCTGAGGCGGCTGGGGCGATGTCGTCGGGGCATAATGCGGCGGCGGCTGTGGCGAGCTGGCATCGCCCGCACTGACGCCTTGCCCTTCTCCGGCGATCTGCTGATTCCTTCTGAACTGCGCCTCATACCAGGCGTAGTCTTGCAACAAGCTCGTCCGACTTTGGTAGCTTGCGATGATGCGCAAGACCTCGAGGCCGGCGTCGTACGGAACCTCCTGCGTGTCGCGAGACGAGGTGACGGGCTTGTTTTCGGGCGTGTTGCTGAGGCGGATGTGGCGTAGCGCGGCGAGAGGGACGTCCTTGATGTAGATCCAGCGGACCTTGAGAACTCCCTTCCACTTGTCGGACGCCCAGACGTTCGACGACATCGAGTAGTCGATGGGCGTGAGCATCTGCGCCATGCCGGCAAAGTGGCCGCTGCAGGGGCACCTGTCAGTATGGAAGGCTGAGCGAGATTGTGCGAGCACCCACGGACCTGCCGTTGACCGAGAAGAACAGGTAGATCGGGCCTTTGTCGGCGCTCTCGCGGAAGGCGCGGTCGAGACGCTTGTTGCCGAGGTCCGTCGACGCCCAGATCTCGTACTTGAGAGACTGCGGAGCATACGAGCAGTCAGCTCGAATTCAGGCGAGTGGTGAAGCTGCGCGAGACCCACCTTATGCACGTCTTCCTCCGTATACGACTTGATGACGAAGAAGCGCGCGTTCTTTGGATGAAGGTCGAAGACAGGCGGATTGTAGCCCTTCTTCTGCACGAGACCGTTGATGTCGATGGGCGTTTCGGCAGGCAAGTCGGCCATCGCGCTTGCACCTCCACTAGCCGTAGGACCACCAACGCCGTTCGTAACGACGCGGAGAGCGCCGCCGAGATCGAAGTTGGCGGGCAAGACGGCGCCTTGGGCGCGCATCGCATCCATGGCCGACAGCGCTTGAGCCATTTGCGCCTGAAGCGCCGAGATCTGCTGTTGCTGCTGGTGCATCTGCTGAATGGCCGCCTGCGACTGCCATTCGTTCGCGTTCGAATCGTTCGGACCGACGGCAGCGGGAGGGAAAGGACGAGGGTTGGCAGCCGTCGGGGTCGCTCCGCCGACGAGCAACTCTTTCTGCCGATGCCAGTCGTTCGCGCTCGGGCCAGGAACAGCCGTCAAATTGGCACGGGCGGACGGGTCGTACGTGGCGAAACCGTTCTGGTTGAGCGCGGGCGACGGACCTTGCGAGCCGGGTTGACCCTGCTGCATCTGCTGCTGAGCCTGGTCGTGCAAGAAAGTGGCAGGTGCGGCGCCATTGTGCGTCGGAAGCGGGCCGTATTCGCTGATGCCGTCTAGCTGGTGGTGCGGGAAGTGCGAGTGTCCAATGGGCGGGACGAAGGCAGCCGCGCTGGCAGGACCTTGACGCGTACCGAATGCGGGACCGAGCGTGTCGGCAGTCGTCATGAGCGGCGCGAGACGACGTCCGGGAGCCTGCTGTTGCTGCTGCCCGGCGATGGCGTTCGGGCTGGGCGAGTTGCGCTCGACAACACCGGCTGCAACAAGCGGCCCGGGCGACGCCGTAAGCGTCCCTAGCTGCATCCCGCCCATCGCGTCGTCGAGCTTCCTGACCTCGTCGGCGAAGCGTCCGCCGGCATAGACAGGCCCTCCGCCATTAACGCCTTCACCGCTGTGCGAGTGGCTCCCGTGCGAACTGCCGCTTCCGCCGCGACTGAGTGAGCCTGACCCGCCTCCACCGCCTGGCGCGCCAGACGAGCCGAACGAGGTGTTCATCCCGAGCTGCTTCGTCTCCTCCTCGGTTGGACTCCAAGGACTCCTCGCACCGCCAAACGCGCTCACGACCGGACTCAAGACCCTCGTCGCGCCCGAGTCGGACCTCGAACCGAGCGAGTTTGAGTGATGGAGACCCGTCGCACCAGCTGGAGCAGACGAGAGCGAGTTCGAGTGGGTAAGGCGGGCGCCGCCGAGCGAAGGCGAGGAGGTACTGGGACCGTAGTTGAGCGAATGCGAGTGGTGGAGAGCGAGAGGGGCGGGACTCGTGCCGGAACGGGTGCGCGAGCCGAAGCCGCTGATGGTCGAGGCGGATGCGAGCGCGAATGAGCCGAGTTGGCGAGGCTGGTGGAGATCGTCGGCAAGCACTGAGGTGCCCTCCGTCGGCCAGCCTGCGCTCGAGGCAGGCGATGACGAGAGCGTCTGCTCGATCGAGGTCTCACGCTGGCGGCGAAACGAGTTGAGCGACTGGTGGCGGCGGACGAGGGCGGGATCGTCGTTGGCGCCGGCGAGGGAGGGGATGACGGAAGCTGAAGACGGTGGAAGCCACGGGTCGGTGGTGTTGCCGCGGCGAGGCTGAGTCGTCTGGTAGCTTGCGCCGGCAGGAGCGAAGGGCGAAGAAAGCTGAGTCGGAAACGAGTTGGCGGAAAGCGGTGGAGTCTTGAGCGTCGAGTATGGGTCGTCCTGCCAGTCATCCTCCGAGATACCACCAGGACCCTCTGCGCCACTCTTCCGCTCGTCCATGAGCCCTGTCTCCCAATCCTCCACATCCCGACCGCCCTGCTGCTGCCTCTCCTGCTCCAAGAACGGTTTGAGCGAGTTCTTGTGCCGCAGAGGCTGGTCCTGCGAGCCTCCATCGTCCTGAGACGGCGAAGATGGGTATGCAGTCGGAGGAGGCGAAGTGGCATTCGCTGACGAGACTGACGAGTGCGGGTGATGCGACTTGCGCTCCGTAAGCGCCTGGTCGCCCTTTCCTCCTCGCACGACGACGAACGAGCTGCGCTTCGATTCGGGCGGGGCGGGAACGACCGGTGCGGAAGGAGGGGAAGAGGCGAGTGAAGTCGAAAAGGCGGGTTGAAGCTGTTCCTGCTGCTCGGCGCGCTTCCAAGCCGCTTCGGCGGTCGAGGCGGATGAAGGAGGGGCCGCACCGGCAGAAGAGGTCGCGGGATCGGCATGACCGTGGTCGGTCCAGGTCGAGTACGGTCCACCTCGAACGGGTGAGGGCGGGACGTAGAACTCCTGATCCTCCTCAGAGAGACCGACTCCTTGCCTGTCGAAGGAAGTCGACGAGGAAAGACCGTGGGAAAGCGGATAGGGAGGGAGGAAGAGCGACTTGTCAGCTCAGCGAGTCCGGGCAGTCCGCCGAGGCAGAAGCGGCTCTTCGAGAGATCGATACGCACAATGCTAGCCTCGCCCTGTTACGCTCGAGCCTGACCATCCTGCCAGTCGTCGAGAGCGTATTCACTCGGCGCGTGAGGGTCGCTCCCGACGCCGCACCCTCAGCCTCCGTGCCCTGCCCAGGATGTCTAACACTCCTCTCGCCGTCTGCGCCACCGCGGTGCAGCGCAGGAGATGGTACCCGCTCAGACAGTGTTCGACGAGGTGCCGACAGGGAATCCGTCTGAGGCGCCATGGACGACGATGGAGGCGCGCCAGTAGCGGTAAGCCCGAAGTCGGCCTGTCGTGGCGAGCTGTGCTGCATGGCGGACGTTTACGCTCTCCTCGCGGCCCGTGTCCTGAGCGCTAGCCTGATGAGGGCCGGGAGAAGTCGACTGAACCGCGACGGCGAACCTCGGCGCTGGGCGGGTCGCGCTGCTGCTCGTGTACAGAGCAAGAGAGCAGTCCAGTCGTTCTAGCCGAGCAGCAGAACCAGCGAGCGAGCGGTGACGATGGGCGAAAGAAGGGCTCTCTCACCGAGGAGACGACGACGGCGGCGAGAAAATACAGCGGGCGCTTTCCACGACTCCACGAAAGCGTTGAAATGCTCCCAAGGCTATCCGGATCATCCGGCAACGCGAGTCGGTATCGCTTGAAATAGCCAGTGAGCAACATTCTCGCCAAGAGGACGTGACGGAGAGTGAAACGAGGTGTTACAATAGTCACAGGCACTGCAGTACTGGCATCATGTCCGGGAGAGTCCGAGGGAGGCGCATCGAGAATGGGTACTGAGATACATCGAGAAGGAGAAGGCGAGCAAGCGAGAGACGGAGCCGGGGAGAATAGGTTAATGTAGGCGCGAGCCCATCAAGCGAGTGTTATTGTGCTGCCGGTGTAGGGATCGGCGGAGCAGGCGGGGAGACGGCGGCTGTAGGCGACGAGGCGTGCGAGACATTGGCGGGTAAAGGCTGCGCCTCGCGCTCAACGTCGCGTTCTGGCCGGTGCCAGCGGACGACCTGGCGCATGAACTATCAGCAAAGGCAGGATGAGGCGAGAGACGGAGGAACGCACCTCGACGGCGGCACCCTTGCTCGTCTTGCGCTCCTCCAACTCGGTCTCTTCGTCCTCGTCCTCCTCGTCGTCATCCTCTTCGCCCTCGCGATCCCGTTCAGTCTCGCCCTCGTCTTCGTCCGTCCCCTCATCCTCATCCGTCCCATTCTCCTCCGCCTCCTCCTCCTCCGGTTCCTCCTCGACTTCCTCCAGTTCTCCTCCAAGATCGCCCGCATCCTTCTCATCCCCCGGTCCAACCTCAACAACCTCCTCATTACTCCCTTTTCGCTTGATCACCATCGGCCTGCCCTCGCGCTCCCTCTCCTCGCCGACCGCACCTCTCGACGCACTGCGCTCCCTCGCCGCCGCAAGAGCCGGACTGACAGCCCGCTCAGCATCAACGTTCCCCAGCGCCGCCTTTTCCTGCAAGCGATGCAGGTCGGCTTCCTTGTCGCGGTCGATGAAAGGCGCGACGCGCGTCTTGGACGAGGAAGAAGTCCGGTCTGTCGAGGTGAGTCGACGAACGGGCTGTCCGGACGAAGCGAACGAGACTCCTCCTTCTCCCTCTCCTTCGCCCGCCGTCCCACCCCTCTCCGACCCAGCACGCGAACTAGTCCGACTCAGCGCCGCGCCGCGTCCCTCTGCGCCCGCCTCGATATAGTGCAGCGAGAGCGCGTCAGTCGAGGCGTGTCGGCTCAAGTTGGGCGAGTGAGAGCGCGATTGGCCTGAAGCTGAGGGGGTCCGGTAGCGGACGCCGCCGGGTGGGGAGGGCGAGCGAGAGCGGCGGGAGGAGGAGGAGCGGCGTGAGCCGGGGCGGACGGGGGAGATGCCGCCTGCTCCGCCGGTCGAATTAGGAGGCGGATTCGCGAAGGTGAGGGACGAGTTCAAGCGCTGCGAGAGGGCGGAGGGCGTCGGGATGGACGAGTCGCCGGCCTGCCAGGCGCCGGGAGGAGAAGGGAGGTCGCTGTCGTCGTCGTGGTCTGCGGATGAGGCGTTGTCAGTATGAGGAGGCTTGTAGCGTCTGCAACAGCACAGGAAGCCCCGCAAAGGAGGAAAAGCGGCCGCTGAAACCGCCGCCAAGCCCGCCTCTAGGAAAACTTACCGAACGCAGACCCAGGCAACAACAGTCCGTCGGGCCTCTCACCCTTGGGGACGAAGGGTTTGACCCTGTTTGCAAAGCTGTTGCGCCTCGTGCCAGGTCTGTCGTTGTCGACTTTGGGGAGCGGCGCAAAGTGACAGTGCGGGGACGGCGGGCTCGACGCGCGCCTCGTCGCTGCGGCGGCCGAGTCGTCATTCGTCGGTGTCGACGAGGGGATTGCGAGACCGGGCAGGCCGGGCTTGGCGAGACTGTGAGAGGGAGGCGAGCCGACGAGTGACGAAGGGGCGGTCGAGGACGGACCGGCTGCGTCGCTGATGCCGCTCTCGCTGGCGGACCCGTCCGGACTGGAGACCCTCAACAAGCCCTGAGCAGCCTCTCCCGCATTCGACCCTGGCGGACTGACGGCGACAGCAGGCGAGATGCGACCTCCTCCCCCTCCATCCCGATCGCGCGAGGCAAGATCCCTCTGCGCTCCCCGCTCGTTCTTGTTGAGCAAGATCCCGCTCGGCGAGGGTGTTCCAGCCTGAGACGAGAAGTACGAGCCTGGCGCGGGCTGGGCGTGCGTGTGCAAGGGCGGGTTGGGCGACGGCGGGTCGTGAAAGCGGGGAGAGACGAGCGCCTCGCTCGAGACGGCCTGGCGCGTGGACGACGACGCGCGCTTGATGATGGGCGGCAGGGGGGCGTCCGGACCCGTCATCCTCAGCCCAGGCCAGCCAAAGCGAGTGAGCGGTGAGGACGAGAGCCTGACGTCGCATCTTGCTGACACCGACACTCGAAACTCGCCGTTGTAGACGACTGCGACGGTAGTATGGCATGGCAACAAGTGTAACAGAGACTAGGGCGAAGTAAACATAGAGAGCCGCTCACGAGGCGACGCGGACTTCGCCATGCTCGCCGTCGTCGACCGCCTTTCCCTTTCCCTTGAGGACTCGCCGCCGCTCAACGTCGAGGTCCTCGTCAATGACGACGTTCAAGCCCTCAGGCGGCGTCCGCGGAGCAGTCAACTCGCTCGCGGTCGTGCCCTCGTCCTCGCTCAACCCGCCTCCGTCCTCTCCCCGCTCGTCCTCTTCCTCATCCTCCTCGTCCGGAACAGTCGCAGGCACGTCCTCCCGCTCCGGCTCGACCTCGGCATCCTCCACATCCTCCTCCAGCGCCTCCTCGATATGCTCAATCTCCCGACTCTTGCCCTTGGCCTCGCGCTCCATCCTCTTCGCCTCGTCCGCGTCACTACTCGAACTGATCCCCGTCCCACTCGACGACGTACTCATGCTCCTCCCGCGCTGGTCTGTACCAGGCAGAGGCTGGAACGATCCAGTCGGAGACGAGAGCGGCGAGGCGGACCCCGTTGAAGAGGCGGAGGAAGTGGACGCTTTCGAGGACGAGCCGGGCTTGACGCGTTTGAACAGCTTGGTGATGCCTTTCTGGGCGTCGCGCCACGAGTAGACGTCTTCGGGGAGAGGGCCGCCTTCGTACCACTGCAGCGGGCCTGCGAGCGCACGACAGGAACCCAACGAATCAGTTCCACCTCGCAGTAAGAGAGCGAGTCGGTCGCACGCACCTGCATACTTTGCGCCCCGCATGTTGGGAGTGCCGCCCTGCGCCGAGATCATCTTGGCTCGACTGGCGACCCCGATGCTGAGCGAGTTGCTCCTGTGCGCCCTCCGTCCAGGCGGGAGCGGCGCAAACTTGACGCTCGTCCCGCCCGCCGAGTACGCCGAGTCCCTCGACGAGCTCGTGAGGATCGAGGACGAGCCAGGTGAGCGCGCGAGGTCGAGTTTGCTCGAGGACGAGGGGCTCAGGGAAGAGGTGGGGATGTCCAGAGCGGGCTGGGGCTGGCGCTCGGGCGAGTCGGCGAGTTGGGGCGTGTGGTCGGGCGAGACGGAGCGAGAACGCAAGCCGTGGTGTTGGTAGGGCACGTCTGTCCTCGGCGGGGAAGACGAGTACGGGTCGTTCGAGGACGAGAAGTAGCCTGGAGGTGGAGGCGAGTGGACGACCTGGACGACGACGGACGGGCGGCGTTTCCCTGGGAGTGCACGTGCGAGAGTGCTCGTCGATGGGGCGGGTGGAGATCTGGGCGCGAGCGGGTTGAGGAGGATGGACGAGCCAGGTCTGGCAGTTCGCGGCGAGGGCGGGAGGTGAGGGATGGACGGCGGAGAGGTCGACGAGACGAGGGGCGGCCCTGACGAGTCTGACGAGCGTCTGGACGGGCTGCGTGTGCTCGCTGGACTCGCCGTGCGCCCGCCTGGGATGCTGAGGGGCATCATCGTCGTGAGGAGGAGAAGCCGAGGAGGCCCAACAAGGGGGTCCGCGCTGGGGCAAGCGAGGGAGGGGCGGGGCTCGAAGAGTGCTGTCGACCAGAGAGAGTGTCGCAGCGTGTGTCTAGCGTCGAGTCCAGCTGCGAGCGAGTCGACGACGCAGAGCGGAGGAACCAACTCCGTCGCGGGGCCCTCGACGACGACGACGACGACACACTGCTCACTTGCAACGAGCTGTAACGACTTGTATTGCTGGATAGACACTCCTCTACACTCTGCCCAGCCCACTCACCCGATCACTCACCAATGCAGCCATCCTCACACCAAACCACGCCCGTCCTCCTCCGCAATCCCCGCGCACATCGACCTCATCCCGCTTATCCCCCTCACCTGGGCAGAAGTCGCGGATCACCCCTGCGCGCATCGTAACGAGGGAGCGTCTCGCGCTGCTGGAAGAACCCTGGGCGGTCTTCTTCGCCTGGGAGTGGATCCGCGACGCCGTTGCTCCCAGTCCGCCGACGCTGGTATCGACGCCGTCCGTCGTGCTCGTCCCGCTCTTGCTCGTGCGCAACATCAGCGACGACCTCAATCAGCCCGGCATGGCTCTGATGCCTCCTCCTCTCCGCTCTTCCACTCGCTCCTCCCGCTGCCCTCGCTGGACTCCCCACCGGTGCCTCCGTCAACGTCGGCCTCCTCTCCAGCATCGATCCAGTCCTAACCACTCCCTCCCCCTCCGGACCCGCACGAACCGTCTCGTGCACCTCGCGCTTCGAGCTCGTCCTCACGGGAAGATGCGGGCGCGCCTGAGAGGGGAGGGAGACCGAGTGCGCTGTGTGGATGTGCGCAGCGGAGGGGTGCGAGTCGCTCGTTGTGGTTCCTTCGACGTGGGAAGAGGCGGACGAGCCGTGCGAAGGGTGAGAGGCGTGGTAGGAGTGCGAGTGTGAGGAGCTGGTCGAGTTGAAGGGGTTGTGGAAGGTGTGCGTCGTCGAATGCGAGTGCGACGGGTGGTGGTGCGGCGGCGGCTGCTGAAGAGGAGGAAGCGGGAGGTCGTCCGGTTCAGGCGGGAAACTGCGTCGTCTCCCATGCGTTGCCGCAGGAGACTGTACCCTCACCCTTCCTGAGCTCGTCTCGCTCCCCGCATCGTAATCCGACATCGCCTCTCCCCAGACCTGCCGTACGTCCCTCCTCTCCGTCTCGCGCTCATCCCACCTAACTTCCTTCTGCCCTCTTCCTCCTCTCAGGGGTGTCCCCCTCCCACTCCCGACCACAGCTCCAGGCAAGACAACGCTCGGCCCGTCCGTCCTCCACCGTTCCTCCATCTCCCTCACCTCTCCCTCGCGCACCACTCTCGCCGGTCCAGGTACAGCAGGCAACGGTCCCTCGGGGGGCTTCGTGACCGGCAACCCCGCTTTCCCAAGGTTATAGAACCGACGAGTTTCGGGTAGTCGATCGGCTCTGAGGCGCCATGATGAGGCGCGAGTGAGGAATGAGAAGGACGGCCAGCTCCCTTGGTTTGAAGTGGGAGGGGAGGGGCGGGCGGGGGCGGCGAAGGGGTGCGAGAGAGCGGGACGGGGGAAGGAGGAGATCCCGCCGTTGTCGGTTGGAGGAGGGGGAGTGGCGAAGGGCAGAGGGGACGAGCGTGAGCGGTTGAAGGCGGAGGCAAAGAGCGATTGGGTGGATTTGCGTCGCGCGTGTTCCGCTTGGGCGGTGCGCAGTCGGGCGCCGAGGTCGGGACTGTGAGAGGTTGAGTGGCGTTGGCGCCGACGACGGAGGAAGAGGCAAGTGAGGAAGATCAGGATCGCAAAGGCGCCGAGCGAGCCGATCACGCTGCCTGCTATGAGACCGGCCCGAGAGGTGCCGCGCAGCTGAGGGTCGACAGCGCGTAAAGTGGACGAAGCAGCGAGGGAGGAAGTCGAAGAGGAGGAAGTGACAGTCGCGGTCGAGAGGATGCCGATCGTCCCGACTGGCAAGAGGGCGGGAGTCGTCGAGACGCCATTCCTACGCCGTACGTGTAGGTGTCAGCTCGCAGCACATCCTTTGAACGGGTGAACGCGTACGCACGAGACGGCAACTGCGATCCTGTCGTGCACCAACGACCCATCGCCTGTGACGACCAGCGTCAAGTTATGCGCCTGCTCGTCCGCCAGACCTTTGAGCAGGAAGAAGCGCGAGGATGTGGCGTTCGAAAACGAGGAAGAGGGAGGGGAGGAGGAAGTCGGTGTGGTCTTGCCGTCGACGAAGACGGCGAACGACGCGGTCGTCGAGCCGTATAGCGAGATTTGCTGGCCTGTGTGCACAGCGTCAGCTTCTTGCTGTCCTATTGAACGAGAGACTGCCTACGCACCTGCAAATGCCATCGTCACCTGCCCGCCCCTCGCTGTGGTCCTCCTCGCCGAACCCGCAGAGAAGTCCACACCCTCAACGACGCTCCAGGCGCCGTCGGGTGCGTAAGCGAGGTGCGAGTCGCCGTCGTCGAAGGTGACCGTTCGTGCAGCGATGGTGATCGAGAGCGAGAGGAGCGAGGCGAGGAGGAGGGGAGACCGCATGGTGAGCGCGGCGCGTCAAGCGAGTGTAAGAGAGTGGGAAGACCAGCTTCGTAGGATACAGATACAGCCAGGAGTAGGAAAGACAAGGGAGAAAGGACAAGGCAGGCGAGTGACGGTCGCCGAAAAGAGACGAGGCTCGAGCGAGGCGAGGTGCGTGCGCATTCGTCCGTTTCAACGCCAGATGCTCACTTACCCTTCTCCTCCGTCGTGCTCCCTGGTGCAACCACGGCAGGGAATACTTGAACCCGCTCCGCCGGCGGAGTCCGCTCGCCTCCCTTGCCGACCTCGCAGTCCTCGAATCTTCGCCGCGCCAGGTCGACACCAAGAACGTCGAGGAGAACCTTGGTCTTCTCGGGCATGATGGGCTGGAGGAGGATACCGGCGATACGGAGCGTCTCGGACTCGAAAAAGAGGGCGCGGTGGACGGCCGAAGGCGAAGTCGTCTTGAGCCAGGGCTGGACATGCGAGATGTGCCAGTTGGCTTCGCGCACGGCATCGAAGACACTCTGAATCGCCTCGTCGACGCGGAAGGTGGCGAGATGGTGCGCGTAGGTGGCTGGCAGAGCTTGAAGCAGTCCCAGCAGCTTCTTGTCGTCCTCTTCGATTGTCGAAGGCATCGTCCATAACAGTTCAGGCGACTCGAGCTTCTTCAGGACCTTCGGCGTCGTGATGCGGCTCGCAAGGTTGCCCACTTGCGCCTCGAGGTCCTTCTTGTAGAACCGCTCGATCGTCGCCGTCGAGTAGTCTGCGGGGTATCACTCAGCACAACTCACGACAGAGAAACTGTCATGCGCACCCGCATCCTTGCCCGAGTTCCCTCCCCACCACATGAGGTACATGCGAATCGTATCGACGCCCCAGAACTGCATCGCTTCGAACGGATCCGCGACGTTCCCACGGCTCTTGCTCATCTTCATGCTGTCCATCGTCCAGTGGCCGTGCGTCAGGAGGGTCTTCGGGAGAGGGAGGTCGAGGGCGAGCAGGACGGCGGGAAGGTAGAGGGCGTGGAAGCTGGATCCGCAGATGTCAGCTTTCGTCTAGAACAGTGAACTGAGCGCGACACACCGGATGATGTCCTTTCCAACGACCTGCAGGTCGGGCGGCCACAGCTTGCCCTTCTCGAACGCCTCGCCGCCTTGCCAAGGGTATCCCGCGGCGGTGAGATAGTTGACGAGCGCGTCGATCCAGACGTAAATGGTGTGGCCGGGGTCGTCGGGGACGGAGATGCCCCACGTGAGTCGGGAAGCGGGGCGTGAGATCGAGAGGTCCTCGAGGAAGGTGTTGCCTGGCCGGGTGAGCTCTGCGAGAAGGGCGTCTGCGCGGGAGGGCGGCTGGACAGCTGAAGGAATCGAGGTGGTCAGTCGTCGCATTCGTACGAGATTGAGCGCGGGAGACACACGGGCAGCGGCGGAGCGCAGCCATTCGAGCAGCGGTTCCCGGAAGGCGGACAGCTGGAACTTGTAGTTCTCTTCCTCCATCCATTCTACCCGCGTTCCTGTCTCGGTCGATGCCTGTGCCGCTTCAGGTCAGCAGGGGAAAGAGGAATACCTGAGCGAGACGCACCATGTACTTCTCGCCAGACTTTGAGTCGATGACCTCGCCAACCGCGTCCTCCGGAACGTAAGTCTCGTCCGATACCGCATACCAGCCCGCATACGATGACTTGTAGATGTAGCCGCGCTTGTCGAGCTCGCGCTGCAAGGAAAGTCAGTTTGAGCCCCTACCCTGCGTAGCGAACGGACGCACCCAGACGTGCTCGACCGCCCTTCGATGTCTTTCCTCCGTTGTCCGGATGAAGATTTGGTAGTCCACGTTTGCCGCTCGCGCCAGGTCCTGCAGAACGTCCGATCAGTCCTTTTACGTTTAAGATCAGGCGGCGAACAAACCTTGAACCGTTCAGACACCCCGTCGCAAAGCTTCTTCGGCGGAATACTCTGTGCTTCTGCTACCCGCTGGATCTTCAATCCATGCTCGTCCGTTCCGGTACACATGACCGCCCCCTTGTCAGGATTCCGCCATCGAGAGTACCGAGTGTAGACGTCCGCGAGAAGTTGCGAGTGGAGATGGCCGATGTGAGGCGCTGCTCGGTGACGAGCATGAGCGACCACGTCTGATCCGTTGTCTCGACCACTGCGCACCTGCATTGACGTAAAAGATGGGCGTTGTCGCGTAGAATTGCTTGTCCGAAGAAGCAAGCGATGAAGATTGGCGAGCGAGGAGGGGACAAGCGCGGGGTGTTTGAGCGACAGTGGCACGTAGGCGAGGCCACAATGGAGCAGTGGCAACCCTCAGCTGCACCATCGAGCGTTGTTGTCGCCAGCGAGTGGGCCGTCAAGGTCAGGGAGAGTTCGCTCGCTGGTTCCGCGGCTACCAACCGCTCGCATCCAGCTGGGAAGCGTCGGAACAAGCTAGATAGCTCGCTCAAGGACCGCACAGGACCGCCAGAGCCTACCCACGCCCCACTCACCTGTTCCGTTCTCCTCGACTCGCTCCCCACTTTCGCCTCTCTCGACCGCCCAGCATGCCTCAAGCGGTCGTCCTGCAGACCAACCTTGGTCCCATCACCTTCGAGCTGTACGACCAGCATGCGCCAAAGACCTGCCGGAACTTTCTCGAGCTGTCGAAGCGGGGTTACTACCAGGGTGCGTCCTCTCCCTCCTTCGCCGTGGTGTTGGCTGACTTGCGATCCTTCCATAGGCACTGTCTTCCACCGCATCATTGCGGACTTCATGATCCAGGGCGGAGACCCGACCGTACGTCTCACAAAGCCTTCCTTCTCCTCGCCAACACCCCGTTGACCCTTTGCTTCCCGACGCAGGGCACTGGTCGAGGCGGAACGAGCATCTACGGTGACCGGTTTGAGGACGAAATCGTGAACTGACCCACCTTGGCTAGACTCTTCGCGGACGTTGACAAGCGTTCTCTCCGCAGCATCCCGACTTGCGGTTCACGGGCGCTGGCATTCTCGCGGTACGAACGATGACCCACACCTTTGTATGACAGGCTGACCTTTGCTCGCGCAGATGGCGAACAGCGGGCCCAATACGAACGGCAGCCAATTCTTCATCACCCTCGGTGCGTCCGTTTGACTATTCCCCCGAGCAACCTCTGACCGCGCCTCCTCGCAGCACCAACACCTCATCTTGAGCGCAAGCACACAATCTTCGGCCGCGTCTCGTCAGGCATGCAGGTCGTGCAACGGTTGGGAGCGGTTGCGACGGATGCAGAAGACCGGTTCGTCGAAGTCTGCTTGCACGAACTTGCCTCCGGCGCGCTGACACTGACTCTCCTGACAGACCGCGCGAGGAGATGAAGATTATCAAGGCTTCGGTGGTAGACGTTTGATGCGAAACAAGGCTGATTGATACGGCTCGATGAGGTTATCTACAAATGCTCGAGAGGGTCTACGGTGAGCGCAGCTCGTCTATACAGTGTCTATGTACGTCTAGGATCGCTCGGAATGGGCTCGTCACGCCGCATACTCGACCCGCCGCTTAGCCTTCTCGAACAAGCGCCCACTCGCTACATCCGTTCCCGCATTCCAGCCCGGCAACCAACGATCCTGCCATGTCGGCGACTCGCTTCGAGTGTCCCACATGACATCGATCTCGCGCAACCCGGCTTGGACGGAAGGATGACTGCAGGTATGCTTGAAGATGGTGAGGTCGGACGATAGTCGCTCGACGGAGGCTGCGAACCGCTCAGTCAGCTTGTATTCAAGGCTTAGGGGCCGTGGTAACGCACTGAGGTAGTACGTGAGTTTTTCTTCGCCTTCAGCGAGCGCTCGTCGCGGTTCTCGCCTCGGCGGATGCTCCGACCAAGTCCACTCGATCCTGGTCAAATCTTCGGGTGTCAAAGCCTCGCGGTGGACGGTAATGCTGTGGCCGACTGTCCAGGTGACACGACCTTCGTCGAAGATCCAGCGGCGAAGGAAGTTGGGTCCACCGACCGCAGAGGCGGCGGACGAAAGGATGTCGATAGCCCTAAAGGCATCGATGCCGGGAAAGACGTCAAGCCAGCTGCTCCAGTGGCTTTGGGAGGAATATTAGCGAGGTGTGAGGATGCGCAAGACGGACGGAACCTACTGCAAGCTGAGGAAAGGAGCAGTTCCTGCGGTCAAGTATCCGGTAGCGTCGCCGCGAATGTCCACTACAGCAAGTGTAGGGTCAGTACCGAGAGCGCGAGAACAGGCAAGAGGGTACGCACTCTGCCGCATTGCCGGTACCTCCTCGACAAGCTGGTCAAGCGGGACGTTGCGAGTCCAAGCCGCACACTCCGACTGTTGACGGTCCTCCGTCAGCTACGTCGAGAAAGTTGAAAGCAGAGACCACTCACAATCAACCCATCTCCGCCGAAGATGTGCGCGAAGCGCTCGGCGCACTTATCCAGCATGCCCTGCATTTTGCGTACAAGCGAGCGGCTGATCACAATCCCACCTCCGCCGAACGCAATCCGGCCGAACATGTCGAAGTTTCCGCGAGTCTCGCTGAAGGTGCCGAGGATCAACTCCTCCCGCGAGTCGTAGCCTGCCAGCAGCTGGCGGAGCATGACGGGGTCGGTCCACCAGGTGTCGTCGTCGCCGAAGACGAACCACTCCACCAACGACGCCCCGTCCTGCCAGCGCCGACGCTCGCTCTCCTGCCAGACATCCTTCACCAGGCCGAGCACTCGCATCTCATACCGCTCGCCGACGCGCGAGCTGTCCCTCATGGTGCACGACAGTCCTTGTCGACGAAACTCGGCGTTGGCCATCGCCTGTCCCCTACCATCGTTCGCACCCTGCGCATCTGTGACGACGCACCCCGGCGCAGTTGGCGAACGAAGTCGTCCGCTGATGTCGTCGAGGGCGGGAGTCGTAGGTCGCGGCGCGAGCATGAAGTGTCGCCAGACTGGAGCGTACTTGACGGCTCGTGCTGGCGAGGTGGAGATGGAGAAGAAGATCTCGGGATCTTGCGCGGAGGATTCGACTTTGGGAAGGATGGGTAGGGAGTGAGAGGCCGGAGTGATGCAGTTCTTCGGGTGGCCTGAAGCGAGTGGTAGAGCTGAGGAATGCCGCGAGAACAGTCGAGCGTTTTCGGCTGCGAGGCGAGGGTGAAAAGCCTGAGGGAGGACGGTATTGTCTGGGTTGCGAAGTCGGGGCTCGTCTGCCGAGGCTGGGCGGACTCGAACGACGATGCGATGTTGGTCGTCTCGACGAGGGACCGTGGGTGACGCTAGCCCGTCCGCCTCGCAAGCCTGCGCTCCCCTGCGCGAAGCCATCCATCCGAAGGGCCGGCCGGGGGAGGTGCCGAGAGTCGCGACACCGTAGAGCAGAAGCACGACCGCGAGCGCCTTCGTCCATCTGCCCGGTCTGCTGGGCGCCACGACGCTTGCCGCATGGGCGGAAGAGAGGTGAGGAAGGAGGGGTTCTGCCGACGGTCGTCGTTCTTTGCCCAGAAAGAGCGGCCGCTCAGCCGGTAAGACCTTCTCGAGCATACAGAAGCTCGTCGCACAGGCGGTACCGTTGAGGAGTAGGTTTGCCGACGCGTCCGCTCGATAGCGGAGGAGAGGGAGGGAACGGAGAGGAGCAGCGAGAGAGAGCAGACACCACTGCGAGCGTTCATGCGCCGAAGCCAACGGTACGCAGACGAGGGACCCATCTCCGCCCCAGACGGCCCCCTTCTCGCGCGACCCAAGTTGCGCAGCTGGACGCGAATCCGCTGCGAAGCCGTGAGGAGAAGCGGCGAGGGCTTGCACGACGGCACATGTGGGATGGATGCAGCTGTCGGGCAGCGAGAAGCGTGCTGTGGACTGGCGGGACCAGGAAAAGAGGGAGGGAGGGAGGGCGACCCGTTGCTGAACTTCCGCGACGCAGCGCGTGGGCGGCGAAAGCAAGGGGGAACGTTCGCGGCGGCGAAGAAAGGGTGCTGGCGGCTGGTCGTCGTCATTCCTGTGCCTGTCAGCGAAAGGGCAGTTGCCTGCGTGGCTGTGAAGTGAAGCGGAAGCCAGTGCAGCGACATCGAAGGCGAGGAAGTAATGCTTGACCTTCGCAAGGAGATGGAACTCGACCTCTCGCTGGTCCGCGGCATCGTTTATAAGCCTCGCAGTGGGTCAAGCAGCTGCAAAGATTGTGCAAGAGACGAGTGAGCCGCCGCAAGTCGCGCAATCACCGCCTCTTGCCCTTGCCGTTCCCCGACGGAACGACGAAATCGCTGCGAGGCGACGAGCGAAGTCAGTTACGTGTCTTTGCGCAGCGGCGCCTGGCGACGCACTGGCGAAACATGCATCTGCGCGCACGGTGGATGTCAGCACCTTGCAAGGAAGGCGAGCAACCGGAAAACGCACGGCGTTCCATGGTACTTGCGCCAGTTGCATTGGCCCGTCCGCAGCTTCTCCTGCGAGGCGCGCTTGTCAACAAACCCTCAGAGAAGCGTGCTTGTACGCACCTTGCAGCGAACCGTTGACACTTCCTCGCGCAGCGCTTGCAGCCCGGCCGAGGTCAGGTCGTCTGCAAGCAACGAACGGCGCATGAGCCGGTATATCTTGTCCAGCAAGCGTCTACGCACACTTGTGGCTCCTGTCGCAGGGCGCCTGCTTGCAACCCTCCGCCGAGACGTAGTGCCACACGCAGCTGAACGCGAAAGCTGGGTCAGCTCCGGCTTAGCGAGACTGAAGAGTCTAACCAACATTTCGGGATCTGTCGAGTCTCGGGGGTTGTAAGTGATACGCCAGATTCCGGCGGAGTGAGGAATGACTCGCCTTGCTGCAAGATGCGCTTCGACGGGGCGAAGACGTGCTTCGAGCCGGGTTTGGTAAAGCTTCGGTAACGCTCCGCTCGGGTCGAGATCAAGGTGTTCGTGCCGCTCGATTGTAGGCTACTCGCTGTCGAAGCCGCCGAGCCTTGTGAGCCAACGAAAGACGGCGCTTTGGCGAGGTCGACGTCGAACAAGCCCTTGAAGTCGACGACGCGCCAACCGGACTTGTGAAGCTCCTCGTGCTCTTCAAGCGTCTCGGAGCAGTTGATTCTGCCGGAGAACGAAACAGTCAGCGTCGCGAAAGAGGACTTTAAGTGGCCAACGCACAAAACCATCTTCGGGCCTACATCAACGTAGAACGAGATATTGCTCGAGCCCAATTCGGGCGTCGTGTTGCACATGCGGGCGTACCCGACGCCGCCCAGGTAGACACGCTTGAGATTCGAAGCATGCCCGAAGTTGAGGAGCAGGTCCGCGAGGGTACCGACTACGCCGTCGGCTAGACGTATACGGGGTGAGCTCGCGTTATCGGCAGATTGAACGAAGAAGATCACGCACCCGTCTGAACAACGTTGTGCTCGGGAAAGGTCTGAAAGCCACGGATGAATGCGTCGAAGGTGTCCGCGCTCCTGTCAGTCGAAGTCTCGTTAGCGTCTTGTCCGCGAGTGGGATTGGACGAGGAAGTCGCACGAGACGACGCGCTGCCTCTGCAGCCTGGGAAGGAGGACTTGGGGATCGACTAGAACGAAGGCGACGACGGTCGGCTTCAGAGCCGATATGTGACCACCTTCTCCCTCTTCATCGTGTACAGGATGTTCTGCGAATCGAAGGTGAGGGTAGAAGCCCAGGGGAGCGGGACTGACAGCGCACCTTTGAGGTCCTTTTCAATCTCCCACCTGCTCGAATCGCTCTTAGCTGGACTCGCGTCTCGATCTTTAGCTGCGAGCGCACCTGAGCCTGACCGCAACGTCCTTGCCACCTACAAAACCTTGACCGAGTGCACCGCGAAAGAATGGCGCCTTGGTCCTGCGAGACGTCCGTCAGCTCGTCGGCCGTGCCGAAGTCGCTGCGATCGGTGGGTGTCGTCACACGCACCCGTCAAGGAGGACCAAGACGAAGGGCGATCCTTGCGGCCCTTCGATTCTGCTCTCGCTCGACGAGCTGCACTCGCTTCCGTCGCTTGCGGCGGGGACGTGCGAAAAGTGCGTGGCTGGTGCAGCGGCATGACGCAGTTCGGCGACGATCTACTGCACAAAGGTCTCGTCAGCACGTACACCAGGATTCCCGAGCGGGGGCCGGACTCGCCGCCTTGTACGTCGCGACTTCCTCCTCCGCCTCCTGTATCTCCCGGTCCTCCTTAATACGGCGCATCTGCCGCTCCATCTCGTCCTCCGGATCCTGATCTCCCAGCGTGCGAGTCATCTGGAAGCGCTGCTCTTCTTCCTCGACCTGTTCCTCGAGTGAGCGACAGTCTTCGAGGATGCGGGCGACAAAGTCGTTCTGCTCGGTCGATAGCCTGCGAGAGAAGATCAGTTACTGCCCCGATTCTGGACCAGAGCAGTGGCGCACCCGTTCCACTGCAGATAGCTAAGCGAGGTTAGTAACGGCTCTCCAGCTGGCGAGAGGGAAGGGAACGCACCCGTCTGGCCTGCTCCTCCGTGCGGGGCATGGCAGCCGCCGTCGCATCGCCAGTTTCCTCCATGTGAGCGTCGCCAGGCGGGAGAAGAGGAGGATGAGCAGATGAAGCGAGAGAAGTGGGGGAGAAAGGAGGTGAAGGGGGTCGAGCGAAGCTTTGCTTGCTGCGTCGCAGGTAAAGGCGGCACGGAGGGTCAATGAGCAAGCTGGGGAAACAGGCGAGCGCAAAGGAAGAGAGGTGGAAGAGCGAGAGGAGCGAGAGGAAGGGAAAGGGAAGAGAAGCGCGACGACGATGGCAAGGATGCTAGACGACCGCAAGGAAAGCGAGCGACAGAATGGGAATGATCACTCTCCGAACGCTCACCTCGTATGGAACAAGCGAGTCATTCAAGCGAACATGTACGCCGCCGCCTTCCCCTTCCCCTTTGCCTTCGCCTTGTCCCAAGCGCCCGATCCGTCGAAAGCGTGCGTATCGTAGACCTGCCCAAAGCCATTCTCGTCGTCGCCTTCCTCGTGATTCCTGCGCGACGGAAGCGGGTCAGTTCACGTCGAGAAAGGAGAGAAGGGTGAACTCACTGGTCGCCTGGCCCGACTGGTGGCGTGACTGGCCTGAAAGCCCAACCCAAGTCGGTTCCGAGACCATTCTTCGAGCCAAAGAAGCGGTTGAAGACGGCGACGCGCCACCCCGAGCCCTTGAGGACTTCGCGTTCGTCGTCAGTCTCGCGATGATTGACGCTGTGTGGAGAAAGCGATCAGTCCGCGTTCTTGACATGTGACCGAGAGCGAGTACCCACAGGACGAGCTTGGGAGCGACGCGGACGAAGAACTGACCGCTGCCGGGCTTCAGCTTCTCGCAGGAGTCGAGGAGCGTCTCGAGGTGGATCCCGGCGATGAAGATGCGCTTCAGGTTTGGCGCCTGTCCGTAGAGCTCGATCATGTTGGCCATGAAGCGGTCGATGGGCGCTTCGCCAACGTCGATAGCCTGGTTATTGCGGAGGCTTGTCCAGCCGGCGAGGAAGCTGCCCCACTGGTCGTCGACCCTCAAGCCGCGGAGAACGCCGTTCTTCTTGAGGTTGTAGACGAGCGCACTGCGATTGTGCCAGACGATGGACATGATGACAGGCGGAATTTGTTTCTCATCGTCCTCGTCGAGCTCGATGTTGTGGTCTGCGCAAGATGACGCGGTCAGCTCCTTCAGAACCAGACGGGCAGAGGAGGCTTAAGTAGGCACCACGCAGGTCCTTCTCAACCTCCCAGCTGTCACAAAGCGACGAGGATCAGTCTCGACGGCGGACCAGGTGAGCGAAAGCGATCAGGGACGCACCGAACGCGATTCCCCATGTCAATCCCGCCAGACATTCCTTGCTTGATAGCGTCCTCGTTGAAAGGCGCCGCGGAGCTGTGCAAGAGCGAGAGGGAGAGCAAGGTGAGCGCGCTGACCTTCCTAAGCTGGGGAGATATCCGGCGCCTGCGCCCGGTGCAAATGGACGACGCACCCGTCGATGAGCACGAGAATGAAGGGGTTGCCGGTGGTGACGCTCGAACGGACGGCCGCCTTCGCTTGCCGCTGAGGCGCGCTGGCGAGATCCTCGTGAACCCTGACCTGCTCCTCGCGCACCTGGCGCCCAAGATCCTCGCTCTGCTGCCTCAACTCCGCCACAGTCTGGAGTGTGAAGAGTCAGTCAGTGATACGACGAAGCGTTCGTGGAGAAGAGGACGCACCGACTTCCAGTTCTCGAGGTCGATTTCCTGCGCTCCAATCTGGCACTCCTGCAACTCCCTCGTTCCGGACAGTTCCGCGAGCGCCGTGGTTGCCGTCTTGGCCTGCTTGAGCTTGTCGATCGCCTGCTGCTCTTCGTCAATGCCTCTCCCGAGGTTCACCTTCTCCTCCATCAGCCGGTAGACGAACGCATCGTGCGCCTCGAGGAGCCTGCGAGCCGGAGAGCGTCTGTCAGCCCTTAGTGAGTCAGATTCGAGAGATCTGTACGCACTCCTGGTGCTGCGCGGGTGAGGCCAGGGTCAGCAAGAGCGAGTCGACGAGGAAAGGAGTTGAGGCGGGCGCACCTCGCTGGCGTCTCGCTGGATGACCGCAGCAGGCGACAGTTGCGCGTCCATGGCGCCGTTGACGAGTCCCGGCATCGCAGCGGCGCGGCCGGGCGAGGAGCGAGGTGTGGTGGAGAGGAAAGAAAGGTCCGCGGTGTTGGCCGGAGGTCGAAGTCGTCTCTCCCGCCGACTTGAGCTCTGCGAGTGGACAAGTAGAGCTACAAGAAGCTACAAGAAACAGCAGAAGTGGTCCGAGTACGGTTCAAGCGTCGATTCCTCCTCGCTCCTCGCCTCACCTTGGGAAGAACTTCGACTCGCTGCAAACGACGACTGTGTCAGCATGCGCTGCGAGCATCAAGCCAAGCCTGGGTGTGCGTACTGGGAGAATATGCACCTGCAGGCCAATCGATCAGCGAGAGTATGGGTCAAGAGGAAGCGAAAGGAACGTACGGTTCGCCCGTACCGCGGCGGTAAGTCTCATTCCAGCGGCACTCTCGCGTCTTGCGCATGCTCTGGAGGCGCCATACTCGTCAGCGTACCTTCAACGAAGCGGGAGAGATGATGAACCGGGCAAGGCTGCTTCGCGACGTCCTCCCTTAGGCGGCGCACTTGGCCGGCACTCAACTCGTCTGCAGCGCGTGAAGCGTCAGTGGGCACAGCGGATGATGCGAAAGCTGAGGTAGAACGCACAGTCATGAGCACGAGGGCAGTCTCGCTCGTTGCGGCAACCGCTCTTGACGAGATAGTGGAAGAAGCAGCTGCGAGGGGGTGGTCTCAGTCAACAATCATCACTCAGCGGCCATACGCGTTTACACCGGTGGGTCTGCGAGATATAGCGGTCGCTGTCAGAACGTACGCGAGGGCGAGAAGCAGAACGGCTCACCCTGGTTGACGAGCGCCTTGTTCGGGTTGATCTTGCGCTTCCCAGTCGACCGCTTGTTCCCGCTGACGTGCTGCCACTCGGGCTCGGCCGATACGCTACGAAAGCGGAACGATTAGCGAGAAGGAGCGTTCGAGTCTGCAGAGAACGCAAACGCACCTCGCAGCGGTCGAAGGTCCAGCGAGTCCGAGGCCGACAGACTCGCTCTGCTGAACGAGAGGAGGTACAATCGGACGGCTGCTCGAGCTGTCGAAGAGGCCGGCAAACGTGACGGTCGGACCGCCAAGGTCGTCCTTCTCCTCATTCGGGCGGTGGTCGATGCTGACGAGGGAGCATTGGTCAGGGCGCGAGCGGGCGACGAGAAGAGGAGTCCCAGACGTACAGGACGAACTTCGGCAAGACGACCTCCTCGAAGGCCTTGTCGAGCTCCTCGGGCGAACCCTCCTCGTCTTGCGGGACGAGCGGGAGGATGGTCATGCCCGGGTGGACGCCTGCGATGTAAATCTTCTCGACGTTGCCCATGAAGCCGAACTTGGTCAGAACCGCCGTCATGTGTTCGGCGACCGAGTTGCGGTCTGCGAGGAGCAGGTGAGCGGTGCGTCGCCTAGAGAGCTGGTCACGCAGACTCACCGACATCGACAAGCATGTTGCCGACGATGCGGGCGAAACCTTGCGAGAAGTTGAGCCAGGTCGACGGAACGCTGTCAAGCGAAGGAGGTGAGCGAGCTGGCTGGAAACGGGCGCAGGCAAGCGGACATACGTGATGACCCTGTCCGCCTGGAGCCTCGCGACGAGGTCCTGACGGTTGTACCAGACCCAGACCATGACTTCGCTCTCGCTCTCAGCCGCCGTGCCGCGGTCAAGCTGGACCTCATTGCTGAGCGGGATGGAGGTCAGCGGAACTCATGTTCGCAGGCAGGCTCGCCGAACGCACCGAAGCATTTCGGACGCCTTCTTTCCGCCATCTTTGCCAGCTTGGATCAGCTTGTCGGCGAAAGGAGCGACTGAGCTGCATGAGGTTGCGCCAACGTCAAGCCACGACAGGTCCGAAGTCGGGAAGGCAGACGCACCCATTGATCAGGACGAGCGTGACAGGCGGACCGACCCTCCTGACCGTCTTGCGGCCAGGCTTCGACTCGCGCTTCGCCTCTTCCCTCCTCTCGGCAGCCTCCCTCCTCTGAGTCTCGAGGAACGCGAGCCTCGACTGGTCCTCGTCGATCGCCTTGTTGAGGTCTTGGTACTCCTGCGAGGTCGATCGCCTTGTCGAGGTCTTGGTACTCCTGCGAGGTTCGATAGAAGGTGAGTATGCCACTCGACGCTGAAGGTTGCGGACGACTCACGTTGCGATACTTTTCGACCTCGTCCTCGAGTTCACGAAGCCTGGCGAGCCTCGCGACTTCCTCCCTGTCTTCCTGCTGCGTCACGGTGGACGCCTCAAGCTGTTTGCGCTCCTTGCGCACTTCTTCGAGGCGGTTCTGCAGGGCGAGCTTGTTCGCGAGGAGGTTGGCGACGAACTCGTCCTGAGACGCGAGCAGCCTGTCGGGGACGAGGTGAGCGACTCTCGCGCCAGCAGTCGCTGTTCCACACTCACTCGCGCCACTGCACGTTATCGAAGACGGCCGTCAGCGTCGTCCGCAACTTCCGAGGAGGGAGGAGAGGAGGCGCACCTGCTCGACCTCGCGCGCGACGTCCTCCTCGACCGCGCCGAGCACAGAGTCGGACCCTTCGGTAGCCATCGTCGCAAGCAAGCCCTGAGTCCGGTCAAGTAGAGCGAGTCCAGGAAGGAGCACGAGGCAAAGCCGGATGAAGAAGAGAGCGAGCGCTCCTCAGCACACAGCTCGTGGGTGCGGGGTTCAAAGAACGAGCGTGGACAACTCAGAGACGCCGTCAGATCGCAAGGCTGCTCTGCCTACCAAGCTCGACCTCGGCGAGATGTTCGATGATGAGGTTTGTCTCCTCCAGACCCGCTCACGCCTCTTTCAGCTCTCTGCTGTTCTACTGGAGCTACTGGCTGAACGAGAACATACACGCTGGCTAGTCACACGACCTACGCGACCTTCCCGCGCTCGTCGGCGCCGTCCTCCGGCTCGTCCACCCCTCTTCGCCAGGCGCACGCATCCTCGTCTGTGCCGATACCACGCAGATTCTCGACGCTGCACCTCCACCTTGCCCAGAGCCTCACGTCGGATGCGCTGCGGAGCCCTTTGAGCGGACGAGGCCAGCGGGAGGATGAAGAGGATGATGCGCTGGATGGTGGATGGCGAGCATTATCCGCTTCATTGGGACAAGAGGGACGGCTTGGCGAGCAGGAAAGACGTCCGCTCGCACACAAGCTGTCTGTGACGGGCTCGCAGCTCGCGGAGGAGCCGGAGACCCTCGACACAACCAAATCGACCGGCCCTTTCGAGCCAGAGACGAGAGCATACGTCGATGCAGCCGCTAGCGACGAAGGGAACGGCGAGACAAAGCGTCGCATTCCCCTACTCTCCCCCTTGGCGAAGAATGTTGCGAAATGCGTCCTCTCCTACTTCCTCGCCGAGCTCTTCACCTTCGTTCCCTTTCTCTCCGACGCTCTCGGCTCTCCATTCGACGTCGACGGACCCATCAAGAATGCGCATGTCGTCGCAACCGTCGCAGTCTACTTCATGCCGTCGAGGACGATCGGCGGAATGGTGGAAGCCGACCTGTTCCTCTCCCTCGCCGCCCTCTTCGCCATCTTCCTCTCGTGCGGTTCGATGGCGATGACCGTCTTTCTCGACGCCTACGACTTGCTCACACTTGGACACGCCCTGGTCCTTGTTCTTTGGATCGGTTGCGGGTACGGCTGCCTTGCGTATGCCAAAGTCGTTTGGGCCAAACCGACCGTCTCGACCGCTTGTTCGTTGGTCTCCCTCGTTTGCTCGCCCATGTAAGCTTTCTCACACCTTTCATGCCATCACAGCTGACGCTTTCCCCCTCAGCATCACGAAGGAAGGCGCTTTTCTCGGCGAATTTCGGACAGAGGCGATCAAGCGCATCCTCCTGATCGCGCTCGTCGGATCCGTCATCTCGAACCTGGTGTGCTTCCTCGTTTGGCCTCAGAGCGCCACAACGCAGTTCCAGACCGACCTCGACCGCACGCTCGACTCGTTCTCCACCCTCCTCGAAATGCTCGCACGAACATTTCTTCTCGACCCCGACTCGTCGACCACGTCTACCGAGCTCAAACGTGCCATCGATACGCACAAGTCGACCTTCACCACCCTGCGCACCTCGCTTTCTCAGGCGAAGTACGAGGTGTTTGATCGTCGCATTTCTGGAAGGACGACAATCTACGACAGCGTTGTGGCGAAGATGCAACACCTCGCGCAAGGCTTGACCGGCATGCGAGCTGGATGTTCGCTCCAGTCCGACGTCCTGCGAGCGCGCGAGGGAGGCGTCGGCACCGCGGACGGAGAGGACGGTCTTCTGGACGAGGTCACTGTCCTCGAGCGCTTCAAGGAGCGAGTTGAACCGTCCCTTCGCCAGGTCGTCGCGAGCAGCAAGCGTGTTCTCCATGCTCTGAAGGCGAGCGCGCCGGCGACTACCACGGCAGATGATCTCGAAGCGCCCACCTCCGCGTCCGAGGATCTCTTTCGACTGCAGCAGCAGCTCGAGCATGACCTCACTCTCTTCCGGCGCGAGCACTCGAAGGCGGTCAAGATCCTCTATCGATCCCTTCCAGAGAAGACCCTCTTCGGCGGCGACCTGGAGTTGTCCTTGGCGCAGCGCGAGACGAGGGGCGCGCCGAACGAGAACCTCTTCCGCATCTACCACTTGTGCGTGCGGAGTGCGGCTTTCCCGCTTCCCCAACTGATCCTGTTCTCTTGCAGCTGCTTCAATCTCGAAGAATGGGCCGGCGAGCTGCTTGCGCTCGTCAGTATCTTCATTCGCCTTCGCGCCACCGATGAGGCGATGCGTCGAGAACTACACCAGGCGCGAGCAAAGTGGGGACGCATCGCGAACGTTGCGTCTCTCCTCGCCCACATTTCGACAGATCGCCAGCTCGACTCGACACTCACGCAGAAAGCGGAACAGCTGGGCCGACAGCTCTGTGAGTTAAAGCAAGACGATCACGCTACGACGGCTGATGTCCATCCACAGCTCGCGCGCTGCAGACGCCGCGTCGGAAACACCGCTCCGTCTTCCCCGAGATCATCGATGGCGCTCTCTCGTCGCATCAGGTCGATGCAGCGGAACTCTCGCTACTCGGTCGGGTCAAGCTGTCGATGTGGCACCTGGCGTACCACCTTCGGCAGCCGAACCTTCGCTTCGCCATCAAGACCGGCGCCGGCGCCGCTATCCTGTCAGCTCCCGCCTTCGTCCCGTCCCTCCGCCCTCTCTGGCTCACCTGGCGCGGCGAGTGGAGTCTAATCTCGTACATGGTCATTGCGGCGCCGAGTCTCGGACAGACCAACTTCCTCGCCTTCGGACGCATCGCTGGAACCGCCTTCGGAGCCGCCGTCGCCCTCGCCTTCTGGACTGCTTTCCCAGAGAATGCCATTGTACTGCCGATCCTCGGAGCCCTCTTCTCTGCGCCCTGCTTTTACATTGCAGTCAGCCGACCGCATCTCGCCGCGACCTCCCGCTTCGTCCTCCTCACCTTCAACCTTACCTGCCTCTACGCCTTCAACCTTCGCGAGATCGACGTGCCCATCGGCTCGATCGCCTTCCATCGCTCCGCCGCCGTGATCTTCGGCGTCGCCTGGGGCCTGATCGTCAACTCGTATGTCTGGCCTTTTGAGGCACGCCGGGAGTTGCGCAAAGGACTCTCTGAGTACGTTCCGCAGCCGCACACAGGGAGTCGTTGCTGACGCTGCCGCCACCAGGTTCTTCGTCAACATCTCTCACTTCTACGAGCGCATCGTTCGCACGTACTCATCGGCAGGCGTGCTCGCAGATGATGCAGTATCTCTCGGCGGCGAGACGTCACCTCTGCTGCGAAGCGAAGCGGAAGACCTGTTCTCAACGATGGAGCTCGAACTTCAATTGACGCTCATTCGCGTAAGCTTTCGAATCCCGCTACGCCTACAGCGACGTTGACGCCCTTCACCACAGGTTTCTGGCCTTCTCTCCGCGACACGCCACGAGCCGCGGATCAAAGGACCTTTCCCAGTCGCTCCGTACCGCGACGTTCTCGCCGCATGTCAGTCGATGCTCGATTCGCTCACTGCAATCGTACGCATGACGCGCCGGGACGCCTGGCTCAAGGTTGTGAGGAGGGACTTTGTCTTGCCTGTCAACGAGCAGCGAAGGGAGATGGTGTGTGATGTCCGCGTTCTCCGAAGCTTCTGGCGCGCTGACGCTTCGTCTACCAGGTCGGCAACGTTATTCTTTACCTCGCGCTCCTCTCCAGCGCTGTGTCCGCCAAGACGCCTCTACCGCCATTCCTCCCTCCGGCAGAACAGGCTCGCGAGAGGCTCGTTGCCAAGCTGCGGGACCTCGAAGTCGTCAAGCGCCGCCTCGTGCGGGGTGGCAGCGAGTCACTCCTATACTATGCATACACGACGTCGATGCAGGTGAGCTACGGGCATGCAAGGCCGTGTAGCCGTGCTGACCTTCTCGCAGGACGTAATTGCGCCGCTCGACTTGCTCGGCGCCATCTTCCAGCGGTTGTTCGGCATCATCGGTGGGCCTGCAATCCTCTCCACCGCGATCACCGCTGACGACGAGTTTCTGCAGGCGGGACAACCGTCAGCGACTTCGACGCCCTCTTCCTCGCTCCTTCGGCAGCTTCGTCTCAGCACCACGAGGACGACAGCGACAGTACGTCGTCACATCACCTTCGATAGACCGTGTCCAGCTTTAGAACCTGTTCGTTGTAGATTTACGCTTGCAATTCTTCTTTCCGCCGTCTTGCTCCCCTCCTTTGCGTCCTCGTCTCGCCCGGCGGCATTGCCGGAGTTCATCTCTGCATCAGCGGGTTCATTCACACCGCAGGAGCGGGTCACAGACGCAGAAGGCGCGAGCGGATTCAATATCAGTTCTTGGTCAGTTCCGGTCCGGAGAGGTTGCCTCTTGCTCCAACTCGCTCGCCGTCTCGCTGGAAGCTGCTGCGTTGCTGGTCTTCTTGAACCCTCTCCGAAGTTGCACTCGTGCCTGCTAGAAGGCGGCCAGCCACTCCGACTCGTCCCCTCGTCTCCTCGCCGTCGCTCAACCTCCGACATCATCGCTGGCCGCGAGTTGCGTTTGACGGCTAGGACGGGGCGTAGTGATCTTGAGGAGGATCTTGGACAGTACTAGGTAGCTTCAGGAGCGGAGGAGCTGCAGGGTACGCCGTCAATCTGCTCAACGCCTCTTCCGCTGATCTCACCGCACATGCCCGTAGGATGGCGACACTCGACGAGCGGACCTACAGCTCGACCTTCAGTGGCCTGAAGTCGACAGCTATCACGTCGGGCGCCGTGATCGCTGGAAGCCTCCTCATTAAGGAGATCCTGCAGCGACTGCGACGGTATCCAGACGAGGATGCTCGCCGGAAGCAGGGGCAGCCCGTTCCCGACCGCGGCGTCGAAGCGTGGGCGATGGGCTACCTGTACAGGGCGAGGACGTACGTCGCGGGCCTAAAGACTCCCAACTATTCACGTTGGCCGCTCGCCTGGGTTATCGAGGCGTACAAACGCGACGAGCATTTCTACGAATCGCACGCCGGCCTCGACGCAGCGACCTACATCCGCTTCCTCCGCGGCACCCTCTTCTTCACGACCTTCCTCCTCCTCACCGCCTTCCCGGTCTTGATGGGCATCAACTTTGTCTACGCCGCCTCTCGCTTCGACACCGACTCGATCGACCGAGCATCCATTACCGCGCTCGTCGACAATCAGCAAGGCCTCTTCCTCCTGCCAGTCCACACGACCTTTGTCTGGCTCACAACGCTCGCCTGGTTCGCCACGCTCGTGTGGTTTGGGCGAGGCCTCCTCCGCATGCGTCGCCGCGAGTTGCGTAAACTCCTCGCCGATAGTGCCGAGCGTCGTCAACGCCTAAGTGAGACGGGCGCTGTGCAGCAGCCACTCGATGTCGCCTTCTCGCCCGAACTCGACCCTTCGATAGCCGATGGCGAGCTCGGTTGGCGCTACCGGACCGTCCTCGTGCGCAACATCCCTCCGCGACTGCGGTCCGAGGAAGCAATCCGCTCGTACTTCGAGCATCACCTCCGCGAGAGCTCGCCGTCCAGCTCGACCGACCAGTACCCGCCCGCTTCTCGAGACGACAAGAAGTTCTCTCAGCAAAACGACACGCCACTCATCTCGGAGATCGTCCTTCTTCGACGCCAGACGGAGTTGAACGAGCTCTACTTCACGAAATACCAAGAAGTTCTCCATCAACTCGAGACGGCGCACGTCGAGCTGGCGCGGAATGTGATGGGTTGGGTGCGGGAGGAAGTGCGGCAGCAGGAACGCACGAAGCAAGGTTTGGCGCCGCCCATGACTCCGTGGCGGTGGATCAAGGGGCATATTGGCAGACGAAGGGCCGAGGGCGACGTCGAACGAGACGCTCGAGCGGGCGACGCGGAACTCCTTGCAGCTTTGCGGCCGTTCCTCGATTCAGCGGCCGATCTACAGAGCAGAACGCTCTGGGACGCGCTCGCCACCCTCCGGTCCGACCACCCCTCCATCCTCGACCGCTTTCAGCCCCTAATCCGCCTGCGCCGCTTCCGCTCTGCGTCGGTTCCGACCGTAGACTACTTTCTCGCCAAGCACAACCTTTTTTACTCGCTCATCGAGGATCAGCGGTCGCAGAAGGAGACTGTTGAAGCGGCGTCCACCGCATTCGTGACGTTCGCGCGGGCCGACGACGCTCGTCGTGCTCGCAAGGAGCTGCGGTACCGCCCCGTTGGCAAGATCTACGGTCGGATGACGCTCGAGTGGAAGGTCAAGATGGCGCCCGAGTTCCGCGACTTGCACTGGCACCGGCTGGTCGTCGTTAGCCTGTCTTCCGACCTCCTCCGCAACTCGCTGCTAAATGCCCTCGTTTGGGCCGTCACGATCATCTGGGTGCGTCTCGGCCCATATCCTACTGCTCTTCCTTCGCCCGCTGACGCCCACCCTCTTCAGGTCCTGCCAATCTCGGTCCTCATCGGTCTCCTCTCGCTCGAGTCGCTAGTCTCGTCCCGTCGCTTCTCCCGACCGCTTTGATCTCGCTGCTCAACATGTACACGCCTACGGTCATTGGCATTCTTCAACGACAGGGCAAGACCCTCATTACCGAGTCGAAGTGGTCATTGGTTACGCAGGCGGCGTACTGGAAGTTCCTCGTCGGCAAGTCTGCGGTCCCTCAGTATTTGGACCGGCTGCTAACGCTCTCCCCCTCAGTCAACCTTCTCATCATCTTCGTCATCGGCATCACGGCGTTCTCCGCCTTCCTCAACGCCTTCCGCCAACCTGTCTCCGTCCTGACCGTTCTGGCCGGCGCGTTCCCGAAGGCCTCCACGTTCTACACCTCGTACATCCTCCTTCAGACCGGCGTCCACACCGGAATCGAGCTCTCTCTCCTCGGCATATCCTGGATCAATCACGCCTCGATCCGCAAATACGTCGCCCCGCGCAAACGGACGACGGAAGGCGTGCCTCGCTTCTTCGGCCAGCAGTCGTGGCTGGCAAACCACCTCTTCGTCACATCGCTCACGCTCGTCTTCGCCGTCCTCAACCCGCTCATCGTCCCCTTCTCGTTCATCTACTTTTCCTTCGCCGTCCTCACGATGAAGCAGCAATTCGCGCACGTCTACTACCGCCGCAACTTCGAGTTGGGCGGGCGCATGATCTTCCGCCGCGTCTTCCGGTACAGCCTCGACATCGCCGTCCTGTCCCAGCTCGTTGCTGTGGCGTTCTTCTGGGTCTTGAAGCGCTTTGCGTATGGCGGCGCGTGCATTCCTCTGGTGAGCCTCTCTCGTATTGCTCACGCTCGTTCATTGCTCACTTCTAGCCGCCCAGATCCCGATCACTATCGCCTTCAAAATTCTCGGCACTCGGTATTTCGACCATCTCCTCGACGAGCTCGACGAAGCCAAGATCGACATCATCTGCGGTAACGGCGAGGACCCTCAAGCTCAGCTAAGCGCGCCACTTCCGACCGAGGAGGAAGAGCGCCGCGCATCTTCCGTCGGCGGAACGCTCCGTTCGCTCGCTTTCTTGGCGACTGTCACCATCCCGAGCCTCGCTCTGCACCCCAGCGCGAAGCTGTCGAGTCAGAAGGCGGTCCAGTTCGATCGGCGCCATTGCAAGTGGCAGTCGGAGCGGGCAGCGCCGAGCGACCAGCCGGAGAAGTCTCACACGCGGGCGAATACGGCGCCGGACGACTGGCGGCGACCTATGCTCGAACCGGTCGCATCGAGCGACGAAGACTCCGAGGTGTCGCACACGCAGGCCGCCCAAGTACAGGCCGACAAGACGGACGCTGGTGCTCTCCCTCACTCCGCCGCTCTCCCCGAATCCTCTGCGACGGTTCAGACCGGTGCAACCCCGCCTGCCAAGCCCGACGCATCGAGCGTTGTTACGGCGCATCCGCCAATCATCCGCGACGATCGCCCAGTCTCGCACCTTCGCTACCGGAATCCAGCTGAGGTCGTTCCGCTTTCGCGCTCTCTCTGGCTGCCTCGCGACCCGCTCAAGCCTGTTGATCTCGGCGACACGGTCGACTACCGCGGCCGCGCGCTCGTCTCAAGCGAAGGTGGGAAGGGTGTAATCGGTCACTGGGACGAGATGGAAGAGACTGCAGAACTCGAGCCGCGCCCGGAGGAAGGCGATCCTGAGAAGGTTCAAAGGCGGTCCTCAGCCCTTGGAGACGACTCGGCATACACGCTTCAAGGTACCGAGCGGATCCGTGTCGCGGCCGACGTCGCCGCTCGCCTCTCGCCAAAGACCTCGCCTAGTCTTGTTCGGCCGTCCAGTCCTCCTTCGCCGCAGTCGATCCGGCATTCGCCTGTCCTGCTACGGCATCCAGGCGCACCAAAGCCATCTCCACCGCCCATCCCTTCGTTCGAGCCGTCGACGGCATCCCCAGATCGTCTCGAGCCCGGCTATCCTTTCCCAGAGTCTGCCGCCGAGCCTTCAGCCACCTCGCCTCGCCGTTCGACTTTGTCTGTCCCGCCGCCTTCGCCCTCTCGCCTCTCCCGCATCGTCTCCGCGTCGACCACCACCGCGCAACCGCCAACTTCGCCGGCCGGGCCTGGAACTTCGCCTACACGCGCCCGTACAAACCGCTCCGCCTCCCTCGTTCCCTCGATCCGGTCCTTCTCGCGATTTCATGCGCCTGCGGGTGCTGCCATCGCCGAAGCGACCGAGCCGTCCGTCTCGCAGGCCGAGGCTCTTCGAAGCGAGCTACTCGAGGAGGAGCGTCGGAGCCACCTCGTGCATGCGAAGCGAGAAGAGCATCGCAAGGCGCAGGAGCGGAAAGACCGTGAGGCAGATGCGAACGCGACGGCCAAGGACGGATGGTTCCGCAAATTGCTCGTCCGCCGCGACGAAGGCGCAGTAGATGACGACACGTAGCATAGCGTCGCGGACGCATCCCTCTCGAGTATATAGCTTCTCTCCAATACCCTGCGCGCATCACGTCACCTATGTTGTCCTAGCCCTCCCTCGTAATTTCAGCATCGCAGTTACGCATACTCAGGCCCTACGGAAGGGGTCAAGCGTCTCTAGCTCGATGAGCAGATCATCAGGGGGCTGTACGATGAGAGAGCGAGAGTCAGCGGGTGGCATGGGTCGGGTTCAGTCTCGACGTACTTCGCCGCTCGTCTCGCGCTCCTCACGCTGCGAATCCCCAGCACCTGTCTCCAAGCCGACACCGCTTGACAGACTCTGCCATTCCAACGCATTCTTGCTCGACGTTCGTTCGTCTTCTGCGCCTTCCCCTTGTCCTCGCTCGTCATGCTCCAGGCTGAGCGCCTCTCGCTCCATCAGGCTCTGCACCATTCGTGATCCGCTACCACGACCTCCTCGGTCCCCACGTTCTCGCCGGAGATCGGCTCGCTCTCGCTCGAGCGCGCGGGCTGAGCGAGGTGCGCGAGGCGAGGATACCTGGTCGGTCGTTGTGAGAGGGGATGACGGAGCTGAAGACGGCGTCGGGGCGGACGGTGGATGGAAGAGTCGAGAGCGGTGCGAGGATAGTGCAGGAGAGGAGGCGTGCGACTCGGTGTAAGAAGGCGAGGACTCGATCGGAGGAGTTGGTATGATTCGGGCGCTGAAGTCGGCTAGTGATCGGTCGGCTGTCGCTGTTCCGGCCTTGATGAGGGCTTGTCGTTCCTCAGAGTCGCGAAGTGCTGTCTCGAGCTTGGCGACAAGGTGATGCGTCTTGGACGATGCGAATGACGGCTCAGCGCGGAAGATGGCGTTTTGTACTCGGAGGAAGGTGCACGACGGGTTTAGGGCGATGAGGCGAAGGACGAGGAACAGGAGGGGTTCCTGGAGGAGCTCGACCAGGGCGAGATCGGCTTCGGATACGGCGAGGTCAGCCAAGCGTTCGCTTCGCCCAACGAGAGCTTTGTGCTCACCCGACGAGTCAATCAGCCATGCGAGTAACGACTCTGCGGCTCGTTCCGCCTCCTCGTCGCGCAAGACATGAGCTGTCCCGGCAACCCAGAGTCCCGCGATCAGACTCTTTTTCCACTGCTCCTCCGCGTCGAAGACGAGTTGCTGGGCAAAGAAGAGCTGCTGCGAAGGCGGGGCGTCGCGGAAAAAGGAAAGGACAGGAAGGACGAGGGATGGTAAAGGAAGTGTGGGCGGAATGTCAAGTTCGGGGCGCGAGAGGAGGGCGAGAAGGGACGAAGCAGAGGGCAGGCGAGGCGACTTGGGAGATGAGGGTGAGGCCGTTCTCCCGGTCGTGCTGTCGGGCGAGAACGGCAGGATCTCCAGCACCCGTTCGACGACCTCGTCCCGCTGCTTTATCCATCCCCGCCGCTTCTTCCGACTCGCACCGCTGCCGAAGCTGGTGGCGCTGGCATGCGTATCGTCCGAAGTCAACGAGCTCAGGAGTCGCTCGTAATGCAGCTTGACGAGGTTCGGGTCGACCCGTCGAACGAGGGCGAGACCGCTGAGGCGAACTGTCGAGTCGGGCGAATCGAGTGAGGCAAGTATGGCGGCCCATTCTCGCTCGCCCCATGTCGAACGCCGTAATGGTATCGAATCGGAAGGCGGTGTCGTCCATCGCGAGGGAGGCAGGAGCGCGAGCGATTGGAGGGCGAAGAGGAGTTGAGCGGAGCTCTCAGGGCGGACGAGTCGGACTTGTATGCGGGAAAGCAGCTCGTCAAAGGTGTTTGGCGAGGTCGAGACGGAGTCCCGGAAAAAGGGAAGGAGGCGAAGAGCCGAGACGATGGCGCCTGTGGGTTGCAATGGGTCGACACTTGGGGACGGTGAAAGAGAAGCGACAAACGCACCCTCAGCCAGTGCTGTACCAATTCTCCGCAGTCTATCGACAGCACGCCACAGTAGCTCCATCGGAGCGTCCACTGCGTCCGCTTCAGCCGCGTCGAGCCTTTCCAACTCTGCCGCGAGATTTCTCAGCGCACGTTCCACGGCCCACACGCTCCTCGACGTATCGTTGATGTCCAAAGTATCAAGGACGCGATCGAGGAGCGAGGCGTGAAGCTGGATGCGGTCCTTCGCGCTCGGAAGAATCGGGTGTATAGGCGAAGATGGTGCGATGGCGGAGGAGAGAGCGGCGAGAAGTGTGACAGAAGCCGGAGAGTGGTGAGAGTGGTGTTGCCGAGAGGAAGTCGAGGCGGAAGAAGGAGGAGGCGGTAGGAGAAGCGAGAGGACCCGCGCGCGAGTCTGAGCGGTTAATGCTGAGGCGCCATCGAGCTTCTCGTCCTTTGCGCACTGAACGACTGAGAGAGCCGTGGCCAACGCAAGTCGCTTGATCGACTCGGCGACGGTGCGGGCGGCGAGGAGGTCAAAGATCTGCGCCTGAACAGCGGAAAGAAGCTCCGGCGAGACGATGTTGGGGGACCCTACTGCGCGCAGTGCCATCGACCATCGCTTATCGGCGTCATCATCGCTAGGCGGGACGGACACGTCGTGCGAAATTGTGTTGATGAGGAGCAGCTTGAGAGGGTGAAAGGCCGGAGGGAACAGTTCGGCGCAAGCACGGTAGCCTGCGTGAAGTGAACGAGGTCAGCAAGGGACGGCTAACACGGTAGGGCTGCTGTACATGCCGATTTGTCGCTCGCGCAGACGCCCTCCTCCCGCCAACAAGACTGCGGTCGGCAGGGCCCATTCTCCTTCGAGCAGGGCAGCTTCGTCCGGTGCGAGCGAGGGGTCTCGTCGTTGCGTTCGGCAGTACAGCAGGAAGACCAGGTCGTGCGACGCCTTCGTCTGCGAGATAACCCCACATCGGCTTCAACTCGAGGCGAGAGGAGGAGAAGAAGGCCTTGTGCGCACTGGCGTGGGCGCCGTCTTCACCCAAGAGTCTCGTATCCGCCTGCACGCGTCCACTAGCACCCCATTCACCGCCTGCAGAGGGAGAGGAGGTCAGTTGAGCGATGAGGAGATGAGGAGGAGTGGGAGACTCGCCTCGTCGTCGGGCGCGCTTTCGACGGCAGTGACGAGCTGATAGTGCTTCGCAGAAAGAGCAGAGCTGGTCGCATACGGTCCAAGCAGCGGTTGGCTCATGAGCCGAGGGCAGACCCTCTCCTCCTCTGTCCGCTTGAACTTCGACAATCCACTCGCTCGACTGGTGAACCGCTGGAAGCTCTCAAGGGCAGACTGCTTGGCTAGACCCGCCATGGCCGGCCAACAGAATGGCCTACGCAACGGTCAGCTCGCGCAACCCTCTCTCGCCGCCCGAATGAACTCGGGAGCGTTCCTCGGCTCGTACTCGCTGGGCGGCACGCCGATCAAGGCTGAACAGAAGCCGACTGTGCAGGCGACTCCGCCGCAGCCGTCGCAGGGACCGTCTCTCCTTCAGCGAACCAATTCTTCGGGAGGCGGCGGGGAAGGCGGGAGTCTTCTTGCGAGGATGGGCGGCGAACAGGCGGCGGAAAGTCGCGCAGGATCGAGTACGAGTACCGGGCAAGGAGGAAGTGGGCGAGGGATCAATGTGCGCGATCTTTGTGTCTCCTCGAGCGTATTCCCGTCCTGACAGCCCTTGTACAGCTGCGCGAGCGACTGAGCAGGCCCCAACAGCCTGTTGCGACTGCATCTCCGATACCAACGAGACCGCAGTCGTCCCCGCCCAAAGATGGGCCTCAGGCGAACAACGCTTCCATCCCTCCTCCCCCTCGTCCGACGAGTCCTGCGAAACGCCATGTCCGCCAGGCAGACGGATTCCAGACCGCCTCCAACGCTACATCTTCTGTCGCACTCGCAGATCGGATCCACGGCTCGTCGACGTCCCCGTCTACGCACCGTCTCGTTGAGCGACCCGAACCGCCTGTTTGGCAGCAACCCGCTGCGACTCATCCTCCTCAAGGTCATTCTCTTGCCCCCGTCAATCCGCCTCCGCAACGACTTTCGTCTCCACCCCGCGACCCTCGCAAGTCGCCGCCCAAAGGCGCGAATAAGCAGCTTCGCCCGCCTGCGCTTTCATTGACGGAAGCTAATCCTGCCTCCGCTCAAGCGCCAAAAATTCCGTCCATTCAACGATTGCCTCCGGGTCATGTCGCAGCCCAGACGGCTTCTGCGCATTCGAAGCAGACGACGCCTGCTTCCAGGTCATCGGAAGCTGGAACCCCTCCTCTTCCAGACCCATCGCCCGCTGTTCATCTGCACAGTGCTGTGATACCGGCGCCGACAACAGCCGCCTCGTCCGGCGCACCTTCACCCGTCGCCATTCGCCCCGCTCCTTCGTCAACCTCCCAGCCTCCCGCAATCGCGTCGGTCCGCACTGCCACCTCTCTCACTACCAGCACACCTTCACGACAACCTATCCCTCTTCGTCCGCCGTCGTCCGCCGAATCCGGTACTCCGCCTCCCCGACCACCTCGCTCGAATCGCGACGCTGAATCCGGCACTCCGCCCCGACCTCCCCCTCCTACGACTCGTCCTCCCGCTTCTGCAACTCCAGCTACTCCCGCCCCGCGCTCGTCGCACAAATCACCCTCCATCCCTTCCTCTGCCGCGCCTCGTACGCCCAAAAGCGAACCCACCAGTCCTGACTTCCGCACTCGCCCACTTCCACCACCTCGTCCTGCGCCGTACGTTCCGCCAGCGCCAACAAAGCCGAGTCTCGCTGAGCTTCAGCGACAAGCTGATGAAGCGCGCGAATTGGCGCAACAAGCTGAGCGCGAGGCCCGGCGGCGAAGAGATCAGGAGGCGGAGGAGAGACGGAAGGCTCAAGCCGATGCTGAGGAGATGGAGAAGAAGCGGAGAGAGGAGGAGGTGGAGCGCGTGCGAGCTGAAGCTGCGGAGAAGGAGCGGGCTCGGCTTGATGCGGAGGCTAAGGAGCATGCTCGGCTCGAGGCGGAGGAGAAGGAGCGGGTTCGCCTGGAGGCGGAGGCGAAGGAGCGTGCGCGACTGCAGGAGGAGGAGCGTATCAAGCGCGAGGCTGAGGAAACGGCGCGCAAGGAGCGTGAAGCGAAGGCGGAAGCAGAGCGCGTGGAAAAGGAACGCCTCGCGTCTGAGCGCAAGGAGAAGGAGCGTCAAGCGAGGGAGGAGACTAGAAAAAGGGAGGAGGCGGAGAAAAAAGCGCGCTTAGATGCGGAGCTCGAGGCGCAGGAGAAGGCACGGCAGGAAGCGAAGCGCAAGGAGGTCGAGCGGGAGAAGAAGGAACGACTCGAGGAGGAGCGCAGGACGAAGGAGGCTGAGGCGAAAGCGAAGTTGGATGCCGAGCTGGAGGCGCAGGAGAAGGAGCGTCAGGAGGAGATGCGCAAAGAGGAGGAGCGCAAGGTGGAGCTGCGGAAGGAGCAGGAGCGCAAGGCGGAGCTGCGAAAGGAGCAGGAGCGTACGGCCAAGATTGCGGAGCTGGCGGCTCGACAGGCAGAGCGGGATCGTCGAGCGCTCGCTGCTCGGGAAGAAGAGGCGAAGAAGGCGGAGCGGGAGCGACAGGAGTTGGCAAGACTGGCCACCCTGGCACGGAAGAAGAAGGAGGAGGAGGAGCGTCGCAGAAAGGCCGCCGATGACGAAGCGCGGAAAAAGGCGGAGGAGGAGTCAAAGCGGAAGGCAGAGGATGAGGAGCAGAAGAGGAGGGCGGCGAAGGAGGAGGAGGAGCGCGAAGCGGAGGAGGCGATGTGGAGTGCGTTGGCTCTGTGTTCGCTCTCGTCCGCTGCCACACTAATGGGCTCACTCGCAGGAAAGGAGATACCGCCCCTCTGGGCTACGACGACCTACGCCTGGACCGTCCGCCCAGGTTGTCCTGCAATGTCGGCCATTGTTCACGACCGGGATCAAGTGTTTGCGAGCAGCGCAAAGTTGGGACACGTGCGTGCCCTCATCTCCTGCTACCCCTCATCAATCCGCTGACGAGCCCAGATCCAGCCGCGGTGCAGCGCCCTTCTCGCAAGATCATCGCCAAGCACATGGAGACATATACGCACGGTACGGGAGGTCGCGCGGCGTACGCCTCCAGAGTGCGCGACTACGAATCGTTCTGTCGATCCGTTGACGTCCCGCCATGGCCGCTGTCGACCGTCATGATTGCGCTCTTCTGCATCGCAACGGCGCCCGATGGCTTCGCGCTGAGCACGGCCAGCAACATCGTCATCGCGCTCCGCAACTCGACTCGCAACTGCGTCGACGACTGGCAGGCATTGCCAGGCTACAGCGAGCTCGCCTCCTGGCCCAGGGCGGATCAAGCCCTTACGGAGTGGAAGAACCTGCTGAATCCTATACCAGGTGCGTGAACGCGTCTCGAGACCGGCACAACGTTCCGCGATTGACTCTTCGTCAACAATAGACGAGGAAGACTCTCCCCTCGAGACGCCTCAGGGAATGTCCCCTGCCGCCTCCGAACCCGCCTACAACGTTGAGGAAGATCACCAAGAGGAGGAAGAGGAGGATCTTGCGGATCAGGACGACGAGGACGGCGCAGATCTCGACGAGGACGAGATGTCCGACGCCGAAGCAAAGGGCAAGCCCGGGAGGTCAGGAAAGAGACGGCGGACTGCAAGGCGCCTCTTTGACGTTTGTCGAGGTCGTCTCGCTGACCACAACCGTTTTTGCAGGCGGTCGAGATGAAGAAATTTGTCCTCGAATGCACCAAGAAGTATCCCTTGCCCGATATGCCCGACATGCCGCGCCCAGGTCAACTCTTTGCCAATCTCCAAGCCCTACTCAAGGCGACCGCTGCGTCGCTCGTCCCCAAGATGGGCGTTACGCCAGTCCTGGCAGTCCGCTCCATCACCTGCAGTCGCCGCAAATACGGGTGTCCATTCCGCCTTTCGACTGTCACGCGGAACGATGGCAAGCTTGTGGTCAAAGCCAACGCGACAATTGCACACAATCACGGGCCGGACAGCCGTCTCCTCGCAGATCCGAATTGGCGACCTGCGATGCGGAACGACGCCGTCGCTGCGGCCGTCGCCAAGCACGACAAGCTGGTGCGCCCGCTTCCTCCGCATTTGGCTGGTCGACTGAAGGCTGACAATATGAGCGACAGATGGCGACGAAGAAGGGCAAGAAGCGCCTCAGCGACTCGTCCGAGCTTCCCGCCGCCAAGCATCCTCGCCGCGAAAGCGGTACGGTCAAGTCGGACGCTGCAAAGCGCGAGATTGCGACCAAGAATGCGCCCGTCGAGCAAGACGAGCCGGCAGGTCCCGAGCCATCCACCTTAGCGAAGGACGCGTCGCCCCTTCCCGCCCCGAGTGACGCGCCCCGGAACGCGGAGGAGGCGAAACAGCCTCAGAGCGGCGATCACGACCTCGATATCGAGCGCTCTCGCGTTGGCGAGACGGGCAGTTCAGCCATCAAAGCCTCTTCGCCTTCGACGGAGCCGAAACCTACGGACATGACGGTCGTCAAGGCCGCCTCGTCGACTCCTGCGCCTCAATTGCCTAGCCAACCCTCGCTGCCACTAACCAACAGCCCCGCCGCCGGCTCTTCCTACCGCCCACCCCTCGAAGCCTTCCTCGTCGCCTTGCACCCGTCCCTCGCTCCCCTCACCGACCCTCTCCTCGCCGCGGGCATCACTTCGAACCGCTCACTCGCGCTCTTTGCCGGCATGGAGCCCTCCAGTCGACACGCTCTCTACGAGGATCTGCGGATTGAGGGTGACATGCCGATGCTGGACGCGGCGGCGGTCGAGGCGCTCGACGAGGCGTGCAGCAGGGCGCAGGCGTCGCACTGGTCCGTATAGTGCCCTCTCTTGTTGTGTTCGTATCTATCTGTTGTCGTTCCTCCTCGTTATTGTCACTCGAACTCGATTTATTCGTTCTCCTCCTCCCGCTTCCTGCGACCTGATTCTCCGCTCATCTCTAACGTACTGTACGCTCGCACATCGCGCCATACGACCAGCTATAGGCGAGAAATGTCGTCGCTCCCGCCTGCGAAGCGATCGAGCAAGCGGGATGCGCTTCTCCGACCTCGACGCGTCGCTCTCCTCGCTGCTTTGCTTCTGTTTGCGCTGGAGCGTACGCACACTGCTCGCTTCCGTCTATCGCGCTTTGTCACGCCACGCCACGAGCCGACGGCGAGGACTGAGCGATGGGAGGACAAGCAACGTTCGCGGGCGTCCCGCTGTCGCTCATCTCGCTCGTAACGCTCACTGTGCAGAACTCTGCCTTGACGATCGTACTGCACTACGTACGTCCCGCGTCCCATCCCTGCCGTAGGAGTTGCGAGGTGTTGGAGCTGATCCGCCGACGGATCCGTTGGACGAACGCAGAGCCGGATCTCGGTGCCCAAGGACAAGATGTACAGCGCAGCGAGCGCAGTTTTGCTCAACGAGCTGCTCAAGGGCGCCATCTCGCTCTCCATCGCGTTTCGGAATGCGGTCAAGGCGGCACCCTCGTCTGGCAACGACTACTCGCGGCTTGAAACGGCGGACGAGCACGAACGGCGAAGAGGGCCTGTGCACGGCGAGGCGGTCAGTGTAGAGCGGATACAGGCAGGCGGGCGGAAAATGTGGCGGGAGGTATTCAGGTGTGCTCCCTCTTTCCGCTTGTTCCTCGTTTGTCCGCTGAACAGGCTGTTTTGCTCGTCTACAGCAGCGACTGCTGGAAACTCTCAATCCCAGCATGCCTCTACGTCGTCCAGAACAATGTACGGGACCTTCGCTTGCGTAGGCTCGTCAGGTGGACGCTTACTCTCCCTCATTCCCAGCTTCAATTCGTCGCCGCCTCGAACCTCGACGTCCCAACCTTCCAAGTCACCTACAACCTGAAAATTCTTACTACCGCCCTCTTCTCCGTCTTCCTCCTGCGAAGACGATTATCGGCGCGGAAATGGCTCGCTTTGCTGTTCCTCGCGGCAGGCGTTGGTGTCGTCCAGCTCCAATCGTCGACAGCATCGGGTTCGACGTCGCACGGCTCGCACGAGATGGACAAGTACAAGGGGCTCGCGGCCGTCTTTTGCGCCTGCATGACCTCCGGCCTCGCAGGCGTCTACTTCGAGATGGTCCTCAAGGGCAGCAAGGCCGACCTCTGGATCCGAAACGTCCAGCTATCCTTCTTCTCCCTCCTTCCCGCCGCCACGGCCGTCTTCGCTCCCGGTTTCCGCCTCTTTGGCGGCGGCTCAACCACTCCAAACCCGACCGCTGGACAGCCGGTCTTTGCAAACTTTGGCGGGTGGGCATGGGCGGTCGTGTTAATCCAGGTGCGTCTAGTACATCGCATGTTTCCCGCCGCAAGCTGACTTTGCGTCTGCAGGTCTTCGGTGGACTTGTCACGGCGCTGGTCATCCGGTACAGGTGCGTCAGCTTCTAGGCGTTCGCGCAAGCTCGTCTGACAGGGTCTTTGTGAGCAGCGACAACATCATGAAGGGCTTTGCGACCTCACTCGCCATCGTCCTGTCCTTCTGCGCCGGAATCGTCCTTTTCGACTTCCAGGTCACCCTCTCCTTCCTCGTCGGCACTTGCATGGTCGTTGCGAGCACGTACATGTACAACTCGCCAGACGGTGGGTCGCTGCACCTAGCCGCGTATGTCTAGACCTGTTGACACTGAACTGGCTCGCAGCACCTCGACGGTCCGGCACCGACAGCCCGCTCCCCTCCTCCCTCCCCTCCCCCTCACTCGCCAAGGGTCCCTTCATCCCTGCGATTTCGGCGCGCGGCCTCTCAGGCTCGAATCCCATCTCATCCCATTCCTACACTCCAGCCGCCAACTTCGCTCTCCACGCAACCGCATCCGGCACAACCCCTTCCATGGCCGAAGCAGCCGGCCTCGCCTCAGCATCTTACAGGCGTTCTGTCTCGGGCCCGCTAGGCGCGCAAACGCCCGATCACTCGGTCGCGGTCTTCCCGCTCGACAACCGCCGGTCCCTCGAACACACCCACAGCCACAGCGCCAACACCTCGCTCTACGACCCGCCTCGGGACAGCGTACCACCCCCAGCGCACCAGTTTGCGTTCCCGGCGTCTGTGCCGGGCAGCCCGCAAGACCCGCTTCGACCGCTTGCCCGGGTGCGAGCCGCGGAACAAGCGGCGACGAACGGGACGGGCATGCCTGAGCGGAAGGACAGCATGCCAATTATGGCGGACCCAGTGGCAGGCGAGGGGTACTCGAGTGGAAGGGCACCGGGAACGCCGGCGAGTCCTGACCCGAACGTGAGGAGTAGGAGTCCGTTGCCGAGGACTGCATAAGGTATTCACGCGCGCTTCCCGTTATACCCTTCTCCATCTCCCCTGCATCTCTCATCTAGAGCAGTAATACAGCATATTCGGGTTACCAGCTTCTCCACGAGCGCCACGAGCAGCGAGGTGAACTCGTCTATGTACAAGCACATCCTGGCCTACTCCCGCCGCCGAGCCACCCGCAGGCACTCGTCCCCCAGACTCGGATCTTGAGGGTCCACGACGACGAATACCTCGCGTCCCGCTTCGCGCAACAACCTAGTCCCCTCGCACTCGACGAAATCCTTCGGCTCCTCGACGCCCATGTACACCCTTCGGATGCCCGTCTTCAATATCCGCTGCACACACGGCACGTTCCCACTCAGCCGCGTCGAGCAAGGCTCCATCGTCGTGTAGATGCTGGCGCCGTCGAGCAACTTGTCCCTCTCGTCGCCCGAGATGGCTGGGCTGGCGAATTGCGTCTGGTCCGTCGACGAGGGAGACAGCAGCTTGTCGAGTGCACATTGCTCGGCGTGTGTGTTGCCTGGCAACTCGCGCGAGAAGCCGGTGGAGAGGACGGCGGAGGGGTAGGTGGGGTGCGAAGAGGAAGAGACGATGACGGCGCCGACACAAAACGCTGTTTCGACCGGTGCGGACTTGCGAGCCTCGTCCAGCGCTTGTCGCATGTACTTGACGTGCTCAGCGTCTGCTCAGGAGGCGTCGACGAGGAAAGTCAGCCGTCCGAGTCTCGCGAACCGATGAGGATGAGCGCGGACGCACCGGACGTCGTGGGAGTTGGCTGGGCAGTCATGCTGCTCTTTCGTCGGTATTCAGGAGCTGTCGTGACCTGTAGCGCCACTTCTGGCGGAGAGGAAGCGATGGGCCACTGCCAACATCCTCTTCGGCTCTCCTCCGTCTCTACCTTCGCGCTCAACTCGCTGAGCTGCTGCTTTGCCTGGTTCGAACTTGCTCACACGCCTTTCGGAATGCCCTGCCATCGCGTCTAATCCCCGCCCCGCCCTACTCGCATGCATCGAATGGCCCGTGTCGGGATTCGGTCGCGGGCGAAGCGACGGCCATCAGCGCCTTCGCCAGCAGCTGCGAGCAGCCTGGTAGGACGGCAGTATGTCGGCACGGTACACGCGAAGCTCGCCGACTGGTTCGCATCTCTCGGCGTGTGGATCTCGCAACACCAGACTCTCTCTCTCCTCGCTACTGCCCTCGTAATCTGCAGCCTCCTCTCGCCAGCCATCCTCCTCACGTTTTCGCCATCCGGATCCATCTTCGACATCAGTACGAGCGCGATTACCCGCCGCGGACGAGGCGAGCTGGTATGGGAACTGGACGGGATGAAGCGGCAAGGGCTGATCTCGACAGAGGAGGAGGTATGCTGGGACAGGGTCAAGGTGTTCTACGAGAAGACGGGGAGGGAAGGCGGAGGACGGAGAGTACGCGTCGAGCAGGTCTTGGTCGGCGCAGGAGCGGTCGGCGGGCGAGGGACGATCAGCAAGGTCGTCTTGCATCGGACTTGGCGAGTCCAGGAAGAGCTGGAAAGGCGTCTACTGGCGGGCGAAATCGAGGGCAACCGGTGTTTGCGGACAAAGGAAGACGGCAGTCCGCGCTGCGCGGTCATCAGCCCCGTCGGTTGGTGGAGCAGCGAGGACGAGCTGCTGCGCGACGAGGACGTTCATCGGACGTTGAGCCTTCCTCCACGTCCGAGAACAGAGTCGCGGGCGTTGCCGCTTACAGTCTCGCAGACGTTTGTGGGCGTCGGCAGAGATCGACATGTGCGTGGCGCTTTGCCCTTCGTTTCTGTGTATGCTCACTCGGTTCTCGTGTGGCAGGGACTCGTCAAATCGGCTCAGCAGCTGGTCCTCAACTTCCTTTTCGACGACGGACCCATCGCCGCGCCTCTCGCCCCCTCTTCTTTACCCGGAGTCAACTCGACTGTCGCTGAAAATGCAGCGCGATCTGCGGCTTCGTCGGCTTGGCGAAAGGCCGTGCAAGAAGTAGTCGACCGCAAGGACCAGCGGTCGTCGGCAACGGGCAGAGCTGCCGACCCGATGGGCGTCACGACCGAGAACCGGATGCCGCCTCGACACATCGTCCTCAAGTACCTCCCGCACCTGACTGTGGCGGGTCACCATCGTCGACTGGAGAACCTCATCTACGGCGTGGGGTACCTCCTCGTCGCCCTCTACGTCTGGCGATACATCCGCAAGCTCCGCGCCCATTCGAAACTCGGTCTGCTTGTAACCGGCTGCGTCGAGCTCGCTGCGAGCGGGATTATGTCGGTCAGTATTTGCTGGCTTCTTGGCTGGAGCCTCGGACTGGTACCCTGGTGAGTACCATCCCTCGCGCTGACCTTCACAGCTCGCTGACCTCGCCGCTCGGACAGGAACCTGCTCGCCTTCCTCGTTCTCACCTCCGGCCTCGACAACATGATTCTCGTCCTCCGGTCCATCGCAAGCACCGATGTCAACCTGCCTGTCCCGCAACGCATGTCGATCGGCTTGCGTTCCGTCGGCGTGGAGATGACGATCCTGCTCGCGGTGGAGGAGTTGATGGCGCTGCTCTTGCTGTGCTGGGTTCAGATCAGCGTGAGCACCGCTCCTCGCACCTCTGCCGTTGTCGCAAGCTGAACATCATCGCCCTCGCCAGGTCATGCGGGAGTGGATCCGCTTCGGCGCCGTCGTTCTGGTTGTCGACTATTTCCTCGAGATTACCTTCTTCTCGACAGTCCTGTCCATCGATATTCAACGCCTCGAGCTCGCCGACCTCCTCGCCCAGAATCCGTCCTTGGGCTACCAAGCCGTCCCTTCGGCCGCTCTAGGCGAGAAAGGACGCACAGGAGCTTCTAGGACTGCGTCCGTTGGCGCATCGGTCAAGTCGGCGTGGAAGGTGCTGCGCGATCGGCCAGCGAAGACGTCGACCGTCGCGTTCTTATGGGCGATCAACCTGCTCCTCTGGGCTTTGTTCGTCCGCTTCCTGCTAATCGAGTCGTACATGAAGTGACATTCTGCCCTCAACAGCTACGGCAGCGAGCACTACCTGCCCGCAGTCTGCTCGCAGACCGCCCTTTCCTCCGACCGACCTTTCCTCGCACCTTCCCTCGCGCCCGACATCACTCGGTCCCTCCGTCTCGGCCAAACCTCCGACCCTTCCTCATCTTCATACCTCGACATTCCCGCCGGAGCAGCCTCGGCTTTCTGGCAGCTCGTCAACCCGTCCAACGCGACCAGCGTGCAAGTCTACCTCGAGCCCACCGTCTCCATCCAGTTCTTCGACGAAGACATCCTCGCCGCGCCAGAGAGCATTGACCTGCTCTTCCCGACCGACTCGGCGCCTTCGATCGTCACCAAGGTCGGGCTCGTCCTCCTCCCGATCGCGGTTGTGATGGGCCTGCTCTACCTGCTCCTGCTGTACCTCTTGAAGGACGCAGAGCTGCTGCAGGCCCACTGGGGCAGCGAAGGCCGGCTCGGCGGACCAGGCAGTCGGAGGAGGCGCAAGCAAGAAGCGGAGAAGAGGCCGGACGCAGGCGTCGAGGTCGTCAAGCAGATGTCGGCGCGGCACATCAACGACGTCGAGCTCATCGCAAGCGGAGGAGACGTTGTCGCAAGCTGGGCTGCGCTCGAGGACTGCATCCTCGTTAGGCAGCGGCACGGCGTCTCGGTCACGCTCGACATACCGGTCGACGCGGAGCCTGCAGTCCTCTCCGCCCTCGTCGTCGACCCTACTGGACGCTTCTGTGCGGCTGCGACAGCGACAGGCCGGCTTCACGTATGGTCGCTCGAGGACGGCGGCGCTCCGCTCGCTCTGAACAGCACTCGCACGACCCAGTCGCCCATCCTTGCGCTCGCTGTGCGCGGCTCGACGGCTCAGAGCGGCGCAGGACTCGTGAATGCATCGACGATGCCGTCTCTGTACGGTTCTGTCGATGCGGGAGACTTCGACTCGGACGAGCAGGCGGTCTTCTTCGCACTCCATCGCGACGGGACCGTGGCGGGGTGGAAGCCTTCAATCGGCCAGTCGATCATTGTCGCTCCTTACGATTCTCGGCAAGATGCGTCGACCCGGACGACTTTCGTCGCAGCGACATGCGCAGGCTCGCCTTCGGCTACGCCACTCCTGGCAAGAATGTCGCACGATGGCCACCTTCAGCTCGTCTCCATCAACGCCGGTTCCGAAGAAACCGTACTCGACGATTACGTTGGCCGCGCTGGGGCTCGGCTCACTGCATTGGCCGTCTCGCGAGCCGAAGGAGGGTTCCTCGCAACAGGCTACTCGGACGGTCATGTCGTCTTCCGATCTCTCGCAAGTCCAGCACATTTGCTTGCTGAGACGCATGCCATCGACGGACCCGTGCGACGAATCCATCTCCTGCCCGCCCCTGAACGGCAGACCTGCTCGGACTGCGGCGAACAAGTCGACGATGGGGTCGTCGCCATCATTTCCGACCGTTCGACTTTGAAGGTCTTGCGCGTCTACGCGCCTCCGACTACGGCAGCTGTCGAGCCGTGCAAGTGCAACGCGGACGACGTCGCTACGATCGCTCGAAGCCGGTCATCCTTTATGGGAGTTGGCAGTCCTGCGATGGTCCGCACCCTCAGCAACGGCATGTCACGTCGCTTCTCGCCTCGCAAGAAGCCGCCGACACCTGTACGACCGCAGCAGCAGCCATCCCTTCTCGGCGACTCGCCTATTCGACCGCGGACGCGACAGTACGCCAGCAACGGCTCGTCCTCGTCGTCCGGCTCCAGCTCGCCAACGCGAGACCGCTCTCTCAACGGCCTGAGTATGCTGGGCTCGCCGGCTCCGCCACCTCCCATGGCCACCTCGCCCACCGTCTCTCAGCCATCTTCGCCTCGCAGTTCGACCGTTCCCCTTGCGCCGGATACCGACACCATCGCCTCGCTCGACAGTATCAGCTCCGGTCCGACGTCGCCAATGCGGTGTGTCGAAGTCGCTTGCATGCCTCTCGACGACCGCGGCGATTGGGAGGTCATGGCTGGACGCCTGGTCGGGTTCCGGCGGGCTCGCTCGCTCGAGGCGGCGGGCCAGCGGGGATGGGAGGTATGGACAATGGGCCTTGGTCGTGCAAATACGCCCTACGACGAGGGGTACGAGGAGGGTACGGCGAGTCTTGCGGACTTGCTGCAGGCTGAGCGGGAGGAAGGCGGAAACGCGGCGTCGCAATCGGTCGCGCCACCTGCGACACTACGGCAGCGCCGACCTAGTGCAGTACATGCACTTCGTTCGCCTCGAGCATCGCTTTCCGCGACGAGGCCATCCTCAATCCGTTTCGCAGAGAACACGGCCGACCTCCCCTTCTCTCGCGCTCGACCCGTCGTGTCCGCACTGGACGGCAAGGGAGTATCGGTCGCGCTCGGCAACAGGGTCATCGTACTGCGCTCGGCGAAGAAGCAGAACAACGGTGTGGTGGCGCAGCAGAGCGGATTTTTGGGTTTATAGTTCGTCTGAGAGTCTTCTTCCTTCCTCCGTGTTGTCTGTAGACGTAGGATATGTATCTCCGCACTGCCATGCATCCCCTGTGCCACTTCCTTGCGGCTAGACTCTCTAAACGGCGAGAGGGGAAGCGAATCTCAGGCTTCTTTTGACATTTCTACCCAGCCATCCCTATCTACGCATCCTGCGAGCCGCTGTAAGGCTGGAGGCGGCTCTGGGCGTCGGTCCACGAGAGCGAGCCGTTGCAGAGCTCGCTGACGACCTGGATGACCTCGTCGATCGAGCCGATGAGCTGCAGGGTCGTGTCGCGCTCGCGGAGAGTCATCGTGTTGTTCTTGACGGCTTCGCACACAAGATCGGTGAGTTCGACAAATTCAAGACTGGAGAGAAGGAAGAGCAGCCGACGACGCACAGGCAAAGTCGAGCGTGACACCGAAGGGCGTGCCGAGCTCGTCGTTGCGCGCGTACCGCTTGCCAATCGAGGCGTTCGAGTCGTCAACGCGCGACGCGATACCGAGGCTGCGGAGCTTCTGCGAGACCTGGGCGACAAGCGGCTTGAACTCGGAGTTGGAGGAGAGGGGGACGATGAGGCACTTGATGGGTGCGACGGCGGGAGGGAGGGAGAGGACGCCGCGGTTGACGTCGTCGGCGCGAGCCCAGAAGGAGTGCTCGAGGAGGGAGTAGAGGATGCGGCCGATACCGAAAGAGGGCTCGATGACGTTCGGGACGAACTCACGGACTGTGCGGAGAAGGCAGTCAGTTCTGGCTCAGCTCCTTTCCGACGAAGAGCACGGACGCACCCATCTCCTTGATCTGAGTCGGGGTGATCGTGAGGACGTTCGCAGGGACCTGGAACTCCTGGCCGTTGACCTTGACAGTCGCCTGCTGCTGCTCCTTCAACTGCTGCATAGCCTTCACGAGCTCCTCCTCGCTGAGCGCGTTGATCGCCTCCTCAATCGCCTTCGCATCCTTCTTGAACAGCGGGCCGAACGCCTTCTTGTCAATCGCGGGAACGTTGCGCTCGACGATCCGAGGCTCCTTGAGCGCCTGTCGGACAACAAGCTTGTTCTGCGTCTTGACCGAGTGGACAGTCAAGTCGTATGCGGAGCGGTCTGCGCAACCGACACATTCGATCCAGCCGTACGAGGTCTCGATCTCGGCGTCCCAGCAGTCGGCGGCGTAGTGAGCCATCTCGTTCGCCATGTGTTGGCGGAAGCGGAGGCGGGCGGGGTTGATGCCGATCTTGGTAAGGAAGAGGTAGATGCGCGCGATGAAGTAGCCGAGGGTCGAGTTGTCAACCATGCCCTGCGCGACGAGACATCAGCAGCAAGCCTTATCAAAGTCTGGTGCGAGACTGACGGTCTTGACAGCCTCGCCGATGGTCATCTCCGAGATGTCGGTCCGACCCTCTGCCTGAACGTCCTTCGGCAGCAAGCGGAGCTTGATGTCCTTGACCGACTCGAAGCGCTCGTGCGCCTTGTCGAGCGGGTCGACAAAGTGCTCGATCTCAGCCATGGTGAACTCGCTGTGCAAACCGAGCCGCAAGGAGCAACCTCGTCAGCTACGAACGAACTCGACGAAGCAAAGATGGCAGTCCACGCACCGGACACGCAGAAGACCCGACCGAGGCGAGATCTCGTTACGGAACGAGCGACCGATCTGTGCCGAGGCGAAGGGGACACGGCCGTTGTTGAAGTCGAGGAGGCGGTTGAAGTTGACAAAGTGACCCTGAGCGGTTTCGGGGCGGAGGTAGCTGGGGGCGCAGAACCGTCAGCGCATATCCGGTAGACTGAGAGTTGTCTACAACGCACCCCTTGAGCTGGCCGGTAGGGCCGATGTTGGAGTCGAACATGAGGTTGAACTCGACAGGCTGCGTGACCTCGTTGCCCGTCTCGGGCGCGACGATCTTGTGTTCGCGGATGAGCTGACCAAGTTCAGCGCCGGTGTAGTTGTCGATCTTGGCGAGGATCTGCTCGTACTCCTCGACGACCTTGTCATCGAGCTTGACCGCCACCGACTTGACCTTCTTCTTCTTCTTCTTGGCCGTCGCGTCCTCCTCCTCCTGCAGCTCCTTGACGCCGCGCGCTTCCTTGTCGCCCTTCAAGCGCGCCTCGAGGACACCCTCGATGAGGTGGTCCGCGCGGTAGACCTCGTTCGTCTTGGAATCCTTGACCATCCAGTCGGTGAACTTGTCGACGTGACCCGAGGTCTTGAGGACGTCCGAGAGCGTCATGATGGTCGTGTCGAGCTCGAGCATCTCTTCCTCGATGATGAAGTGCTTGCGCCATGTGTCGATGATGTTGGCCTGGAGCGACGAGCCGGGAGGACCCTGCAAGGAGGACGAGCGAGAGGTCAGCTCTGTCGCGGCCGGAGAAGCGGTGGGAACAGCACGCACGTAGTCGTAGAGACCCTTGACACCTGCACACGCACCGCACGACCCACGCAGAGCCCGACAAGATCAGCGAACTTGATCTCGCTCGCTTCATCTGCCAGGAGCTCAACCCGGACGACGACAGCACGGATTCGGTGCGACTCACCGCCATAGATCTCGAAAGCGGGCGCATAGAAGAACCTGCGAATGAGCAAGCTCTCGAGCTGGCTGCGCTCGAACGGGTGGGCGTCCTTGACGGGCGTCGTCGAAGTCGGCTGGCTCATCTTTGAGCGGGCGAGGAGCGCGGCGGACGAGGTGAGCGGGCGTGTGAGGAACGGTGTAGCTGCGAGTGTCGTGCGAGTGCCTTGGACGAGGCCGCGGAGCATGCACAAGGCCAGCGAGTGAAGAGCAAGAGCGAGAAGTGGAAGTGAAAGCGGGCTGTCAAGTTGGCTTGCGAAAGTTCCTTGCGACGTGCAGGCGCTGTATGAGACTCGTGCAGCTAGTACAAACCCACCGCCAGCCGCAGGAGGCGCGAGGGAAGCAGCGGAAGCGACGGATCCCGACGATGCCCTCGTCTCGTGCATGTGAACGATACAGAAATGCAAGTTGCAGCTCGACTGCGGTATCCCCAACACTCCTCCGATTCCACTCTGACTGCCTCGTGCCGCGCGCTCAGACCCTGAACGGAGCAAGAGTCAGTTCGAGGAAGCAAAGGAGACTGAGCGAGAGAACGGTTGACGAACATCCGCCGCTTCCTGGGACGAGTACCGGGGACGGGGATTGGCGTCTGATCCGTAGCCGGGTCAGACAAGATGAACGAAGTGACAGCAGCCGAGAGTGGACGCACCGCATCCGTGACCCTCCTGATCAACGACCGCACGACGTCGGCATCTCCCGTCATGAGCGTCCTGAAGACGGCCTCCCTCCCTGCTCCGAAACCCTTGAAGACGAGCTCGATCTCGGTCGGCGCCGGTCCCATCGTCTTTGGCTTCCTTCCTCCAGCGAGAACGGGCGGGTTGATCATCTCGCGGATGCGCTTGACCATCTGGAGGGTGACCTCGACTCCCGCGTCGTACGTCGACCTCTGCGCGCCCTTGAACCCTGCCGACCCTCCGCTGACCCAACCCACCGCGACTTCGTGCTCGTCCTGCTCCGGACCCCTCGACCTGGCGAGCGCGGGGTGTGTGGACCGGCGGACGGCCGACAAGGTGAGGATGGTGTTGTTGCGGCTCGAGAAGACGTGCAGCTTGTAGGGATCGTACGAGCGGACCTTTCGAGGGCCGCTCGAGATGACCGGGCGAGCGTAGGCGTCGGCGCCAGGGAGTCCACCCACCAAGTCCTGCCCGGGGAGCTTCGCAGGCGCCTTGAACATGTCTGGCAGGACTGCAGAGCCCGGAAGCGGCGCCTGATACGTCGCCGCCGACTCGCGCACCTCGGGTCGCTCCTCCTCAACGGTGGTGGTCGTCTGGGTCTCGGGGGCGGTTGCGAGCGCGCGGGAGGGTTGTCGCCGTGCTGCCTGTGCGAGTGCGCCGCGGAACAGCGTCCTCGACGTCGAGGCAAGCGCCGACATCGTCCACTGAGCGAGTTGGTCAAGGCGAGAGAAGTGAGCAGGCGAGGGTTGGACTCTACGACCCGCTCAGCACCACCAGCTGGCTCAGAAGCGACGTAAGAGTGTTCTTTAGGCTCCCCAGTACCCGCCTGACCTTTCAAACGCCGCTCCAGCTGCTGTCGTCGTCCCGCTCTCCTCCCTCAACCTCTCGAAGCGATGCCGACCGTTCGCGCTCCCTCTCCGCCTCCAACAGCCTGGCCAGCGTACTATCCGCCTTCTCTTCGCTACCTGTCCGATCCGCGCCCGCACCCAGACCCGTCCAAGCTGCCACCGTCGAGGAGGTACCGTCCGCAGGGGAGTGGGGACAAGGTCCGCACGATGCAGGACGAGTTGGATCAGCTCGATGTCGACGAGGACGAGTTGTACAATCAGGTGCGTAGGCGCCGACCGTTCAGCGCATTTGACGGACAGCTGACTTCTCCTTCTCTTCGCTCGCGACTTGCAGAAAATGGACACTCGACAGTATGGCTACTCCTGGTTGATCCCTCTCGGCCGCCAAAACACCCACGAAGAAGATATCGAAGTGCGCTTCCCCCCCTTCCATGCCCTCGTCGCATCGCGCTAACCTTCCTCCTGGACATTCCAGTCGCAATACGGTTCATCCCCTCACGCCTCGCGCCTCGCCGACCCCCTCAACCTCGACGGAGACTTTGACTTTGACTTTCCCGACCTCCGTCATGGGGCCGACGGCGCAGGCGAAGGAGCGGGGAGAGGACGGTTCGGGGCTCAGAGGGGTTTGCTGCAAGAAGAGGAGGATGCGGATGTCGAGGTCCGGGATTTGGATGACGAGATTGAGGATGCGGATGCGGCGAGCCAGAGTGGGAGCGGAGAGTCGGAAGAGGAGGACGGGGAGGAAGGGGAGGTATCGGGCGCGGTGAGCAACATGATGAGTGGGGAGGGGGACGCGAGTGTGCGGGTGGAGGAATGGTGGGACGGGCAGCGAGAGAGGCAGTATCGGGAGCTGCCAGGTGACGGAGGATCTTACATGTAACTCGCTTCTCGTCGCACGCCACCGCACTCGACGAGAACTCGCTCGCTGTCTCAGTGCCCGCTCCTCTTGCACAAACTGGCATTGGGCGTATGGAGCGGAGACGCATTGCAAAGATACGGACGGCAAAGGTTGACCAGCAAAAGAGAAACGAGGACCCATAGAACGACGATCGAGGCAGGAAGGCGGCAGCGATATGGACAACAAGCACGGAGAGGAGAGGCGATAGATCGGTGCGAGACGGAAAACGGAACAAGGAAAACACAGAAAGGAGGAGAAGGGAAAGAGTGAGTCGCTCAGTTCCTCGCCTTGAGGGCGGGAGGCGGATCCTTCTTCGGCCCGACCTCCTTCTTGGCCGCCTCCGCCTCCTTTGCAAGCTTGAGCTTTGCGCGCAACTCAGCAGCCTTGTTGGTGCGCGGCGTGAGCGTCGGAGCGGAAGTAGAGGGGATGGGCGGGCGGGTAGTCGACTGGCTGAGGGTGCTGGCGGGACGAGTTGGAGCCGGGCGGGGCTTGGGCGTGACAGGTGCAGTAGACGTGGCGAGCGACGAGGCAGGCCGACCATTCGCGCCCTCCGCCGCCTCCTGCTGCGCAAACCTCCCAACAACGCCCGCAACCGACGCGCGCCCGCTCCTCCCCGTCCCATTGCGCAGCGCCACGCTCTTCGTCATCCTCGGCGTGATGCTCGGTTCCCTCAGAGCCTTCAAGTCGGAAGAGACAATACTCGCCCTCCCGCTGCTCGCGCTCATACTGCTGCTCGGGCGGTTCTCCTTCGTCGAAGCGGGCGGAGCACGGCGAGGCGTCGTAGGCGGGAGGGCGATACCTTGGCGGAGCATTGCCGCGCGCGACATGCGCACTTCGACAGCCGGAGCGGGAGGTGCGGAAGGGGCGGTCGTCGCGACGCTGTGACGGCGTTGCTGGCGGTCGAGAGCGGCACGCTCCGCTGTCGAGATGGACTGGCGGACGCGAGGCTTGGCGGCGGTAGTGCTGGAGGTAGGAGGACCCTGGCCGGTGCGCAGAGCGGCGGTCTTGGTGAGTCGGGGCGTGATGGCCGGCGCGGCGAGGCTCTTTGGCGTCGAAACGGCGGTACGTGAGGGCGCTTGTGAGGATGGGTTCGACGTTCCAGACTCGGAAGGGGTGATGGTCGAGCGTCGAGGGGTGGACGGAGGAAGGGAGACGCCGAGGCGCAAAGCGGCGGCCTTCGTAAGGCGCGGCTGAGATGCGGCGGTGGCCGTGAAGGACGGAGCGGGACGAGCGCGGAAAGGGGTAGCAGAGGACGTCGAGGAAGTGAGGGAAGCTCCAGACATGGCGGAAGTGGCGCGGCGAAGAGGCGGGGCGATGGGCAGAGCGGGAGGAGCGACTGTCTCGACCCGCTCGACGTCTTCATCCTGCACGTCCTGCGGCTCTTCCAGCACCTCTACCGGCTCCTCGTCATCCTCGGCGGGGTCGATTTCCTCCGGCGTTGGCGACCGATTCGTGAACACCCTTCGTTCGGGCGTTTGTGTTCCCTCCGCCGTCTTGGCCTCTGAGCGGACTGTGAGGGGCGACGCTGTGCTCGCGCGACTGTTGCGACTGAGCTTGCGCAGCCGCTCGCGCTCCTCGCGCTCCTCGACTTCAGCCAGGGCCTTCTCGATAGCCGGCGAGAGGGTCGTCGTCTTCGGGGGAGGCTGCACTTTGCCGGTGAAAGCCGCGTTCGACAGTGCGAATGGCTTGGATGTGGTGGGAGACTCGGCGGTCGGGGAGGCGACGTTAGCCGGCGAAGCTGGTGTCGGCGAAGATGGGAGAGAGGGGAAGAGCTCGTTGGTGGCCATAGTCGCGGCGGAAAGGGTTGGGGCGGCGAACATGCGGAGGTTGGGGCATTCTTGCGCGAGGCTGTACGACCCAGATCAGCTTCTGTCGGCGATAGACAACCATTCAAGAATTCGGGCTTACCTCGTCGACTGCATCCTCTTCAGCCCAGCGACCGCATCCTGCCTCTCCAGCACCCAGACAGTGTGCTCCTGCTCAGCCGCACTCGCGCTTGCTGCACCCTCTTCGCCAACGCCCAAGCCCAGGTCGACTCCTGCCTCCTCGAGCTCCTCGCCGGTCACACTCGCCTCCTTCAGCAGTCTGAACCCAGCCTTGGTGACAATTTCGCGTGCGTATGGCGTTGCGAGCCTGTCTTCCGGCGCGAAGAGCACGGCCAACGTGCGCTCAGAGGCGGACGAGGACATGGCGCGGACTGTTGGTCGAACAACGGCGATGAGGATGGAGGAACGTGAGGTTGGCGTGCCGCGGGGTGTGAGCGCGTGCAGACGTGTCCAACGGTTGTAGCAGCTGGCTGGAGCGGCTCAGCAGCCCACAGCCGAGGGTGAGCGCGTGCGGACGAGGGCAAGGGGCGGACGGCGCATGCGTGAAGAGGAGGTGCTCGCAACTCGCTTCGTGGGGCTGACTGACGGCTTAGACCAGCTCTATGACGTCCTCCCGTGCGGTTCCAGGCTCGCCAGAGCTGGAGAAGCGGCCGGCGGCGGGCAAGACCCGCGTGCTCCTCGTCGCAGGGTCAAGTCGCGCTTCCAGGACTCGTATGAACGGAAAAGCCCTGCAGAAGACGCATACATAACGGATAGAAAGGCTACCAGCACTCAGACCCGCCCCTCCTCCTCGCCGCGCCTCCTCTTCCTCTCCTCCCTTCGCTTCCGCCGCTCCTCATGCTCCCGCTCGAGCTCCTCCGCCGCCTGCTCGTCTCCCATGCTCATCGCTTGCTCCTCCTCCTCCCGCTTGCGACGCTCCCTCTCCTTGCGACGGCGCCTCTTCTCCCTTTTGCGCCGCTCCAGCTCTTCCTCCTCGCGCTCGATGTCCTCGGAGAACGGCGCCGGCAACTGACGATGCGCGAACCACTCTTTGAGGTCGCTGATGCGGCCTGGAAGAGCCTGGACCGCCGGTGTGACGGTAGCGACCACCGACTGTTTCAACTGCTGAAGAGACGCGAGAATCGTCGGTGTCGAAAGTTGCGAGTCGGCCGACTTCGGCGCGTCGTCCTTCTCGGACGCAGACTTGGACTTGTGCACGTCGGTGTCGACCTTGAGCTTGACGAGCTGGCTGTTCGTGAGCGAGTTCAAGTCCGTATTGTTCTTCAGCTCCATCGCCTCGGCTCGCTCGCGCTCCCTCAGCTCGGCGTCGAGGTCAATCTCCCGCTGGAAGGTATCGCGGCGCTTCCTTCGACGCTCAGGAGGCGGCACCTCGGACGCCGTGCCGGGAACGATATCGGTCTCGGCAGGACCCTCGCAGACAACGCGAACGGGCCAGAATTTGCGCGCCTTGCACGCCCATTCGGATGTGAGGCTGTTGCCGGGTGAGGTTGGGAGCGGAGTCCAGGTGGAGAAGCCGTTCGTGTCACTGTTGGGAAAGACCTTGCAAGGCGAGGTGCTCGTCGGGAGCGAGGTCGTGAACAGGCTGACATATGGCGACCAGGACTCTGCAAGCGAGAGTCGTCAGCGCCGGGACAGCAAGATAGATCTCATGAAACCCACGAGCCGCTGTTCCCTTAAAGCGGACCATGTAGTCGCCCAAGGCCTTCAAGTCCTCCTGCTCGAGGAACGCCTCGAGGTTCACCTTGAGCTGTCGCCTACTCGTCAGCCAAGTTCTCCACTTCGGAAAGCTCCGAACGCACCTCCTCCTTCTGCAAGCCGTGCGTGAACCGAGCCTTGATGGCCTTTCTCGAGACGTCGAGCGGTTCGAGGTAGCCAGCCTTCCTCAGACCCTCCACGTACGCCTCCTCCTCGAAGGGGTTCTTCTCGCCTTCATCTGCTCCGTCCAGACTGAGCGGGACCATGCGAGTCATGCTTCGCTTCGGTACGCGACGAGCGGGAGGTGCGAGGCGAGAGGAGGACGTCGCTCGGCGCACACGTACGCGAGTGCGGATTTCGAGGACCTGAACTTGGCAAGCGACCTTCAAGTCGACAGCAGGAGAGTCGCCCTCGGCGACAGCAGCTGAGGGAGCGCGAGGAGGGTCAGCTTCTCCTCCTGGGCCAGGGTCGAGAGAGCACGTACCCTCGAACGGATCCCCTTCAGCTTGAGGTACTCCAGTCAATCCTCCAGCGTCGAATACTCCTCGCTCCCGGTCGTACGGAAGCGCTGGCGGTCCATCGTCGTAGGCTGGGCGAGTAAGCGAGTCTGCAAGTCCCGCAAGGTGAGGTCAGCCCGTAGCGACGCCGTGAGTGGGACCGACGCACTGGATCGTCCTCGGTACATGAAGCGCAGCAGAAGATAGAAGGACGGAGGCCAAGGAGAGGGTCGCGCTCGAAAGGAGTGCCGGACTTTCCGCGGACTGTCATCTCCGCAACAAGCTGGCAGAACGACGGTGTTGCACGTAAGAGAGCGTAAGGACAGTGTCTGAAGAGGGAGAAAGGGCTGCGCTAGCGCAAGGCGTGAATGGGTACTGCGACAAAGGGTATCGAACGAAAGCGGGAACGAGAGAGGGCGACTAGGCGTGCGCCTGTTGCGCCTTGGCCGCAGACGACTCCTTGAGAGCTGTAGAAAAGGACGTCAGCCTCTGAATTGAGCGAGCAATGGAGAGGGCGTACCGAGCAGCTGCTTCGAGCGGAACGCCTCGTAGTGGACGAGCGCCGTCGTCTCGATCAAGTCTTGCAAGTGAGTGCTGTAGGCGAATGTAGTCAGTAAGCAGCCGCGGACTGAGCGAAGGAGCGGCGCGCACCGGGTCAGGAAGTTGCGGAGGTAGTTGAAGTCGCAGTGCTGCTCGTTCTCAACGTTGATGACGCCCCAGCGGTTCTTCCGGCCGCGCACAGGCTTGCCATCCACGATTACGTTTCGCTCGGAGCCAACAACGGCGAAAGGCATCATGCTCTGCAGGCGGCCGACGAGATGAGCGGGGATCACGGGAGCAGGCAAGAGAACCGTTACTCACCCGAATAGCCGAGTTGAGGCCGCGCTCCTCGTCGTCGTGGTCTTCGGTGTCGAAGGGGTAGACGCGGATGTTGTTGTGCGCAAGCTCGGCGCGGATCTGGAGACGCATGGCGACGTGAGCAAGGCATGAGGCTGAGACTGAAGGCGCCATCGGCAGACTCACCCTCTCCTTGAACAACTCGCGCTCCTCGAGCGTCAAGCTGTCGCTCTTGGCGATGACCGGCACGACATTGACGACCTCGGACAGCTTCTTCATCACGACGATGTCGATCGCCTTGAGGGTGTGGCCGGTCGGAGCGATGAAGTAGAGGCAGGCGTGGATGCGGGTGTCGGCGATGTGCTTGTCGCGCATCGCGGTGAGCTCCTTGCGGAGGTAGGCCGAGTGCTGGTCCTTGATGTACTTGACGATAGGGTCCCAGCTGGTTGACGGCGTCGGGTCAGCTCTCTACTCATCAGAGGCTTCACTGAGGCTCCTCACCAGTTCTCGTTGTTGACGAGGTCGCCGTAGCCAGGCGTGTCGACGATGTTCAGGCGCAAGCGGACATTGTTCTCCTGGACGACTGAGGAGACCCGCGATTCGCGTCAGTCCCAATATCATCGTGTCGAACCCGCGTGCATGTACTTCAACGGCCAAGGCGTGAAGCGCAGGCAGTCTGAGTGGTCCTAAAACGAGAGAAGCGAAACGCAGACGCACCGTGCGAGACTGCCTGAATCTCCGTCGTCTGCCTGATCGGCTCATCCGGCTCGAAGCGACCCTTCGTGTCGATGAGGTGGGAGGCAAAGATCGTGTTGATGAGGGTCGACTTGCCGAGTCCCGTTTGGCCTGGGTGAGGAGGAGAGGGAGGAGGAGTTCAGCATCCACGCAGCGCAGAGTCGACTCGCTGCGTCCGCTCAGTTACTCCTCCGCACCGCTTCGCTCCTGGCCCCTAGGGAACAAGGCTCGATGCGCGCCGTGCAACCGAAAGCGTTCATCCAGCACCACCCGCTCGCAGTGTCCTCAACTCGCTCGCAACCTGTCCAGCCCTGTGTGAGCCCGCCAGCGCATGCCGAAGCTGTCCACTCACCGACTACAATCACGTTGAACTGCGCAGTACGAGACGAGGGTCAGCGAGAGCGACCACCCCGCGACAAGCGAGCGGGGGAAGAGGGGCAGAACAAGCCCTCGAGCCCGCTCCGTTCGCCGTTGAGACATCCAGAGACGCACAGAAAAGCCACGCTTGAGGAGCTTGGACTCGATCTGCTGCGGGAGCGAGTCGAATCCGACGCTGCGTCGACGAGGAGGACGGGGTCAGTCTGGCGGCACCTCGCGCGCTCGTTGGACGCGCACGCACTAGCTGTTGAGGCGAGTGAGCTCGACGGGGTTCTCCACAGCAGCAGCAGCCATCGTGAGCGCGGTGAGAGCAAGCAGGCGACACGGTCGGAGCGAGAGCAGCTTGCGGGGGTCGAGCGAGGCGACGACGGCGAAGATATCGAGTTTGCTCGGATTGTACAGTGTGCGAACGTCGTCTACAAGGGTGGTGCAAGTGCGCAACGAGCGGCGCAGGAAGAAACGAGCGGACAGCGGTGAAACGGCGAAGTCTAGAGGGTCCTTTTGGTGAGCGTCCTGGACGACGTCAGTCCTGAACAACGTCCTCCTTCCTCAGCTTGGGCTTGTCCTCCTTCTTCTCGTCCTTCTTCTCCTTCTCTGCCGCGGACGCCGGCTCGGCGGGCTTGGACGCCGCGGGGATGTCGGTGAGGCCGTCCTTGGCCGCGTCCTTAATTGTCTGCGCCGACTCCTGCAGCTCGGCGGCAGCCTCCTCCTCAATCAGGATACCGAGACCTTCGCCCTGTGGTGCGCACGAGACGGGTCAGCGAAGAAAAAGCCGAGGAGGCCGGGACGCGGAACTCACGCCGGCAAGCGACAGGATGTCGTCCTGCGGGCGCACACGTGAGATCGTCAGCCGTGCATATGCGTGCAAAGAGATTTCAAACATACGAGAGGGATCCAGCCGTCACCGTCGGGGTCGAGCTTTTTGAGGAGGACCTCGATCTCCTCCTCGGGAGGGCGGTGAGCAATGACCTCGAGGGCCGACTTGAGGTCCTTGGCGGCAATCTTGCCCTCGTGGTCGGTCGAGAACATGTTGAGACGGTTGCCGACCGACGAGTCGTACTCCTCGAGCTGCTTGTCGATCTTGGTGAGGAGCGACTTGAGGCGCTTGTTGAGCGGGTTTGGCTGGCCGCCCTCCTCCTGCTCGGCCTTCTCGTTCTCGGTGATGAGGCGGCGCAGCTCGGTGCGCTCCTTGACGACGGCAGACTTGGCCGACAGGATCTCGAGGGCGGAGCCGAGCTCCTGGACCTGCTCGCTGGTCATGCGGACGTCCTCCGGCGCCTTTTCGGGTGCGACTTCCTCCTTGAGCTCCTCCTTGAGCTCCTCCTTGGCCGCCTCCTTGACCTGCGGGTGCGTCAGAGTCAGCAAGCAGTCTACGATCGACCTGTGAAGCAGACGCACCTCGCTCTCGGGCAACAACGTCTCGGCCTTAGCCGACTCCTTCTCGCGCGTCTCCTTCTCCTCGACCTCGCGCTTCTCCTGCTCCTTCTTTTCAAGCTCCTCGCGCTTAGCCTCTTCCTCAGCCTCCTTCTTCTCGCGCTTGGCCTCCTCCTCGGCCTCCTTCTTGAGACGACGGGCCTCAGCCTCCTTGGCTTCCTGCTCCTCCTCGTCCTCGATGAGCTCTTCCTGCTGCTGCAAGACCTCGAGACGCTGCTTGTACGAAGCAGAGTCGGACGAGACCTCGAGCTCGGCTTCGTTGACCTGTCGGTCGAGCCAGAGTCAGCCTACTGTCGCGAGAAGCGGAAGTGACGAGACGCACGAGGTTGTCGGGCAGACTGGCGAGCGTGTCCTTGAGGCTGCGCATGATCTCGTCGCCGCCCTCGGCCTCGGCAGCGCCGTAAGCACGGTTGAACGCGAACGCCTTGGACAGGATGAGGAGCGTGCCGCTCAAGCCGTGGTGCAGGTGGAGGTCGAGCCACTGCGACAGTTCCGAGCGAAGGTGCTCTTCGCTGACGCCGAGGGTACGGATACCGCGAGACTGGCAGGCCGACTGGAGTTCCGAGAAGCTGAGCGCATCGAGACCCTCGCCGGCGATGACCTTGTCGTCCTCCTTGATCTTGCTCAGGCGGTTGCGGATCGTGAAGCGGAGGAAGATGTCGGTGCCGAAGGCGTTGATGTTCATGTAGCGGCACATCGAGACGAGTTGCGGGCGGGTCAAGTTCTCGAGGGTCAAGTCGTCTTCGAACAGGCGGGCGACGCGGACGACCTCCTCAGTCGAGGGCGACTCGCCGGTGCTGCGGACCTGTACCCCGGCGCAGTAAGAGTATCAGCTTGCCGCGTCAGGAGGAGAAGCTGTGCCGATCTACTGCTCCTCACGCACCTTGCGGAAGAACTCCTTGAACTCCTCCGACTGCTTGATCTTGTCGGGACTCTTGATACCGCTCTCGCGGATCGTCTCTTGCAGGAACTTGGCCATCTCGAGGCGGACCTTGAGGAGCTTGCGCTTCTTCTCGTCCTGCGAAGCCAGTCGTTGGGTCAGCAGCGGTCAGACAGCCGTGAAAACGGTGACGCACCTCCTTGAATTTGTCGGTGAAAGTCGAGGGGAGCATGTTCGGGAAGAGCTTGAGTGCAACCGGGAGGAGGAACTCCATGAACGGGACGATGACGAAGACGGAGAACGGGATCAGACGGAGGAGGTCGGTGGTCGTGCGCTTGAGCTGAAGGAGACAACGACACGAGTCAGCGCACAATAGTACCGCTTCGGGGGAAGGCTGAGACGCACCTGACGGTGCTCACGGCGAGTGAGCTTCTTGCCCGCGACCAACCGCCTCACCAGCCTGGCCGAGATCCGGATCTCCTTGCCGAGCAGCTTAGTTCCATGCCAGTAGTGCAACGCCTCCTTCTTCACCATCGCCCAGGCGCGCTGCATCCGAGTACCCTTCTCCTTGCTCTCCTTGTCCTTCTTCGCAACCGCGCCCTTCTTCTCGTCCTGGACCGCAACCTCCTTCGATGCATCTGCAGATGATGCAGTTGCGGGCTCGGCGGACTGGCTGCTGGGTGAAGACGGGTTGGGAGCGAGGAACGGTCGCGAAGTGGTGAGGAGGCGGAGCTGGTGGTGGTGTCCGGCGAACGCGGTCGCCTGCTTCAGGAGCGCATTGCGGTACAGCTGCGGTGCAACTCGCGCCCTCACGAAGGGCGTCAGGGCCGCCGCGGCGTGTGCGGACGCTGGTCCTCGGCACAGGGTCGTGGAGCGGTGGACGAGCGCAGCGCGCGCGCTGGCTGGGTAGGGCGACGCCATGCAACGATGACAGGCTCAGACTAGGCGCAGCACTGGTTCTGCCGTCGTCTCGAGCTGTGGTGTGGGCGGGTGAGAGCCAACATCGACGTTCGGCGGGAAGGGATAAATCGAAAGTTCATTGTCACGCTCAGCGAGCGCAGAGGCAGCCTCTCTGGACAGTCTAAGGCATGAGCGTACCCACCAGCCAAACCCGAACGCGGACGAGCGAGGTCGAGAGGGCAAAGAGATCGAGTTGCGAGTTGCGAGGAAAAGTATGCTGCAGAAGGGCGTAAAAGCGCAGGCAAAGCGACATGAGGGTAACAGGAACATGCGAAGGGGATCTGGATGAGGGTAGTGGACACGAAATGCGAAAGGCGACACGAAGCGATGCGAGGGAGAGGCGAAAGTCGCGTTAGGCGGCGGCTGAGCCGTCCTTCTGCTTCTTCCACTCGACGAAAGAATCGATGGTTGAGGGCCCTGCGTAGCGAAGATTCAGTCACCGTAACTATAGAGGAAGAAGCGTGTCAGACACACAGGCATCGTCCTCGCTCCAGCCGGTCAAGTCAGGCTGGACTGACTCGCAGAACTCGAGCAACTGCGTCCAGACGTCGAGCGAGACGGCCTTGAACTTTTCGCCTTGGGCCTGTGGAAGTCAAGCGCGCGCAATTAGCATCTTTGCGGCAGGGCTTGCGACTTCCCGACTGCATGACCGGCGAAACTCACGGTCGCGTACTCGACGAACGACTCGGCGAGCGGGTACTTGGGCGCAAGCACAGTGCCCCACATGGCGACCGCCATCTCGCCAGGGATCGTCTTGGCGCCTTCGTTCTTGAGGAAAGGGAAGACGAAGGCGTAGAAGCGGCGGAACTCGTACTCGTCGGCGCTGTCCATGATCTCGTCGTGAGCTTTGGCGAGCCAGTCGCTAAGCGCGGGAGACGAGGCGATGCTGCGAGAGTGCAGGTAAAGGTTGAGCACTGGTACTGAGGCTCGAGGTAAGGAAAGATGGGCGACGTACTTGAAAGGCTCGAAGGTGCGCTTGAAGTCGGCGCGCGAGAACGAACCAAAGGTACCGGGAGCTGCGCCGACCCTATACGCGAGGATGAACGGGTGGGCCTGGCGAAGGTGAGGACCGCTTGTCAGCGCATGCCCAGCTTCTGGTCCGCTCCGGCAGACTCACGCCTTCCATCGACAGCTCCATGTCCTCGAAGAGCTTCTCGATGCCCTCGCCACCCATCTTGTCCGGCTCGCCCTCTTCCGCAAACTGGCTGAACCAGGCCGGGAAAGCCTCTTCGAACGGGAGCAGCTTGGCCTTGCTCGCCTTGATGACCTTGCTCGACTGCTTCTTCGCGACAGCTTTCTCCTTCTCCTTGCCTTTGTCGGTCGTCGACGTAGACGCCGCAGGCGCTTTGGACTTGGTCTTTTTGACGGGAGCTGCGGCTGGAGCGAAAGACCGTTAAGGTCAAGGTCAGCTCTGTTCGCCGCCCTTCGCGCTAAACACCATGAAAAGCCTGTTACGCACCCGGCTTCTTTTTCTTCGGCTTCTCAACGACAACGTCCGAGTCCTCAGCCTCGACGTCGCTCGAAATGGTGATGGTCTCCTCCTTCTTCTGCTTCGTCTTGCCCTTATCCTTCTTCGAACTCGTACTCGCACTTGTGCTACTCTTGCTCTTCGTCTTCTTGACCGGAGCGGGAGGAGGTGAAGAGTCGTCCTCGTCGACGACCGGTGCGCGGGTCGAGCGCTTCTTTGGTGCCGATTCGGACTTGGGAGAGCCAGCAGCCTTGCGCTTGGTAGCCTGAGTGCGCGTTCCGAGTCAATACACGCGCGTCTGGCCGTGTAGAGAGCCTACGACGCCATCGAAGGCGAGAGCGGACTGACCATGGTGTCGGTGTCGGAGGGAGGGGTGGAGCGGCGCGTGCAAGCAGTGAGCAGGTTAAGCAAGTCTCGAAAGCCCTTTGCCAGCTTGTTCAGCGGTCAGCGCGCGACAGCGAGTGATTGGCAGGACTACGAGGACGAGATGTCAACTTGCGGACCCTACACGGCGACTCCTCCTCGCTTGTCGCTTCGAGCTGTTTACTTGACTGGCTTGAGTTGCTGTACTGACTGCCACACACGCCGTGAACGCGCGCGGTGCGTCCCACGCGAGTGCTTTCCGATGTTGTCGACGCTCACCCCTCCCTCACTTCGGGACAGCCTTCACCGTCGACCACAGACAAGAGGGACTACTTGAGCACGGGCATGGCACCCAAGGCGATGAGGGCAAAGGCTGGGCAGACCGACGTCGAGCTCAAGGCGGCCGAACACCTCGACACAGCGAGCGACTTCACCTCTCCCTCCCTCTCCGTCCTCGAATCGTCCCTCCGCTGCCCGATCTGCTCTGAGTTCTTCACGGCACCCGTCATCTTGACTAACTGTTCGCACTCGTTCGACTCGCGATGCCTGAGGGACTACTTGGCCGTCCACAAGCGATGTCCGTCCTGTCTGGCGGAGACGGACGAGTCCCGGATACGGAAGAACCTGGCTTTGCAGGAGGTGTTGAACGCGTGGCAGAGTGCTAGGTGGGTATCGCGTGCACGAGACGCGCGAGCACACGAGCTGACGCATTTGAATGTACAGGGACGAGATCCTCCGACTCGAAGATGCCGCCTCATCCGCTTCGACCCGCATCGCCGGCCCATCACGCCAGTCTCCTCTCTCTCCCACTCCACTATCAGCTCGCCGCACCCGCACATCCGCCAACTCTACCGCTCCCGCATCGAAAGGCAAGCGCAAAGCCGCCTCTTCGCCCTCCGTCAAGCCCGAACCCGGCTCAGACGACGACATTATCGGAATCGACGACAGCTCCGATATCGAGATCGTAGAGGACGAGTCAAGCAGTGCGATGAGGCCGCCAAAGAAGCGGGTGAAAGGGGCGAATGGACTGGCGAAGGCGGCTGCGGACCCGACAGATCGTGCGCTTCTTTCCCCGCCTGCTCACGACCGCAGCTGACGTTCTCGTTTCAGCAAACCTGATCGTCAGCTGCCCGATCTGCGCCGGCTCGTTCAGGAACTCGCTCGTCGCGCTGCACGTCGAGAAGTGCAACGGCGTCGCACCGGCGTCAACGGGTGCCGCTGCGTGGGGAAAGCTGATGGATGGTGGAGGCAGCGGGCCAAGTCAAGCGGCAGGGAACGAGTGCATCCCGTTCGAAGCCTTCCCTAGTCAGCCGAGTTGACCTGATCCTCCTCATCCAGGTCACCGTCTCGTGCAAACAAGCTCGATACGACTAAATACCTGCCATTGACGAGCTATAGCTACAAGAGCGTCACCGAGCTTACCGAGATGCTCAAGGTGCGCCTTCCTCCTTTCCCTCGTGCTCCTTGTTGCCCAGCTCACCTTCCCGTTCGCGCAGGAATACGCCCTCCCAACAACCGTTCCGCCGACCTGCCTTACGACCGACTCGAAGCTCTCCGTCTTCCAGCGCCGGCACCGCCAATTCCTCATCCTCTGGAACGCAAACGCCGACCTCGACCCGTCCGATCCGAAGCACCAGACGCCGAAGCAGCTGAGGGAGGAATTGAATCGGTGGGAGAAGGTGCAGGATGCGAGTGGAGGCGCGAATGGAGCGGGAGGGGCGGGACAGGCGGAGGGGAAGGGAGGACCGGTGTCGAAGGAGCATGCGGTGCGTCACCTTCTTGACGGCTCTGAACCAAGCAGCTGAACTGACGAGTATGATTCTACCCTCTCTAGACGAAGTACGCGCCACAGTTCCGCGATTTGATCGCTCAAGCGCGAGCGTCTGCGCAGGCAGCGAAGGAGAAGCAGCGGGCGGCAGCGGAGCCTGCACCCGACGAAGCGGGCTCACCGTCAGTCGACAACTCTGCCGCGCCATCCGACGTCGACATCGCTCTTCGACTTTCCGCCTCTCCACCACCGCCGTCGACCAGGAAACGGTCCGTTCGCCTCGTTTCGCCTCAACGCTCGCCCTCTCCTGTGCCGGTACCTCGAGACTCGCCCGCATCTTCTCCCTCGCCCATGCTCTCGCCTCGACCGGCTCGCGCTGAGTCGGACCCTCCGCTCGACCAGGTGGACGCGAAGGGGGTCAAGGAGCAGGGAAGAAGGCGGAGGGACACCAGCCCCTACAACCCGGAGGGACCGCGGCCGAGCCAGCGCAACAGGGAGGAGGAGCGGATGTTTGCCGAGATGTACGGAGGCAAGGAAGACGAGGAGGAGACGGACGGTCCTGAGGAGCGGGAAGTTGGCGGCGCGATGGAGGCTTGGGACTGAGCTAGCGGGGTCGCTGCTCGCCTTGTAACTTCATAGCAATGCAGTTTAGCCTTACGATGCATTGTGCGCGGAGTTGGCGAGTCCGGTGCAAGCGGACTCCGGTGGAGACGACGAGGTTGTCGCTGTACGCTGCTCTCGCGCTCTGCTGAACGAAGCTACGATGTCGTCGGACAACATTGAGCACCTCAAGGGCCTCGTCTCGCAGCTCCAGGCCAAGATTGAGCGCCTCGAGAAGCAGGCCCAGCAGACGGCGTCGGACGCAAAGCACAAGGTCGGCGAGGCCGTCGACCAGGCCAAGGATGCCGTCAAGGGAACCATCGCAGACGCCACTGGCGCCGCGCAGAAGACCCTCACGCCCGCTCAGCACCTTCGCCTCGTCTTGATGGGTCCCCCCGGTGCCGGTGAGCTCTCCCGTTCCTCGCTTGCATCGCGCCTGGAAGGGCTTCCTGGGATGGCCAGGGCGGCGCAGGGAGTTTGTGATGCTGTTCAGTGATGGGATCTCTCGCTTGGTGCGGTGGAGATTGGCTGGTCGAAGGCCGACTCGGGGACGAGGAGATGGTCGCTTGCTCGCTGCTTTCCTGGGTCAGGCGGGGCTGCTGAGGTTGAGAAGAGCTGTTGGTTGTGGTAGACGTGCAAGGCGGCAGGGACCAGCGCTCTTGTAGCCTGCTCGAGCAATTTCCCGCCGGTGTACTGACTTCCCTCCTCCTGTTCCGCAGGCAAGGGCACCCAGGCCCCCAAGATCAAGGAGACCTACAACGTCTGCCACCTCGCGACCGGCGACATGCTCCGCGAGGAGGTCAAGAAGGGCTCGGAGCTCGGCAAGGAGGCCAAGAAGATCATGGACAACGGAGGCCTCGTCTCTGACGAGATTGTCATCGGCATGATTGGCTCGCAGCTCGAGAACAACCCCGAGTGCCAGCTCGGGTGAGTCACGCGACCTGTGGACCCGATGGTCCTGTTTTTCGAGCGATCAAACTGACTTCTGTTTCTCCCGCCCAGCTTCATCCTTGACGGCTTCCCCCGCAACGTCACCCAGGCTGAGAAGCTCGACGAGATGCTCGCAAAGCGCAAGCAGCCGCTCGAACACGCCGTCCAGCTCCTCGTCAACGACAACCTCCTCGTCTCGCGCATCACGGGCCGCTTGATCCACCCCGCGTCGGGCAGGAGCTACCACAAGGAGTTCGCGCCCCCGAAGAAGCCCATGACCGACGACGTTACCGGCGAGCCCCTCATCCAGCGATCAGACGACACCGCCGAGACTCTCTGGAAACGTCTCGAGACCTACCACAAGCAGACCGACCCCGTCGCTGACTACTACAAGAAGAAGGGCGTTCGTCGTACTCTCTCTGATTCTTGCGCGTTCGCAAGCTTACGTCGTTGTCTCGCCAGATCTGGACCGGTGTCGACGCCGCGCAGTCGCCCAAGACCGTCTGGGCCAGCCTCTCCAAGATTTTCGAGGAGAGCAAGAAGCAGTAAAATGGCGTACAGCAGTGCGAGTAGTGCAAGAGGAAACGGCAGGGCAGTGTCAAAAGGGTGCGCCGTTGGGCGAGCCTCTCTAGAACCGCGCAATAAGACGTTTGACGATTTCCGAGCCGTCCGTCCGCCTTTGGGAGAGCTTGCGCAATATGCGAGAGTCGCTCGCTGGTTTGCTTAGAAGACTCAACGACGAGCCATCTCACGTTTGAAGAGAAGCCGGGCGAAATGCGTTCCAACAAACAGGCCTAACCGTACAAACCGAATAGCAACAGAGAACGACACGACAGTGAGTGGTACATCCGAAAGCCTCACGACCTGCGGCTCATTCTGCGAGACGAGCGAAAGTCAGTCGAGCGGCGAGGCGAACTGCAGAAGCGGAGACGCACATCCAGGTTCCCTCGTATCCGTTGAGCTCGAGTGGCCTGCAAAGAACGCGTCAGCGGACAGTCAGCGCAAGAGAGAGCAGGCCGGACGCACGTATGAGTGTCCCTCCATCGACCGACCAGGTTCCCGCCGACCACCATCCCTCGATAGATCCACCTGCCGCGACTGTCGGGCGTGTACTCCTTGATGATTGAAAACATCCCATCCCACGCCCGCACCCTTCCCTTCAAGATGAACTGTCCCCAAGCCGAGTGTCCCGTCCCGGTGAGCAGAATTTCGTAGTCTCCCTCCGGGTCATCGTCTTCCTCCTCCTCTTCGAGATCATCGAACGCCGTGTGCTCGCTCCAGCTGCGAGCCCGCTTCGCCGCCCGCGGGACTTCGACTCCGCCGGCAATGTCAAGTGAAGTCCGCCTCCTGCTCGTCCCGCGCTCCGTTGAGCCAGTCGAGGTCGACGCGACGGGCTGCGTGATAGTCGACGACAAGTTCGGGCGCGGGAGGAACGGCTGCCCGACCTCGAAGCCGGCATTCAAGGGCGGTCCCTTCCCGCCCGGCTTCTGCCCCTTCTCGAGCTTGACGACCTTCTCCTCGAGCTTCCACACCTGCGGCTGGTCGCCGAACGGTCCCTCGTATAGACTGCGCATGCGGCCGCCAAGCATGTCGCGGTACGAGTCGAAATCGAAGAACGAGAAGCGGCCTTCCCAGCTGCCCGTCAAGTCACCGCGCGTGTAGAGCTTGGGCAAGCCGAGCGAGCTGTACGGATCAATGCACGAGGCGAGGCGGGTGAAGTCGTGATCGTGGATGCGGGAGGCAAGGATAGGGAGGGAGGTCTTAGTCGGGCGAGTCGCGGTCGTGAGCGGGTTGTTCGGGTTGAGATTGGCGACCTGCGCGCCGAGCATGTGTTGCGCCGGTGCTCCGTGCTGGCCGAGCATGTCGTTCTGCGCCGCCGGGTCCTGCTCGACACGGAAGAAGAAGGAGAAGATGGCGGCGTGAGCGAGATTGGGCGGAGACATCTCGATCTTCCGGCCCATGTGGGTGATGAGCTGGGCAGAGGAGCGAGGGCGGAGGTCGGCGAGGAAAGGGCCTTCTGGTGGCGGGCGGACAGGGTACTCCTCGCGAGTGACGGGAAGAGCGGGAATCGTCCATGGCGCGAAGAAGGCGTCGAACTGCGCAAGCAGCGGTCAGGGAGTGGCCATGTCCCGTTTGCTGATCAACTCACCTTGTGAGCGGCAAAGACGTAAGGCTTGAGGACGAAGAATCGTTCGTCCGATTCTTGCGGCGTTTCGGTCGACAAGTCGTCTGCGCGAAACCTCATCAGCGAGTCTTTCAGCAGGGAAGGCCAGCTCTGCTCACCGCCTCCAAGCCATCCAATCCACAAGCCGAGAGCCCTGCCTGCCGTATGCCGCGGCCAACCAGGTTTGAGCGCTTCCGTCAGGAGCGAGTGGTTGTAGAAGAGGCGCATGTAGGTGCGGAGGTACGCGTAGTCGAGGAGGTGCCGCAGGTTCTTGCCGTCTGCATCGTCGAGTGTCAACGCGGATCGTGAGCATAGCCAGCGAGAGCAGCGCACCATTCTCGAGCAGCATGAGGTAGCAAGTCCACAAGTTCTGCGTGAGCTCGTCCGGCTCGGGCAGCTTCGTCTTGCCGCTCTTTGGCGTGAACGCCTGCAGCCTTGGACTGCTCGGCCTCGAGCTGCTCGGCGGAATCGCGTTGCTTTGCGCCGCCCTCCGCATGTTGGTCAAGACGGTGCATCGTCGCTTGAACTCGACCGCGTAGTCCTTGTTCGTCAAGGGACGCCATGGCGACTTGTTGTCGGGTAGGATGTCTGAAGGGCTAGAAGGACGTGTGAAACTCATGGCTGGGTCGAGCTGGAGTTCGGTGTCGGGCTTGACCTCCGGTAAGGTCTCGAGGAGGGCCCGCTTCTCGCGCTTCTCTTCGATCCTCCGCATCTGTAAGCGTCAAAATCCTGTCAGCCAGCGTATAGAGAGAACAAAGCAGTCGCCGTGGTCCTGAGCGGACAGCCAAGAACTCACCTGAGCCCACCTGCGCTCGACGCTCCTGCCGTCAAAACGCTCCTTGAACAGATCCGCATAGAAGCCGGCGTTCTTCGGGCCGAGGACGTCGTAGAAACGCCTGCTCAGAACGAGGAGGTTGGCGAGTTGGCAAGGGGGACCGATCGGGTTGAGGCGACAGACGGCGCGGGCAATCGCTTCGACGAGTTCGGGCGGGAGGGTCTCGATAGGTGCGAGTCGGCGGGGCTCAAAGACAGGGTCTGCGGGCTCCGGCGAGGGCGTGTTGTGCAGCGAGAGACTGGTTTCGAGTTGGTAGGCCAGCGGGAGACTCGGCGACGTCCACCCCGCGAGCGGCGGGCTGTCTGGCGCCATTCACTCGAGTTCGTCGAGTTTAGGACTCGGCACGTCAACCGGAAGCAGCCAGAGCAAGCGAAGTGAGCGGGACGGAGGCAACCCCCACCGCGCGACCCGGCAAGGGGTCAAGTGTCGAAAGAGAGCGAATGATGCAGATTCAATGCAAGGACAACCTTCTATAGATGTAGTGAGTGAGAATCAGCCGGTCCACCGCCGTCGCAACGCCTCGACGACCGCGACAACGCCTTCCGCAGCCGCCTCGCCCGCCTGAGAGTCGCCTGACGTCTCCTCGAGCGTCTTTGTGCCGGAGAAGGCGTATGCGGCGACGAGGAGGAGCTGGCCGGAGACGTCCATGGCGGCAGAAAAGAGAGGAAGGGCGTAGACTGCGTCGACCAGGCGCAGAGGAGAGGCGCAACGTAGAGATGGTAGAGAGGAAGCGTCAGCATGGGCCTCAGCAAGGAATAGAATGACTTGACGTACCGTCAGGGTCGTAATCGAGCTTCCAGAGCAGCAGGGACCCTCGATGAGCGACAAGCATGGTCAAGACGAGCTGCGAAAGCAAAGTCAGCAGCCTGCCAGTCGCAAGCTCTTCGAGGGAGCAGGGCGCACCTGTACAGCCGTAGCAGCCGCATATGCCGGGAAGAAAGCCGCCGACACGTCCGCCTGACCGGTCGCCCAGACAAGCGCGAAGAACGCGAGCAAGATGGGATACGTGACGACGATTAGCATCGCTGCCGTGAACGAGTAATGCTCGCGTCGACCAGTGTGGAGTGCGGTCGAGATGCGCGAGACGAAGATAGAGCCGGAGGCGCCTGAGATGGCGGTCAAGACTTGGCCGAGGAGGGCGAAGCCGGGATAGCGGTTGACGTAGGTCTCGAGGATGACACCGGTACCGCTGCAACAAGAACACTGATCAGTATCTCATTCGATCGAGAGTGAGCAAGAGTTGGCGAAGCCTAAGCGGTTTCGCCGGCAGAGAACGCACCTCGAGATGGCCATTGCGGCGAACAGCGGTCCCCATCCCATTGTTAACAGCTCCTGAACATAGGCATTCCGGAAGACGAAGACGATGTTGGCGGCTATGGCGCCGACGAGGGCGAGAAAGACGAGCGACGAGACGATCGTGCCCATGAAGAGGATGAAGAGGCTACTGAGGACACCGAGGAGGACGAGTGTGACGAGGTCGCCGAGAGCTGCTGCGAGGGGCGTGGCGATGTTGTCTGCAGCATGCGAAATCAGTTGTGTCGGCAGCGTTCAAAGCTAGTCTGCGCGCACCTGGGTTGACCCGAAACCGCCGACACATGATAACGGCTGAGCACATGAAGCTGCCGCAGATACCCGAGCTGAAGCCCGCCGCAAGCATGCTGACGCAGAGCACGAGCAGCGCTTCGAAATATCCGCCTCGCAATGCCTCCGTAACGTCCGCTCCTCCAGCTGCTGTACTGGGCCCCATTCCTGGCTTGTATATGGGATGTTGAAGGGCGTGGTGAACGCCTTTCCGGGACGCCATGCCGAGGATGAAGGCGAGCAGGCCGGAGACGAACGAGACGAGGAGAGCCTGCACTTGCAGGAGGGCGAGGTTGCCGAGGACGAGAGAGCGGCGAGTCAGGCGGAGATCGAGCTCGCCGATGTTGGCGGAGGTCGAGAAGCGGGCGGCAAGATTCATCTCGAGATTGCCCTTGAGGTTGAGGAGGATGGGGACGAGGATGAAGAGCTCTTCGATGCGGATGAAGACGCGCCAGGACTGCACCGTCGCAAAGTCAGTGTTCTGGTCATGGGGAGCGAATGTTGACGCACCTGTAACCGCTGCAGCAGCTCGCCAGCAAGAATGGCTCCGGCCAAGGCGAATAACAGGACGGGCAGGGTCTGTGAAGAATCGGTCAGTCTGGCTCCTTCGAGGTGGAAACGCTCAACATACCTCGACCATCATCTCGCGCAAGAACACTCGTCTCTGCTTCGGTGTCATCCCACCAAACAGCACATTCAGCAGCTTCGAACCGCCTTTCCGAGGACTCCCTGCACCCGCTGATCCTCGCCTGCCCATTCCCCGACCTGCATCTGTCGTAACATCCTCCGTCGCATCGACTCGTGGTAGTACCGCATCGCCAGTCGAGGTGAGCAGCTGCTCGACCTCGTCGTCCGAATCGTCCAGCGTCTCGTCCGCCCTGTCCTCGTCCTCCTTTTCCCGTTCCTTCCCCTTAGCACTCTTTCCGAGAGACGGCGTGTGGTGTACGAGCTCGTAGCCGTCGTCTGCGCCGAGTGTCGCTGCTGGAGGGCTCATCGGGATTGCCGACAATGCCCGTTCGCGCCAGACAAGCTCGTTGGACGCGCTACGTCCGCGGGAACTCCTGCAGCACTCGTAGCGGTTCTGGCAACCTCACAGCAGCTCAAAAGAAGCAAAGCAAGCGGAAAGCCAGTGGGAAGATGACAGCATGCGAAGTCGCGCGAGGAGGGGCTGACCGCGTCCACCGCCTGCCAGCTCCCCTCACGGCGTGATCTGCTGCTTCTGAACGGTTCAGGAGACTCGTGCTACTCGCCAGACCACCACAGTCTTCGCTCAGCAGCGAGGCGTGAAGTGGATCACGCCGTCCCACCCCGCACACATATCGCCTCTTTACAGCGCTCGGCGGGAAGTTTGATGGTGGCCTAGGGTGCAGAAAGGTGAGCAATGGATGTCCAGTCAGTCAGAACACGCTCGGGAGGGGTGTAGAGGTGCCGTCGTCGAAGCCGGTCAAAACAGACCATGCAAGGTGACCACAGGCTGTGGACGGATGAGGTGGGAGGGAAAAGCTATGGAACTCTCGAGGGGACTCTAGCGGGTCGAATGGGCTGGTCAGCGACTGTTGGCGCTGCTCATCTGCTCCTCTCCATCTTGCCGGTTTACCAGCCTGCAAATCCGCTTCTACCGCGCCAAAGCAGGCAGCTGACATGGAAGATCACCTCGCAGACATCTCTTCAACATGCCAAACCCGACACCACCGGCGGCGCCCGCCGCTGGCCCTTCCTCCTCCGCGCCAGAAAGCTTCCGCAACTTTAACATCCCTCCTCCGCCCGTCGCCGGTTCGCCCATCACCATCTGCACGAACGGTACCGCGCCGATTCCCTCTGCCGAACTCGCCAAACTCCGCGCCTCGTTGCTCTTGTCTCGAATCGTCGCGGCGGAGCGGGTGCAGGTGTGCGAGTCGAATCAGCGGATTCTGGCGGATCGCATGACGTCGGGATTACCGAGGGAGTCGGAGCGGAAACGAAGAAGAGAGGAGGACGAGCGGCGGGAGAGGGAGCGGTCGGAGAAGGCTGAGCGAGATCGGATGGAGCGTGAGAAGGAGGAGAGGGAGAATGCGCGGAGGGCGTCGGTACCCGCTGTCAAGCAGGAGCAAGAGGAGGAGCGGAAACCGTCGAAGCAACCGAAGGACAAGCAGCGAGTGTCTGCGGACGTCTCGCAAACTGACCAGGGCAAGGATGCGGAACGGCGGCAAGGCGGGAAGACGGATGCGCAGGGCGACGTCGTGATGAGCGACGCCTCTGGTTCTGCGTCCGTCGCTGCGACGCCGTCCTCGGCTGCGACGCCCGTCTCGAAGATCCCGCTGAAAGGTGCGTTGCCGGTTCACATGTCTCTCGCCGGCGACAAGCTGACTCGCGATTGTCATAGGCGCACGACCACCCGCTATGTCACCAGATGCAGACGAAGAGCCAGTCCAGCCAAGACCTCCGCGACCGTGCGTACAGTCGCTCGGCTCTCCTCGGCTTCTATCTAACCTTTCCTTCGCTCGCAGACACGACAAGAAGAAGCGGAAACGGGACCACGTCTTCGACTCGGATGCCTCTGCGACAGAAGACGGTGCGTCTGTGCTCACATTCTCTCAGGTCGCTCGTAGGCTGACCCTCTGGCCGGGCAGACCAACCGCTTTTGCAGCGCATGCGAACGATCGACTCGACAGCCGCCTCTTCTCCCGCTGCTTCCTCCTTTGCTCCTCAGCTCACCGTCACCTTTGCGAACCTCAACGGTGGTCCGGATGGCGTCACCGCGATCCAGACGAAGCTGAAGGAGGAGCGGTTCACCAAGGTACGCGCACTCAAACCCCGCGTACACCTCGCCGTTACTGACGCGTGCGCGCACACAGCATTCGATCCCCATCAAGCCCCCTCCGCCCGGCTCCGCCACAGCCTTCTACGTTCCCGCGCACGCGCTCGTCCCTCCCCGCCCTCCCGCCATCCCACCCGCCTCGACGCCCAAACGCCAGGGAGACGTCACAGGCGACTTCTCCAACGCCAAGCCGGGTCAGCAGATTGCGCATAGCACGTTCCAGAACTGGGTGGATGCGTATTTGAGGCCGTTTGGGGAGGACGATTTGGCGTTCCTTGCGCCCAAGGTGCGTCACGCTCCGTCTGAGACGAGGCCAGTCTGCTGATGAAGTTCAACGCGCACAGCCGGAGGACTTGACGCCGTACATCATCCCGCCTCTCGGGAAGCACTACCTCGACCGCTGGGAAGAAGAAGACTCGGACGCCCCTCCGCGTCGTCACGACCCGACCTACCTCTCACCTCTTGAGCCGCCCGTCCTTCCCCGCTTGCGCCCCGACGCTCTAACCGAAGACGCGCTGGGAACGGAACAAGTCTTCCTCGGTCCGTTGAGCGAGAGGTTGATGGCTGCGCTGGCGGTGGACGAGGTGCCGGATGTGAGAGGGGAGGACGAGCTGGATGTGCCGATGGAGGAGGGACCGGTGCCGCCGAAGTTGCCGATGGATGCGGTGGATTTGGAGGAGAGGGTCAGGAGGGAGTTGAGGTATATCGGGATCCTCCCGGAAGAGGATGTGCGTTGCGGGTTTTTCGCTCTCGAGCAGCTCGGTGCTGACGTGGTCGACGTCGCACAGCCGGACTGGGGCTCTCGCGAAGACGACGAGATCTCGTCCGCCCTCCGCGCGTGCCAGCGGCTGCTGCACCAACAGACCTCTCTCAACGAAGCGCGCAAGTCGGTCTTGATGTCGCTCGTCAAGGACCGCATGGCCTATCAGGACTACGAGAATGCGCGCGACGCGCAGGAGCGGGTGATTGAGCAGGGGTGGCAGAAGCGGATGCGGGTGGACGTCAAGAAGAAGAAGAAGGGGAAGGACCGCGATCGGCGTGCGGGTGGTGGTGGCGGCGGAGCAGCGGGCGCAGGAGCGGCGGGTGCGGGCAAGGACGAGGACGGGTCGAAGCAGCCTGTCAGCCTCGAGTTGCTCGAGGCGGTCGAGCGGCGCGACAGGCTCGTCTCGGCGTTCAAGCCGTTCTTTGACGAGGACGAGGTCGGACGGTACTATGGCCTGCCGGAGCGCAGCGTGTACGAGGGCCTCGAGGCGGCGCTCGCGGCGGAGGAGGACGGGCTCGACACGGCGGACGAGGCAGACGGAGCGGCGTCGGCAGTCCCAGCAGCGGGCTAGCTCGGTCGAGCGTCTTGGTGGCGAGTCTCGGAGTGACTACGCAGGCAATCCAGCAGTTCCTCCCGAGTTGCAGCGTGTGCCACCGAGTGTGTGAGCGCGAGAGAGTGAGCGGGCGCTGTACGAGTCCTCGTCGGCTGGGAGCGGTTCGAGTGGGTAGCTGTGGGTAGTGTGCATCGATTAGACCCTATTCTGCCATGCTGTACCCTGCAGTACGCTGCGAGAGGCGCTGTGGGCGGGTCAAGGCGAGCGCTGCCTCGAGCGCGGGTCGCTGTCGCTGGCTTGCTCCGCGCCGTCGCTCTCTCGCTCGTGCCACTCGTTTGCAAGTCCCGTGAGCGACACACTCGACTACCACCAGCTGCACCCGTACTGACCACGCAGCCCGCACCACCCCCGCCGCCGCGAACCACCGTCGACTTTTGCGCCTCCTCACCACCCACCCAGCTCGTGCGCCTCTCCTGCTCGCCCTGGACTCGCCTGGACAGCACTGACACGCTCGCACACACCACACAGAAGATGCAGTCTGCTTCGCCGATCGTCATCGATGGCAAGGGCCACCTCCTCGGTCGCCTCGCCTCGATTGTTGCCAAGCAGCTCCTCAACGGCCAGGTGCGCGCCCATCCACTTGCTAGGCAGCTCTCGAGGGCTGGGCGAACGTAGGCTGACCAACCCCGTTTGGTGGGAGCGTCTTGCAGAAGGTCGTCGTCGTCCGCTGCGAGGAGATCAACTGCTCGGGCTCGTTCTTCCGCGCCAAGGTCAGCTTCGCGCCCCTCATTCGACCGGATACGGTGCTTGGAGGAGGTGGACATGCATGAGCGGGCCCCGCGAGGTCGAGGACGGGCGGGAGCGAGGTCGCGAGAGGTTTGCTGGAGGACGGTTGGCGGAACGAGGACAGGCTGGGGAGGGCAGGCAGGGTGCTGGACGGCGTGGAAAACGTTGCAGGAGCGGGACAAACACGGCGCGGACAGGCCAGAGTGCTGTCGGTACACGGATTGGCAGCACGGCAGTCGAGCAGGAGGAGGAGCACGAGTGAGATGTCCCCTCGCCGCAGAGCACGTCGTGCTGACCCATTTTCGTGTCGTGCGTCTACAGCTGAGGTACCACGAGTTCCTCAACAAGCGCCACCTTGTCAACCCCAAGAAGTCGGGTCCCTTCCACCACCGCGCTCCCTCCCGCATCCTCTACCGCACCATCCGCGGCATGGTCCCCCACAAGGTGCGTCGCTGGACGATCAGAACGAGGAGACGAGCGAGCTGACGAGTTTGTGAATGCAGACCTCGCGTGGTGCTGCCGCGATGGAGAGGCTCAAGGTCTACGAGGGTGTCCCCCCTCCCTACGACCGCAAGAAGCGCGTCGTCGTCCCCCAGGCTCTCCGCGTCCTCCGCCTCAAGCCCGGCCGCAAGTACTGCACCATCAAGGTGCGTTCTCCGTCCAGCCCCACTCGGCTTTGCGAAACGAAGAAGCTGACTCTCGACTCTCCCGCAGCGCCTCTCCCACGAGGTCGGATGGTCGTACCGTGACGTCGTTGACCGCCTCGAGGAGAAGCGCAAGGTCAAGGCTGCCGCGTTCCACGAGCGCAAGGTTGCGTCGCAGAAGGCCCAGGTCGCCGCCCTCAAGGCTGCGTCCAAGGCTGCCCCGATCTCGGAGAAGCTCGCCGCCCTCGGCCACTAAACGGGCGACGACGAAGCTGGCGGTTGTGAGTGGATAGGGGAGCTGTGTGGGCTGGAGGAGCGGGGATTGGCGTGGCCCTCGTTTCCTGGGTCTCTTCCCCTCTTGTCTCTCTCGGCTCTCTCTTTTCGCTTGTAGTGTGTGTGCGCGACGGGCAATACTCTCATCGACGGGCTGGAATGCCAACCGTGCCCCGACTTGTTCTCTCGCCTCGTCCCCTCTCCCTTTGTCCGTTCACACATGCTCGCGAACCGATGGCGGACGCGTCTCGCCTGCCTGCTCCTGCTCTACTCCGACCTATCGCTCGCCGCACGACCCCGCCCACACGCGCTCAAGCGCCGCAACCCCTCGTACTCCCCACTCGCCGACCCCTCGCTCGAACAACTCGTCGCGCTCTCGGACCTCGATGATGCGCTCGACTACAACGACCCGAAGAGCTTGTTGGCGAAGATACTCGTCCCGAGGACCGTCGGGAGTGCGAACCTGACGCGTGTGCAGGGAGTTGTCGAGGGTCACTTCAGGAAGCTTGGCTGGGTGCGTGCGAACTCGCTTCTGCTTCGTAGGGCTGCAGGAACTGACGATGGAACCGCACAGCACGTCGAGAAGGACGCCTTTGATGACGACACGCCCTATGGACGAAAGTCCTTCACGAACCTCATCTTCACCCACGACCCTTCCGCGCCTCGCCGCCTCGTCCTCTCAGCTCACCTAGACTCGAAGTATTTCGAGACGCACCCTGAGGACCAGTTCGTCGGCGCGACGGACTCGGCGGCGCCGTGTGCGATGATGCTCGACTTGGCGACGGCTTTGACACCTTGGCTCGACGGTCGGAAGAAGCGTGTGCAAGAAGCGGGCGGCGAGGAAGGCTTCGACGGGCAAGGTGAGACGCTGCAGGTTGTTTTCTTTGACGGGGAAGAAGCGTTCAAGGAATGGACGCACACCGACTCGATCTACGGCGCGCGACACCTCGTCTCGAAATGGTCAGAAACCGACTCGTCCCCCTCTGCAATCCGCTCGACTCCGCGTTCTCCTCTCCGACGGATATCCCACCTCGTCCTACTCGACCTCCTCGGCGCGCCTAACCCGCTCATCCGAAACTTCTTCCCAAATACTGGATGGCTCTTCGACGAGTTCCTCCATTCTGAAGAGCGGCTGGGGATCGCAGGGTACCTGTGGGACGGGTTTGATGGCGAGGCGTACACGGAGCAGAAGGGCAAGCTGGGAGTGAGGGAACGGAGCTTCTTTGTCCCCAGGGCGGCAGGGCAGATGCAGGGTTGGGCAGGGCAGATCGAGGACGACCACGTCCCGTTCGTCCAGCAGGGCGTCCCGGTCGTGCACCTCATCTCGGTACCGTTCCCGAGCGTCTGGCACACGATCAAGGTGCGTCCACGCCTGACATCTATCCCCTCTTTCGCAACTAACGCAGACGCGTCCCGCAGGACGACGCTTCTGCTCTCGACTTGCCGACCATTAAGGCTTGGGCGCTCATCCTCCGCCTGACAATAGCAGAGTACCTCGGGCTGGACCCGACGGGACGGCTGCAGAATGTCAACGCCAAGCGGAATAAGGGCGAGTTGGTGAGTTCGTGGCGTCCTCTTCTCGTCCAGCAGCGTGCTGACGGGTGGTATCCTTCCGAGGCAGTAGCTTGACGAGGCGGGATGAGGCGGAGTGGGCTGAATGCTAGCATAGAAGGAAACTCGCATTGTTGTGGTCGTTCAGCTCGCTTCTGGTCTCGCCGCGAAAGAGGGTATCGAATGATGCTGCAAGTCTACACTACAACGAGGCTAACACCGCCTGCACGGCTCGCCTACTCCTCATCGTCCGACACGTCGCTCTCGTCATCGTCAGCGACTCCGACAACACCAGCGCCAGTCTTCGACAAGTCCTTGCCGAGTGCGCGGAGGCGGTCGCCGAAGACGCTGCGGACGCCGGGGTTGCTGCAGGAGAAGGAGAGTCAGCTCGAGCAGCGGAGGGCGCAATCGACGGGACGAACGTCGCGGTGTCCCAGATCTGCAAGTTGGCCTTCGAGCCGGCCACCGCAAGGGTTGTCGGGTCGTCGGGGCAGAAAGAAGCGGAGAAGACCTTGCCCTGCAAAGGGATGATTCGTCAGGTCCGCGACCAGCTCGGAAGGGAGAGAAAGCACGCACGACGCCGAGGTCTCGCGCAGTGACCAAGCTGATGTTGCGCTTGCCACCAGCCTGCTCATCGACGTTCCACACCTTGACCATGTTGTCCGTTCCGCCGGTGACGATGCAGCCCTTGACAAGCGGGTTGATGTCGAGACTCGAGACGCTCGAGTCGTGCGCCGCGAGCGTCCACAGCGACTTGCCGCGCTGGACACTCGACGGTTCCTTGGCAACAGCGAGCATGCGCGAGTCGAAGGACTGGACGCAGCCGTTCTCCATCGAGACAAGGAACGATGCGGGCTCCCACGGGTCCCAGCGGAGGCACTCGACGTCCGAGTCGACTTTGGTGCCGACGCCTGCGTCGGGCGCGCGAGAGTCGAACACGCGGACAGTGCCGTCCCATGCGCCGGAGAGCAAGACGGTCGGCTCCTTCGGGTTCCACATGACGCTCTGGACCTTGTCGGCGTGGAGCGAGTCGAACGAGCGAAGGGCGGGAGAAGAGGTTGGTCGCGCGAGGTCCCACAGCTTGATGGTCTTGTCGGCTGAGGAAGAGGCGAGCAAGTTGCGGTGCGACCGGTTCCACGACAGAGACAGGATCGAGTCGACGTGGTATTCGGGGTTGGCGACCTTCTTCGGCTTCTTGGGCTTCTTCTTCTTTTTCTTCTTGCCGGAAGCGTCGGTGGAGGGCGTCGAGTCGGTAATGGGGGGAGCGGCGGGTTCAGGAGCGTTCGGGTCCTTGGGAGGAGGGCCAAGGATGGCATCGGGGTACAAGCCGTCAACCACGTCGAGAGACCAAATCTCAATCTCGGGGTCGAGTGTGCCGACAGCGACAAAGTTGCCCTTCTTGTCGTCGTCGCTTGTTCGGCCGGGGCAGAAGTCGAGCCATTCGAGGCAGAGAGGCATGGCTGGCAGGAGGAGGTCGTGGTGAACGTAGAGGTTCTCTTCTCGGTCGTCGTAGACGTAGACTTCGAGTTGGGAGACGTCGTCTTCGGTCTTGGCCGCGACAATGAGATTGTCGGTCGGGTAGATCTCGAGCTCTTCCCGCTCGAGCTCCTCGTCCTCGTTCTTCTGCTCGGTCGTGCGGACTGTCAGCTGTGAATAGCGGCGACGCGCGGAGGGAGCGAACGCACCGACTCGAGCGTGATGTACGGGTCTTCCGCGTTGTCGCCGTAGTACGTCAAACCCTTGATGTTGCTGAACGCGCCCATGGCTGTAACGAGGCGAAAGAAGCGGTATCAGCAAAGCGTCCAGAGATCGACCGCTTAAGCAGTCTCTGCATCTGCGCACCTGTACTCGAGCTCTCCTCGTCGTAGGTATCCAGGTTGTACGCCGCCAACTCGTCGTCGTCGTCCGCCTTTTGCGCATCTCCGTTCGCCGCATCGCCTCCCTTCGCAGCTGCCTTGATCCTCTTGGCAGCTTTTGCGGCTGCGGCGGTCGCTGCGTCTGCGTCGTCCTCCACCATCGCCGCGTCTTCCTCGACGTCCATCAGGGCATCGCCGTTCTCCGCCGCAGACTCCTCGTCGCTGTGACGATCGCATACGCGATACCACGCATGGTCAGCTCCCCACTCAGGAAGACGAAAGCCAGCCAAGGCAGCATCAGCGGACTCACTCTTCCCACTCGCCCTCGCCCTCCTCCTCCCCCTCCTCCCCCCTACCCTCCGCATCAGCCTCCATCATCTTGGCCAACTCCAACTCCATCTTGGCCGCATCCAACTGTCCCCGCGCGAGTCCTTGGATCCGCTCGAGTTCAGAGGCGTCGACCGTGTATTTGGTTGGGTGCTGGGCCGCCGCGCCGCGAGGAATCCAGGAGAGGGAGGAGATGAGAGATGTCATCGTGGGCTGGCCTTAGAACGTGTCGGGTGAGTGTAAGGAAGGGAAGTGCGAAGGTGGAGATGGGGTCGAGTCGAGGTGAACGAGCGCGTTGGCGGGTCGGCTACCGCGCTGGTCGGTGAGAGAGACGCTCAGGAATGACCCTGTAGTTGCGTCAAGCGCCTGCAAGTCGTGTGGAAGGCTGGAGGTCGGCGAGAGATGAGCGAGCGAGATGGAGAGTTCCTCGTGGTCCTCAGCTCGCGCAAGTCGAGTTGGAGTAGCTCGTTGGTGCTGGCAGACGCGTACAAGCTCAGATCCAGCCACCACGAGCCAAGCGAGCGAGTTCGAGGGTGGAAGTCGAGCAAGCCCAGCACCGCCCGCTGTCAAAGCTCTCTTGTTCACGAATAGACCGAATACAAACGAGCGCATTACACCCGCATACTGGACTGCTGTCGCTGAGACTGTCTCCGCCGTAGTTCTTCGTCTATTAGCCACATCCCGCGGGCGAAGGAGGAGCGGTCGAGCGAGGGGGAGGGCGAGGACGAGGAAGGTTGCGATGGGTGGACGTCCTCCCTGTGCGCGAGACCGCAAATTCGTTCATCAGCCATCTGCACAACAGCAATGTGCAGAGAGGAGAGCGAAGAAAGCCCCGCGACGCACCATATCCGCCTCAACACCGCATCCTCAAGCCTACTCCTCCTCCAAACCTCCCTCACCACCTCGGCACCCACCCTCTCACCGTTCTCCTTCCCCTCGATACACGCATCAAAGACTCGGTCGTAGCGTCTGCGGGCGGTAGCGGGGTTGCGTGAAGGCGAGGGCGAGGGAGAAGGGGAAGGGAGAGTCGATCTGCGAGATGGGAGGGCTGGGGAAGGAGAAGCGGGTTTGAGAGGCGCGGAGAGAGGATCTTGGGACGCGGGTTTGGCTGGTAATGGCGGACGCGCCGAAGAGGACGCTTGTGAGCCCGAGGGAGCGGGGGGAGCGGGCGACGAGGTGCGACCTGAAGCGGGGCTGGCGGATGAGCGCGGAGGGATCCAGCCTGGTCGTGGTGGAGGGTCTGGTCGCTTGGCGGGTAAGCTGGGCGAGGTGGAGGAAAGGGTGGGCTGGGATGGTCGAGGCGGGAGCGCGGGACTTGTGCTGCCTGCTTTGGGAGGTGGTGGGGCGTCTAGTGTGGAAGAGCGGCGAGGTGGTAGCTGAGGCGCAAGTGAAGGTGAAGGAGTACTGAGAGTCGCGGAGCGTAGAGGGGATGAGGGAGAGCGAGCAGGCGATGTACTCAATGCTGGGCCGCTCGGAGTTGCTGCTTGGGACGTCTCCGTCGTCTGCATGAAGCGTGGTCGCGACGACGGGGGAGCAGGCGGTTTCTTCGAGGCTGTTGGACCCGCACTACCTTCCCTCGACACCTCCTCATCCTTTCCCACATCTTGCGGATCCGCCAGAACCCCCTCCGCATCCTTCGCCAGACCCTCGTCCGCCTTGCGCTTCTCGTGAGCCCACAACGGCCTCGGCTTGGCCGGTAAAGCAGGCGCACCGCTCATGGACGCCGCAGATCCTTCTGCCTGCGGAACCTCGACAGCCTTGACGGGAGCTTCTGCAGCCGACAGCGGGTCCGCCTTGACCGACTCTGTCTTCAGCCCTTTCGCTGGTGACGAAGAAGAGGCGGAAGACTGGTTGTAGAGGGCGCGGAGTTGGGCCAATTGAGGGCGAGGAGGAGAGGGTGAGGGTGTCCGTCGAGTCGCACCGCCCGTTCGCCCGCGGTCATCTCGCGCGATCTGTCCATCTCCTGACGCCGTAGCAGCTGTTCTCGCGCCCTGCGACGCTGATGATGCTGGACGAAGAGGTGGGGACAAGGAGGAGGTCGCAGCGAGGGTAGCTGGCGGCTGCTGGAGCGGCGAGTTGGCGGCTTGTTCGAGCTGGCGGATGCGGTCTCGCAGACTCAGCGGCTGACCAGCGTCGTCCATAGCAAGAGTCAAAAGCGAGTGGGGGAGAGATTAGCGAGTTTGTATTCAGTTGAATACAACTCGAGTTTGTATTCACGAAGAGTCACTCTTCCTCCTCCGCACCGCTTTACTCTCTTTCGTGCGTGGGAACTCGCTAACAGCTACCAGAGACACACACAAGCTCACCCAGAACCCGCCCGCCTTGCCCGCTCGCTCCATCTCGACCCTCCCCCTCATCCTCGCTCTTCTCCCGAACACTCGCCGTCACCTCGCTCGCACTCAGCCTGGTGAGTCGCCAGCCACCGTGAGGACTCGCAGGAGTATACTTGGGACTGACAATTGCCCTCACACGCACCCGGCACCTCTCCTCGCTGATCCCGGCCTCCCTTTCCCCGTCCTTCGCCTGCACAGTCAATGTTCGCCCGCTCCGCCCTCGCCCGCTCGGCAAACATCGTCACGCGGTCAATGTCATCGACTGCAGTAGGCCGCTCGCAGTGGCTCAAGGACCCGTCGGTCAAATATGTGTACGTCGCGCCCCTCCGTTCACTCCGCTGCGTACCTCCGCCGCTCGTCTGAGGGTGGGCTGTCGTCTCGGGGGCCGAGTAGGCGACACAACGGGCACTCGGAGGACTTTCTGGGACGGGCCGGCCTGCTCGGCGAGTCAGGCAAGGCGGCTGGCGATTGGGCGCCTCATCACCCGGACCCCGCTCCAGAATCCATCTGTGCGAGGCGGAGCAAGGCTGGGCAGCGTGCAGTCTCGAGATTGTCGACATACACACGAAGCACCGAAGTCGCCACCCAAGCTCGCGACGGTCAGCTGACACCTTCGCTCCTGCTCACGCAGTCCCTTCCAATCCGTCAACCTCCCCGACCGGACCTGGCCCGACAAGCGCATCACCAAGGCTCCTCGATGGGCTTCTTCCGACCTCCGCGACGGCAACCAGGCTCTCGTCAACCCTATGACCATCGAGCAGAAGCAGCGCGTGTTCAACCTGTGCGTCCGCCTCTCGCTGCTCCCTGCCTCCTTCTGTATGATCGGGAGCTCACTCGAGTCCGGTCAACGCACAGCCTCCTGAAATGCGGCTTCAAGGAGATCGAGGCGGGTTTCCCGAGTGCGAGTGAGACGGAGTTTGCGTGGATCCGCGGCCTGATCGAGAAGAACCACTGCCCGGACGACGTGTGGCTGCAAGTACGTCTGCTTCCGCATATCACGTTAGGCGCGTGCTAACGAGCTCGTTGGCGCAGGTCCTCTCGCCGGCACGGGAAGAGCTCATTCGCCGGACATTCGAAGCCCTCCGCGACGCCAAGAACGTCATCTTCCACATGTACAACGCCGCCGCCCCCGTCTTCCGCGAGCAAGTCTTCGGCAACACGCAGCAGCAGACGATCGACCTCGCCGTCAAGCACGTCAAGCTTGTCCGCCAGCTCGTCGACGAGGCTGTCGCCCGCGGGGACCGCACCAACTGGCAGTTCGAGTACTCGCCCGAGGCGTTCTCGCAGACTGAGCCGGAGTTTGCGGTTGAGCTGTGCAACGCGGTTCAGGAGGCGTGGTTCGCTGGAAAGGACAAGTCGAAGGAGGCGCCCATCATTTTCAACCTTCCCGCAACCGTCGAGGTCGCCACCCCCAACAACTACGCCGACCAGGTGCGTCGCGCCTCCACTCTCTAGCGACTTCACGCTGACTTTGTCTCGCGCAGATCGAGTACTTCTGCCGCAACATCAAGGAGCGCCAGCACGTCGTCGTCTCGCTCCACACGCACAACGATCGCGGTACGGGCGTCGCCGCGTCGGAGCTCGGTCTCATGGCCGGCGCCGACCGTGTCGAGGGCTGCCTCTTCGGCAACGGCGAGCGCACGGGCAACGTCGACCTCGTTACGCTGGCGATGAACATGTACACGCAGGGCGTCTCGCCCGAGCTCGACTTCTCCAACCTCGAGGAGTGCATCGAGGTCATCACCTCGTGCACCGACATCCCCGTCCACCCTCGCGCGCCTTGGGCTGGAGAGCTCGTCTTCACGGCGTTCTCGGGCTCGCACCAGGACGCGATCAAGAAGGGCTTCCACTACCGCAAGAAGGACGAGTCGAGGCCTTGGTCGATCCCGTACCTCCCTGTCGACCCTGCCGACATCGGCATGACCTACGAGGCCGTCATCCGCGTCAACTCGCAGTCGGGCAAGGGCGGTGTCGCGTACCTCGTCCAGCGCGCTCTCCAGCTCGACCTCCCGAAGAAGATGCAGCCCGCGTTCTACGCCGTCGTTCAGTCCATCTCGGAGCGCACCGCCAAGGAGATCACCGCCGAGGACATCGAGAAGGCGTTCCGTGCGGCGTACTACGTCGGCAAGGACTACAACGGCCGCTTCAACCTCAACGACTACTCCTTCGCGACCGGCCAGGACGGCAAGAAGACGTTCAAGGGCTCGATCACCGACAACGGCGACAAGAAGTCGATCGAGGGCGACGGCAACGGTCCCGTCTCGGCTCTGCTCAACGCCCTCAACTCGACTTGGGACGGCGGCAAGCACAACCTCGAGGTCAAGGAGTACAGCGAGCACGCCATCGGCGCAGGCTCGGACGTCAAGGCTGCGTCGTACGTCCAGCTCGTCGACAAGACCTCCGGTCGGTCCGTCTGGGGTGTCGGCGTCTCGACCGACGTCACCGAGGCGTCGCTCAAGGCCGTCCTCTCTGCCGCCTCGAACGCCGCCGTCCCCTCCGACCGCCGCTACACTGAGATCGAGGACATCGTCATCGGCGGACGCGTCTGAGCGGTCTTGCGCTCTCCCTCTCTCTCTCTCGCGACCAAGCTGGTCTTCCCCCGTGTCTATTCTCCTTTCCGTACGCACCGCTGTCTGTTCTACCACAGTTTGAAGTAGTCCTTCCACTCCCAAAACATGCCGAAATCGAAGCGTGATCCTCTTGAAGACTTCCTCCCGTCCGTTCGCCTCTGTACTCTGCGCTCGCCTTCCAGCCCTTGTTCCTCCGCTCCAAAAGCTCGACAGTCCATTGCGCGAAAAAGAGGGTGAGGGGAGCCGGATGTGCACCTCCGGCTTCAACCGCTCGAGGCCGCCCTTGGGCTGCCCTTTGCGGCTGTTGCTACAGATCTTCAGTAAAGAGTGGATGAACCCCCGAACAACCAAAGTGGTATCGAAACCCTGTTGCAGCCCTTCAGAAAGGGCGCGACGATGGGTACGTTTGTAAAATTCCCTCCGCAGCCTGACAGCGCATTTACGGGTGTCATAGCCCCTCCGCAGCCATACGGCGCGTCTAAGGGGCCTAGGTAATGATCAGCGGTTGCGCGCAACAACCGCCATAGACGCGAAGGTCAGAATCTGGCCGTCTCCATGGTATGGGACCAGACAGAGCTTCGCATCGAATGATAGATATAGGGCCGTCTTATTTGTTTCTGCAGCCCTTCACTGTCCTTGGCTCTTTGCTGAAGATCTCCCCTCTTTAGCTTGTCCACGACAGGCTTACAGTGTTCAAAAGGTGCCGGTGAATTGAGACGCATCCTCGTGTTGCAGGCATACGTTCGAGACGTCGTATGGCGGCAGACGACGGGTGGGCGACGGTAGAGGCGCCAGCGTCGAGAGGGGAGACGTGCGGGGCGAGAGGAGAGGAGGAAGAAAAAGTGTCGAGGTTGAGGCGCCGAAAGCGGCGGGTTGTGACCTCAAATGCCACGGCTGAGGATGTAGCTTGATGAGAGGACCTAAGTGAATAGCGTGGCGACGAGAAAGCGGCGAGCAGGACAGCAGGTCGAGGTGAGAAGGTCATCGGAAGACGCAGCTCGAGAGCGACGTCGCTGTGCCCCGCTGCCGCAACACCGGTGCGTTCCAGCGCCAGACTGAGAGAGACTTGTTGATAGCGGGAAGGAGACCGTCGCAGAAAGCAAGCGATCTCGAGGCCAATCAATCGCAGCAAGCAGCATCCGAGTCCAGCCAGTCGCAGAGCAGGTCGAAGCTGAAGGCTGAACAAGGCGTTCAGTACCGCCCGTTGCGCGATAGACTACAAGCGAGAGAACCCACCAAGCAGCAAGCAGTCACTCCTCCTCGTCCTCGACTCCGTCCACCCCGTAGCCGAGCTCCTTCCGCCAGTCCTCCGCCCCTTCCTCGCCCTCGTCCCGGCCTTCATTCGCCTCCTCGTCCTCTTCTTCGTCGTCGGAAGCGACGTCCTCGCCCTCGTCACGAGCTGCGTCGACGGCCAAGTCAAGCCAGGCGTCCGCGCCGCCCGCGCCTCCCTCGTCCTCGTCGTCCATGGCGAGGTACGCGTCGAACTTGGCCTTCAGCTCGGCCGTGACCTTGGTTTTGCGAGGGCGCGCAGGGAAAGTACCGGCGGCACCGGTACGGCGGCGACCGGTCGTACCGCTCGCGCCCGCTCCAGCTCCAGCCGCATCGTCGACAGGATCGTCCCCGTACGTAGCTCCCGGCGTCCAGCCCGCCACCTTCGCCTCCGCTTCGGGGACGCCGCTGACGGGCATCGTGAGGTGCAGCGTCGGAAAGATCCTCGTGCGGAGCTTCCTCGGGCGCTTCTTGCGAGGACGCCTGCCCTCTTGCAAACGCTCGACCTCCTCGGCGTCGATGAGCATCTGCTTGATGTCCGGGTGCTTGAGGAGCTCGTCGACGTCGGCCTGGGTGCGGATGTACAAGTCGAGCTCATCCGGGTCGAACAGCTCGTCGTCCTCAACAATGTCCTCCGCCCGCTTCCTCCACAGCAACCGCTGAAGGCGAGTCGACGGCCCGAACGGCGTCGAGATCTGCTTCGAGTACTCGTCGGGCTTGGCACCGAAGTGAGCGTCGATAGCCTCGGGAGCGTGGCCAGCGAGAAGGAGCTGGCGAATCTGGACATGCTGCGGGTCGTGAGGGACGAAGGCGCTGGTCGAAGCGGACTTGCCGGCTGACGTGGAAGATGATCCACCGCTGGCGAGACTCTCGGCCGCGGCAGCGATCGCCTTTTGTCGCTTCGTCGGACGCTTGACGGTGACAGGCTCGCGAGGACGCTTCATGCCGGGAGGGCGAGCATCAACGGCAGCAGGAGGCGCCGGAGGCGACGGCTTCTTCGGCTTCTGGTCCTTCTGCGGTTTGACGGAAGCGTCACGAGCGAGAGCGTCGGGCGGAGCTGAGGGGTCGCGAAAGTAGAGTGCGGCGGCGGCAGCCGTGTCGGGGTGAAGAACGGGATCGAGGAAGTAGGCGGCGTCGTTGCCGGCGTCGGCTTCGCGCTCGTTGTCGCCATCCTCGTCGTTCGCTCCGCCTCCCGGATCAGGCGTTCCCTCCGAGTGGTACGCCTCCTCTCCCGGCGACTCCATGCGCTCCTTCGCCTCCTTCGCCTCCTGCTCGCGACGCTCGGCGGCACGCTTCGCATCGATCGCCTTGCGCCAGTCGACAATGTCGCTCGTGTAGGCGACGAGTTCCTTCTTCAGCGCCTTGCGACCCTGCGCCTTCTTCCGCCCGCGCAGCGCCTCGATCTCCTCGGGCGTCAAGAACTCCTCTCCCGCGAGCCACGGCAGCTGCGGCGCGTACTCGGCGAGGGCTTTGTTGATCTCGCGGTAGCGCTCGACGATGGTGATGGGGCGCACACCGAGACTCCAGCCGAGCTCGTCGGCGAACTCTTGGACAATCGGCATGATGCGGCGGGCGGTGCCTTCGAGAGCAACAAAGATGACGGCGGCTGCGACGATGTTGGGCTGGCGACCGCGCAGGAAGGCGGCTTCCTTCGTGAACTCGAGGACACCCGTCGCCAGCGCGCGCACGGCCGGGAGAGAGATGCCACGCAGCCACTTGACGTTGTTGTCGCTGAAGAACTTCTTCGTCGGATTGTGCTGCGAGTGCAGCGGGACTTTGCCGGCTGCGGCGGAGGTGCCGACGGCGGGCGTGGCGGAGGTTGAGAAGGTGTTCTTGAGGTAGGCGAGGATCACCTCGATGTACATCGCGGGGTCGTTCTCCTCGAAGCTGAGGTGAAGCTCGAGCTTGAGGATGCGGATGGCGCGGGTGAGGGCGAAGATGTCCTGCGCGTCGATGGCGTCCTGCGTGCGATACAGTTCGTCAGAATTCGCCTCAGTGAATCGAGAGCAGGACAGGGACACACCATCAGGTCGAAGAGTGAGAGGTCCTTGCCAGCCTCTACTGCCGCCGCGTAGACGCACGCCGCTGCGAAGATCTCGGCCCTCCTGCCCCAGCGGAACTTGACCTTCTCCTTCGCGAGACGAAAGAAGTACTCGACGCGCATGTGCAGCGTGTTGTACAGCTCGAAGCGGTTGAGGATGCGGCGAATGTACTTGGTCGCGTCAGTCTGCGACGACGAGAGGGGCAGGTCAGCTCGTTCCTTGTCAAGCGCTTAGCTACAACATGGAGAGACGCACCTGCTTCTTGTCATGCGTGTTCTTAGCCCCCTCTCCCGCTGCCCTCGCCCAAGCACCGCTCTTGCCTCCCTGCCTCCTCACCTGCATCGCTCCAACTCCTCCAAACTCGCCCGCCAAAGCTCCACTCCCGATATACGTCCTGCCATTCTGGAATTCGTCCTCTTCATCGACGCGCGCGAGAAACTCGAAAGACTGGGAGGCGGACGAGGATGAAACGGTGCCGCAGACGGTGCATGCGAGGACGCCAGTCTCGGGCGAGTACTCGAGCGAGTTCGAGGTGTGGCAGGAGGCGCAGTAGCCGCTCATGGCGGTCCCGCTGGCCGGTGTTATCGACTTCTTGCGGTTTGGCCGTGAGTCGGGAGTGGTGGGTGTGCAGGCGGTGGGAAGGCTTGGGCGCGGTGGAGCTGCTGCTGGAAAGCCTCAGAGAGCCTAGAGATGCTCACAGGCGCGTGCAGCACAGCAGGCGAGCGTTGTGTAGCGTGCGTGTGAAGTTCAAGCGGGCGATGTCAACAAGTCGAGCGTGACTTCGGGCGCTTTCCTCCAGCTTGCAGAGAGGTGACCGCATAGTATACAACTTGTTACAAAGAAGACGGTACAGACAGAGCGTACAGCCATTACAAGGCGGTTCCTGCGAGGCGAGGCAATGCGGTTCAGCAGCTCGTTGCAAGTGCACGAGCGAGACGACACGCACCTCGTTCGAAGTTCTCCCTCGTCTCCCTCGTGACGTCGTCGTAGTACCGCGCGAGCTTGCGGTTGAACATGCGGTTCTTCTCGTTGATCCAGGTGATGTCGCCCTGCTCCTCGTTCTCGCGCTTGCGCGACCGCTTCTGCCGCTTGTCGATGCTGCGATCGTAGCACGAGTCAGTCACCACATCACGTACAGCCATACACCGTACAGCCCAGATGGACAGTACAGCGCAACGCAGGAGTCGGGAGTGGGACGCACTCGCTATTGAGTTTCCCGATTACCCGGTCAATCTGCTCATCAGTCGGCTTGTGGTCCGCATAGACAAAGCTATTGGCGTCGCGATACAGGCCGGTGTTGTCGAGGACGGGTCCGACTTCGCCGCCTGATGCGGAGGCGACGAGCGCGTCGGTTTGGGTGACTGCTTCTCGTTGCTTGTTGTACGCGGCGAGGTCGGGCTTGAAGTCGTCGAGGTCCTGCGTGGCATGTCGACGTGAGTATGGCTGAGTCGGACAGCGAAAACGAGGTGTGCGCACCTTCTTGTACTTCCGTCGTGCGATGTCATCGTAGTCTGCGCGGCAAGAGCACGTCAGCCCGGCTCCTCCGCTACCCCAATGCAAAATCGGTACTCACCCGTGAAGCTAAAGTCCGCCCTCCTCGCCTTCTTGGCCTGCTTCTTGTCCCACTTCTCGTTGTCCTCGATCGAGTACTCCCAGTTCTTCTTGCGCTCGAGGTCCTCGCCCGTCTCGACCGCACGCTGCTTCTCGCCCATCGCTTCCGCCTGCTGTCGCTTGCGTTCGAGGCGGGCGAGTGTTCGCGCAGAGGCGCGCTGGGCGTTCATTTCCGCGACGACGTCCTGGCGATTCGCTCGAGCCGAGTCGTTCTGCGAGCACGAAGAGAGCAGTCAGTTCGCGTCCAAGCAGTGGAAGAGCGAACGCAACGCACCATTCTCTTCCTGAGCTCCTTCATCTTTGCCATGCGCTCCTCCATCGACAGGCCTGACGAAGGTCCAGCAGCAGGTGCCTCTTCCTGCTGTCCCGCCTCCTCTTCTGCCGCGATCTGTTCCTCCTGAGCCTCCTCGTCTGCCTTGTCGTCCACCCGTGCGTCCTCAGCGGGCGTGGTGGCTGCGTCGACTGCTTCGGATGAGACGGCGGCTTCGACCTCTTCGGGTGCCGGCGGGAGTGCCTCGGGCTGCTTGCCCTTCTTTGAGCGAGCAGACTTGCGTGATGGCATGGCAGCTAGAGGCAGCAGAGCCGTGTAGCGTGTGAAGTGAGGGAGTCGGAGAGGGAGAGGGGGAGGAGTTGGCCTCTCAACGCGCTTCAAAGGCTGGTCTGGGTAGTCTGACACACTGTTCACGTCTATCCAGAGTACACTGCACGCTAGCCAGCCCAAAGGACGGCGAGCGAGAGTCCCACCACCGCGCCTCTCCTCATCCAACCCGCTCACACACCGCCTCGTCACTCGCACTCGCTCGCACACAGCCCGGTCCCGTTCTCGTGAGCTCTCGCACTCCCTCACACCGTACCGAGCCAGCCCCGACCATCCCGCCACCGTTTCGAGCGCCTCTCGGGACTCGTCCGCTCGCCCCCCATCACTCGCACCGCCTGCGACGCCTACATCTCTTCGAGGGAGGGCTTGCGCAGGATCAGGGAGTTCAGAGAAGTCAGGAGGACTGGCAGGACGTCGAACGGACGCGGTCTGGGCGGTGGTTACGGCAGACGACCCGCCGTTGGTTGTCGAGGCTGGCATGTCTCCAGATGCCCGCCTGCGATCGCTTGGACGGGTGGGATTGGGCTGCGGTGGACCAGCTGGAGGCGCACGGACTGGGACGGACACACAGGGTGCGCCTGCGCTGCTGAGCGGACCAAGGCTGACCGTCGCTTCCCCCTCTCGCCTCCCTTGCCTGCCTCGTCGCTCGGCTGCCTCTTTCGGCGTCCCAGTCTCGCTCGCCGCCCCTCCCCCGTACCCTTACGAACGACAGGACAGGCTCGCACGGCCATGCAGACCATTAAGTGTGTCGTACGTCGAGCTCCCGCTTGATCGCTGTCCGACCGTCGCGCCCCCACAACCTCGTTGCGCGCAACCGACGCGGCACACTCGTCTGCAGCACGCACGCTGACTCTGCTCCACGCACACAGGTTGTCGGTGATGGTGCTGTCGGCAAGGTGCGTCCCTCGCGGCCCCTTGGTCCCGCTCAGGTCCCCGCACCTCATGGCGCGCAGATCCGACGATTGCTCCGACGGCTAACCTTGTCGTGCTCGCGCTTCCGCAGACCTGCCTGCTCATCTCGTACACCACCAACAAGTTCCCGAGCGAGTATGTACCGACCGTGTTCGACAACTACGTGAGTTTCGCCCTTCCTGTCCGTCTCGCATGCCGCACCTCGCGCTGACCGCACGACTCGGGACAGGCGGTGACGGTCATGATCGGCGACGACCCCTACACGCTCGGCCTGTTCGACACGGCCGGACAGGAGGACTACGACCGACTGCGCCCGCTCTCGTACCCGCAGACGGACGTCTTCCTCGTCTGCTTCAGCGTCACCTCGCCCGCCTCGTTCGAGAACGTCAAGGAGAAGTGGTTCCCCGAGGTCCACCACCACTGCCCGGGCGTCCCCTGTCTCATCGTCGGAACCCAGGTCGACCTCCGCGACGACCCCGCCGTGATGGAGAAGCTCGGCCGGCAGAAGCAGAGGCCCGTCCCGCCCGAGGCCGGAGAGAGGCTCGCACGGGAATTGGGCGCCGTCAAGTATGTCGAGTGCTCGGCGCTCACGCAGAAGGGGGTCAGTCCGCGTCATTCCACTTTCCTTCATGGCGTTTCGTGCTGACGCTTCTTTCGGTCGCGCAGTTGAAGAATGTATTCGACGAGGCCATCGTCGCCGCACTCGAGCCGCCCGTCACCAAGCGCAAGTCGAAATGCAGCATCCTCTAGACTCTCGCCGCGCCGTCGTCTTCGCCTCCGCCTCGCTCGTCGTCCTTGCCCTGTCGTCTCTGCCCGCCTCGCAACTCGTCTTGTTCCCAGGTTCTTCTCCCACTCGTTATGCCGGCCCCGACTTACCCTTCGAAGACGCCGCGTCGATTCCCGACTCGTCTTTCCCTTTTTCTCCTTCCGCCCCGTCCGTATGTGTCCGTACCCTCTCTCCCTCCGGCGCAGAGTCGTCTCAGCGACGCACTGTCTCTCGACTCTCGCCGCCCCCTCCCCGCCACCCTCTTGCACGATCCCTCGATTCCCTCTCGCTCGCCGTTGTCCCTGTAATTTTGAGGTTCCTCTTGCTGAATACTTTGCGAGTGTTCAGAGCGAGAAAAGCTTCGCTGGCTCGCGCTCGTTGCCGGAGCGGAGTCCAAAGTCCGCCTCTTCACCCGCTCACCTCGCTTCTGCTGGACTCGAGCTCGCTTGGGACAGCTCCGAAGGGCTCACAGACGCTAGAATGACTACCACACCTGAGCTGCGCTCCTCCCACCCCTCGACAAAGGTCGTGGATCGCATCGCTCAGTCGGACCCGTCCAAGCCGTTCTACACCTTCGAGGCGCGTGGGCCAGCCTGAAGAAAGTCTGCTGGGCTTGTGCTGACCTTCTTTGATTACCCGTGCGCTCCCTATATCGCCCTTGTCTTTATCCTTGCCCTTCGCCTCCTCGCCTCGTCCCCCTCGATCAGGTCTTCCCACCCAAAACCGATGCAGGACTCGTCAACCTCCTCGACCGCATCGACCGCATGTCGGCGCTCAACCCAGCCTGGATGCACGTAACCTGGGGCGCAGGCGGGTCGACCCAAGAACGGAGCTTGCAGCTCGCGGGCGAGAGTCAGAGTATGGGCCTCGAGACGTGCTTGCATTTGACGTGCACGAACCTTGAGGAGGGCGTGTTGGATCGGACACTGAAGCGGGCGAAGGAGCTGGGTGTTGTCAACTTGCTGGCCTTGCGAGGAGGTGCGTCTCGTTCGCCCTTGCCTCTCGTTCGCTAGTTTCCTCACGCAATCTGCCTCTGCAGACCCTCCTCGAGGCGAAGAGTACTGGACGGCGTCGAGCGACAAGTTCCAGCACGCGACGGACCTGATCAAGTATATCCGCAAGGAGTACGGCGACGACTTCTGCATCGGTGTTGCTGGTCAGTCCCTCCTTCGCTCTCCCAACGTACGCAATGCTGACGCTCCCGATGAGCAGGCTACCCCGAGGGCCACGCCGACTCGGCTGACAAGCTCGCCGACGTCGAGTACCTCTTCGAGAAGCAGCAAGCCGGCGCAGACTTTGTCGTCACCCAGCTCTTCTACGACGTCGGCGTCTTCATGGAGTGGTACCGAGCGTGCAGGAAGCGCGGTGAGTCTGTCTCCGCCACGACGGAGTGTGCGGGTGGCTGACTTCAACTTGAGCAGGAATCACGATTCCGATCATCCCCGGCATCATGCCGATCCAGAACTACCTCTCATTCCGCCGCATGACCAACCTCTGCGGCACCCACATCCCGCCTCAGATCCTTGATGACTTGCAGCGGATTCAGGTGCGTTTCCCCTCGTCTGCCTCGTCTTGACTGCTCTAACCCGTCTCGCTTCGCAGCACGACGACGCGGCCGTCAAGGAATACGGCGTCCAGCTCGCCGTCAAGATGATGCGGGAGCTGTTCGAGAACGACATTCGCGGCTTCCACCTTTGCACCCTCAACCTCGAGAAGAGCGTCACGAGGGTCCTCGAGCTGTTGCAGTGGGTCGAGCCCGGCTCGACCAAGATCAGTGCGCGCTTGCGCAAGGTAAGCTTAAATTGAGCGAGTCTGTCGGGCAATAGCTGATCTCGAATCCTTGCGCAGGGTCTGTCTCCGAACGGCGCGCCTCTACCGAAGGTCATCAACTCGCTTCGACCCGCGCCTTCGACGGGCGCGAACGTCGCTGGACCCGACATCGCGCGCAAGGACAGTCCGGCGAGTTGGGACGAGTTTCCGAACGGTCGGTTCGGCGACGCACGCAGTCCTGCGTACGGAGAGATGGACGGGTACGGTGTCAGCTTGAAGCTGCCGGTGCGCTCATCGCCCCTCTTCCCCCATCAGCGTCACTGATCCGCTTCGTGCACAGCCTGCCGAAGCGATGCGACAATGGGGACAGCCCACCGCCCTTTCCGACGTCTCTCGCGTCTTCTCCTCCTACCTCCGCGGCTCCCTCCCCTCGAATCCGTGGTCCGAGGAACCCCTCCGCGCCGAGACCGAGATGATCTCATCCCACCTGATCGAGATGAATGACAAGCGACACTGGTGGACCGTCGGTTCGCAACCCGCCGTTGATGGCGCACCTTCTGCCGACTCCGTCCACGGCTTCGGACCGAAGGGCGGCTACGTCTACCAGAAGGCGTTCGTCGAGTTTTTCCTGACGAGTGAAGAGCTGGACGAGTTGGAGCGCAAGAGCGACGAGGATGAGCGGCGGCGGAGGGAGAGCGGAGAGGGCGACGACGGGCTCATCAAGTGGTTTGCTGGGAACGCCAGGGGCGAATTCAGGTGCAACATGGGCAAGGGTGACGTCAACGCGGTGACGTGGGGCGTGTTTGGCGCGAAGGAGATTGTCACGACCACCTTGATTGAGGAGATGAGCTTCCGGGCGTGGTGTGTGCGTCGAAGCTTTCCAGGGATCCTTCAGAGTTCGGTGACTCATCTTGCTTCTCTCCCGCAGGAAGAGGCGTTCGCGCTATGGAACGAATGGTCGCTGCTGTACCCGGCCAACTCGCCCTCCCGCACCTTCATCCGCTCACTCGCCGACTCGCGATGGCTCGTCTCGGTCGTCCACCACGACTACAAGGAGAAGGATGCGCTGTGGAAGTGGCTTTTGGCGCTCAAGCGGCCGGAGGAGGCGCAGGGTGCGGCGAAAGGAGAGGCGGAGGGACGGTGAGCGCATCGTTGTGCTCGCCAGCCATTCCGCCGCGCTCCTCGCCCTTCATAGACTTTCTCTCATCCTTATATAAGCTGTTGCGCAATCCAAGCTGTGTGCCGTTGTTCTCCTCGTTGCGAGCGAGAAACTCTTCCTCGTGTTAGGGAGTTGGCCTCCGATTTGGCTCGCTCGCATCCTTGTCTTCTTGCAGTGCCATAAGCAGCTCTTACCGGTCCTCGCCGCGGTATTCAGCGACACTTTGTGCTGACAGATTCACCTCCGCTTGCGGCGCTTTCCCTCGGCCAGCGCTCCTCGCTCTTCTTCCACTCGCTCAAGTGCTGTCAAGTAGCTCGTTCTAGGCTACCACACCAGCGCTCTACCCGCCCAAGCAAAACTGGCCCTCGCGACAGCCTCCGTCCGACGCCTCGCCGGATCCCCTTCATCATCTCCCTTTAGCCGCCTCTCGCTCGCCTCGTCCCGCGCCCAGCCAGACTCGTCGTCCCGAGCTCTTTTTACCACCGTACTCGCCAGACCGGACCTTCGCGCCCTTCCTTCGTCGACCTCCCGCGCTCTCGCATCCGCCGCTCTCCGCAACCCCCTCTCGACCCTCTCTCCGCGCTCAGTCTCAGCCTCTTTCTCGACAAACTCGATCAGGATGGCACCCGTTCCGTTCAGGTCGCAGGCCAAGGAAACCGGCGGCGAGAACCACTACGATTTGATCGTTATCGGCGGAGGTTCAGGAGGACTCGGTGCAGCTCGTCGTGCGGCTCAGTATGGCGCTGTGAGTTCCCCTGAGCTTCTACGCATTCCAAAACCTCGCTGATTCACCCCAACACGCAGCGCGTGGCGATCATCGAGGAAACGTGGCGTCTTGGTGGGACGTGTGTGAATGTGGGTTGCGTGCCGAAGAAAGTGATGTGGCACGCTGCCGATTTGGCGTGAGCTTCTCTACGGCCTCTACAGGTTCTCTTTGAGCCTGCAGAGCGCGACCATCGTCGTCGTCGTCATCGCTGACGAAACTTTACCCGACAGCGAGAAGATGCACCAGGCCAACGCCTACGGTTTCACCGTGCCCGAGAGCGCCACGAAGATTGACTGGCCGACCATTAAGCGCAAGCGCGACGCGTATATCGAGAGGCTTAACGGGATCTACGAGCGGAGTGCGTTCTGAGGTTCTCGAGGAAGACTCCCGCTGACCACCTTTCCTCCTCGCTTTTCGCTTGCAGACGTCGAGAAGGACGGCGTCGACTACATCACCGGCCATGCTGCGTTCGTCGACAAGAAGACGATCAACGTCCTGCCGACCTACCCCGAGTCGAAGGCCCACGGCGGATCCGACGTCGAGCGCAAGTACACGGCCGACCGCTTCGTGATCGCAGTCGGTGGAACTCCTACGCTGCCCACCGACATCCCAGGCTACGAGTACGGCTTCCACTCGGACGGCTTCTTCTACCTCGAAGAGCTCCCGAAGCGCGCAGTTGTCGTCGGCGCCGGCTACATCGCCGTCGAGCTTGCGGGCATCTTCCACACTCTCGGTGGGTTATCCTCAGTCACTTCATGCGGAGAAACGCTGACTTTGGCATCACAGGCGTCGAGACTCACCTCGTCATCCGCCGCGACCACGTCCTCAAGGCGTTCGACCCGATGCTTCAGGAGACGCTTCAGCAGCACATGATCAAGACCGGCATCCACATTCACACGAACTCGCACGTCACCAAGGTCACGACCGATGTCGAGAAGCCCGACCTCTACAAGCCCTTCCCAAAGGTCATCCACACCGACAAGGGCGAGGAGATCGGCGCCGACGTTCTTCTCTGGGCTATCGGCCGTCACTCGCTCACCGACAACATCGGCGCCGAGAAGATCGGCCTCAAGCTCGAGAAGAACGGCGACATCCCGGTCGACGAGTACCAGACGACCAACGTCGACAACGTCTTTGCCATCGGCGACGTCGGCGGCAAGGCTCTCCTCACACCCGTCGCTATTGCTGCGGGCAGGCGCCTCTCGAACAGGCTCTACGGCGGCGTCAAGAACGACAAGCTCAGCTACGAGAACATCCCGACCGTCGTCTTCTCGCACCCGACCATCGGCACTGTCGGCCTTGTGCGTTCAACTGCATTGCCTGTATTTCACGCCTGCTGACGAGTCTGCGCACGCAGACCGAGCCGGAGGCGCGCGAAAAGTTCGGCGACGAGAACATAAAGATCTACAAGTCGACCTTCACCGCTCTCTACTTCTCGATGATGGACCCCGAGCACAAGGAGCCGACCGCCATGAAGCTCATCTGCGCCGGCAAGGAGGAGAAGGTCGTCGGACTCCACATTATCGGCCAGGGCAGCGACGAGATGCTCCAGGGCTTTGCTCTTGCTGTCACTATGGGAGGTGCGTTGGCTTTCCTCTCTGTTACAGCGCAGTACTCTGTCCTCACGTGGGGATCCCGGTGGTCGTTCTCCCGCGGTCGGTCGGCGGAAATCGCTGACGAACCGTTCTCGCTCGTTTTCGATGCAGCGACCAAGAAGGATTTCGACTCTTGCGTGCCGATCCATCCCTGCAGCGCGGAGGAGCTGGTTACAATGCGCTAGACGGCCGTACCGAGAAACGGCCCGAAACGAGTTGGCGTCGTCGAGCGACTTCGAGGAGGCGTCTACCGGCCTGCAACTTCCTGCGCCGTTTCACGCGGTTCCGCGCAGTATCCTACATCGTATGCAATGCCTTTACACGTCTCTTGACGGATGGCGACGCCCTGAGCACGTCGAGCAGCTCGTCAGGGTGAAGAAGGAGAACGACCCTTCGCCCTTCCGCCGCTTCGCCCTTCCGCCGCTTCGCCTCTCGCTTCAGCTTCGCCTGCTCCAACCGTCTCGCCTTTGCTCTGCTACGTATGCCTGGTGCCGCGCGACGCCCTCGCCTCGAAGCTCGACACGAGCGCCAGCCTGTGCGGACGTCGTCCCCTCTCGCCTCGCTCCCTCGACGTCTTCCTTTGGACTCTGCCTCTCGCTGGCTTGCTGACAGCTCCTCAAAGACAGTGCAGGTAAGTCTGCGACGTACACGGTGGCAAAGTGGGTGCTTCCAGGCACACCCTCCCGGCTGTCAGCTGCCTCCCTTACATTTGCCTCTTCCAGTAAACTTTTAGAAAGCCTGCAGTCTGGTTGCGCTGCCGCTCTAACTGCGCTGCAGAGTAGAAAAGCGGCTTCGCGCCAGATTTTGTCGTCCTGGACTCCTCCCTCTACTTGCTGCAGAAGATTGCACCTGGTTCGATCTTTCGCCAGGAGAACATCTTGTTCTCCCCTTCATACCGTCACAGTACCCTCTCGAGCCAGGCCTGGCAACGCCTAGGGCATCCTCGACTGCACCTTGCAAAGGACGGACGGTCGTACGCATGCTCACTCTTCCACTTTGCCATCTTCATCCCTTCTCCTGACTTGTTCCCTCATTCGCAGAAACAGTCTTTGATCATGGAGAACACCTTCGACCAACCCAACCCTGCTCGCCCCTCCTTCACCCCCGAGCCTTTCGGAGACTTTTTGTCCTTCTCAGCATTCCACTTCGCAACGTCGCTCCTCTCCGCGCCTACGTCTCCGGTAAATGCGTCATCATCTCTTTCATCGTCCACCGGTGACGAGGCCGCCCAGATCGACGTTACGACGGCTGTCGTCGCTGAGAAGGCGCGCGACGTCCTCCTCGACCCGAAGGTCAAGCTCGCCAAACTCCTCGACGTCGTCCACGACAATCTTGTGACGTTGAAGCAACGCCATGAACGTCGACTCGACGGCGCCCGAAGGAAGGAAGGCCGTCTCGCCGTCAAGATGGTCAAACTCGAGGTCCGCATCGACAAGGTGCTCGCCAAGTACCGCAAGCTGAAAGACAGGCGCGAACGCCTCCGCGGCATGCGCGAAGTCACGAAAGACAAGTTTCACCACCACCAATTGGCCCTCGTCGACAACCTGAACATGTGGACGACGTGCCAGGACGTTGCTGCAGGATCCGGCCTCTTCTTCCCTTCCTACCCTTCCAACGCTCTCGCCAGCTTCTGAGCACATGAGCAGTGACATCCAAATTCTGTAATTGAGCCGTCTCCCCGTACACGAGCCGCGGCAGACTTGACCGAGTCCACGATGTAGGTCGACATGCGCAGCCAGCTCTGATAACTCTCGTGGCTTCTCTCTGGGAAACGCCGAGCGAGAGAAAACGTCCACCTTGCGAGCGACGCCGCACACCCCTCCGAACCCGCATCTCACGCCTCGACCTTGACCTTCTTCTTCTTCGGCGACCCCTCGCCCTCCTTCGCCCGCTTCGCCTCCTTTCGAGCCTTCTTCTCCGCCTTTTCCCGCTTCTTCTGCTCTTTCTCGGGAGACGACGCGGCCGGCGCGTCGCCCTCCTCTGCCTCGCCCGCCTCACCATCCGCCATCTGAATGTCGCCCGTCACGCCCAGTCCGACCGGAGGCTGGTACCGTTCCGGCAGCTTGACCGGGTTGTGGTACCTCCCCTTCCCGCCCTCTCGCCCACTCGTGCCAGGCAAGCACCCCTCGGCACGGTACTTGATCAACTCGTCCGGCTGGTCTCGCTCGCCGTCTCCGCGGATCTGCTCCTTGCGCTTCTTCGCCTTGGAAGGGTCGAGCAGCTCGTCGGCTGTGAGGATGGCGCCCGGAACGGAGGAGGGCTGGGAGATGATCAGGGTCGAGTGGCCGTCGTTGAGTTCGGAGAGGGACGCGGCGGAGGACTTGACAGAGGTCGGGAGGGCGCGGGTGATGGTCAGGGTGCGGGAGATGGGGCGAGGGGCTGGCAGGGACGACCGGTAAGCGAGAGGGAACGATGTCTCGGATGTGTGCGGACTCACCCTGGTACAGCTTGTTCCCGTGCGACTTTCGCGGCAGGAGCGGGATCAACGAGTGCAACTCGCTCGTCGCCGCAACGCCCGCTTCGTCATCGTCCCGCCGTCGCTTGCCGCTCGATGCGCCGGACAGCCGGACCTCGTACTCCGACTTCTTGTGCGAGAAGTGCGCGACGGGTTGGACGGGGTCGGCGAGGGAGCCTGCTGGCAGTGTGATCTCGATTCCCTCGAGGTGCTTCGCCTTCAGCTGCACCACGAGAGCGTTGTCAGCTCGCTTGTAACCCCGAAAGTGCAGAACGAGAGGGACGCACCCCTGCCGGGACCCTGACGGCAAACAGCTCGAGCTCCTCGTCCTCCTTGACGTCGTCCCAGTCGAGAGCGCTCTTGCTAGAAATCGCCTTGAGCGCCTTGAACCCCTCGGGCGGGCTGTACTTCCTGGAGACGCGCAGAGGACCGGGTCAGCAAGGTTCGTCGAGGTGAGGGAAGCGAACGAGACGTACCGGATGGCCGCGTTCGCTACAGGCCGCACAATATTCTTCTTCACGGGCTCTGGCGATGCTGAACTGTCCCTGCCGGACTCGGACGACGAGGACGAAGCGTCTTCCTCGCCGGAAGCGCTCGAGGGCGATTCTGAGCTGGCAGACGGCGCGGGCGAGGGCAGGCGCGCCGCAGCCTTCTGTTTGCCCTTGGCAGCGGCAGACTTGGCCATTGTGTAGCTGGAAAGAGGCAGAGCGTGAAGTAATGTCGACCTGAGCTTGTGCGGTCGGCGAGTGATGAGGACCAGCTCGACGGCAACGGCTCGGGATGAGTCCGCCTGAACATTGTCATGACTCATTTACTGTCTACTTGATTGTCGGCCACTCAGCCGATTTTCCGCGAGCGAGTGACGGTGCACCTTCGACAGCTCGCCGGCGGGAATGGGAGAGTGAGAAGCGTCGGACGATGCGGGGGCTCGCTGCGCTGAGTTAGGGAGGGTAGGCTGGAGGCGGGAGTACTGCTGCCCGGGCTATCCTCGCCTTCTCAACTCTCGATGTCAGGGAGCGAGGTCACTACCATCCATTCACACCCTGCGCTGCCGCTTCATCGGGCGACTATCGTCCTCCACATCCCTTCCTCCTTCCCCCCTCCCCACCTTCTTCTCAGCCTGACCCTTGCCCGGCTTCCGCCCAGCCGCCTTCTTGGTGTGCGCGCGCCATGGGAAGCCAAAGCGCTGGCGAAAGGCGGGGGTGAAGGTTGTCGTGCCAGACTTGAGGAGGCTGAGGGCGTTCAAGCCGATGTTCTGCGCGCCCGCCTCGTCGCGGTTCATGATGCGTCCACAGAGGGTGCAGATCACGATGCGCTGGAAGGGCTTGCCGACGAGGTTTCCGGTAGCCCACTCGAACTTGACAAGCCCGCAAGCATACGATTGTCAGCGACTCTACTTTGCCGAGGAAGAGAGGGTACTCACGGGCGGTCGTCCTTTGAGCGGCAGTCAAGGCAGACACAGCGCGAGGATGTATACGCCTCATCGACGGCGAATGCAAGCACGTCAAGATCGTCGCGAGCTGAGACCTGCTCGACGAACTTGCATGCGACGGGGCCTGCTGCCCGCGGTCCGCGCTGTCCTGACGAGCTTTCGATAGCTCCTGCGCCTATGGCAACGACCACAGTCAAGCCAGATTCCGCATGAGTCGAGGACGAGTCGATGGCAGTCGAGGGCGAGTCGACGCATGCCGAGGACGAGCTAGCGGAGGCCGAGGACGAGCTGGCGGAGGCCGAGGATGAGGCGCGAGGAGCCGACGAAGAGTCGGAATCCGACGAAGAGGCTCGAGTCGTTGACAATGCGGGAGGAGACACCTCGACGTGTCCTGGTCCGAGGCCGGCTGCCGCAACAAGCTGCTGAGCTGCCTGAGCATGCAGCTGGTCCCGGCGACGTTTGAGATCAAAGGATGAGCGTTGGCGTCCATCCCGAGCATCGCGGCGCTGCGATTCGAGGAAGATCGCGTCGCGCAGAAGTATCGCCCGCGTCTCGGACGGACTGCCAGATCGCTCAAACCACATCGAGACGGGGTTCTTCAGCCCGAGGTCGATGAAGAGGAAGACGATGCCTTCGGCAAGCTCGCCTGTCCCGTCCGCGTTCAGGCCAAGTCTCTGCCGGATAGTCGGAAGGAGCGGAGACTTGGAGTGCAGAAGCGGGAGAGTCGGGAGTGAGGGGATGGGTGGCTCAGGGATGAAGGGCGGGTAGGTCAGGCGTCTGCGGCCGATTCTTGTGCTGAGCAAGTCGCCATTGTCGTCGAACCAGGTCGAGCTCGAGGATGCGTCGGCGTCGGCTGGTACACGCGCAGGCGGAAGCGACAGGCCAGCGTAGAGTTTGTCGACGTGCTCAGTCTTGCCGGCCAGGCGGAGGATGTCTGAGACGGATAGCGAGGGTAGTTGCGAGGGGTGCGAAGATGCGGTGTCGGGCACGTTGCTGGCTGAGGGCTGCGGGAGCGTATCGGGCGGACCTGCGGCTGCTGCGAGTTGCGACGTGGTCAGCAGGTCCGGAACAGTCTCCGCCAACCAGCTTCGGGGTGAAATTGCAAACGCACCGAGGACGGTTCGCACGAGATGAGCCGGTGCCAGATCGACTCGCAATACTTTGACATGAAGGCGTGTCGGGGAGAACGAAAGAGCGCCGTGTGGCAGGTGGCCGAGACGGGCGTTGCCGAAGACGAGAGCGAACGCTTCGAGCTGGTCCGCCGATGCAAGTTGGTGGATCTTTGCGGCAGACGAGGACTTGCCCCACAACGCACGCATGGCCTGGGCGGTTCGCCAAGCGTCTGATCCTGCCCCAACGTCGACGGGAGAGGTGACGTGAGAAGCGAGAAGTGCAGAGGCGGTGTCAAAACGGCGTGCAAGGGCGGTAGACTTGTCGAGGTTCGTTTGCGAGAGGAGAATAGGTCGTGTTGTATCGACGGCTGTTGCTGCAGCCCGAGCGATGTCCGCCGGGCGGAAGTCGCTCTGGGTCACGAAGAGGAAGATGAGGCCGCAGATGTCGGCGACAGACGCTGGGACGTGAATCGGCAGGAACGACTGCGCGACAACACCATCAGTGGAGCATGGGCGGGAGAGGCGATGCAGAACGCACCGCGCGTGTCGCACCATTGCTCGTGAGCGCGAGTGCGGCGGGAGAAGCAGGCGGAACGGACAGGCGTTCCACGACTTGTTCGAGAGCGGCCAGTAACGAGACGCCGGAGACCAGCTCTGCCCCGCCGCCGGATGCAACGCGCTTGATTGAGCCTGCTGCGTTAGGTAGGACCTGCGCCAACCGAGAGCCGCCTTGCTCTTCGTCTTCCTCGACATCCTGCGCGCCGTTCCCTCCCCCAGTCTTCCTCCTCCAGCTCGCCGCATCCATTACCGCCTCGAGACGCGCCTGAGCTCGCTGGTCGCGCTCATCACCGCTCCAACGGCTTGAGGCGTATCCTCCGCTCGCCTCGATGGATGACGCGCCGATGAGACGTGAGTGACGGCCGTCGCGCCAAGCTGAGCCCGTGCCAGACGAGCGACCTGTCTTCGGCTGGTCGGCTTCGAGTTCATCGGCGGCTACTTCGGAGAGCGCAACGAGCGTGAGGAGGTGTGACAGTAGTCGGTCAAGGCAGACGAGGAGGAAGGCGATGTCTTCGAGCAGGATGGGGGGTTCGGCGGCCGCGCACAGTTGGGAGAGGCGCGGCTTGAGGACGCTGATGGCGGCGAGGACGGCTGTGGGCGCGAGCGGGGTGTGCGCGGTCGAGTGGCCGAGGATTGTCGGAAGAAGGGATGTAATGGCGTTGTAGAGCGGTGGTGATGACACGGCTGCCGCCGAGAGGTTCTCGAGGACCGACACGTCGGGAGCGGCGATGAAGGGGAAGGAGGGGATTGGGAGCAAAGGCGGGAGAGCCGGGTGTCCTCCCGGAACCGACAGCTCAGGCAGCTCGGCGGGAGGTCCATAGAGGTAAACCAGCGAGAGGCGGAGCTGGTGCGCGTACGAATACAGCTGAGTTGCCGCCGCCCAGGGCGCCGTGAGGAACGCCTCGCCAAGCGTCTTGATGAACTTGCCGAAGCGGGTGCGGCGTATATTGAAAAGCGACGTGCTGTATTTCGTGACGATATCCTCGAGGATGGCGAGGGCGGCTGGGTGGCGCAGGAATCGGGCGAGGAGGGTCGGGAGCTGGAAGATGTCCTGAGTCCGCTGAATGGCGAGGTAGTCTCCCAGCGGGATCTGCGGGAGAGCCAAACGAGTGAGCATGCGAAAGGGGCAGGACTCGAGGAGGAGGAGGATGTGACGCACAGAGCGCTTCAGTAGCTGTCCTTGAACCCCCGCACCTACATCACGCCACTCCTCCTCCCACGACCGCTGCGTCTCGCTCGCCGGGGCCAGCCCGAGCTCGTCCGCCATCAGCACCCATACACTTGCCTCCGCTGAATTTCCTCCCTTCTCGCCCGTTGCGAGGTCCAGCATGAGCTTGATCGCGCGGACGACGGCCTTCGACGCTTCCGCAGGATCCGAAGCGAACCGGAGGAAGGCGGGTGAGAGGGGGAAGTGGCGCGCGCGGAGTGTCTGGATCTCGTTCGTGAGGACGAGGACGAGGAGGGGGACGAACGAGTTGAAGATGCCGTGGATGAGCTGGAGGAGGCGGAAAACGGAGGGCGAGGTGGACGAGAGGCGCAGGTTGAGGTCACGACTCCGGATCGGGATAGTCTTGCGCAGCGCCATCAGCTTCTTCGGCTCCTTCTGCACTGCCGCAGGTCCGCCGCCATCATGCTGGTCTTCCTCCTGAGGTTCCGCCTTCCGCTTCGCCTTCGCCTCCTTGCGGAGGTCGGCCAGCGTGGGTGCCTTCGGGCCTCGCCTCTTCTGGTTCGCCGGGGAGGATGAGCCAGCTGTCGAGGATGGTGTGGTGGAGGTCGAAGTAGAGGCGGCAGGTGAGGATGCGGTATGAGAGGCGGTGAGCGAAGTCCACGCTGTCGCAGGGGTCGACGGGAGCATGGACGTCGCCGAGAGCGTCGCGGACACCGAGGCGGGGTCAGGAATGAGCCTGCTCAGCTGGTTCCAGGTCGGCTCGACGTGACCTCGAGGGCGAACCTGGACCATCGTCGAGCGCTTCGCTGCCGCCTTCGCCTGCCGACGGCGAGCTTGACCGGTAACCAAAGGCGTAGGGATAGGCGGGTTGATGGCAGTGCCCTTGTCTGCGAGTGCGGGCCGAGGAGTTGCTGAAGCTTCGAGACGCTGTCGAGGTCGGCGTGCAACGGCGAACTCGGTGCCGGGAGGCGGCCGCAGGTTGTGCAGCGTCGGCTTGGCCGTCAAGCTTGTCGAAGGGGAAGCGACTTGCGCGGGTCGCCGCGACTTGAGCGGAGGCACAGGAGCTTTGTCGGCGCCAGCGGACGACCTCGAGGGCGTCTGAGGCGGAGTATCGGCTGCTTGATGAGCGACCACAAGCTCGCGCCAGATCGACTCGGCGAGGACGAACTTGTCGAACAGCTCGACGTCGTCGCCGCGAAAGGCACGCAGCGCGGGCGTCCAAGGGTCTTCCGGCACGATAGCCTTGGCAGCCGCCTCGACACTCGGGCGCAGGAGCGCCCACTCTCCCTCGACGATGTCGATGCCCACATCCTCCAGGCCGATCCAGTCGGTATCGAGGAAGTCGCGCGTCGGTGCTCCCGCGGCGACGATTTTGGCGGGCCCGAGTCCGTGAACGCCTCGTCCTTCCACGAAATCCTGTCCCATTGCCATGGCGCGGTTCGCGAGTCCGACGCCGTCGCCGTCAATGCCGAGTCCGCACTCGAGGACACGCTTGTCGATCCACCCCAAGAGCGTCTTCATCTTGACCGGCTGGACGCGCGCGAAGTACTGCGCCGCAAGAGAGCCGGTGTTGGCGGCGAGATCAGAGTCGTTCGCGATGACGAGGATGTTCGAGCCGAAAGCGGAGAGGGACGAAAGGTAGGAGAGCTGGTCTGGCGGAGCGACGAGGCCGACAAGCGGAGTGGGAGGAGTGTCGCCGGAGGAAGGGAGGCATGCGCGCAAGGGAGTCGAGGTGACTACCCTCGCCGCGCGCGCGATCAAGCCGTCGGCATCGGCGGGTGCAGTCGTGAGGATGGCGTTCTTGACGAGCCATGATGCGGCAGAAGTCGCCTGCATGTGCAACAAGTCAGCTCACGCTTGGCCATCTCGCTAAGGCTGAGGCGCATTAATGATGCCAGTGACTCCGCGGTTGGGCGGCGGAAGCCACGAATGGCAGGCAGAAGCTCCATCTCGACAAAGCCGTCGCCTGCTGGCGGGGCGAGACCGGCTCGCTCTAGGTGGCGCTGAGCACGGGATTGATGCTTCTTGCCGCCTGCGCGAATGCGAGCAGCGTGGTCGAGAACGGCGGCGAGAACGAGCTCGAGCCGCTCGTTTTCCCGCTTCTTCGCCTCCTCCTCCTTTACCTGGGGTCTCCATTGCGGATGGTCAAAGTCGAGGATGATCTGCGTGTTGGGAAGTGATTGCCGGATTGGGAGAAGGATGCTGTGAAGTTCGGCGGCTGAGCGGACGTCGATGAGCGTCTGAATGTGAGCGAAACCTCGAAAGTCCGTCGGCTTGTAGTCGCGAACTGTTCGAATGAAGACGTTCCCGGTGATGGACGAGACGTCGACGAAGATGACTGCAAAGAACGGAGGTGAGCGAGGGGAGGAGAGAGGTATGGATAGTCATGCCCGCGAGTGACGGCTGTATGACACTCACTTTTGATGTCGTGCTCCAGGCACTTCTTCGCCAATGCCCTCCCACGCGCATGACCGTCCCTTGGTAAGTCCATCTCATCCATCGCTCCCATCGCCCTCGCGAGGTCGAAAAAGCCTGGGATGCCCATGAGGCCTCGAGCTGGGTGCTGAAGTGGTCGGAGAGGAAGGAAGGACGCGTGCGAGTCGGCTCAGAAGGCGAACCGAACGACTGCGAGAGGCACACAGCTGTCAGCGATGAGGCGAGAGAAGTGGTCGACAGCTCGCGCGGGAAAGGGTTCGCGGAGTAGCGCACCTTTCCGAGTGACCAAACGAGAGTACGCGGACGGCGGATGAGCAGCCAGAAGCGATGGACACGAGCAGCACGCGAGACGAAGGAGGAGAAGGCGGAGGCACCGGAAGGTCCGCGGTAGGAGAGGCAAGGGTCGTTTCTCGAGATCGTCTCTCTGCATGCACGTAAGCCCAGAGGAGTGGACACAGAGTCCCGTAGCGATGGTCGCCGTCGATCCACAGCGAGGACGTCTTTCCGCAAGCCAGAGACGCCTCGCTCGCTCTCGATACTCTCGCGCCGCTCGCCACGAGTATGCAGATACAGCTGCGGGTTACTGCAATACAGAAAGGTTAGTGCGGCCGAAGCAGAGGCAGCGAGGAAGCGAAGAACGCACCTCTACGTTCGGTAACTCGTCTCCCGCCCAACCCGTTCGATCACTTTCCGCCTAACCAGTCCACCTCGCCTAGAATCTTTTGACTGGACCTAGTCACTCCGCAGGTAAGCGAAGGCGGTGCGGACGGAATACGCGGACGCGAGCGTCGAGGGCAAGCGGCGCGAACGGGCTTCTGCTGCAAGATGGAACACGTCGTGGCGGATAGCACTCGTGAAGCGGGAAAAGATAGCATGCCTGATGGCAGTCGTGTCGCGGCAGAGCAAAGCAAAGACCCGCAAGACGAGGACGGTCAGCAAAGTCCCGGCATAGCATCGAGGGTGTTCTAACGCACGAGCAAAGCAAGCTGAACAGCTGAGACATAGTGTGCGCAAGCGAGCAGGTCAGCCAGCCCGTCACGAGCGAGAATGACCATAATTCGAGTGCTGTCCCTTCCTGGCTCGCGAGCCAGGAAGGCCCACCCCCTCGATTTGTTCCCATCTCGTCTCCCGCGCGTCCTGCTGCCTCGAGACAAAGCTTGGCGTACTCCACAGACTCTGTCGAGTCTATCGAGCACCTGCGCAACCCTTCTCAACGCCCACATCTTGACCCGCACCCTGCGAGCCGCCCGCCTCGTCCTCGGTCCGCCAAAGCAGGCGCCGCCCAAACACGAAAGCCTCCCTCATACTCCCGCTGCGCAGACTGATGTACCGGGAAGCTGGAGGAACGCACTTGAAATCTCGTCTCCGTCTGCTGCAGATTGAAGCTGGTCAGCGAAGAGAAGGCGCACGATTTTGAGCTGAACCGAACGCCGCCGCTCGAACGAAGGGGGAGCCCGCTTCGTTCGACCCACGCTGCTGACACGTCACTTCTGGTAGACTCACTGCAGCAAGCCGAGTCGAACAGGTTGAAGTACCGCTATTGCGGGGTATCCAGCAGCTCTGCAGGCTTGAGACTCGGTCAGCAGGCTCATAAAGGCTCAGTCAAGGGTTTGAACGCACTGCTAGCCCTGCGCATCGTCTGCGGGATGAGCGAGAACCGTCGAAATTTGGACGGCGGAGGCGAGGTGTTCGGCGGCGTGGCGCGATGCGGCTGGGGCGGCATCGAGGCATTTGCAGCGGTGGAAGTAGCTGGACGAACAAGCGAGGCCACACAGCGCGAGTTGAGCGAGAGAATAGCACCCGGTCGCCGTGGCTCGCGGCCAAAGTGGGATCGCAACCCGGCCGTCGCTCCCAGATTGGCCGCGCACCACGGCGTTCGCTCGTCTCCCTGCTGCGATCCACCCCGTTAGGACTCTCAGACTGCTGCCCACCGCCATCAGACCGTCTCCATCGCCCTCGACACCCGCTCGCACGCCGTCGCTTGCTCTCCTCGTCCGCACTCGCAACCTCACCTCGGACCCGCCTACCGCTCGTCCCACAGCTCCTGGCGACCCAGCTGTCCTCGCGAGTCCAGGAGAAGGAGGCTGGAGACTCACGTGCGTCCTGCTCCTATCCCGCTGGCGTTCTCAGACAGTGCGGTGAAGGAGGAGGTCAACAAGTCGCTGACACTTGGCCTGAACTTGCGCGCAGTCTGTGTGGGCATGTGTGGGCACTGACGAGGAGGCAGAGATGACTTTCGGCGCGTCAGGAGCTACGGCGCCCCCAAGTGCGGCAGCTTCTCCGCTTTGCGAGCAAGGCACCTCCACGACCCTTCCTGCTCCGACAAGCGTGCTACGGTGAAGCGCATCGCCAGAACGCCTGAGAAGTCGCGCCAACAAGCTTACGGTTAAGACCCAACGCCTCGACCGATATCTCCTCATCGACCCGCAACTTGCTCTTCTCCCTTCTTCCGATCCCTCTCTTCGGCTTGTCCTGCGCAGCGAGCGCGTGCGCACTTGTCAACCCTCCGACGACACGCTACAAACGCGCACGAGCCACTTGGGCTTGTCAAACCTGAACCTGCACGACTTTTCCGACCATATGAGTCTCAAGGTGCTCGAGCTCGTCGCGTCTCCCATGGCGCTTTCCCTTGACTTGCTTCGCTTGTGCTTGGCAAGCTGTGGCACTCTCTCACCTATCAGTCTCGGGTGCGCACGATGTTGTTGCTCTCCTCGCTTGACCCCCGTCCTACGCCGCTCTCTAGTGAAAGCGTTGTACTGATCCGTTTTCCTCCTCTTTGCGACGCGCTAGAGCCATTCGCCTAACAAACCCATACCCACGCACGCCTCGGCACCCTCGTCGCCGACCCTCGCCTTCCTTTCGTCCTTCTCAACCTCCGCTCCCTCCGAAACCCTCCTCAAACCGCCCAAGTTCCGCCGCTACGGACACGAGCTCACCGCCGGAGCGCATTAAAGCAAGGGCGTCGGCTTTCGCAGGACTCCCCACCTCAACGACTTCGCCAGTCGCTCCAGCGAAACCCAAAGTTGCGGATTTCGACGAGAGGGGCTCGACGTAGCGCCTTCGCTCAGACGCAATGCAACTCGTCACCGCCTTTTCTACTCCTACAGCCCGCGAAAAGACCAGCGCGCTCATGCGATGGCCGGCGATTGCGGTCGCGAGGGTCGAGGAGGAGGTGCGAGGAAAAGTCGCTCCCGCCCCACTGAACAAAGCTGCCTCTGGTACTTTCGACCCTTGCGAGTACGCCGAGCTGCAAGCGAGCCCCGGTCGTTGCCTCCCTCACCCGCAACTCGACCCTGCAGTCGAGCCGACCTTCCCAGCGCGAGCCGTTGCTACTCGGTGCTTCCCGCCCAGTAACGGCGCGAGTCTCACAGCGACGATCGGCGGAATCCCCTCGCTCCGCAGCGCGCCAACGGACTCGGCCACATCACCCTCGAGGCGAGTGACCTCGCGCGCCTCCCGCTCTCCCTCTCTCTCTCTCCTTCTCCTCACTCCTTCTCCTCACTTCTCCTCATTCCGCCCTCCTTCGAGTCGGAGGTGAGTCTCCCGCACCCTCTGACCACCGCTAGACGCGCGCTGACCCACTCCGGACCGCTCCCTCGCCCGTACCACCCACCCTCTCCTCCTCACCCTCCACGCCACCCAGTCACTTCCCCTCTCTTCTGCCTCGCCTCGAGCCTCGACGCCACCAGCACCTCCTCCTCGACGCCACAAGTGAGCCCGCGCGCCTCCCGACTCCGCCGCTGCAACTCTAGCTGACCCTTCGCTCGCCTTCTCCGCTCGCAGCTCAACTGTCGTCAAGGACTTGGTGGACGACGCGCTGGTCCGCTCTGGGTCAAGGTTGACGTGTGAGTCTGCGGCTCTCCTTCTCCGGCGCGCCTTCGACGGTAGGAGGACGGTGCGAGGGCGACTCTGGGCGACTGCTGACCTTCCTCGCTCGCTCGCAGCCTCGTCGTCCTCGCCTTCGAGTGGCAGCTCCTGCAGCGCGTCTACAGGTGCGCTCTCGCTCTCGCCCATGCACCCTCTCCCATCGCCGCTGACCTGTCCGCTCCGCTCGCAGGCGTCGAGGGTCGAGCGGTTTCAACACCCGCTTGGTCTGTCGAGCGTCGTTCAACCGCGCCGACCCGCTTCGCTTTCGTCTCCTGGTGCGTCGCCGTTGACAGGTTTCTCCGCCTCTCGTGCAGAGTCTGACTTTCCCCAATTTCCTCCCCGCAGCTCTCAAATCAGCCGCACGATCCAGCTTTCGCGGTGCCCGACGTCGAGACGTCGCAAACAACGACTGACTGCTCGTGCGAAGCCGACTGTCCGAGCCCTCGTAGGTTGCCTCGCTGCTCTTCGCTTTGACCGGCTTTCGCGCTGACACAGTCCCTTTCGACGTCGACGCAACAGCCGCTCGACGTTCGCTGTCACCGGCGAAGGGTCCTGTGTGTATTCCCTACCTAGCAGGAGAGGGCTTTCGGCGACTGGATACATGCGGGGCTTCTGTTCTGGTAGTTGCCCTGCCCGTTAGGTGTAACAGCCAACAGTCGCAAAGGTGCTCATTACCTCACGCTCTCACCACGCGATTGCGCCGGTAGACTGCTTGATCGCTTTGAATCGACTCTGGAAAGGGCCTGACTGCTCGCTGAACCGCCCCGACGCCGTGCGCTTCAACACTCGCCCCACATCTCGTTCTCGAGGTCAACGCATCTCGCTGCTCTCAACCGACTCGCCAAGCCCTGCGATGGCCAGTACGAGCCAGCGCAAACCCCTCACGACCTCACAGGAGTCGCGGCTCGTGCGATACCTCGACGACGAGCTCCTCAAGTTCTCGGGGGCGTACGAATCTCGACATTCTGGGACTTCGCGCCTGCCAGACCTGTCCACCTTTCTTGATGCTGTGCGTGTGAGTTCCTCGAGGTAGAGAAAGCTGGAACTGACCCGCTAGACGCCGTCCGCAGCTCCTTCCCCTCCAGTCCTTCATCCTGACGATTCCCTCCGTCCCGCCATCGTCCTCACTCCGCGTCGCTTACTATCTCAACCTGACCTCTTTCATCGCTCCCGCACTGGACGGCTACACCATACTTGACGAGACGATCGACAAGCTGTTCGAGACGCTCGAGCGGTTCGACCGGGGATGGGTTGCAGTCTTGCGTGGGCAGGAATGGGATTCGGTGGCGGGTATGGCGAAAGGTGGACCTTTGGAGGGAGGTCTCGCCGCGAGTGGGATGCGGAATACGGATCGGATACGACTGGAGAGTCTGGTGCGGGACATCAAGGCCAATCTCGCGGTTGCGCTCGGCCTGCCCGAGTTTATTGCGCTCGAAACGGACCCGTTCCAAGAGCTTGCGCGTATGCAGAACGGCCGGACAGGTGACAGTCGTTCTGAGGGAGTGCTGAGCGGGCTTGGCGGAGGAGAGGCGGAGATGCAGTCTGCGAGTCAGGCTTCGACACCTTCACTCGTCTCCGACAACCCCGTCTCGACAGATACGGACGAGGCCATGTCGGTAGACACCGAAGTCGCTGGCAATTCGCTTCCCGAGCCAACGAGCGGCGTAGAGATGGAGGACGAAGAGGACGATGTCGACTTTGAGGAGGTCGCCGCCATTTCGCCTTCCTCTTCACATCCACAACAACAACACGTCCTCTCCGACGCCTACGCCGACGCACCTTCAGCGGACGGCTCCTTCCAGATCCACTTCACCGGCGTCCCTCCGCCCACAATGCAAGACGGCGAGCTCTCCCTCCAGCAAGGCGCGACACCCATCGTCGGCCAGCAGCGCGGTTTCGACCCAGACTCGGAGTACCCGCTCAGCGAGGAAGAGGGAGACCCGATAGGCGGGAACGCAGTTACAGGTGCGAACGAGGAGGATGCGACGGAGACAGAGGACGGGATGGAGGAGAGCACGAAGGATAGGGTCAAGCGGGTCTTTGAGCGGACGGAGCAGGTGCTGGCGGAGCTGCGGGCGGCGCAGGCTGCGTAGATGGGCGGACGTCGCAGTCGAGGAGGGGAACTTGCGCTCGCTCGAGTCGTCTGGATTCGCCGCCAGTGACTCTCCCCCTGAACTCGTTCCCTTCGTCGACGCTCGACGCACCAGTCGCTCGACTGGACGCTGCCGCTGCTTCCGGGGATCTACACGGCGCAGGCAACGCCGCGACGTTGTGGGGCCGACGCGCTGCCACTTTCCCCGCTCCGTCTTCGTCCCCGCTCTCTCGCTCTCCATCCGTTTCGTCCGCCACGCACTCCAGCGCAAGGTAATCGTTTGCGCCATGACTTCCGTTCCCGCTACCGCCGTCGCCTGTGTCTACGAGGGCGTTGGAAAGGACATCAAGGTGAGCAGAGCCCTTCTCCGCTTCCTTTACGCCCTCCTCGTCTACTCGAAGGTTTACCCACAATCCCTATAGATCGACGAGAAGCACCCCGTCACGCAGCCACAGGACCTGAAGGCTGGCGAGGTTCTCGTCAAGCTCGAGTACTCTGGCGTTTGCCGTGAGTCCCGCTGCATGGCTGTCCCGTTCCTGCTCTATGTCCTGCACCTAAAGTCGACTCAATCAATCGCACTCCTCGCTGACACGCTTCTCCCCATCCCCGCCCACAGACAGCGACCTCCACCTCTGGAAAGGCGACTTCCCCTTCCCTCTCCCCTTCCCGCTCATCGGTGGCCACGAAGGCGCCGGCCGCATCGTCGCCATCGGCGAAGGAACCGACACATCGCTCAAAGTCGGCCAGCCCGTCGGTGTAAAATGGGTCGAATCGACCTGCATGGACGTCGGCTGCGGGTTCTGCAGCGGCGGGATGGACCAGCACTGCCTCAAGGCGAAGATGTCGGGATGCATGGTCGATGGAACCTTCCGCCAGTACATGGCGAGCAGCGCCAAGTATGTCACGCCCATTCCGGAGAACTTGCCGCTCGAGTACGCAGCTCGTGAGTCCCGCCTTGTTTCTACATCTTGCGGCAGTGCTTATCGCTGACGCTTTCTATTGTTCAGCTGTTCTGTGTGCCGGCGTGACGAGCTGGGGCGCGCTTAAGCGCTCGAACACGAAGGTACGCTGGCGCTTTCCTCACCGAGGCGAGGCGGACCTGATGTTGCTCTCGCTCAGCCCGGCGACTGGGTGACCATCTCTGGTGCAGGCGGAGGACTCGGTCACCTCGCAGTCCAGTACGCGTTGGCGATCGGCTTGCGAGTAGCCGCCATCGACACAGGCGCCGAGAAGCGCAAGTTGCTCGAGTCTTACGGCGTCGACAAATTTATCGACTTCCGCGACTACAAGGATGCGAGCGAAATCATTGCGGCTGTCAAGGAGACTTGTGATGGACTTGGACCGCATGCGCGTCCGCTTGCGAGCTTGACGAAGCCGCTTCTGACTGAAGTGTCGTCCTCTCCAGGCCGCCATCGTCACTGCTACGGGTCCTAACGTCTACGACCAGGCACTCCAGGTGGGCAAATTCGTTTGATGACTGAGGAAAAGCGGAGCTGACCTTCGCAACCCTCGTATACCAGTTCCTCCGACCTCGCGGCACGCTCGTCGCCGTTGCCCTCGCGTCGAACACCAAGATCGAGGTGAGATGCACTGGAGCCGCGGGGCAAACGGCCGGCTAACTCGAGTGTCTCCCGCAGGCTGAGCTATTCGGCTTCATCGGCAAAGGCCTCACGATCGTAGGCTCGTACGTCGGCTCTCGCAGCGACGCACTCGAGGCTCTTGACTTTGTCGCGCGCGGAAAGGTCAAGCCGCAAGTCGTCGTCAAGCCGATGCGCGAGATCCAGCAGGGTGCGTTGATTATCGCCTTCTCTTCCGTCGCGCCGCTAAGCTCTCTGTCCGCGCAGTCCTCGAGACGCTCGAAAAGGGCCAGGTCGACGGTCGACTCGTGCTCAAGTTGCAGGACTAGGCAGACTTGGCGATGAGTGGGAGGGTCAGGGTTCAAGGAGAGTCTGTTTTCGCCGGTCCCGGTTGTCTCGTTGGGTCCATTTGAGGTACTGCGGTCTGCAACGCGTCAATATATCAGTACAACGGCCATACTCGTCCATTTCGCTTTCCTCATCGCCGTGCACCGCCCCTCTCTTGCTCCTTCGCTCCTTCTGCCTCGCTACATCGTCTCGCTCGCTCGCTTGAACCGTAGACTGTGCCAGACTCTGCTTGTTGACTCGCCCAATTCGCCACGACCCGCTCCAAGTCTGCCAACACGCCCGCTCGCTCCTCCCGACAGAACCCCCGCAACCTCCACAAAACAAGCGGCCTCACTGCTCGAGCGCATCGCGAAGAATGGCAGACGGTCCAAGGCATCGACGCGAGCTGGGCATGCTGGTTGTCGTCGTCCTCAAGGCGCAGCATCTCGCCGACCCCCACCGCTTCTCGAAGCAGGACCCGCTTGTCGAACTCGAGTATGACTCACGCAGGGAGCGCACGCAGGTCGACAAGGGTGGAGGACAGACGCCCCGTACGTTGCCGGTCTCCAACGCACGGAAGAAGCTCGCTGACTGCCAATCTCGCACTCGCGCAGTCTGGGACGAAGAGTTCCGCTTTCGCATCTTCGAGGCTGAGGGTGAACAGCAGTACTTGCACGTGCGGGTCATGCGGGAGGAGCGAAAGGACGAGGTCGAGCTGATTGGCGAAGCAAAAATACTCGTCGACGGAAGCTGGCGGGAATTCGACGGTGCGTTCTCTGTTCCCGCCTTGTGAGAGTTGGCTGATGACGGACCCTGTGCGTTGTTCAGAATGGGTACAAGTCAAGGAAGGAGGGAAGTACCGCGGCGAAGTCTACCTCGAGGCGACTTTCTACCCTGCCATCCAGCAGGTCCGTCGTCATTCCTCTCCCTACTTCGTCCCCAGCCAGGCTAACGTCGCCGCGATCAGCCCGTCACAAATCTACAGCGCCGTCCTTCGAAACTCGATCCGTCCAGTCGCCTCTCGCGCATTCCCGCCGTTCTTCCACCTTCCCTTCAACCCGGCATGCCCATGCTCGCTCATCGCCTGAGCGCTACGAGTCTGAGGGAAGTAGACGAAACGGCGCCTCCAGTACCGCAGAAGCACGGAGCGTCAGAACCGGGCGAGACAGGCGACGGTTTGCTTCCTCTGCCTGGCGAGCCCGACTCTCCCGAACTTCCACCAACGCTCCGGCCGTCGCAGGCCCCTACGACTGCCTCGAGTCCAGCATTGGTCGGATTGGCTGGCATCGCGCGCGTCCATGAGCAGCACCAGGTTCCCGCTCGACTTCCGACACCCGGGACGCAGGAATACCTTCCTCATCCTCATCCTCCTTCACCTTCCCCTCATCCCGCCGTCACTGGATTTCACTACTCGCCTACGCATGTGACCATGCCGGATTCCTACGCTGCTCCCGCCGCACTCTATTCCTCGCCTTCGCCAGCACCTTACTCCGTGACGCCTCAACCTTACGCTAATCACTCGTCCGCGCCACCGCCAGCACATTACTCGCCCTCAAACCAGATAGCTGCACCCTACGAGCACTATCCAGCTCCAGCTACGCCTTCACATCCCCCAGCTATCGCTCAGCAGTATCAGCCTTCACCTCATCTTGTCGTCTCGGCTCCACCAGTACCTCATCCTGGCCTTTCCGCAGAACCTTCTTCCCTCTCACCTCCTCCTGTCCCGCCGCGCCCATCCAGCACCTCGCCGTCACCCGCACCATCGCAACTGTCGCCTCCCCCGGCCGCACCCAAACCGAGACGCTCTCCGCCACCTCCGCCGCCACCGCACTCTCCATCTGCTCACTCATCCGGTAGACCATCCATCGGTACCTCGCCGTCCCCACCACCTCGACCGGCTACTTCTCGACCTCTCCCGCCAAACCCTGCCGGCAACGATCGACCTTCCCTCTCTCCTCCAGTCGACACGAAGGCGCGCGAAGCCTCGTCGTCTTCTGAGCCCTACCGCGCTCCGCCTCCAGCGTACTCGCCGAGCGAAAGTCAGGCGTCGCCGAGTCTTGCGGACGCCGCATCTCGACAGAGCTCGCTCGAGGCGCAGCGTCAGGCAGAGGCGCAGAAGGCAGAAGAGGCAGCACGAGCGCGAGAGGAAGCTGAGCGACGCAGGCAGCAGCGTGAAGAGGAGGAACTGCGGAAGCAGCGGGAGAAGGAGGAGCGTGCGGCGCAGATTGAGCGCGAACGGATCAAGCGTGTCGAGGCTGCGCAGCGAGCTCTCGCCGAGAAGCAGCGACAGGAGCAGGAAGATGCACGCATGGCGGCGCAGTTAGCGGCCGAAGCTGAGGAAGCTGAGCGACGGAAGGAGGAGGAGCAGCGCGCGGCGGACGAGGCGGTTCGGCGATTGATGGAGGAGGAGCGCGCCGAGGAGGAGCGTCGTCGGCGCGAAAGGGAAGCGGCAGACGAGGCGTTCATCCGCGAGCTGCGCGAGGAGGAGGCGAGACGGGAGGCGGAGGAACGGAGAGCGCGGGAGGATGCGGACGCCGCAATGGCTCAGCGCTTGCGCGAGGAGGAGGAGCAAGAACGTCAGCGTCGACTCGTCGAGGACGAGCGGATTGCGAGGAGCCTTGCGGAGCAGGACGGCGCAGGTCGATGAGGGCCGCGAGGGCGAACGAAGCCGAGGGGCCTCTTCTACGGGTCATGCCTCGCCTCGTCGCGTACGACAGGCATTGCTGCAAAGCAATGATTCGCGCATCAAGCAGCAGGTCGACGGCGGATGCCTGACGAGGACGGAGAGGAGGCGGCACGTCGGTGCGCGAGATCACTCAACTCCGCTGCAGCTTGCGCCTGATCTCTTCACCTCGCAGCTTTGCTGTTTCGCTAGAGCTCAAGCGCCAGCAGTTGCTCTCCCTTACTTTCGACCTCAGACCACACGCCAGTCTCTCCCTGAGCGAATTCCGAAGTCCGACGCTGTTCTCGCTCAACATGGACGGCAGCGCAGCCGCCATGTCGGGCCTAGGGATCACCTTTGAGCCCCAACCAGTGTATTACGAGGTCCCTCAGCTCGTACAACCGCCCTACTACGCCCAGCAGCCGCAATACGCCCACCCGTCAGCTCCGCACGGCCGTCGACTTCTCCACTCCGTCTCGCACGATGACGGTTTGCGTCACTACATGTACGCCCAGCAGCAATACATGGTCATGCCGACGGACTACTCGCCGGACAGTGTGCAGAAGAGGGTGCGGATTGCTGCAGGGACGCCCGAGGTGCTGAACGGCAAAGGAGGGTACTTGCCGTACGATCCGAATCACCTCTCGCCGTTGTCGGACCTCGATCCATCGTCGACGTCCGAGACGGGATCGTCGCAGCCTTTCTCGCCCGCCTCCCTCTCGTCTCTCCCGTCTTCCACCGAATCAGGCGCATATGCGACTTTCCGGCATCCTTCCCAGCCTTCGCCTCCCGTCTATCCTATTCGTCATGAACCCTCTCATACCCACGAGCATGACGGAGGTCAACGAATTTTGCTGCACGCGAACCAGCCCCTCCACCATTCGCCAACCGAATCTCGCCAAACTTCACGGCCCTCCCGCCTACCTGCTTTCCTGCAAGAGCGTCAGGCTCCTCCAGTCATGCAACGCCCGCGGTCAATGGTCGACTTGCGCGCCTCGCAAAAGCAGACGGCGCACGGCTACGTCCGCGTCGACCGTCCCCTGCCCGACCTCGTCGACAGCACCGCCGTCGGCCAACCTGGCGATCCCGATTGGCAAGGCAATAGCGAGAAGCCGCGTATGCGTCAGTCGGAGGGCCGGCCACGCCGCTTGCCGCCACCGGCTAAGCCGCCGTCGACCGACCGCGTCCGATCTCGCTCGTTGTCAGCGCAGGAGCTGAGACAGCTTGCCCATGCGGACGCATCTCGCGAGCAAGGTGCAAGTGCCGGAACAGTCGTCAGGCGGGAGTCAGGACGCGCGGACGCACCGCACGAAGAGCAGCCGCAAGAGCCCGCTTCTTCGGCGGATCCCTTCGTAGAGGGTTCTGCGAACGCCGACTTGCGGCGTCAGCCCACTTTGCTGACTACCGGCGCATCGACTGTCCGGCGTCGCAAAGAGCTGGACCGCCTGCTTGCGCCAAGCCAGAAACACCTCTCGTTCGGGTCATTCGCCTCGTCGCACGAGCGCGACGAACCGTCGCCCGCCTCTTCGAGCGAGACGCCGGCCTCCCATCGCCGCGCGGCGTCAGAGTCGTCGGTTCTGCCGACATCGCTCCCGTCGCCAGCTGCGCTTGAAGGGGCGAAGGGACCCAACCGGGCACGCGTCGACCTCGATCTCGTCCTCGAGACGCCGCTTATCGTCGAGGGCGGCCACCTGAAGGGTCGACTAGACGTGCGGATCCGTCAACCTCGAGGTCGCGAAGAAGCGGTGTGGATCAGCAAGCCCAAGATCCGTATCCTCGGGTTTGAAGGTGCATCCTTCTGCGTTCCTCCGCTCTCGTGACGTACTGACCCTGCTCTTGGCAGAGCTCTCTTCGGGCGATGGCCGCTACGTTTTCTTCCACCACGCCGCAACGGTCGACTCGCCCAGCGCATCTCATTCACCCTTGCCCTGTTTCGACTCGGACAGCGACGAGGAGGACTTCCACCGGGCACGCGTGGGTCAGCATAACGTCCCCGTCGAGATGCTCGTCCCTATCGGCAGAGGCGCGAAGGGGCCGTGGAAAGGGAAGCAAGGTGTCGTCCGATACATTGCCATTGCGTGCGTCTGTATTGCGCCGTCTGCGAACCCTTATACTGATCTCCCGCTCCGCAGGTCTATCAAGCTCAAGTCGAAGAACGGCTCGGATCGCTCCATCGCGCATTTCTATCGACATGTCGACGTCTTCCCGTACTTCAATCCCGCACTCGTGCTCGCTCCCGCCGTCGCACCGTTGTCAGAGGAGGCGAGCAAGGCTATGTTCATGGGCGGAAACGGCAGGGTGAGCCTTCGGGCGACTATGCATCGCGGGATCTGGGTTGCTGGTCAGCGATGTTACGTCAATGTGCGGGTGGAGAACGAGTCGAGCAAAAAGGTGTGTTTGGTTCAGGTTGTCTCGAATGATCTGGGCTGAGCGAGTCGCGGACGCAGGTCAAGGCCCTTACGCTCAGCCTCATCCGCACGACGGCCATCTACCGCTCCGACGTCAAGCCGTCGCCCGTCGCGTCGCCGGATCTCTACGGCTTCGTCGTCGACAAGGGTGCCAGCTCGAGTAAGGGTCTGCTGCAGTCGACGAAGAAGAAGGTGGCAGACATGACGCTCGAAGTCGGCAAGAAGGGCACGAAGGGCGTAACGGCGAAGGGTACTTGGCTTGGTGTCGAAGCAGGCGAGTGCGCCGATTTTGCGCCTTCTTTGCTCGTCCCGGTGCGGCCTCTTGCTCTTCTCGCGCTTCCACGAGCCCTGAGCTGACTTCGAAGCTGTGCAGGCGGACGCCTTGACGATACCCCGCGGACGCCATCTCGAGATTACGTACGCTGTCAGGGTTTCGGTCGGCGGCTCGCTCTCAGCGGACGTCGCTGTCGAGATCCCCATCCGTATCGTCGACTTCGTCTCGCTCGACCCGCCGCCGGGTCATGTCGGTCCTTCGCCTCTTCCCGAACGTCCGCAACGTCCTGTCGCACGCAGCTGGAGCTCCAATCAGCTTCGCGACGTCTCGAATCTGCAAGGGCGGACCCTGCCTCACAAGCCCAGTAACGAGCACCTCACTCTCGACGACCTCAACGGCATCACCCAACCAGCAGCCGGTCTTTCTCGCATCTCCTCGCTCGCGTCTGTCCGCACGGCTGATCTCCCGCGTGATCCACAAGCTTTCGAGGACGACGAAAGTTCCGGAATGTCGCACGTTGCCGTCGACGAGCACGACCAAGGACAGGATCGCTCGCATGTGCTTGTCGACAGGGCGCGTCAGCGGCAACTGCGCCATCAGACGTCGCTGCAGTGCATCTCGACGGCTATCGCCTCTGCCACCGCGCGGAGACAAGGCGTCGTGCGGCAGCCGAGCCTCCTTTCCTACGAGCGGCGAGAAGAAGCGACGATCGTCGAGGAATCGGGCGCAGAGGATACTTTCGGCGGCGCGACGCTCCCTGAGGCGGACTACGGCGTCCAGTTGGACGACCTCGACGACATTCCCGACGGTCTCTCGCCCGTCGCCGAACAGACCGAGCACGTCGAGCTGGTCTGCGAGGGCGAGCACGATGAGGAGCTCGACATGCTCATGCAGTCCAGATTCAGCGACGACGAGGACGCTGCCAACGACGTGCCCTACTCGCACCGCTTTGGGCCGGCGCCCTCAACAGACCTCACCGAGATCAAGGTCACCCCGCCGACTCCTGCAGGACGCCGCTTCTCGCTCTCGATTGCGCCCGCCTCCAGCTCGCCCGTCAAAGCTCCTTCCGTTCGGCCCGGCGATTCTCCCAATATCGCTCATGTCGACTCGCCTTCCAAATCGCCTTCAGACAAGTTCGCCTTCGCAACGCCAACTTCGCCGGTCAAAGCTCGCGTAGAGATGTCTCCTACTCACTCCCCCGGCCGACAAGCGACGCGAAGCGCTGCATCTCCGCTGCGGCAGGGTCGCCCTCTCCCGACCCCGCCTGCGGCACGATCCGAGCCGCCCGCTGCGAGTGAACACGATGCGCCTACGTTGCGCAAGACGCCCTCGGGCGCGTCACTCCGGCGCAATCCTGGCATCCTTCGTAAAGCCGCATCGACAAGGTCGCTTCGCACCGCCAGCTCTCCGACGGAGTCGGTCAGCTCCTACGAGAGCTCACGAGCGGCGAGCGTTGCGCGCAGCCCGTCTCTCGCCTCGCCTCGCGTCTCGCCCATCATCGCTTCGGGCACGACCGCCAAGTTCCACGCAGCCATGTCACCTCCATCCGCAATGCCCTCGTCTCCCGCTCGCAAGGTCGTCCAGTCGCCTTCGCCCGCGCTTCGTGCGACTCGCTCGATGGCCGAACTGCGCGCGACGTCGTCGGCAAAACCGGTCTCTCCTCGCAAGTCCACAGTCCTGCCATCCGTCCAGAACAAGGTCGCCGCCCTCGAGACTCGGCAAGCGACTCTCACGCGACTCGCGACGCAGACGGCGGGTAGCGGACGAGCCAGGGTCAGCAACGTCCAGCTTGCGCGGGCCGACTCGATCATGTCGAACGCGTCGTCTGTTGCGCCGAGCGAGTTCAACCTGAAGAGGGCGGACAGCATGGCGTCGTTCAAGGCTCCGCTCTTCAGGCGAGGCGTCGAGGAGATGCCGCCTCCCATGCCGTCCCTCCCTCTTTCCCACTATCACCCGTAGACACTTCTGTCCCTCGGCGCTGTATCGCCTTCGATTTGCATATTCCGTATATAGCTTCGTGCTCTCCTCTGCATCGCGTTCAGTTAGGCCAGCGCAGTTCATTGGCTCAGGCCGCGAGACTACCGCAACTCCTTCCATGGGGCCCATCGTTGCTCCCCGTCCTTTCTGACCGTAATCCTTGACGCCTCGTCGCCGAAGTAGCCGCCAGCAACCCACTGCTCGAACGTCGCGCGGTCGTACGGCCCGTACTCCTGGTCAGGCGGCTGTCCCGGCGGAGGCGAGTTCCACTTGTAGTAGTACTGCGCTCCTGTTGGTGCGGCTGCAGGTGCGCCAGCACCTGGTCGAGCGATCACGACTCTCGACCTGCCGCTCGACGCTCCTCGCGCCGCAGAAGCCGCGTCTGCCTCCGCCTTAGCGTGCGCCGCAGCTTCCGCCTCTTCGCGCTCAACGTCGGGGTCGACGGGCGGGACCCAATCTCGTCGCACTGCACCCTCCGCCTTGAGTGTCTTGATGATCTGCTCGTAGGTCTCGTCGTAAATTTCGAGTTCGCCGTGCGAGGAGAGGAGGGTCGAGGCGAAATGTGTGAGTCGGTCGATCTTTTTGGCGTAGCGCTGAGCGGGAGGGAGGTCGGAGTCGGAGGTGCGCGAGGTGGGCATGCCTTCGTCGAGGTCCATGGCGTCGCCGTCGCGCGCCGCAGACTTGCCCTTCGCTTTGGTCGAAGCAGCTGATCCACCGTCGGCCGTCTCCGCACGCTTCTTCGCGGTCCCGAGCCTTGTGAGTGCCCTGGCCACCGTCTCGCCCGGCCGGACGAGCGAGAGCAAGCCGATGAGGCAGTCGTCGCGCAACTGCGTAAGCTGCTCCTCGCTCTTGGCTTCCTCCGCTTCGCGCTCCTTCTGCCGCGCGTCCATGCGCTCCTTCGCTTCTTTCGCTGCGCGGATCGATCGCTTCGAGAGACCATCGAGCCAGACGTCGTTCTTGGCGAGAGGGTCAACTTTGTTGGCGACGTAGGTGCCGTCCGAGGTAAATCGACCTTCTCCCAGCTCTTCCTTCATGTTGAACGAGCTGCAGGAGCGCTCGTCAGTATGCGCAATCGAACTCGAACGACGGAGACCAAACCGCACGTTAAGGAGTAACCCATGCCCTTCTTGCTCCGCCTGCCTCGTGGCGCTTCGTCGTCGTTCGCCTCGTCATCCTCCGGCAGGTACTCCTCCTCGCTCTCGTCGTCTGCCTCGTCGAAATCCTCGTCGTCCTTCTTCGAGAACTCCTGACCCTCGATATCGCCCATCTCGAGGAACTCTTTCTCCTTCTTCTTCCCCTTGATGTCGAGTCCCGTGTCCTTCCTGGTTCCTCCACCGCCAAACATGTCGTCCTCGTCAAGATCCTCCTCGGGTTCTGCCGCCTGCTGTCCCACACCCCTTCCCGCCCGTCCGCCCCCTGCTCCGCCAAACCCGCCGTCCGACTCGGCGGACGAGTCAGAATCGTATCCCTCCGTCGTGACCTTGTTGCGCTTGCGGGAAGGACCGCCTGCACCCTGCTCGAGGTCCAACTCGAGGTCGTCTGCTCCATCGGCGCCAGCGACCGTCTCGGCGTTGTTGGGCGCGAACTTGACGCGCTTGCCGGCGAGAGCGGCTGCAGCCCTGTCGCTACGAGCGCAGAGCAGTCCATCACAAGCGGAAACGGCGGAGTCACGGAGGGGACGTCAGTGAGTGGGGACGAGAGAGAGAGGGAGAAGACGAGCGAGGACGCACGTTGGCTGGTCGGCCGTGAAGGTGGTTGCTGGCCTCTTTGGCGCCATCGAAGCACAGTCTGACAGCGAACGAGCGAGAGAGCGTGAACAGCTCCTCGCCAACATCGCTCGGAGAGAGTTGCCTCTCGACACCACCCTCGACTCGCTCGAGGAAGGCTTCAAACAGGCTAGCTACACTCGAGACGACTTCTTAGACCGTCTGTCCTGTCCGCAACCCGCCGGCTGCCTCTGCCGCCGCACTCTCGCCCCCTTCCTTCGCGATGGCCTCCCTCACCCAAAAGTCTCGCTATGTCTACTGGCCAGAGATCAGCTCGATGGTCTACGTCTTTTGCGGTATCAAGGACGCGGACGAGGAACTCGTGCAGTTCATTGAGGAGGTTGTCAAGAAGGAGATGGTCGAACTGGTGCGTTCCGCTCCTGCTGCTCTCGCCGGCCGCATCCCAGGCTGACTCGTATGGCTTCAGGTCGTGCAAGCGCGCGCACAGGCGTCTCGGCGAGGCGGACGCGCCATCAGTGTCGAGGACCTCATCTTCCTCGTCCGGCACGACCGCGCCAAGGTGAACCGGCTGAAGAGCTACGTGAGCTGGAAGGACGTCAGGAAGAAGATGAAAGAGCCCGAGGCCGATGACGAGATTGACGGCATGGAGGAGCCGGTATCGGGTGCGTTCCGTCAACGTCTTCGGGAAGAAGACGCTTGCTGATGCTGCTTTGCCTTCTCCCGCTTCCAGACAAGACTCTCAAGGTCATCAAGACGACTGTCCGACTACCGTGGGAGCTCAGCGATGCATGGGCGGATTACTTGCGAAGGGAGGACGAGCCTGAGGACGACGAGGCAGAGGCGTACGAAGTGAACAAACAGCGGTTGCGGGTGCGCCGGCTTTCTTCTTCTCATCGTGAGGCGACACTCACCGACCTGCTTGCCGGTACAGGAAGCGGACATGCTGACGAGCAAGATGAGCCGCGACGAGTACGAGCAGTACTCGCAGGCTCGGCAGGCTTCGTTCGTTTACCGGAAGAGTGCGTTCACGTTGAGCGCGATTCCGTTCCGACCCTCGCTGACATTTCAACCTGCAGACAAAAAGTTCCGCGACTTCCTCGCCCTCCCGGCTATGCTCGACGTCGTCTTCGCCTCGGACGAAGTGATCGACGTCCTCGGTTTCCTCGCCTACGAGTGTGTGCGCGCGCTCTGCGACGCCGGCATCGCAAACAAGAAGGTCATGGAGGCTGCTGCAGCGCGTGTGCAGGAGGCGAAACGGAGGAAGGAGATCCGGGAGGGGAAGAAGCGAGGGCGGGAGGAGGGCGAGGCGGAACGGACGGGTGAGGACGAGGCGATGGAGGATGCGACGGCTAGCGCATCGCCCGGCAAGGAGGGTATGATGACGCGAAGAAAAAGCTGGAGCACCTCGCCGTCGAAGCGAGGGAGGAAGGGCTTCGAAGCGCCAACCTCGACTGAGAAGCAGCAACAGCCTGCGACTTCGCCGCGCAACAAGCCGCTTGAGATCCCGACGTCCCTCTTCTCCGCTCCTCTGCCGGAGGCCACCCAGCCCGCGCCGACAGCCACGCTCACCACGACGGGCAGCACCGTCGTCTCAGCAGAAGGAGGAGGCGCTGACCCGGGCACGACAGTTGTCGCCGAGATCCCGCTTCTCCTCCAGCTCCAGGACGTCATGCAGGGTTTCCACGCCGTGCAGCATACACAGGAGGCGCTGAAGACGAGTGGGATGCGGAATTGGCGGGGCGGGCTTACGAGGGTGTCGAACCGGTTGCTGTAGAATCTCCTTCTCTCCGTCGTTCGTGTGTTGCTACGTATACGACAGTGCCTTTGCAAGGGGATACGCGTCAAGCCCAGATAGCTTTGTACAGTGAGTGCGAGAGCTTGTCGACGATCGAGGTCTGCGCCTTGCTCTCGGCGAGGCTGCAGGACTCGCCATCTGTCAGCGACTGACAGACGGAGTGGAAAGGGACGTGACGCACCTGATAATGTCCTTCTCGACGAGCCAGTCGTCGCCTTCTCCAACCGCTCCAACCTTCTCGCACTCCTCCTTCAAACACCTCACGATACTCCACACGACATCCTTAGCGGTCTTGCCCTCTATGTCGTCGCCCGCTCGCCGATCGATGATCTCGCTCGACCCGTCCTCGCAAGCGACCTTGACCGCATCTCTTCGCAGAGCCTTGAAGGCAACAAAGTGAGTCTCGCCTTCGGAAGGGTCGGTTGCTGGAGCGGCAGCGGCGGGAGTCGTCTTGCCGATTGGGAAGGGGAGCTTCAGAGGTGTCAAGGGTCGCGACGACGCAGAGCTGGACGTCCCCTTCGCAGGCGATTTCCTCGGAGAGCTGGTGCGCAGCGAGTAAGTCCGTACCCGCTCAGTCGCGTCCTTCGCGCGGTAGCGAATGATGAAGCCGTAGTTCTCCAGCGGGTCGCGGGCGGAAGCGTCGAGGGAAGAGATGATGTAGACACCGGCTTGGAGGCCGAGGATGTCGCCTGTCGGGATGCGGGTGAAGCTGGTGACCTGTTGATCGAGGTATCAGCGAGTCAGTGAGCGTGAGAAGGCGGGAGATGCGCACCTTCTGCAGCGAGAACTCGTACGAGACGATGTAGACCGCCTTGTCCGAGAGGATCAAGACCTTCTCTTCGTACTTGCCGCCCTTCGCCGGCCTCACCGTGTCCTCCTCCGTCGGAGACAACAGCGTACACGCCGCTACCCTGTGCTCACCCTCCTCCATTACCTCCCGCGTCGCCGTCTCGAGCGCCTCCTGCCGAATCTGCGCAAGCCGGATGATCTCGCCCGGGTCGGACGTCTCGAGTCGTTCGGCGAATTCCTGGAACGCGTTGAGGTTGACGCCGAGCATGTAGTCGAGCGCAGCCTGCTTGAAGAAGTCGGTGACGGTCGATTGGAGCAGGCGGGCAACCGAGTTGCTGGCACTGCGAAAGCAAGCGATGTCAGCGACTCCGCCTCGAGCGGAAGCATCTCAAACTGACTCGTTCATCGCCCCTCGCCAATTCCGCTTTCCCGTCCGCGTGAAGTCGCCCTTGAGCGCACTCGTGCCGGCATACTCGCGCGAGATGGCGTCTCCGTTGTCCGCCCAGAGCGCATTGAACGCAAAGTCCAAGTCATCGTGCATGCCTTTTTCCTCGCCGGAGGTAATACCGAGGTGGACGAGGTGCTGATTGAGGACCCAGCGGGCAATGGCGGACTCGACGACGTTAGTGCGCTGCGAAGAAACGGGCCTCGTGAGCGACGAAAGCGTCTAAAGGCGAGCGGAAGCGAACGCACGTCGAGCGAGTCGATGCAGTTGACCCGACACGCGCCCTTCTGCATCGAGTAGACGTCCTCAGGGGTCGTCCAGAAAGTTTGCATTTCCTCGAGGTCGTGCTTGATGTCCTCGATTAGGTTTGAGATCCGGGCATAGTTGAAGCCTTTCGTCTCCTTGTGGAAGTCGAAGCTGACGTAGCTGCGCACGCAAAAGCGGGATGAGCGATGGAAGCCTGCGGGCGGAAAAGCAGGAAGCAGGACGCACCGCATCTCCTCCTCGTCGACGCCCAAGCTCTTGACGCCTTCGCCATACGCGTTGACGACCGTTTCCTCCTTGCCCGTTGTCTCCGCCAGGTTGACCAGCACAAGCCGTCCATACTTCGCCTTCAGCCCCTCAAGGTGTTTCCGCATCGCCTTCCTGCTCTCCTCCTCCGTCCGCTCAAGCACAGGCGGAGGCTTGAGCGCCCAAGGGCTCTGCGACCAGTACAGCGGGATCGAACCCCGAACCTGCACGAACGAGTCGACGTGCCTCGTGCCCTCGCGGACACACTCGACGATGAACTCTGTCTCGACAAAGTTGGCGACGGAACCGGACGAGTCGATGCCGCGGCGTTGGTAGCGCAGGCCGGGTCGCTCGGTTGAGCGTCGGGAGATGAGGGTGAGGTCGAGATCGACGGAGGCGGGTGAGGAAGGGTCGACGGAGGTCAGGGTGCGGTAGGGCTGGAGGGGGAGGGCGACGGAGAGGTGCTGCGCAAAGCCTTGCATCATGACGACAATGTAAGAGTGGAGCTGCACAAACGCCATGTCAGCGGATCCTGCTGAACGACCTCGCAGCGAGCTCGACTCACACCTGCCTGCACGAACGGCGCAACGAGGTGCTGATTGAACCAGAAGCGCTTGTCGGCCGACCTCCACAGCGGCAAATGCTTGAGTCCGTCGTTCCTTCGCTCATGCTTCGCCTGCAGCCCACGTGTAATGTCCGTATCGAAGGAGAAGTACAGACCGGTGAAGACGCGCAAACACTCTGCGACAAGTTTCTCGTCGAGTTCGCGCTGCGACTCGCGCACTTCTTCGTCGTCGGGAGGGGTCGATGCGCCTGTTCCTGTTGAGGATGGCTCAGTCGCTGCCGCTGCGACGGCGGGGAGGTCGGATGCGTCGGTCGCGTTCGGCGGAGAGGCGGTGTTCGGGTCGTCCACCTTCTCGGCCAGGGTCTCTGCTGCCGCCGCAGCTGCAGGAGGAGCGGGAGGAGCCTTCTTGCCAAACCCGCGCGGGAAAGTCCGCTGCCAGAACGGCCTCTTGGCCTTCTCGCCCGACTGCGGCAGGACGATGGGCGCAGCGTCTGCCTCGTCCGCCGAACTCTCGTCCTCGCTCGTATCCTCCTCTGCGCTCGTCGCTCCTCCTCCCATTGCGAGACTCGTCGCCGAAGCAGTCGAAGCGACCGACGCCGAGCGTTTCCGCCGCGCAGCCTGCTTCGACAAGTGCCGCATAATGACTGTCCGCGCGGCATCGTACGAGCCGAGAGGGATGGCGAGGAGCGAATTGGCGGAGAGGATCTTGGGTCGCGAATGAGGGTTCTGGAGGTCGGGGAGAGTTGCGGTGACGGTCGAGTCGGTGACGACGATCAGAAAGGAATCTTCACGATGGCAAGGGGGTCAGCTTGCAGCGTCTCGAGCGACGAGATGACCTGAGCGCACCTTGGAAACCGACGAGGAGGCCCGCGACGCAGTCCACCTCGATGCCCGGGACGTCCTGCTCCTCCTTCCACTGCGTCTTCTCCGGCTTAGTAGACCCATACGGTATCCTCACAGCCTGCCCCTCCCACAAGCCGCGAAACGAAGCATCGTACGGCCTGACGACGAGTCCTCGAGCGGGGTCAGGGTGAATGGCGAGACGGCGGTGGAGCAGGGCGAGAGGCGGAGCAGACACAGCTGGCGGGACAGTGCGAGCGTTGGGGCGTGACCAGCTGCCGGGCGCGGCGTTGGCCATGTTCAGTGACCGAAAGAGGAGGAGCCTCTTCGGAGAGATAATCGAGGAAGATAGGGGGACATACTCGAGGAGGAGGCGGAGGAGGAGAGAAAAGGGAAGTCGTCCAGAATTCCTCGGCCTGATGCAATGGTCGAGCGTTTTGTACTGATTGTGCGACTATCAGGAAAGTCGAGCGGCGGCGAGGACAGGAGGAGGACCCCGGGTCTTTTCGCATCTTTAACGACACCTCCTCGCTTCCTCATCCCTGTTTGACTGCCGCTTTGGACTGTCTAGACTTTGAAACGTCGGAACAACGTCGAAGCACGCTCGCTAGCCACGTTCAAGGTAATCGTCGTCGCAGCTTGACCGGGAGAAGGTGAGCATGTCCCCCCGACGCGCTGCTTCCCCAGCAGGTCTGCGCGCCTTCGGGATTGACTTCAGGATCATCCAAGAAGTCTGTACGATCCCTACGAATTCAAAGAAAGACCTTTGGTGATGTCGAGAGTCGCGACACCGCGTACAGGCGCGCGCTCTCGTCCCCCGGACGGTTGTCACCTCGCATTCCTCACCCCATACAGCCTGGTGCTTGTTCGAGGACGGATCGACAGCTACAAGGACTTGTACAGCCTACCTGTATCCCGCCCAGCTCGCCCCGCCCGCTCCCACGCCCTCGCGACCTCGATTCGCTCATCACCCGCCCGCCAACGACTCGCCCGCTCGCTGTGTCGCCCACACCGCTCAAGGGGCTGTGCACGCTGGTACATCGACTGCCGGGACTGTATTGCACGCTCTATCGCCGGCCACTCGCCCTGCGAACGCCCTCGACGCCGTGAGTACCCTCACCTCCTCTTCACGCGACGCGTCCCCGGAAACCTTGTTCGACAGGAGTGCGCCCGAATAACAGCTGACCTGGCTGCATGGGGCTCGCAGATCCATCGCCTGACAACCCCGCCAGCCTCTCGAACGATGCAGCGACGCTCAGCGGCAGCGCCGCCCGTCTCTCCCCCGAACTCGGCAGGCCCTTCGTCACACGGGATGGTCCGCAAGCGCACCCTCCAGGACCTCCAGCCTCCCTCGTCACCCAACATGCAGTCCTTCCCTCACCCAGGCTCGTCGTCGTCTCCCTCGATCCAGCACTCGATCCAGTTCGACTCATCGCCAAGGAACGCCCAACTCTCGTCTCCCGCGAGCATCTACTCGTCCCCTGGCATGGCCCGCTCTGCGTCTGCCCAGGCGACGTTCAGCCCTTTCCGCCAGACCATCACGACGAGTCCTCTCGGCAGAATGTGCGAGCAGGACGAGGAAGTCCCGGGAGGAAGGAGGCCAGGCATGAAACGGAGACGGACGATCGCAGGCGACTCCCCGACCTCACCCGTCAAGCAGGACAACTCAGTGTCGCAGCAGCTATCGTACACACCGCGCTGCGCAGGCAAGGACGGCGAGGACGTCTGGCCGCCCGATGTCGAGGAAGCCTTCCACACAGGTCCGTACTCGAATCTCGCGTTCCCCCTACGCTGGCTCACGCTCTACTTGCTGCAGCACTCGCTCTGCTTCCTCGTCTCGGGCGCAAGAAGCTCATCATCAACGGCAAGCCCTGCGGACGAAATGAGCTTATTGGCGACTACATCCTCCGGACGACAGGCAAGGCTCGCTCGCGCAAGCAGGTCTCAAGTCACATTCAGGTCCTGAAGAACTTACGCAAGGACGACAAGGACTGTAAGTGAGCTCACGCGCGCCCAAGGAACGCAGGCTGACCTCCGCGACTCGCAGTCATGGAGCTCGTCTCTGAACCTGCCGAGGGCGACGACCGGTTCGCGCCCGGCAACGCTCGCCTCTTCTTCGGCGACGAGTCGCCCTACATCCGCCCTTCAGCCTTCTCCATCGGCCTTGGCTTGCCAGCCATCGATGTGACCGCTGCCTCGTCCACCTTCACTCCCTACCCTGCTCCTGCGCAGTCGCCTTTCGCGCTTCACTCGCCCTTCGTCTTGCACCCCTCGCATGGCGCCTTGACTCCGACGACGGAACTCGCGCACGCCTTTCAGGACATGTCGGTTCTCCCTCCTCCCATCCCCGCCGCCTGTCCCTTCTCTCCCTCCGACTTCGCCATGATCGTCCCGTCAAAGCGAGACGCTCAGCGTCAGGAAGGTCACGTCCTCGCCTCCCTCAACCATCGTCAATCCGGCGCACCGCTTCGCAAGATCCTCGTCGAGGATCTCCCTCACGGCTCGAAGCGGTACCCGATGCTGCCGGCCATGCTCGCCTGCCTCCCCTGCCAGTTCCTCCACTTCAAGCTCAACCTCGACATCCCCTCGCTCACCACTGCATCCGCACTAGGCACCCAGGTCGCCGCGCACGTCCGCCTCGACACGATGCAGAACCTCCCTCTCTCAGTCGTGACGACCATCTTCTGCCACGGCGACCGCATCATCCAGTTTGTCGAGTCGCTCGCGCCGCCCGTCGCGATCGGAGACGCCGCCTCACCGCTCGGAGCAGGCCGCTCGCCTTCGCCCGTCATGCGCCACAAGTTCTCCTACGAGCTCCCCTTCGCCGAGACCTACTGGTCGCACTTCCTCTCGGCCAACGAGGAGGGCAGCGCCTCCTTCGGACGGAACGGCAAGGCGCGCTTCGAGCTCGCGCAGAACCTGAGCATGTTCTCAGTCCTGCAGGAGGTCGTCGTCACGCCTGACGACGGTCTCGCGCTTGCGCAGGTCGACGACAGCGTCGAGATCAGGGGAAGCGATTTCGGAGACGTCGTGCTCGTCATTGCGTACGACATTGAGGTCGTCGAGGGACTGCACCGCGGGACGGCCGAATTGTCGCTCCTCTCGTCGAGGCATGCGGGCGCCGGCTTCGCACCGAGCGAGATGGCCTCTGTGTCGTCGTTCTCGCCGCAGCTCGATGCGCCGGGCATGTCGCGCAGCGCGACCTTGCCGGCGAGCATGGCGTTCAGCCAAGTGCCCGCGCCCGACATGCAAACCTCGATGCCGCCTCCTCGTCTCTCCCGCCGCAGTCCGCCTACGTCCTCTCGCACTCACCACCGCCGTCAGTCGTCGTCTTCGAACAAGCCAAACCTGTCGCTTCACATCCCGCCTCCGAGCGACTTCGTGCGGCTCTCAGCCTCGACAGCAGGACCGTCGAACTCGCAGCTTCAGCCACCTAGCAACGGTCACCTCGCCGCGCCTCGCCCTCCGCTCACGCCGTCGACGCCGTGGGACCAAGTCGCCCACACGCCCGACGCGCCGCCGCCCGTCTTGCCAGACTCGGGCTCTGCCGCCCAGCGCGAGCGTCTCGAGCACATCTGGCTGCAGAACGCGACGTACGAATGGGACCTACACTCGCCGGCGTTGATGGGACTGCAGGAGCACAGCTACCTCTCGTCATCTCTCTCGCGACCCGCCAGTCTCGCTCCCTCGCCTATCGACGAGAACGGCATCTTCTCCAGCGCGTCGTCGCTTCCCGTCCCGCCCGCGCTGAGCCAGCAGGCATTCCCTCAGCACTTGCAGTCACAGCCGATGTATTCCGTCCACCCCGACCACCATCTCTACGGCGCCGACTTTTCGACTGGTCTCGAAGACCCTTCCCTCCCGGACCTCCTCTCAGTGTCGACGTCCTCGAGCAGTTCAGGCTCCACTCTCTCGTCCACTCAGGCAGTGGAGCCGGCGCCGCAGCCTCGCACATCCGCACCGCCCCCGCCGCAAGTGCCGCAGAGCAAGCTGAAGGTCAAGCAGGAGCAGGACTTCTTCTCGAGCTTGCTCGGGTCAACAACCAAGTAAGTCGCCAACTCAACCATTCCTTCAAGCGATTCATTGCTGACCAGCTTGTCTCTCGCAGGTACACTGGCGTTTACGCTTCTTGACCTGCACGCCTCCGCCTCACTTCGCCTGCCGTCTCGCTATTTATCCCGCCGCGCGGCCGACCCTGTACCAACTTCTTGCCCGCCTTACCCACCGTCGTACCCTTATTCCCCTTTTCTCGAGCTGTATCGCCCCCCAGCCTTTGCGTACATACGACTCCTCGCGCTCTCGATCATGCCCACTCTCGTTGTCTCGGTATTGATACCATCTTGGTGTACCCTTTCTTGTCGACTTGTCAATACCAGCAGTGCCGTCGTTCATTGCGTACTGGCTCCGGTAGAGCCGAGAAGGGTTTCCCTGATCGTGCTGGACTCCCGCACTCATCCCGCTTGGCCAAGCTGCACCGTCGACATGTCCATCACTGCAGTCGCACCAGCAAAAGCATCCGCACGCGAGCCGAAGGACAGTTGGGGTGTCTCAAGGTGATCTGGGCAGACGGCTTCGCAGTGTCGGAAGAGTAGAACTGCGTTGCTGGTCAGACGAAGGATACAATGTACAACGGAGAAGGGTCGTGAAGGTTGACTCGTCGTGGAACAGGGTCTATCGAGTCGGAAATGCGGAGTCGCGGGCGGTACTGAGGCGAGAGTGGGCGTTCAAGCGATCGTGCAGGGGATGCTGCGAGCAGAAGATGATCAGCAATGAAGACGGAACGCCCGGCATTGGACGATGGTCGCTCACACGCAGCAGTCGCAGGTGAATCTGGCGGAGAAGGACCGTCAGCTCTCGAGAACGGCGGTGAAGGAGTCGGGCGAACTTACCCGGGACAAGGGATCTCAAAGCAGCCACCGCGAAGGTGCATTGCCTCCGTCTGCGCCTCCTCGTCTTGCACCTGGCTTGGATGAGGAGCCAAATCGTCCAGTGCGACCGAATCCATCGCTTCGCGATTGTTGAGCGCAGCTTGCAGGCTGTTCTGCATGGCAGGTGGGTAGGTGGAGGACTGAAGGGCTGGCTGGGTGCTCATGGTGGTCTGCAAGAGCGAGGAAACGATGGAGCGTCGCTTCATCAGTTAGGAGATGATGAGGGCGAGTGGACGAGCGCAGCTCACCGTAGGTTCGGCGGGGCTGTGCGGCGGTGTAAAATGAGTCGACTGAGCAGTTGCTAGCCAGTGCAAGGGGAGCAAGCGATGGGAGCGGAGGGGAAGAGGCGAAGAACCTCCTCCAGCTGCGGAACGATGACGCAGAGAGGCCCGCTTTCTTTTACTGGCCTCTCGTACGAATGTCGAACGTCTGTAATGCGTTGCAATGCGAAGATGACTGTGTGTCTGTACGCGCGGGAGAGGTCCAGCCTCACTGCCGCCACTCCTCGACCCTCCTCCTGTCCCTCTCCCTCGACTCCTCCAAACTCCGCCTGTACTCGCGCCTCATTTCGCGTTCGCGCTGCCTAGCCCTCGCCTCCTCCTGCCAAACCTTCTCCTTCCCTCGCCTCCACCGCTGCGTAAAGTCCGCCTCCTCGCGCTGCTTCTCCGTCGCTCGTCCAGGCGGATGATCCCTTCTGACCGGGGGCTGGAAGACGTCCGGCGCATAGGAGGCCATACCCGACTCGGCGAGTGCATCAGGGTTGTTGGCCTCGATCGCTTCGCGGCGCGCGCGTCGCTTGTTAGGCGAGAGTGCCATCCAGACCATGTTGTGCATCGTGTGAAGGCGCATCGCGTCGGCGAGTTCTTGCCCCGTGTAGTTGATGGGACTTCCGGAACCGGTGAAGCAGCACAGGTCGTAGGCGAGCGCGCCGGCGAGCGATCCGACGACGGCTCCGCCGATGGGCTGTAGCGAGCTCGTCAGCCTTTCCGTCGTGTGCAAGCCGCTCAAACGACGACGCACCCCAATGAGCCACCACCACGAATCATGGTGCCACAGCTTGATCCCGTACCCGACGCACCACAACGCCAGTCGCGGTCCGAGGTCGCGAGCAGGGTTGATGGCGTAGCCGGAGACCCAGCCGTTCGACATGCCGATCGCGACGACGACGAAGCCGAGGACGATGGCACCGAGACCTGCGCCGGGAGGGGCGTTGTTCTACGAGAACGAAACATCAGCTCTGCAGGAAGCGAGGAAGGGCGAGTCAACGCACCTCGTCACCGAGCGCCAGAACCGCAATCATCAGTATCCCTCCCGCCAAGATCTCCTGACAGAAACCTTCTGCAGGCGAAGCGACATTCGAAGCGGGAGCGGTGATGAACAGGGCTGCGCTGGCGTTTGCTTGAGGGGTCGAGTGGATGAGTTTGTGCGGGTCGTACATGTCGATGGCGTGGCGGTAGCTGCGGGCGAGAGCATCAGAAGGCGTCTTTACGCGAAGGAGGGCGATGAACTACGCACTTTCCGTAGATCATGAGTCCGCCGACGAAAGCGCCGAGAACTGCGAGCGAGATGACGCATGAGCGTCGCTTCCACCTCGACAGAAGCGACGAGAGCGCACCTTGAGCAACGATGTACCGCGGCACCATCTTCCATGGAAAGCCGCGAAAGACGGCGAGCGTGATGGAGACTGCTGGGTTGCAGTGACCTCCCCTGCGAGACATCGAGCAAGTTAGCGGGGGCTGCGAGAGGTGTGGCGGACGCGAGCGTACGAGATCCCACCGGCGATGTCTGCAGAACACAGCGAGTCAGCACAAAGTCGGGGGAGAAGAAGCGAGAAGGCCACGCACACAGGGCGAGCATGGCCGCAAAGCCCCATGCGAAACTGACGGAGGAGTAGGCGCCCATCTATTTGTAGACGTCAGCAATTTCACTTGAGGGAGTTGAGCAAGCTGGCAAGCGCACCTGGTAGTCGCTGATCTTGGTTTGGCACGTCGCTGCGAACGAAGTCGAGTGAGCAAGCGTCCAACGCCTGGACGAGCGATCGCCTCACAGCCGATGCCGATGCAGACCAGAATCATCGTGCCTGCGAGCGCAACGCGTCAGCTCGAGCGCACGGAACAAGGAGAAGTGAGCGAGAACGCACCCAGAAACTCCGCCATCGGTTCCCTCAACGCGTACCGCACGGTTCCCCACCAGTTCCTGATGGGCAACTCGTCGTTCGGTCCCTCTCGCGCATCAAAGTCGTCCACCCAGTCTTCCTCGTTCTGGTCCAACTCGCCGCCGGGCATCTGGCCCGCCTCGGCGTCCCCTCCTCCTTTCTCGCCTTGATCGTCTGCGCGTCCTTCGTCAATCTCGCCCGCGATAGTCCGCGAACCACCCGAGTTGACCTTCTCCAACTGCTGAGGCTGCTCCTCCCCGCGCTCCGCCCTCCGTCGCTCCTCCTCACTCCGTCCACTATCATTACTCACAACCACCTCCAACGGCGCCTTCCTCGACCCATTCGATGTCGCATTCCTCAACTCCTCGAACGGATCCGCCCGCTCGCGAGGCTTCTCGTTGTCCAAGTCGTGCGCGACAACGTCTGCTGGCTCGTCGTCGACTGCGGCAGAGGAGACGCTCGACTGGGTCGTGTAGGTCCCGTCGCGCGGGATGGGCGGCCGATTCGGTGCTGCGGCGGCCGCGGCGGACGAACTTGCGCGCGCGCCTCCTCGAGAGTTCTGACGCCGCTTCTTCTGCTCCTGCGCCACGCTCGACCGTCTCCGCTTCGAGAGGTGCTTAGGAAAGACCCCACCGACTGCCCAAAGCGGCTTCTTCCCCTTCCCCGCCTCAACACTCGACCCGACGCTCCCCTCCTCGACAGGAAAGGCACTCATCGAGTCGTTCCCGCCCGCGCCGCCCAACTGCCTTCCCAGCTCCGACCCCGCGTTCGAACCGGGCGTGCGATCCGACTCGGACACGGCGAACAAGCTGTCTGGGATAGTCGAGAAACGCCGGATAGGTGCAGGTCCAGCGACGTTCGAGGGTCGGGGGCGTTCCTTCTTGGCTACGGCAGCGGGAGGAGCGCGGATAGAGTCTGAGCGGCGAGACGGTGCGTCGGAGAGGGCAGTCGAAGTCGTCGAGTCGTTCCGCGTTGGTCGGCGGCGGGAGTTCTGCTGAGTCGGCGGCGGGCCGGCGATGGACGCTGAGGAAGCGCGCCGGCGTTGTTGGGCTGTCGAGTCGGCCGTTACTCGACTTGTCGTTACGTCGAGCGAAGGGAAAGCGGCGGTGGAAGCGGTTGATGAGGCGGTGTGGCGGTGTGAGGAGGGTGGTCGAGGGGGATGGGCAGGGCGCTCCAGGTTGCGGTCTGGCGGTGTCGACATGGTTGTCCTCAAGAGTCGAAGGAAGAAGAAGAAGAAGAAGAAGAAGCAGAGTCGAAGAATCCAGGGTGTCGAGGGAAAGCGGATGACCCGTCTCCCGCAGCGAGGCAGAACGAGGGACGCCGCAGACAGAGTGAGCGGCAAGGGACGAATGCTCAAACTTCGAGATCTTCTTGGATGCGCTGCGCGAGAAGGCGAGCGAGGCGAGGTGGTTCCGTCATTCTGGAGTGAGTTCGGTGAGCGGGGGCCAGCGAGAGCGCGAGAGAGCGCGGGCAGCAGATCTGGAGCAGAACAAGGTCAGAAACAAGGCTGCCGTCGGCACACACTCAGAGTCGAGCTCAGTCAGCAGCACGAGCGAGCGAGAGAGAGAGCAACGAACAACCCACCCTCGCCTGGTCCTCGTCGTCCTCGAGCTCATCCAAGGGAGAGAACAGCAAAGATGCCCCACGCAGACGCACTCGCCCTGCCCTCGAGCGCAACCACCTCCAAGCGCGCCTTCTACACGCACCTCGCCTCGACCGCGCGGACCCTCCTCGCACCCTCGTCGCCCGACGACCCCGCCGCGAACTGGATCACCGCGTTCTCAAACGCCGCAAGCTTGTTGTTTGGCTCGTACGAGAACTATGCCGACAGGTTCGGGAGGGACGACGGGAGGCGGGTCAACTGGGCGGGTGAGGCAACTCGCTCGAGGAAAAGACCACTCTCGACGAGACTGACATCGCGCTCGACTCCTCCTTTACAGGTTTCTACGTGATCCCCTCGCTCCTCTCGCGACACGCACCCGCCTCCGAACCAGCCCAGCTCTTCCTCGGCCCCTTCCACGGCCGCCCAGCCTGCCTGTCCGTCTCGCTCAAAGGCTCCTCTTCCCGCCCCGTAGGAGTCTGCGCAGCAGCGTTCAACTCGGGCGAGACGGTCGTAGTGGAGGACGTCAATGCCCGGCCGGGACACATCGCCTGCGACGGGGTCACGCAGAGCGAAGTCGTCGTCCCCGTCATCGTCAAGCGGCGGAGAGAGGACGGGACGGAGGAAGAGGTGCGTGTGGGAGTGCTGGACATCGATTGCGAGGCGCTGGGAGCGTTCGACGAGGAGGACAGGCGAGGATTGGAAGAGTTTGTCGAGGTCGTCAAGGAGGTCATTCGGTGGGAGCTGTAGGCGGGTCATGTCAGACAGGTCCTTCGAGTGTAGAAACACTGGGAACGCACCGTAATGGGTACAACAGTACAGTCTATGCGAGGTTTAGCGGCGCCTTCACGACATCTCGACGTCGAGTCCTCCCGACCCTCCCCAGCTCCCGAGGACGTCGACGAGGTCGCTCAACTCGGCTTCTTGGCCCTTGTCGACCTCCTTCATCGTCTGCGGGCGTGTCTGGGTCATTGAACCGAGCAAATTCGAGGACTGGGGACGTAGAACGCACCTTCCATTCGTCCACAAACTCGTCGACACCAATCTGCTCACTCGTAAAGTCCGCCAGCACTTCCCTGCGCTTACCCGCGTTAGCGCTCAACGTCAACCGTCCCTCAGAGAGCCGGTACGCACCTCAAGCGAATCAATTCCGCCTGGTACTGCGCAAACAACCCCGACACATGTTGAAGCGCTTCCTTCGGGTTCAACCCATGCTGCAACGCGAGGCTCGGCGTGGCGAGGAACAAATCCGCCTCGAAGAGCAACGAGTTGAGTTGCTCTACATCGCCTTCCATCTTTCCCAGGTCGTCCCGCACGCCTTGGAGGGCTTCCTCGATAGTCTGCTGAACTTTGGCCATCCCTCGTTCGCGAATCCCGCCTTCAGGTCTCGACCGTGTTACAGGCACAGAAGGCATAGCCATGAGATTCTGCAGCTGGTTCGCGAGAGAGGGAAGGGACGAGACGCTGTTTAGTGAGGAGGCATGGTGACGGTTGAACTGGCGCGCGAGGTCGTCGGCGCGGTGGAGGAGCGTTGCGAGAGAGGTGTTTTGGGAGAGCTGCGGCTGCGTGTTGAACCCAGCGAAGGAGGACATGGTAGCGGCGGTAAAGATGAGGAGGAAGAAGCGGAGCGATGAAGTTGGGTGACCACGAGCAGTCGAGCGGTGCTCGCGGCGCGTATGGCAAGCGCCTGGCTGTCTTTCGACAAAGGCAGATCCGCCTGCGGAGCCGAAGGACCGAGAGAACAAGCGGAGCAGGGTAACGAAGAGCGAATCCGACGAAAAAACGCCCGCAGGCTAGATTGACAACAGGCTCGAGAGGCCGCAAGGGGCACGATACGTGGGTGTACAAGAAAAAGTGTACGCAACGGGAAGGGCAGACCAGTCAAGGCCTCCTTCCTCGAGACAACCGCGCAGAGCCCGCCTCCCTGACCCGCTTGACGAGCTAGACCGTCGTGCAGACGACCGCTTAGATGAGGAGGCGCTCGATCTGGCCCTGTAGGCGGCAAAGAAGAAAACGAGTCAGCCTCGACGCCCTTTGGCGGGTCAAGCGACGCATCCAGCCCCGCTACGCACCTTGATCGTGTCAATCTGGCTCTTGAGCTCGCGAGCCTCGTTGGTCGTGATCGACGCAGCGATGACGGGGCGCGAGACGCCGCAAGCACGGCCGAGGGCGGTCTTGGAGGGAACAAAGACGTAGGGGACGTTCTTGTCCTCGCAGAGGAGCGGGAGGTGGAGCAGGATCTCGATCGGCTCGGTGTCTGCGAGGTGAGATGGCGGTCAACTCTCGCGTCAGACAGATGGAAGGGGACCCGGTGCGCAAGGCAGCGATTGTGTGCCCCAAGGCGAGCCGACAACCGGGACTCACCGGCAGTCATGACGATGAACTCGCAGATACCGCGGTTGAGGGTCTGCGGGCGCAACGAGAGACTTGTCAGCACCGTCATACTGTCGCAGCATTGGGCCTCGGTCGGCTCACCTTGGTCGCCTCGTTAGCACCCTTCTTGAGCTGCACAAAGTCGAGTAGGTCAAGTCAGCCGCCATCCTCCCGCAGATGCCGCAAGCCCGCTTGACGAACCTGCTTGTAGTGCGAAGCCTGCGTGAGGGATCACATGTCAGCGAGCCGACTCTGCGATAGCGAGCAGGACCGGGGCGAACACACCTGCTGGACCAAGTCGAGGATCTGGTTGGTGAGAGCCGCGTCGGCGAGGGGGAAAGCCTTGGGGTTGGTCTCGGCCTGCAGAAGCATTCGCACGGTACCACGGGCGGTGTGGACGGCAGAGTCAGCTCCTGAGCTCGGGGGAGATGATGAAGTCCGAGGCGGCGAGAGGACGGGGTGCGCACCATTGCTGCGTGTCGGAAGTGTTTGTGGGTTGGTTGGAGTGTGTTTGCGAGCTCACACGGAGATCACGGCTCGGGGGAGGTTGGGGGAGGAAGGCGACGAGACGAGACGCTCAAGGCCAAGATGGCGGACCTCATAAATTGTCTGGCTGACTACTGTACACCATCTCGTACACTCTCATAGTCCACTCTGACCAACCCACGCAAAATCAGGAGCGGTTGTGAGCGGAGTAGTCCTCGTCTCGACGGTTCGACCTTCAACTCTTCACTCGCGCTCGACTCTGCTGCGATGGCTGACAAGCGCTCTCCTTCGCCCGCGACCGAGAAGCACGAGGACGCACGGCCTGCATCGCGACCTCGCTTGGACGACGAAATGGATCCCGCCCCACCCGCGCAGGCTTCGGAGGTTGCTGGAGAGGCGCACACCGCTGCTGAGGCTGTGGAGGTGACAGAGGACGGGACAGAGGAGGACAAGGAAGAGGTCGAGCCCGAAGAAGAGCCGCGAGAGAAGGGCGTCAAGCCGGAGGAGCTCAAGACGATCAGGGAGGCCTACGAGGACGGGTCGCTCGAGGGCTACACGGACGCAGAGGACATCGTCTACCCGCACAAGTCAGAGCTTAACGACAAGGTCATCATCTGGTACGTCGGGACCTTGCGGCTTGACGGGAGGGGGACGAACTGCTCACGTTTGCTTCGTCGTCCTTGTTACTTCTGTCCGTAGGCGCGGTGACATCACGGTGCGTCTCGTCTGCTTACTCTGTCGGATCGCTAACTGATGCTTCGCGCTTGTCGTCATCAGAAACTCGCGGTCGACTGCATCGTCAATGCTGCGAACAAGTCGCTTCTCGGCGGCGGAGGCGGTCAGTTCCCTTCTTCCCCGTATCAGCTCTTTCACCGCTCCTGACGCGGCATAACGTATAGTCGACGGTGCCATCCACTCCGCAGCAGGCCACACCCTCTACGACGAATGCAAAAAGCTCAACGGCGCCGACACGGGCGAGACCAAGCTGACAGGCGGCCACCGCCTTCCCGCGAAGCACATCGCGCACACTGTCGGACCCATCTTCAGCCGGAACAAGCGCGAGTGGTGTGAGGAGAAGTTGAGGAGTTGTTATACCTCGACTTTGGGGTTGTGCGTCGAGAAGGGGTTGAGGAGCGTGGCGTTCTCGGGCATATCGACGGGCGTGTGAGTTGTTTTCTGGTGCGACAGACTGGCGTGACGATGACGATGCCTTACTCGCGCAGGTACGGCTATCCGCTGGACGACGCGGCGCAGGTAGCGTGCGATGAAGTCCGGAAGTTCCTCGAGGGCGAAGACGGCGACAAGGTCAGTTTGGCCAACACATCCCATCGAATGCTGCTCTCCTCGGCGAGGGTGGCATCGTGAGTGTTGTGGATGGCTGACCTCTTGCGCCTCTCCAACAGATCGACCATGTCATCTTCTGCGTCTTCCGCCAGATTGACGTCAACTCCTGTGTGTTCTGGCGCTTTCTTACTCATCCGAGTGAGCCGCCCGGAGCTGACACTCGCTTCGAACAGACCTTGACAACGTTCCGGCCTACTTTCCCCCTCCGCCCGGCTTCAAGAAGACGGTGAAGGGGGACGCAGCAGCTGAAGAAGAGTCGAAGGACGATGATGGCGCGGAGAAGAAGGCGGAAGAAGGAGAGGCGGCGGCGGCTGGCGAGAAGAAGAACGAGTGAGGATGAACTGGCGGTGTCGGGAGCTGTCCTCCCTCTCTCGCTTCGCCCCGATTGAATCTGTACGATCTTTGCATTGTGATCCTGTTGCAGTACGAGTCGTCTCATCCAGCGAGAGTTGTCGCGGGAACTCGCTCTCATCGCCTCGCTCGTCGAAGGCCGCGCGTCCTCGACCTCGCTCACCACGCTTCACCCGCTCAGACCCGCTCCCTTGCTTGACTGAACCGCTCGAGATGGCAGAAGCAAGCTCTTCGACGTCCCAGCCCGCGCAGCAGTTCGACCCGGCCAAGCAGCAGGCCCTCGCCGCCTACCGCAAGGTGCGTCAATCAGCTCGCGTCGGGAACTCGCTGGGTGGGCGTAGCTGACTGGACTTCAATGCGCATGTACAGAAACTCAAGGAGCACGAGGAGCTGGACCAGAACTTGAAGAAGAGTGCGTTCTCCCACCACCACCTCGTCGCTGGATGACGCTGACCTCGCCCTCTCACACCGCTCGCAGGTGAGCCAGCTCGTTCGCGCACCTCGCGTATGACCGACAACGAAGTGCTGACTATCGCCGCGCAGTCCGCTTGTCGCTGAAAGACCTGGAGCGGGACTACGAGAAGAGCGAGGACGACATCAAGGCGTTGCAGTCGGTCGGGCAGATCGTGGGCGAGGTGTTGAAGCAGCTGGACGAGGAGCGATGTGCGTGCTTGACCCTGGACTGTTGCGCACGGGAGTTGCGGGGCTGACCTTACGCATCTCACCGGACAGTCATTGTCAAGGCGTCGTCAGGACCCCGCTATGTTGTCGGATGCAGGAGCGCAGTGCCGAAGCACAAGCTGAAGAACGGAGTGCGCGTCTCGCTCGACATGACGACCCTTACGATCATGCGGTAGGCCCCCCATCCTCCTTCTCATTCGGTCTGCGCCGGCTGACTTGCTCCTCTGCGCTCGCAACAGCATCTTGCCTCGCGAAGTCGACCCGCTCGTGTACAACATGACGATGGAGGACCCGGGAAGTGCGAGCTTTGCGGGTGTCGGTGGGTTGGGCGACCAGATAAGGGAGTTGCGAGAGGTACGCGGGCATCGTAGCTGTTCCTTCGAGCGTCACTGATCACAACTTTCATGCCCAGGTCATTGAGCTACCCTTGATGAACCCGGAACTGTTCATGCGCGTCGGAATCAAGCCTCCCAAAGGTGCGCTCGTTCCGACGGCTATCCAGCAAAGTCGCTGACCCCGCTCTGCTCATAGGCGTCCTCCTCTACGGCCCTCCCGGTACCGGCAAGACCCTGCTCGCCCGCGCCGTCGCCGCAACGCTCCAGACGAACTTCCTCAAGGTCGTCGCGTCCGCCATCGTCGATAAGTACATTGGAGAGAGTGCACGGCTCGTGCGCGAAATGTTTGGCTATGCCAAAGAGCACGAGCCGTGCATTATCTTCATGGACGAGATCGACGCGATTGGCGGACGGCGATTCAGCGAAGGAACTTCGGCCGACCGCGAGATCCAGAGGACGTTGATGGAGCTCCTCAACCAGCTCGACGGCTTCGACTACCTCGGCAAGACCAAGGTTATCTTTGCCACGAACCGAGTACCGTACCGTCTCACTCGCCTCCGGTGAGCCTTGTCGCTGACCTCATCCCTCGCACAGCCCGACACGCTCGACCCGGCTCTCATGCGTCCCGGCCGTATCGACCGCAAGATCGAGATTCCGTTGCCGAACGAGGTCGCGCGAATGGAGATCCTCAAGATCCACGCCGGCCCAATCCGCAAGTCGGGCGAGATCGACTACGAGGCGATCGTCAAGCTGAGCGAAGGGTTCAACGGCGCCGACTTGCGCAACATCTGCACCGAGGCGGGCATGTTTGCGATTCGGTGCGTGCGAGGGCGATTCATGCAGGTCGCTTGGCGAAGAGCTGACCTTCCCTCTTCCCTCCTTCCTTCCCCTCGTCCGCTTTTTACACTCTCTCTCCGCTCTCCGGAACAGCGACGAGCGCGACTATTGCATCCAGGAGGACTTCATCAAAGGCGCGCGAAAGCTTCAGTCGGCGAAAAAACACGTTCGTCACCTTCCTACACTCCTTTCTCGCTGCCCTCGCTAACGTGCTCCGCGCGTAGGAAACTATCCTCGAATACGACAACGTGTAGAGACTCTCGCGGTACAATCGCTTTTCCTGCCGCCCTCACTCTCGACTCGAGAGAGAATCGCCTCGGCAGCTGAACTTGGCTATCCGCACTGGAGTCTCGAGGTCAAGCGGAGATTGCTGATGGTATCGCTAAGCATAGGCTACGGCTCGCAAACTGTCCCGCGAAGCTAGCCCCGTCCCCTCGCTCCCCATCCGCTGTTGCTCGTCGTCGGCTGCCAATCCCGGATCCTACTTCGACCGTCCGTACGCTGCGGGCCTGTGTGCGGCGGCTGCGACGTCGAGGGGTCGGCTGGTCGATTCTCCGCTCGATGCCGCACGAGGACCCTTGTCCCAACCGCAGTCGCTGGTCGGCGGCGCCCAGCCGGGGTTCCATCGCGACCAACCGTGTCTCTGGGCTTTCGCTCGCTCGAACGGAGCGGGCAGGAGCTCTTCGCAGGGCAAGGAGGAACGACTCGGAAAATGCAGGGTTGCGACTCTCTACCTCCTACTCACCCTCACCCTCACCCTTTCTCCACCTCACTTCAGCTTTGCCGCGTTCGTCTGGTCGAGCACCATCTCCTTCGCACCGACCGTCCCGCGCCCGCCACCCGCCGAGAACGCGAGCTGGATCTGGAACTTGCTCGCGAGCTCCGGGTCGAGCGTGGTGATCGACGGCCACGACCGCGCGTCCGCTTTCGCGAGCGTGATCTCGCATTTCGTGCCGAGGATCTTGTAGGATGAGGCGGAGGGGTCGATAGGGCCGTAGAGGGGGAAGGATTTGGTGAAGCGCTTGCGGGAGGGGAGGACGAGGTCGACGTGCATCTGTGGATGTAAAGGTCAGCTTCGAGGCCGAAGCTTGGCAATCACGAGAACGCACCGCTTCAGACTCGAACTTGACGACGCTGGCCTCCTTGTCCGCCTGCTTGCCAAAGACGCTGACGATGACCTGTCGCGGCGTTTGGTAGTGATCTGTCCGCAAGTCGACGAGCTCCTCCTTGCCATCGTCCTCCTTCTTCGCGCCGACGAAAAGGTGACGTCCCGTCCGGCATCCCTCAATCCGCACTGTCGAGAGGTAGGTGGCGCAGAGTCAGCGGCGGGAGCATCGAAGGGTCTGACTGTGGCCGCGAAACTCACGGAACTCGTCAAACTCGAGCACGCGACGCTTGCAGCAAGAGTAGCCCTTGCTGCCTGTAGTAGACGGAGGTCAGCGCGAGGAATGCGAAGACGGAGTTGCGGGACAAGCGCACCTTCGTGGAAGATAGGCTGTTTCGAGGCGTCAACGCAGCGTGTCAGCGTTCGCAACAGCGTATAACGAAAGGGAAGTCTGTTCACCACACCAGCGTGGTACTTGCACTCGCCTTCCTGCCGGTCCTCACCCTCGTACTCCTTCCCGCACGCTCTCCGCTTGCACCGCATCCCCTTCTTGACCTCGACCTCGGGGTCGTCCTGCTCCTCGACGTACGGCGTCGACTGCGGCTTCTGCGGGCCCTCCTTGTGCGCAATCTTCGGACCAGGCGGGAGAGGAGGAAGCGAGGAGTCCTCCGATCTCGAGTCCTGCGGGACAGCCGCGCCGTAGACCTCCTTCCCGTCTGCGTCGGTCGTGGAAGGCGCCTTGGAAGCTTCTGCAACTGGCTTGAGAGGCTCGGCGGGTTCGAGCGAGTGCGAGCCGGTCGCGCAAGTCGGGAGTTTCATAAAGTCGTCAAAGTCGGTCACCGCTGCGGCGCAGGACGAGGGCGTTAGTCTGAATCTCTGGAGCCCTGTAAACGCCCTACATCCTTCAAAGGACAAGCAGGGAATCGAGCGAGGACTCACGCTTGTTGACATCCGAGCAACAGCTCCAGCTCTTCAAACCCTCGTGGAAGACTGCGAGCAGCGTGTCCAGTCAGCCACGGCCTCGAGCCACCTTGCAAGCTACAGCAAGCGCACCTGGCGCGCCTGGGTGGAACGAGCAATCGGCGTCGCCGTTCTGTTCAGGGTCGAAGGACTTGCCGCAGCCGCGGCGAGTGCACGTAGCGAGAGTCATGGAGCGTCTAGCAATCTATCGCGAGGCAGCAGCAGGTCCAGCGAGGTGTAGCAGCGTGAGCGAGCGTCGAGAGGAAGCGGAACCGTCACGCGAGGGAAACGGTCGCTGGAAAATCGCAAGTCGCTCAGGCTGATTCGCTTGCACGGTAGCAATTCGGACTACAGTATCTTAGAGGACCTGCAAGTATCTCCAGCCCGCCAGCGAGGGTTGCGAGGTTGCATGAGCGCACGGCATTCCCCTTCGACCACTCCCATCTCGCTCGCACACAAGCTTACCAGGCTAGGATGACGTCGCCCACAGCTGGGCAGTCTGGCAGGCGCGAGTCGACCAGCTCGCAGGCGTCCTCGCCGCGCCCGACGAGCGAGGCAGACCTGGTCGATCTTCATCAGGCTGAGCAGGACCGACACCTCGTAGAGTCGATGACAACGCTCGCCAACACGGGCAGGACGAGGAGCAACACCGTGCGAGACAGGCGAGGGAGCATGTCGTCGCCGGGTGTCGCGGGAGGGCCGCAGGGACCCGCACAGGACTTGGTGACCCCGCAGCGGGCGACGAGCAGCGGAGGCGGGAGCAGCCATGTTCACGCGCACGGCGAGTCGTCACGCAGGAGACCGTCGGTCAGCGTCGGACTCGGCAGCGGCGATGCGACAGACGCGATGGGTCACCTCGCAGACGACCTCGCACGGGAGGACCGGGAGGAGGAGGAGCGCGAGGAGCACGAGGCTTTCTACGAGCGCGAGGCGAAGAGCTCTCGTGGTCAGGAAGACATGTCGAGGATGCACAACACGCCGACGTCCGCACCGCGCTCTGCAGCCGCCGCCAGACTCTACCGACACCACCGAAACGTGAGCGACTCGAGCATCGACAGCCAGGGCGGCGCCTACATCGACCACCGTCGCCAGCCACACTCGCTCTCGTTCGGCACGACGCCGCGAGGGCAGAATGCCCCGCGCAATGTCGACATGTACGGCAGCGCGAGGAAGGGCAGCGCCTTGCGGAGGTTCAGCACGAGCGACGACGAGCCGAGTGCGCGCTCGCCCATCTCGCCACGAGCCATCGACGACATGCGAGGAGGGCGCAAGATGTCGTATGCGAACCAGGACGTCGACGAGGATGCGATCGCAGACGACGAAGGGCCGGCTTCGCCTCGCTCTCCTCGCCCCGTCCACTTCCTCGACCGCCACCCTTCGCAAAAGTCGCTCAACTCGCTGCACTCTCAGCGCAGCCGTGACTCGGAGCACGAGGAGCAGCATGCTTCGTACGGCGTTGACCTGTCGCGGCCTGGTTCAGGCTTCGGCAAGCCCGAAGACGACATCTGCTTCCCTGCGCACGGCGCAGCAGCAGAGCTCGACTACATGGACATGCACCAGCAGCACCCGCACGGCGGCCTCCCCATGGCCGGCGTTTTGCCGAACTTCCCGTACCCGTTCGACTTTGGCGCGCTCGAAGAGTTTGCGGAAGGCGAGCGCGATGGACTACCGATCCCCTCGATGCGACGGCGGAAGGGAGCGGCTGCCGGCGAGAACGGCTTCTCCCCCTCGAACGAGTACGGCGTCTCGTCTGCGACCGCAACGCAGGGACGGTACATGGGTGGACCGATGAGCAGCAGCAGCGAGGCGGAAGTCCCGCGGATGGGCGGTCGACACCGCAAATTTAGCGAGACGGTCCACCCGGGGAGGATGAGGCGGAAACTCGCGCGCTTCGAAGGAGCAGGCGATGATCTCGGCGACGCGGGTGTGGGCGAGCGCGAACCCCCCTCGACCCCTGGGCACTTCGTCAGCATCATGGACACCAAGACGCCTTTGCTGGGCGACAAGCGCGCCGGGTCAGGAGCGGGCGGGTATGGTACAGCCGGCGGCGAGGGCGCGCGCAAAGTCGGCCCGCGACCTTATCGCTTCTCCTTCTACTCGAATGCGCTGCCGTCGACGATTCATGCGCGCTCGCTTGCGGAACTGCCAGGCGAAGGCCAGACGTTCGAGGAGCTCTTCTGCGGACGGCGACCGACGGAGGAGGACGACCCGCCTCACCCAATCAACCTCGACGCACGACTCGCGCAGCTCTCTTCGCCGATGCAGGGAGGCATGCCAGGTTCCGGTGCCGCCACGCCCAGCGCCGCTTCGAACGGCCGCCAGTCTGTCAACGGCTCGAGAAAGGGAGGCGCCGTGCCGGCGGGCATCTCGGCGGCAGCGATGCGCGGCGAGCGACCACGGACAGCGGTTATGCGGAGCGATGAGGAGGCGGAGGCGAACACCTGGTGGCTCGACGTAATGTGCCCGACTGACCAAGAGATGAAGGTCTTGAGCAAGGTGCGCCGACGCGTGCCATTCTTCGCGTGTCGCTGCTGATCTCGCCACTCGCTCGCAGGTTTTCGGCATCCACCCTCTCACGACTGAAGACATTCAGATGGAGGAAACGCGCGAAAAGATCGAGCTCTTCCGGAACTACTACTTTGTCTGCTTCCGCTCGTTCGAGCAGGACCCGTACTCGCCGACGTACCTCGAGCCGCTGAACATGTACATCGTCGTCTTCCGCGAGGGCACGCTCTCGGTGAGTCGCATCAGCTTACCGTCTCGAGCTGAAGACTGGGCTGACCACCTTCGAACGCCAGTTCCACTTCCGCGGCACGCCTCACCCGCAGAACGTCCGACGACGCATTAAGCAGCTCAAGGACTACATCAACGTCACGTCGGACTGGATCTCGTACGCCCTCATCGACGACATCACCGACGCTTTCGGACCCCTCATCCAGAATATCGAGTACGAGGTCGACTCGATCGATGAGCTTGTACTCATCTTGAAGGAGGCAGAGCAGAGCGACATGCTCAGGCGGTGCGTAGCGGCAAGGGCCGGGGTCTCCTGAAGTCGAAGCTGACAACTCTCTCGGCACCGCGCAGGATCGGAACATGCCGCAAGAAAGTCATGGGCCTGCTTCGCTTGATGGGTAACAAGGCCGACGTCGTCAAGGGGCTGTCGAAGCGGTGCAACGAGAACTGGTCGGTGGCGCCCAAGTCGGACATTGTGCGTTGTTCCCTCTTTGCCACCGGTAAATTCCCCTGCTAACCCGTCTTTCGCGTTCAGGGTCTCTATCTCTCCGATATCCAAGACCACATCACGACCAGCACGCAGAACTTGACGCACTACGAGAAGATTCTGTCGCGCTCGCATTCCAACTACCTCGCTCAGATCTCGATCGAGATGTGCGTACAAAGCAGTACCTGCCTGCCACACTCATGGCTGACGCTTCCGTGTGCAGGACCGACGCCAACAACCAGATCAACGACGTCCTCTCGAAGCTTACCGCTCTCGGTACTGTCCTCATTCCGGTGCGTCCACCTCCTCGTTGAACAGCTCGCCCCTTGCAAATGCTGATCCTTTCTCTCTCCTCACAGATGAACCTGATCACCGGTCTGTGGGGAATGAACGTCCACGTCCCTGGCCAGAATGTCGAGAACCTACACTGGTTCTTCGGGGTGCGCCAGCTTCTGCCAGTCCGCGCTCCCAGGCTTGCTGACACGCCTTTGTCGCCCAGATTATTGGCTGTCTCGCCGCCATCGCCGTCGGAGGAGCAATCTTCACCTACAAGGTGCGTTGCCTGCGCTGCTTGCCTCTCCCACTCTCGCTGACGATGTCTCCTTCCCGCAGGTCTTCGTTCGCAAATAGACACGCTTTCTCTTCCTTCCTACGACGCCCTCGCTCAGCCTATCTCGCAGTCTATTCTCTCAGCAGTCGCCCTCCGTTCTCTTCCCTGTGGGTTGTTGGTCACTTCTCTCGCACTCGTTCCTGTCGCGTCGTCTTCGCGTCCTCTGTAGCTTTGTATCGTGCACTACTATACACGTCCCTATCGCTCGACGAACTTTGGGATCTGGCCTCCTTCACGCTCGCTGCGCGCGTTGCGACTCGCTCGACCTTTCTCATCTCTCAACCTCTCACACTCCTCCGTACACCATGCTGGCAGACCTCGACCTCGCTCTCAAGCGCCCTGCCGAGCTCGTGCAGCGCCTCCACGCCGAAGACCCGTCCCTCGACGGCTTCGAGAAGCGCGTCGCGGAGACGTTCTCCCGACTCCTCAGCGATGACAAGGCCGTACAGCAGGTGCACTGGATCGTTGCACACGCCATTGAGTGCAGACTGACAGCCTCGCACGCCCGCAGATCCCGGCGCTGACTTCCTTGTCCACTCCGTCGACCCTCCCTCCTCCTAGCTCTCTCGTTCGCTTCCGGGCGATGGTTCAGGACACAGGGATGGGTAGCGAGCTCTACCAGGCTGTCGGCGAGGGGGACAAGATCTTCATGTATGGCGCAGAGGAGGAAGGGATCGGCGGAAACGTGCGTCGTCTCTCGTTGTTCTTGTCCAGGAGGAAAGCTGACATCCTCGATCGTGACAGCCTGAAGACTACAGCAAGCTGAAGGAGCGACAACTGTTCTACGTCGTCAGCGTACCGGGCGAGACGGAGTGGCTGAAGGAGGTGAGTCCAGGGAAAGGAATCAAGGCGCAGGGCGATACTAACCGTCCTGATCCTGCAGAACCTCGACAACGCCTCCGTTTCTGGTGAGTTCGATTCATCCAAGTTCTCCTGCCATCGCTTCCGCTGACGACGATTGCGCAGACCTCCAATCCTCCATCGACCGCCTGTCCCTCAGTGCTTCCGCTTCTTCCGCTCCTGCCCCAGCCGCCAGCAAGAACCCCAACCCTGCCGAGCCGCACTTCGGACTGGTCGCCAAAGTGCGCACTTCGTTCCGGCCTGTCCTCGCTCCCAGCTGACGTCGATTGCGCAGGTCTACGGAGATTCGGGCGAGTCGCTCAAGACGACGGTCGTTTGCGAGTTTGTCGGCGTGTTGGGCGAGACGAGGTGAGTCCAACACTTCTCAGGGGCGACAGGATTGCTGACCTCTTGGCTCGCAGCCTCCGCAACGCCTTCGACGAGCTGAGCGAGACGACCTCCTCCTCAACTTCGACCGTCCCCGCTCTTCACGTCATCCTTACTCGTCCTGCTTCGACGCCGGCACTTCCCGCTGCTCCTACCGAGAAGGAGGCGAGGGAAGCGCTGCGGAAAGAGCTGGTCGCGTACCTTGCGGATAGCTTGGGCGGCGATTCGGATGCTGCCGAATGGGTATTGCTTGCGCTCGTCGCGCGAATGTACGTGCCCGTTACCACTTCCGTCAATTGATGCTGACAAGTTTGCTGGCAGCCACACCCGCCACGCGACAGGCATGGCCCTCGGCAGTCTCTCCCTGAACCTCGCCCTCCCCGACTCCTTCCCGACCTCCCTCCCGCAGACCCTCGCCTCGCTCGTCCCCACCTCCACAACCCTCGATTTGTCCATCGCTTCGCTCAATGACAAGAACAATCGACTTGCGCCGAGGAGCAGGGACGAGAGCCTCGAGAGTGGGAGGTTGCAGTTGGCGAGTGGGACGGCGGTGGTGGTTGACTTGCGAGGGATCGGCGAGGGGAAGCTCGAGGATACCGGTGCGTCTCCCGCCCTGCCCTCCCCTCCCGCGACACTGACTGAGGGCGCGCGGCGAACAGGCGTCCGGAATCTGCGACACGTCGCAACGACCGTCGCGCAGCAAAAGCTTTCCTACGAGTTCCCGTTCTCCTCGTTCGAGCTCGAGACGGACCTCAACTTTATCTTGCTGAGCGAGGGCAAGGCAATCGTGCCGGTGCGTTCGGACTTCTCGCGCACGGGGAAAGCTTCAGCTGATGAAGTGGCGAACAGGCGGAGTGCGTCGTCTATGTCAAGCCGGCGGCGACGGACTCAAAGGCATCCACGTCGCAGCCGGACAAGGCCAAGCTCGACCAGTTCCGCTCGTTCATCTCGACGGCCAAGTACTCGACTTTCGACATCCCCGAAGGAATGAGCGAGGTGCGTCGGCCTGTCTGCATGTGGAGCTGAACAGTCTTGACATCTGCGTTGGCGTTCGCAGGTTATCCAAAGCGACTTTGTCGCGCGGCGGCAGGCGTCGCATGGCGGAGAAGGGATGTCGCAAGACGACCTCCTCTTCCGCATGACGGCCGCGCGGTGCGTCTCTCCATCTCCACCGTGTTCACACCAAGCCGGTCGTGCTGACTCGCCCGCTGCGCAGGTTGATGGCGCTCTCGTATGGCGAGAAGGAGCTGAGCAGGGAGGCGTGGATGCGGACGGCCGAGCTGGACGACCGGCGGAAGGAGCGGATGCCGGCGGTTCCTCAGCAGCATAAGTAGGTCGTGGGACCAGTACGAGGGCTGCAACGCTAGTCGCGGTGTCGCTACACGCCGATCGAGATGAAGGAGAAGACGGGGAGAGAGAAGGGCGAGGAGAGCAGCTGCGGGTTCGCTCGCTTCGCAGGCGTCTAGCGGTGATAGTACGCGGCTGTTTGACAGTATAGATAGCCTGCTAGAGGGAGGAGAGCGTTGTTGGCGAGAGGTGAGGGTCGCGGCCGGGCTCACTTTGCGCGGCGCAGAGCTCGCCTCCTCCCTCTTGAACCTCAGCCTCGCTCAAGTCCACCACAATGCAAGTCTCGCTCCACGCTATACACGCTTGGATCTCGTCTGTCGACTGCTGGGAACTGCAACGGACCGCGCGCGAGGTCGAGGGACGGAGGACGGGCAGGGGTGGTGGCGAGGAGGGAGTTTGCTCGGGGCGGGTTTCGAGGGGCTGGCGCACGACTGGGGTGGTTCTGGGGAGGACAGAGTGGGCATACTGGTGCAGAAGGAGCGGAATCAGTCGTTGGACGGGCCACCAGATGAGCACCCATTCCGTTCCGCCGACCGTGCGAGCTGACCGTCGTCGCCTCCATGTCGCCTCCCCTCCCCTTTCGCCTGCGCTCTTTTCGACCTCGAATTATGCTGCTACGGTGTTGTGGGACATAGGGGAAAGGTTCACGGATCGCTTGCGCGTGCCGGTAAGGTCAAGTCGCAGACCCCCAAGGTCGAGCCCCAGGAGAAGAAGAAGAAGGTCACGGGCCGTGCCAAGAAGCGCCACCTCTACAACTCGCGCTTCGTCAACGTGCGTAGCCCGTCTTTGTGGTCGAGCGGGAGCCGTGTGTTGACGTGTGTTGTCGTCTCGCAGGTCACCGTCCAGCCCGGCGGCAAGGGTGAGCAGCCAGCGCCCCGTCCTCCTCGCTCGCCGCCCGAAAGCTAACCATGCGCACAATGCGATGCAGTGCAACGAAACAAGCAACCTGCCGGAAAGTCTGGCTAAGCCTTTTCGACCTCGAAATTTGGCGACCGGAACTTAGCGATTCGAGGAGGAGGACGGTGGATCGGTCTGTGTGGGTCGTTTCCGATCGGTGCAACGCCGTTCGACTCGTCCTTCTCTCGGTGATCAGCTCTGCACAACTTGCGGACCTTCAGCGGGTGTTGCGAGAGGACGAGAGATGATTAGAGTGGTCGTTTGCGTCAAAGACGCCGTCCTCTCCCCAGTTTCGTCTCGCGGCACTGCTGGACGCTGTTTCTACGAAAGCTTGCTTGTCGAGCCGTTCATAAGCGTGTCGAAGGAGGACTCTGGCGAAGTCGCGGAAGCCATCGCGTCCTCGTCGCGGACGAAGTTGACCTTGACCACCTCGTCTCAACTGCTCATCGCTGTGCCTGCTTCTGCTGGTCCCCCGCCAACGTATATCCAGAAAGACACGCTCTGAGCTACAATGAGTGCGCCACCAGTCCCCTGCGCCGTCGTTCTGCCCGCACTGACATCTCCCATCTCCATTCGCCTTCACAACTCGCCTCGTACTCAGGTTACGCTGGAGGAGGCTTCATGATGGGCTCCCAGGGCGGAGGGAGTCAGTCGAGCCCGGGCGGCGGCAAGGTGTGCCTCGTTCATCTCCCTCCCATCCCTCCTCCTCCTGAAGCTGACCCGTTCTCTCGGTAGCGCTCCGGCACGTCTGCCCTGCGGCCCGTCACGATCCACCAGCTTCACAGCGCGACACAGGCATTCGCGGAGGCCGAGTTCTACGTCGACAACGCCGAGCTGAAGGACGTGAGTCCAGCAGCCGCCTCTTTCCTCGGGTTCGCCCGATGAATAGTCGGCTAATGCTGCGTTCACGTCGTGTTCGCAGATCACCCTCGTCGCCTGCATTCGCAACATCTCGCACACCCAGACCCAGATGACGATGCTGATCGAGGACGGCACTGGTGAGCTCCCTAATCCGCCTTTCGACCTTCAGACGCTGATACTCTTGCTTGTTCGTAGGCCAGATCGACGCACGCATGTGGAAGGACCCGAACGCTGAGGAGACGGCACAGGACGAGTACCAGTGCGTGACCGTCCTCCGCCAGTCCAGCACCGCTCTTTCCCAGCTCACACCCCTTCGACGCAGACTCAACACCTACGTCCGCATCATCGGCGCCCTGAAGACCTTCAGCAACAAGCGCCATGTCAGCGCGAACCGCGTCCGCCCGATCGAGGACTTCAACGAGATCCTCTTCCACCCGATCGAGTGCATCTATGTCCACAAGTACTACACGGAGGGCCCCGTGAGTCCGCGCGATGCAATCTTCCAGAGGAGCGAGAACTGACCGATACCCTCGGCCGCAGCCCGGCGGCGGCGCCGGCGGCACGCACGCAATCACGCACACGACCTACGACTCTGGCGCGAACCCGTACGCTGGCGGTGGCGGCCTTGCCACCTCGCACGACGACATCTACGCCGACTTGCCTCCGGGCCAGCGGACTATCATGACGACCATCGCGCAGCAAGTCAACTCGGGACAGTCGGGAGAGGAGGGCGTTAACATCAATGCGGTTATTAGGGCGATCGGTGGGAACCCGTCGGCTATCAGGAACGACATCGAGACGCTTGTTGGCGACGGGCACCTGTACCAGACCATCGACGACGACCAGTGAGTTCGGCGAGCCTTCCCTCAAACGGTCCTCGAGCTGACTTTGCTTTCTTCGTCGCACAGCGTCCTTCCCACCGCTTCCTAGGTCCCATTGTTATCTGTTCCTGTACCGCTTCGCACCATCGCAGTTGCAATACTCGCCTGTACTCGTCGACAGGTTCCAGTCTGCAGCGACTGGCAGCGAGCTGCTCTTCCTCCTTTCTCTTGAGCTGCGACTTCTGCTTCCTAGCCGAGCTGAGCTTTTCTGCTCCTCAGAACGACCCACGCTCTGCTATCGAACGCGTCGTTGCACACGCAGACACCACCACCTCTCCTCCTCGAATACTCCGACGAGAGAGAGACGAGAGGACCGACGGCCGTTTAGCCCGACTTTCCTGCAGGCTGCTTGTTCCTTTGGACTGCATTGCGATGAACCTTATCGTCAGTACTCGGGAAGGGCGGCGAGCGAGCAGGACGGGGCGCTGGCTGCTCACCCTTGCCGCCGGGCTGGACGGTGACCTGCGAGACGACCTCTCTTTCTTCTTCCTTGTCGCAAGCGACTGTTGATGCTTCGTCTTTGCATCGGGTTTTCCACGGCGAACGACCCCTTCAGAAGACGTTTTTGCCGCTTTGCCTGCCCCAACAGAGCGACTGCTCGTCTTGTCGCTTTCATATTCGCTTCGGCCTAGCTGTCAGTACCTTCCACAAGGCGTGTTCTGCGCAGAAGCGTAGCGAAACCGCGAGCGTTACGAATGAACAGCGCAAGCTTCGCTCGACGTTTGGGAAGGTCGTGCGCCTCTCTCGCTCTCTTGGGCGCTATAGGACCGCTGAACAAGCATACACGTTGGCGCAAATCGTCTACGAAGGTGAATGTCTTGGATGAAACCGTATCGTCAACCGAGAGCCCAGCCGACCGCTCGTCCTTTCCCCTTGTCCCGCCGCGAAGTGCTCGCCTCGACGACCTCTGGCTCTCCATCGTCGCGAGCAGGCGTGGCTTCCATCGGTGTCGAGCGAAGAGGGGGGCGACGAGGAGAAGGCGGCCCAGGCGGAGGCGACAAATCGTGAGGTTGCCTGCCGGGCTTGACGTTGGGTCGAGGGACGACGACTCGCCTGTACCCCTGCGGGCCGAGCGGGACGTTCTCGCCGTCGAAAGAACCAGCGACAGGAGAAGGACGAGCGACGAGCTCGAATTCGGGGACGGGAGGTGAGCGGCCGAGGAGGGCGAGGAAGCCTGGCGAGGTCGTGCGAGAGATCGATAGGTGTGCGAGTTCAGGCGGAGATCGCGCGACTGGCGCATGAGACACGTCGGAAGAAGGAGAAGAGGCTGCACGTCGACGCTTGCGCCAGGGCAGGACGTGCAGGAGTGCGCAGCCGGTTTCGACGGGCGACGGAGTGAAAGTCCTGTCGGGCGCAACAGGCGATGTCGGAAGAAAGGCAAAGTCGTCTTGGGTAACGCTGGCGTCGATGGCGCGCGCGGAAGCGAGAGAGACAGGCGAGGTGAGCGGCGTCTGCCTCGAGGGCGGAGTGAGGTAGAGACCCTGAGGGCGGCTCAACCGTGCTCGCTGCGTTGCGGTCGGTCGGAGAGTCGATGCAAAGACGTCGTCGGGCACTTCGCGGAACTCGTCAGCGACACCTCTAATCGCAACGTATAGGACGCAGATGAAGGAAAGTCAAGCCAAACGAGCAGTGCGCCGTCCTCCTCTTCTCCTGGCAGACCCGGCGTCAGCCTCGCTCTGCAGGATGGCAGTGAGAGGGACCTACGAAGCCGCTCGACGTTCTCGGTCGTGTAGAGCGACCAGCGCTTTCCACACCGCTCGAAACGCTCCTCCTCCGCCTCGACTCCGACCGAGACGGGCTGCACTGGCTTCGGAGCGGTCTCTATAGCATCGTGAGTCTGTCGCGGAGGTGGCGAGAAAAGAAGACGAGGGACCGAAGTCGCCGGGACGGGCCAATCTTCGTAGACGACTGTACCGAGGGAAGAGGCGCCCGACGAGCTCGTCCAGCGCAACGGGGATGGGCTGAGCGTCGCGCCGGCATCGCTGCGACCTGCACTGTACATCGCCCATCCGTCCTGCCCGTCTGGCGACAGACGTGCTCGAGCCTTCGCGCTCCCGTCCAAGGTCCTCCTCGGAGGCGAGTCGTCGCCGCCATCGCTCGCCACTTGGCTGATCGGGCGGTCTTCGAGGACAGGTGCAACGAGTTGTACGCGCCTCGGTCGTGGCGCAGAGATGGTCGGGCGAGTGGGCGTGCGAGGCGAGGAAGGAGCGGTCTCGGTGAGCGAGGCAGAGATGCTGGACGCCGCGTCGGACTGGAGCGGCCAGGACGAGCGAGGGGCGGTAAGAGAAGTCATCAGAGCCAGCTGAGCATGCGAGCGAGGCGAACCAAGCGAAGCGAACAAACGAGAGTGAATGGAGAGAGGAAGAGGGTGAGTGCGAGCAAGTTCGCCACCTCTCCCGCTCGCATGAATGGATACAAGGGGATAACTGAGCACTTCTATGCCTGCGCAAAGCCCCGCCGCAGGACAAAGTCCATCCGCTTGGCCACAAAGTCTGGCACCTTAACCGTCCTCTCACCGCCAAGGTAGCCCGCGATCCTTGCGGCGCCTACGCTCACGCCAGCGACCAGCGTAATCCACGCAGCTTGCCACTCCCTTCCGTGGAGCACACGACGGTCCTTCCCACCCGGGCGGCGCCTGCTGGGTCTGAGCGAGCGAGGCGCAGTCGGGTCGAAGAGGATCCGCCAGCCGACGAGGCCGTGGTATGTGCCGAGTCCGACGACGGCGGCGTAGCATACGGCAGAGCCGTACTTCAGGAGAGGCGAGTCGTGGCGGAGAGAGAAGGCGGTGAAGCTGTAGTTGAAGAAGCTGGGCGAGAGGGCAAAGATTGGGGGAAGAGGCGAAGACGGGAGTAGGCGGTGCAACCAGGCGTGGTGGGCGACGAAGGGGATGAGGGCGTAACCCATGGCTTGGTGGAAGTTGGGCAAAGGGACGAGGGGAGCTGGAGAAACGCTGGCGGGAACGACGAGTTCCTCGTCGTTTGTCGTGGTCGCGACAAGTTCCGCCTCGAGCTCCTCGACTTCGTCCTCTACCAGGTTCTTCTCCACTTCTGTCGCCTTGGTCATCGTCGGCAACTCGTCCTCGACCTCGCCCGGCCTGATAGTCGCCATCTCTCGCGCCTTTCGCTTCGCCTCCTCCTTGCGGACCTTCCTCCGCTCAACCCGCTCGACCACCTTGAGCCAGCGCAGCGCAATACCGCTCACGACGTGCGCCGTCAAGCTCCCCCACACCAGAACGGGCTCGCTCCATTCTCCCTGGTACACCTCCCTCCCGAGCAATGCGAACCCGTTCGCCCGGTTCTCGGCACTCGTGAGGTACTGTGGCCGGCTTGGGAGGAGCGCCGAGAGCGGTGCAGCGAGGTGTACGATGGCAAAGATCGAGAACGTCGCGGCCGAGGCGTTCTGTGCGATGCGGAGAATGGGCGAGAGGGAGCCAACGAGGCGAAGAGTGACTGGATACGCTAGCGCGGTCGCCGCGGAGGGTGACTTGCTCATGGCTGTCGTCTCGTCTGGACAGCGTCGACCGCGATCTGTGCGGAGCGTGTGAAGTGCGGGAGACAGGTCCCGCCTTTGTTGGCTGATGAGAGCGACCTCGCCAACTCTCGCCAGAAGTCGCTCGGATTGATTCGCAGCATCAATACAACGATAAGAACGCAGACTGACGAGCCCAAGAAGAACGAACGCGATCCGACATTCCCAACCTCCTCGTCCTTGTTCCTCCTCAGACCGCAACCGAGTGTCTCCTTCCGCCGACGTTCCCTGATCCACCCAGTCTAGTCAGCTGCTCCTTCTGCGCCTGTCGCTGCCGCCGCCGCTCCTCGAGATCCTGGCCCGCTTGCGAGCGAGACGAAGACGCCGAAGGGACGATCGACGACCGCCGCAAGAACTGCTGCTCATTCCACTCGTCTTCGCTGCTCGTGCTGGCGTCGAAAGTGCGAGTCGAGCGCGAGACGACGACCGCTTCTTCCGCGTCGGACTCGTCGGACGTGGAAGCAGCGGGTTTCTTGCCGGCCAATGAAGCCGTACGAGGAGCAGGGGTATCGTCGGCGTCGTACTCTGTCGAGGCAGTCGAGACGGGCGCCGAGCTGACCGACGAGGGTACGAGGCCGCCGGACTTGGTCGACTTCCGAGGCTTGTTTGTGGTCGAAGGCTTGGTTACGGGAACGTAGTCCGCAGGTCGGCGCATCTTGCTGCGGATGACAGAGGCGGCGAGTCAGTACCACAAAGGGGAGGCGAGCAGCTGTGTTCGACGCACGTATTGAGCTTCGGCAACGCATAGTTGACCGACTTGCGAGCGCGACGACCACCGGCAGCCGGCTCTTCGTCCTGCTCGTTCGGTTGCAGGTCTGTCGAGAGAATTGTCAGCGCACACGATGGTGAAAGCGAGAAAGAAGGAAAGCGACTCACTCGCGCCCTCCTCCGACAGCACCTCTAGCTCCTCGACCTTCTTTGGCGCCTTCCTCGATCGTGGACCTGACACCGTTTCCTCGGCCACAGACCCGCTCCGGTCCTCCGCCTCCTCTTCGTCGTTCGCGCCATCCTGCGCTTCCGACCGCTCCTGCTCCTCCTCCGCCTGCTTGGCCCGCTGATTCCGCACAGCGTCCTTCTTCGCCTTGAGCAACGCCGCGCCCCGTCCGTCCTCCTTCTCTGCGACATCCGTAGCGGACTTTGTGGACGCGGACGGTGCAGTTGATGTCTTGCGCGGCTGGCGAGGCTGAAGTTGCTCGACAACTGCCCTCTTCGCTGGTTTGGTGGCAGTGACGGGCGCAGTCGACATCGAGGGCGGGGGTGACTGGATCTCCCTAAGCGCGGGGCGAGATGTCGATGGTCCCGGCTGAACAGCGACCGGTTGAGGATCCTCCGGTGCTGGCGAGACAGACGCGCCTCGCGCCCGGGTCGATCTCGACGACGGCATCGGCGCTTCAGCGGCAGCCGGTTCAAGACCGATAGTCGATGCTCGTCTCTTGCCCTTCGCCGCCGCCGGAGGTCTCGTCGGCGGGACCCACTCGTCCTCGTCCTCCTCCTCCTGCTTCTCCTCCGCCTCATCCTCCTTCTCCTCGCGCATATCATACCCCTCTCCTTCCTGACCTTCAAGCACTCCAAGTCGAGGCCTGACCATCCCCGAAACTCGTCGCTCGCTCCGCCTCTTGCGCGATTGTTTGCCTTCGTCGCCGTCCGAGACGAGCGAGGCCGAGAGGGCTTCGTGAGATGTTGAGGAGGGAGCTTTAGGCGGGGCGCGGGGTGCGCGAGAGGGCGGCCGGGTGAGGGTCGACGAGGATGTGGAAGCGGATGTCGAGGCAGAGGTGGAGGGGCCAGGTCGGGGCGGAGAAGGAGGCGGAGTAGGCGAAGGCGAGCGGCGAGAGGTTGCAGCAGACGCAGCAGCAGACGCAGCCGAAGTCATCCTGGGGAGCTTGGGTCAGCCCACGTCTGACAAACAGGCTGAACGGAACGCACTGCGCAAGTATCGGTTCTCGCCACTCCAGCGATCTCCGCAAGTGGTCGGCGGAATCTTCCTCCTCGGCACTGCCCTCGCCTTCGGTGATGTTGCTGAGGTCGGGAGGAGCGGTCATGGACGGACGAGCAGCACGAGCGGCTGCGAGAGAGCGGCGACGGGTCGTCACGGTAGAAGGGTCGGCAGAAGTATTGTCGCCACTGTCGCGAACGACGGAGGCGGCGGGACCTGCGGCAGATGTAGAGGCAAGGGGCGATTCTGTTGTTCAATCGAGAGGTCAGTCTCTCCGAGCTTTTCCCTTCTGCATTCGAGGGTGCGCAGCTCACCGGGGGCGGTGAAGGATGTGTTCGACTGCGCAGGGGAAGCGGCAAGGGAGGCGGAGGAAGGGAGCATGAGGCCGAAAGCCTGGAGGTGAGCGATGGTTTGGGCGAGTAGTCGTTGCATAGCCTGCCGGCGGAACCGTCAGCGCTCTCGTCTGCGCTCTAAGTGAAGCGTGCTCGAGCGTACCTCGAGCTGTCCATCGTCCAGCACGCCTCCGCCCTTCCGCTTGAGCCTATCTCGCTCGTCAATCAACCGTCGCTCCCTGTCCTCGGACCGGTCCAACTTGTCCCGCAGCGCAGCGTTCTCGCACTCGAGCTGGAACTGTGTGCCCTTGAGCGAGAGGCGCTCGGCCCGCATGAGCGAGATCTGGCGCTGCAAGTCTGCGTTTGCCCTGCAAGCGATGGGAAAGTTCAGCGGGCGACAACTCGACGACAACACCGCGAGGACGCACTTGTGCAGCTCCGAGTTCTTCTGTATGATCTCCTTGTTCTGTGCGAGGTGCTTGCGCTTGACTGCGCGGTGTGTGAGCGGTGAGCAGCCTCGTCGTTGAGTGAGGCGGGGATGAGACGCACAGGCTTCGTACGAGTCGAGCATGAGCGATGTCTGCTGGTGGCTGCCACCCTGCAGACCCGATAGCCTGCGCGTGGTCGTCATCCTGGCCTACCAGAGCCCGTGAGAGCGAGTCGAGGGTTGTCGTCGTCGTGAGAGATGTCAAACACTCGGGTTGACCGTTGACCACAACCGCTACGCCGCTAGGACTGCTGCTGGACTGCTCTGCTAGGCTCGATAGGGTTCACAGCAATGTCTGCAGACGCGTGCGCTTGCTCCCACGCTCTCGCGCGCCGCGCCCTTCTCACCTACCGCTCCCGCACAGTCGCAACGCGTTCACCCAGGAGGACAAGCAGCTGCTCGCCGAGTTCCTGTCCAAGATACCCGCACACAAGCGCGCGGCACTTGGCACTTTCAAGGAGTTCGCCAAACGCGTGAGTCGGGCAAGTATCTCGTCTCGCCGTTTAGCCTCGAAGTTGACCTCTCTCGCTTGACAGTATCCGCACCACAGCGACCAATCATGGCACACGCACTACAGGAAGACGGGGCGGGAGGACATCGACAGGCGGATTGAGCGAATCAAGAGGCAAAGGCAGCGCGAGAAGGAGGACGCGAAGAAGCGGGCGGCGGAACCGCCCCAAGCGAGCGGCTCGAATGGCGTGGCGCAGCGCGATGGAAAGGGAAAAGGGAAGGCTGTCGCGCGGGAGGACGAAGAAGCAGACGCAGAGGAGGAAGAAGAGGAGGTGGAGGAAGATCAGCTGGATGAGGAGAACGTCGTGGTTGATGACCTTCCGCCCAACGCCTCCTCGTCAAAAGCTCGTCCAACCTCTGCCGGACCATCTCCCAAACCCGCTGAGGCGCCGCCAAAGAAGAAGCGATCTCGCTCGCCAATTTCCTCCTCCGACGACTCTTCCGCCGATGAGCGTTCGTATCGCAAGAAGCCGAAGAAGCGCGTTGCGTTCGACGATGACGATTTCGAGACGCTCGTCATCATGCTCGACAAGGCGCACCGCAACGAGTGGACACGGCAACGGATGTACCAGAAGCTTGAGCAAGAGGTTCGTCTACCTCGTTCGCCTTGCGACCACGTTTGCTCACCCGCTCGCACGCAGTGTCCCGCCCATACCGCTGCGTCGTGGCAGACGTATCATTCGAATAACCGCGCTGCCGCTGACAAAGCCCTCAAGAAGCTGCGCAAAGGGTTGAAGCGCAAAGCCGAGGAAAAGAAGGCCGAGAAGTCGAAGCCTGCGACGATCGACATGGACGTCGACGAGGATGAGGCGACGGTGGACGAGGACGAGAAGGAGCGACGTCGACGGGACAAGGGCAAGGGTAAGGCGCGCGACGTTGAGTCACAGCCCCGCAACGGTCAAGGTCGACTCTCGCAGGCTTCTTTCAACTCGGCACCTTCGAAACGACCGGCGTCAAGACCGGCAGCCGACGAGCCTTCATCCGCCTCGTCGTCTGACGCCGGCGCCAAGTCAGCCGCAGCGAAGATCAAAAGCAGCTCGAAGGGTCGCTCGAGCACGACTGCGTCTCCTCAGAAAGTCGCAACGAACGGCCAGGTCGAACCGCCGTTCACGGAAGAGGACGACGCCCGCCTGGTCCAGCATCTCGCGAGCGGCATGATGAACAACCGCGACCAGGCTTTCGTGTGGAAGGAGCTTGCTCGCGTGGTGAGTCCCGTCCTTCGCCCCTCGCTGTCTGAGATTGTCCGCTGACGCCGCATATCAACGCAGCAACCCGCCCATCCCGCCTCGTCCTGGCAAGCCCGCTTCTCGTCCGACATGAGCGGCTTCCTCCTCCGCGTCACCGACAAGATCCGTATCGCCGAGAAGGCGCGACAGAGGAAGGCCGAGCTAGAGGAGGAGAAGCGAGCGGCTGAGGCGGAGGAAGCTTGGAGGCGCGAGGAGGAAGAGGCGGAACGGCGGAAGAAGAGGGACGAGGAGGCGCGGCAGGCGGAGATGCGCGCGGAGCAGGAGCGGATAGCGCGCGAGACCGAGGAGCAGGAGCGTCTTGATCGCGAGGCGGAGGAGCAGGAACGACTGGAGCGCGAGGCGGAAGAGGAAGAACGGTTGCGCCGCGAGGCTGAGGCGGCGGCAGCGGCGAAGAGGAAGGCCGAGATGCAAGGATGGCGGGAGAAGCAGGTCGAAACGGAGGGGCAGGCTGCCCGCGACCACAAGACGTGCGTACCCACCTATCGCTCTGTCTCGGCTCGACTGACCTTGCTGTTCCAGGGTAAACACACCCGCGGTCGCCGAACGTGTCAAGCTTGCTACGCCTCGACCATCGCCGCCAGGATCTGCAACCCGTCCTGCCCGAGCGGTGGAAGCCGCCGAACACGCCGCCGGACTCGGACTCGCCACGGCAGCGCAAGGCGCAGTCGAAGCTGCGGCTTCCGCTCACGTCGACGAGGCTCCCGCGGCGAGTAACCAGCAGCCTTCCGCTGCTCTCGAGGAGACTCTCGACCATGCGGAGGTGTATCAGGAGCAGCTCGAATCCGTTCCGAGCTCACTCGCCCTGCCCCGGCTCTCCCAGTACTCGGTGATGCCCTCGCCATTCCTTCAAGGCGACGAAGGGCGAGAGTACGACTATGTCGAGGAGGACGAGGACGACCGCGACCTCGACCGCGAACTCGCACGGCAGATCAAGGCGGAGGAAGAAGAGTTGGGCTTAGCCGGCGAGCCGCAGGCCTACACCGAAGCGGAGCTCGCGGTTTGTATTGACGAAGCGCTCGGCGAGACCGGCGACTCCGACTACTCCGATGACGACGAAGCGCCAGTGTGGAATCAGCTCGACGCCGCTGAGGCGGGCTTCATCGAGGACTTGCATGCGCAGGTGGCCATGCTGCAGCAGGGCTTCACCGCCCCTCGACTGAACGATCAGGAGCCAGGTCCAAGGGAGCGCGAAACCGGACCCGCCGTGGCGCCGGAGGTCGGCCAGCTCCAAGAGACCGTCGTCGTCGAGGAGACGGTCGAGACGGTCGAGGAGGCGAAAATCGAGCAGCCTCCTTCGCCGCCAGCCCGCCAACCCTTCGCGTTCCCGCCCAGTCCACAGCTTCCGCGCGCACAGCAGCCCGTCGGCCATAGCCTCTCGGACGCTTTGGCACCAGGCTCGACAGCGGAGCACGGTATGCGCGGGTCGGGAAAGAAGCTGCAGCGCCTCCCCTCTCCTTCGGCCGTCAATCAGGAGCTAGTCCAGCCGCGTCGCCTCCCGGCCGCGCCACTGTCTGGCCCTCTCCAAGGTGCCGCTGAAGCGACGCCGACGACACGCCGCCGGATCCCTCGCGCCTCTCTCGCCGCATCGACTCCTTCGGTGGCCGGCTCTCCAGCGCCAGCAGCTGCACCGGCGTCCACTCAACTCGCCGCGGCGCCCGTACAGCCCGCTCGGTCTACCCCTGCACCGGTCGCAGCGCCCGCCCCACCCGCTTCCTCAGCTCGAGACCGTCCACCGCTGAAGGAAGTGCTCGAATCGATTGCGGCCGACTACCACCTCTCGTTCAACCGCGTTCGTAACCTTTTTTACTGTTTCTCCGCCCTGAACGACTTTACGACCTTTCGCGAGATCGCATCGTTCTTCTCCGAGCCGTTCAAGCCGGATGAAGGCTCAGTCGAGTACACGCAGGCGAAGCGGGCGGTCGAGCGGTACCTCTGGTCGATGAGGGAAGACGAGATCGTGCTCGAAGGGACGGAGGCGGCGAGGAAACGGATCGAGGAGAAGAAGGGCAAGGGAGCGGTTGCGCGGAGAAGGCAGTTCTTGAACAAGGCGCGTGTGAAGCAGGTGTCGGATTTGGCGAGGGACAGGTACTCTGCTTGAGTAGTTGCAATCGTTCTCAAATGGAGTTGTAAGGCTACCAGCTCGTCCAGAGTCGCTTGCGAAGGTCAGGAGTCGGGAACTGCTTGGGCTTGAAATCTCTGCGAAACTACGAACGCCTCATTGGTGCCGTCTAGAACGGCTCGTCTACTGGTGACCAAGGATGCCGCGAGGACGGTACGGCTCCGAGATAGCCTTGATCTCGTCCTCCGTCAGCTCGATGTGCGTTGCAGCTGCGGCTTCGTGGATGGCCTCGACGCGAGTGGACTGATGGGAAGAAATGTCAGCCAGGGAGCGGGAATAAGCAGCGAGAGGGAAACTCACGCCGATGATGGGTGCGGTGACGAGCGGGTTGCTCAGGACCCAGGCGGTTGCGATCTGCGCCATCGAGACGCCGCGGTCCTTGGCCACCTTCTCGACGCTGTCATTCAGGTCGGTACGGATACGATGAGGGGATAGGAAGCGTGAGGGACATGGAAGAAGGGGGGAGCAAAACGGTTAAGCTGGTGCGCAAGAGAGCTTCTCGTCGAACAAGCGGACGTACGCCTCGTTGATCTTCTGCAGCATCTCCTCCTCAAGCTTGTTGCCGAGACCAACGAACTTGGCAAAGTTGGGGTCGCTCTTTGCGCGGTTCGTCGAATCTTGGTCGCGCCACGGGCGGGTGAGGTAGCCGCGGGCGAGGGGCGACCAGGGGAGGATGCCGGTGCCGAAGACCTTGCAAGTCGGGAACATCTCGCGCTCCTCCTCGCGGTAGACGGCAGTGTAGAAGTCTTGCATCGAGATAAACATTGTTTGCTGTCGAGAAGCGCAGGAAAGCGTCAGCCCACCGACAAAATCCTGGCGAGGCTCTTTCGCACTCACGTTCCTGCTCTTGGCGTACGCCTGCATCTGGTGGAACTGCCATGCCCAGCAGGAGCTCATGCCGATGTAGCGGACCTTGCCGCTCTTGACGATGTCGTGCAAGGCGTCCATCGTCTCCTCAATCGGCGTTTCCGGGTCGAAGCGGTGGCATTGGAGGACGTCGATGTAGTCGACACCGAGACGCTCCAGACTGGCGTCGACGGCGGCGAAGATGTGCTTGCGCGACAGGCCGTGGTTGTTGACGTAGCCCTTCTGGTCCGGGTTCGCAAGCTTGCTAGGGTGAAGGTTCGGGTCGTCCGCGACCGTCATGAAGCACTTCGTCAAAATGACTGCAAAATAACTTATCAGTGGAGAGTCTCGCGCCGCGGAATCGCAGCACTCACCGACTTTCTCGCGCGGAATCTTATACTTCTTAAGCGCCTGGCCGCAAAGGCGTTCCGACTCGCCGTTGCTGTAGACATCTGCCGTGTCCCACGTGTTGATACCGAGCTGCAGAAGCGCAGATTAGCC